TACAACTTGTATATATATACGAATGGAATCTAAAATTAGCGATACACGAGTATTATGGTAACTAGCCGATAACAAGTAAAAGGAAGGGCTAGGTTGAATGATGCTATGCAACGTTAGCATATCTAAATCAAAAGAATGCAAAAATGATAGAAAACTACGCAAATGGTACAACAACAACATAGGGTTGAGAATAAGTAACCTATGACTAGCCCTAACAATGCTGGGAATGTCCCGCACCATGACGCGGGATGCGGGACATGTGACGCACGAACAAGAGGTATGCTACAGCTAATGATATGCAAAAGGAACATAGAGAAAATCCTAATAATGAATGGGCTAAGGGGTATCTAACAAAATGGCCTAACTATACTTGCAAATTGTGACAATGGATGTCAAGCTTTGAGAACGCCCCAGAAAGCTATTTTTAGACTGGGGTATGTATTGGCTTCAACGTGGCGGCCAGCCTCAGTGCTAAAGACCAGTTGACCAAAGACCAAAGTGCTAAAGACCAAATTCTAATGTCTCATAGCTATGATTTACCATGGTTTTACCGAGCGTCGTTACAGCAAAATTTACCATCGAAAACATAATTAATTTCTATTCTGTTTCTATTACATCTTTAAAACAACAGACGATTATACAGATCAACTGACGATTTCAAGAAAGAACTAGAAAGAACAAATTCTTTATTCCGATTTACTGATCTTTGAAGACACTTCCTTAATTTCGGGACAATATTTCGAAAAACTTCCCTTTCAGTTGACAAGTGCAAGCGTAAAAAGCTAACCAATTGCCGATTTCAGGCAGTCACTGATTCATAAGGACAAGAAAAGAGTATTTTTTACAAAGAACTTTATCGATACCTTTTATCAAGCACGAAAGGAGAATACTGCACGAAAGGCAATCGTTTCAAAAGTATCCCATTGAAAGAATATCAATGAATTCTTTCTCTTTTGAATTTATTCGATTAAGAACTACAAATTTAATAATTAGAAGAAATACCGCTTGCTTTTAGGTTCTAGACGTTAAATGCAAACAACAAGTTTAAAAACATTGTTTCGTGCTTGATAAACCACCATTTTAAACCACCATTATTTCGGACAAAAACTCCCAGCAATCGGGGGAAGCATGGTCCGTGAAAAGTCTTCCTGTTTGTTATCTCTGCGGACGCGCCCTTAGAAATCCGCATTCCTAAAGAAAAATATTCACTTTCAGACTTAAATTGTTAAAGTTCATTTTATACATGAAGGAATAATTTTTTTTATTTGAACAACCATATTTATTGTGAAAATTAATTGAATAAGGAGTCCAAAAGTCAAATTTAGGACCTCAAATTATGTTTCAATGAAATTTTTAAAACCCAATAAAAAGCAATATGCGCGAAAAATGTCAAATTTTTTTATTTATCTCGAATGCTGAACTTGGCATGATAATCCTTCAAGTAGTCATTGTCCTTTGAATGCAGAAATAGATAAAAGTTTGATGCACAAAACGCTGTATTTGGCAGAGGCACAATTAGAATAATGTTCGCTACAAGCAATATGCAAAAGTACTTTAGCTCCTTATAAACATTGAGTTGGATTTGCTTATATCAATGCCAATTTATATGATTCATAGCCCCCCATCCCAACACCTCCACTTTCTTTTAGCAACTTTACTCTAGTGCAACTTTGGAAAGTTTACTTCAACAGATCCTAAGTGGTAGTAGCTTTTGTTCATTTTCTTGGTGTCTTTCATCTTTTCTGAATCGGAAGAGAGTAAGTGAAAAGAAGCAAGTATTTTGAAAAAGGAGCGTTATCCGGCGTTCTTAAGAGCGTGTCCTCAAAAAAATTGCAGATACACCTTTATCAGCCCACCCACTTTTAGACTGGCACGCGGTGCCTGTTACAGAGTCGTAATCCTTAGATTACAGTTTTGATTACAGAGTAGTGGTCATTGATTTGGTTAGGAAACTTACTTCCTCAACCACAACTTTTAGTCTGGTGCGCTGTGTCTGGATTCTTGGAATTCATTGTTGCTTGCTTCCGGTGCATTGTGATGCTCCTTATATGCTACAAACATTGATTGCTTGAACCAAATGAGATTCAGATGATTCAGAACCAAATTAGATTTTTAAATTTACTTCTACGCATTTATTTTTAAATGAATCTAAGCTGAAGAAAGCATTCGGTTTCCAACTTTTGTTTTCGTTTCCTGTTTCATGGTTTCTCAAACACCAAATGCAATACTTGTTTCAGAATCTTAAGCGAAACAAAATCTGTAACAAAATCTTTATTTAAACGATTCTACTACTTAGTTCATTTGATTTTCATCCTTTTTTAGTTTACTTTATTTACTTTCTTCATTGTCTCTTTTCTTTTTCGGACAGACGTCCTTGCTAGCTGAAGCAACATTTTCTTAGTTTCACGTTTGTTACTAATGTAGGAAATACACACTCTTACCAGACTGTCAAAATACTGTAGACTATTCTAGCTAATTATTTCACACCATTCTAGTTCATATTCGTAGTGTTAGTTCAATTATATTTTTGCAAAATAATTACTTCCGCTTTCTCGAACCACCTGGAATGATACTTTTCTAGAAACTTCTGGAACATTACAATAAACATATAAAAGAGCTTTGCTGAATTAGGTTAGTAACTAATCCATATTATTACCTCTGCGGTAATAAAACTGCGTTAGTCTGTGAATACGTTAATCAAATAAAACGTCTGAGCCATGACATCTAGCAGGTAATTTTGGTTACACGCCCAGAAATATAACAATAAGAAGAACAGCCAGACTGTGACAAGGAGCATTATTTCTCTTATCTTTCTCAATTAAACCAGAAATATTTACCATATCATCTATAACAATCATGACCACCTTATCCTATCCCAACAGTTGTCTGGCTTATTGGTTTTCATCGTCTTAGAGATTCTTTACTTATAGACAGCTTCTTAAAGATTCTTAAACATGCGTACGTCTTAGAGATTCTTAAACATGCGTACATTAAAGTGAGAAGGTCAAGTAGTTATAAGAGAAAATATTTTGTGATGAATCTATTTTGTTCAAAGCATTAGTGTATGCATTGTGTGGTGAAACAGTTTTGAAGTACGAAGAATATTTGTTAAATTATCAAAATAAAAATTTAACTAAAGTTTTAAATGCAAACGTTAGCCGGCTAACTGATCAACGATTAGCCAGGCCCGTCGGAACCAGAGCCCCCTCCCCCCTCCCCCAATATGAAATTCGTCCTTACTGCAATGTTATCAAACTTTCCCTAAAATTTCAAATTGGGCATGTTTAACGGAAATAATATCAGTTTAGAAATGTGAGAGCAGATGTAGTAGTTAGCTTTAATCCAAATGAAAATACAGGTTCAAGGAATAAGGCAAGCCGTTTCGTTATTTTTAATTTAGCATATACATCAAACATGTACTTTTTATACGGAGGCTGAAAGCTTTTGTTTATAACTTACTTCATTCTTTGAAATATATAAAATATGCTGATGAAATGCAGAAAAACGTCTTTGAAATTTTTAGGCTCGAAATAAATAATTCTATCCAACTTCTGGTTGCTTATAGTAAATAATTCTTGATAGTATTTGTTGTTTGCCAATAGCACGTTCACCATGGACTGAAACATTTTATAATCACCGAGAAGAAAATCTGATTGAAATTTGAAGCTTAATGTCATCTTCGTTTGTTCCAAAAGTAAGAAGATGACATTCCCTGCCTTCAATTTCACAAAGTTTTCTGGCAAGCACTTTGATAAAACAAGAGCATCAGTTTCTAGCCGTTCTAAAACTTTATCCAATTGACAGTCAGCTGCAAAAATCATAGTATCATTAACAAAGTTACATACTGCAGTATCAGTTACCATTAGAAAAAATCATTAATGTATAAATTAAATAGAAGAGGCCCAAGGACTGATCCTTGTGGTACACCTGCAAAGGTTTCTCGCCAAGTGCTGAATGAACCATTTAATTTCCCCTTTGTTTTCTACCGGACAGGTAATTATAAATCAATAATTGAGCATCTTTACAAAAACCATAGGCATTCAATTTCGCAATTAATAGCTCATGGTCTATGTAATCAAACGCTTTTGAGAGATCAATTAGAAAGGCACCAACCATCCTTTTTTTATCTAGGGAATTCTTACAAATAACCATTAATCTCAACAGCGCATGCTGTGTGTTGAAATCTTCCCGAACAACAAATACTTTGCACTGTGACTGCCTATAAAACCGTTTGTGTATCAAACGGTAAGTGAACCATAAGAAAACCGCATTTTTGCCATTCGTTATTTATTTTTATCAAAAAGAATGCAGAATGAACTAAGTGTTGATAGAAATTCATATGAAATACACAATTGAAGACAGTATTGTTTACAAAGATTCACAGATGGAACTACCAATCAAAACTTCATCTACATAGAATATGTTTCACAAAATTACAATGAAGAACGTCCATATTTATTCATAAATTTCAGTATTTTGTCAGAATTTACAGAACTAACTCACCAGTTAACAAAAATTCTCTCGTGAATTCAAATATGCCACGTTCGAAATAGTTCAAACTTTTAAAAATAAACATATTCAAAAACGGATCGCAAGCGGAGAAAAAATGAAAGAATTTCAGCTTACGCCGTAAGACTCGAGAGTCACCAAAATTACGCATGACTTACGCAAAAAACTTGGCAAGTATGCTTTCCATTTGCATCAACTGTAGCATTTTCCTTTCGTGTGCAGAAGCACATTCATCTCAAACTTGACAGTTTTCGCAGGCTTTCTGAAAGGCGTTGGCTTTGGCGTGATATTGTTATCCGTTGCAAATCAGGACGAGGTGTGTTCATGTGACCAATTCAAGGTCAACCAATAGCATTGCAGCATTACTCAGCGGATTTGGGTAAATTGTGATTGAATGTGTGCGTGTCCCAAAATCGTGACTATTCATATTAACCACTTTAAAGAAAACTTCTTTAAGTAAGTGGTTGAAAGCTTTCTTTGCTTTTTTCTTGAACCCCCTGCGACATACTTACCAAATGAAGCGTTTAGGACAGTACAAAAATGAAGATACGTTAGTTTAAGATAACATTTGGTCCAGGGCTGGCAAAATGAAGACGCTTCTGGTATTCTTTGGTTTTCTGGCATTGGCTTGGTGCAACCATGAAGCATTTGGTAAGTTTTTCCGAGTTTCACGCTTCTTGTGAAATCAGGTTACCTAGTTCAATAACTATCCGTCCGTCTAGTTAATAACTAGCCGTCAAATACGTTTTCGTATGGTCGCTTTAATAAGTATGAAACGCTAAGCTGCAACTTAGAACCGTCCTGCTTATGTAAAGCTGGCTTTTGCCAGGCGAATCTCTTTGCGCGACGCGAAGCAAAATCCATCTCTCTTCGCCGCGACCACTTTGGTAGATAACGGCGAATCTTTAGGCACCGTAGATCACAACTAATTACTTGAAAAGTTACAAAGGGACGTTATTAACGGTTTAGAGCATGAGTGGTTATCATCCTATTTAGAAAACAAAAAACAGTTTTGAAATAAGGGATATTGATTTTGGGGTGCCGCAGAGGTAATGTTTAGATCCACTCCAAGTCATGTTTTGCTATATATAAACGACCTACCGTTTGCTGTAAATAAAGGGCATCCTATAATGTATGTAGATGATACTGCAAGGTAACAAACTGTCTCTTAGTGTGGTTAAAACTCAGTCCATGGTAGTTGGTTCCGGACCGAACCTGAAAAAGATTGATAATCAGAACATAGCTACTCCAAATTTTTCCATCGGTGGAGGACAAATCGAATTGGTTGATCAAACTAAGTACTTTGGGTTATCTTACTAAAGTCTCCCGAGCTTTTAGAAATGTTGAAACATTGCAAGAGGTTTCTTCAAAGTTGACTCTGAGTAAAATGTATCGTAACCTGGTGGAGCCCATTTCCGTTTTTGTTGTTCGGTCGTGGAGGGTTGTGGCGATACTAAACTTCAAAAATTGCAAACCGAGCCTCGAGAATTGTCACAAGTAGTCTTTATAATTCATCTACTTATAACTAGATCTAGAGTCTATCTTGGCGGACAATTGATGAAATAATCAAGTTTGAAACATCGAAAATGGTCGTTAAGTCAATTAATCGCTTTTCACCTGAGTATTTGTCAGATATTTTCGTGAAATGGCCAGCGAATAGCCACAAGAACCTCAATAATAGTGTTTCGGACAATGACCTTCTGCGTATGCAAACTAGCAATGACCAAAAGTCCTTTGCATATCGGGGGCCAGACTCTGGAACCAGCCGGGCCCCGAAGCTAAAACGTTGAACGCGATAATTGCTTTCAAACGACCATCAAAATAACTAATACGGCCTGTGTTTCTCAAAAGTTTTTTCGATGTCTCCCTTTAGTTTGTATTAAGATGGTTTTTATTATATTTATTGGATTGAAGGATAGTAGGTAATGCAACGATGATTCTTCTTTAAAAATTGCTTTAAAAAAGCAAACAGAGCTCGAGAACTATACGCTAGGAAAAATATATACCCAGTTTTGGATCGAAAAAGGCCAGTCAGAAACGGGAGCACCTGACAATGAAGGTCTTGCGTAGAGTTTTCGATATAACTTCTGGCGTTTTATACTCTGAAGAATGTCAGACGAAAAGCTTTAGTAAAATGTTTCCAAATATTTGTTTTTTTAAAAGCAATTCTTGAATTCTGTACCACGAGGTACACAAAAGATGATATTGACGATCTCAACGCATTTGCCAAGCTAAGAGGTAAGCTTAGGTCGGCGAGGTTGGCATCTTAGTTTAAGGTTGGCAAACCGGGTTACACCTAAATTTATCACCACTCGTTTTTCTAAATCTGGTGTTAGACACAACCTCATCATTGAGCGCGCTTTTCCACGAGATGAAATTCAGAAAACTAAATCTAATATTCTGAATTTAAAACGTTTGTATATGGCCAATGGTCTCAGATGCGTTCGTTTCTCACATTCTTTGACAATTTTCGACGCTACATTTCTTAAATTTGCCAGCGGACACTAAAACAGACTACATTTCGATGGCTTCATGTTCGATTCCAAAAAAAATATTTTCAGTTTGTCGGACTATCCTCTCTCTGAAATCGAAACATTTGTATTAGGTAATGGTCATGAGTTTTGTATCCCACCACAACGAATAAACAGAGAGAGACCTTTTGCTGAATTTGGCATTTTACACGCTCAACTTGCCAAACACGATATTTCTGATGTTTTGGAAATTACGAGCTCGACTAAACAATTTGGCGTACGCTTACAGCGGCTCTCCCATCGACCAATCGGATTTTCTTTTGTATGGAGAACATTTACAAGCCCCCAAATCTCTAAGGCCCCATAACGACATATTTATCACAAAGCCCGATAAAGGGTCAGGAGTAGTTATTTTTAAACAAAAACGATTACATCCAAAAAATGAAGAATATGCTCTTCGCCAAGGAAAAAGTTGAAAAAATAGGTGATGTCGAACCTTTTGGAGGTGGTTAAGTCAAAAATTTTGACCGCCAATATTTACGCTAGAATAAGACGCACAGATTAACAACGTCCACCATCCCTAAAATACGTAAGACGAATGTTCTTCTTAGACCCATCTTGTCTATGATTGGCTCAGCATAACACGATTTGGCTAAGTGGCTTTCTGAAGTTTTTGACCCTGTTCTTAAAAAATATTCAAAACATTGCATCAAGGATTTTTTACGTTCACTGAGTTCATGCGAAACCTGAACATCAAGAGCGCGACATCTTTCATGTGTTCTTTTGACATTAGCAGTCTTTTGACAAATGTTCCTTTGAGTGAGACCATCAAAATATGTGCCATTTCTTTGTACCGGGGCGAGCTCGATAGCCCACTAATCCCAGAAGAGGTTTTCATTAAGCTGATGGAGACCAACAAAGGGATGATGTCGCTATGGGCAGCCCTTTGAGACCTGCCTCGGCTAACATTTTTGTTGGCTTTCATGATGAGCGTTTGTCTGACTGCGACAAACAGCCAGGTGTCTATTTTCGATATATGGATGACACATATACCATTTTCAAGACTCATAGGACACTTATGATTTGTTCCAAATCTAAACGCGACTTGGGACCAACTTAAAAAGATCTTTCTGGTAAACGGCTTTTCCTTGGATGTCATTTCTATCTATTTTAATAGTATTTAAAAATATAAAAGTATTTACATACAAAACAAAACAAAGGAAATATAAAAGCTGGTCCACCAGGAGGTCATGTTTGGTGATAATTTTTTTCTTAATTCTATATTGATTTTACTTTATTGGTCCAAGATATTTCTATATTAAGTTAGGTTTTCATTTTTTGTTTGAAAAGGTGAGTAGCTTCCATATTTTTTATGTCGTTTGGGATATCATTCCAGACCTTTGCACCGACGTAGGAAAATTTTTTTTTTTAGATTTCCAACCGTGGCTTAGGTATTTTCAGATCGTTTATTCTGCGAGTTTCATATTTTGAGATCTGATTCTCCTTGTAAACTTTCCCTTGAGATTTTCTGGGCACATTTCCTTAAGAATTTCGTGTACCATTGTGGTTCGGTCATATGTGATAACATTCTCAACGTTCAGTCGTGTGGATGGTATCTGGTCCCTAATAGAAGTGGATTCAATGAGATAAAATGCCCTATCATGTATCTTCTGCAATGATCCGAGTCTCTTTTCAGGCAAATAACCCCACATTAATTTTCCATATGTCATGTGGCTTTCCATCACTACTGCTTGGTATACAAGAAACAATTACCAAATGGGAATAGGGAATGATAGAAGAGCATCCAATGTGTTTCTTCTCATCCAGTCTTCTTTCTGTCTGTTGAGGAGAAAATTGAATGTTATTTTGAAAGAATTGACAAGAAATGAGGTTGAGCCCCTTTTGTTTGGTATGACATAATCAAATTTTACTTTTACTTTTTATTCTGTAAGCTTTCTCTAATTGATTTTTTAACTTTTCAATGCAGATGAAGATGAGTTTAACGATGTAAATCGTGATGCCTTTACTGTTGAAAATCGTCTAAACGACTTCAACCAGATTGACGATGACGATGACGATGAAGATGAAGATGAGAGTAAGTCATTTAAATGAATTGATTCACCACTTTTAAAGGCGATGATGCATTTATATGGCAAGCTCGCCGAGAAGGGGGGGGAGAGGATTGCCTCAGCCCCCGAGCCGAGAGGGGCCTCAAAAAGTTAAAAGAAAGTTCCTAGCATTAACAGCAACAATAATAATCACAGTCTTACTTAACGATGTCATCTCTCTTTTACTCTCAGGTCCCAGAAAAGCTCTCTACGTGCCTGTATACAGTACAAAAATTTTAGACACATCCATTTTATAATTTTAGAACAAAAGAAGCCATGCATTCTCACAAACAAGTACCGATACGATCATTGCGGACGTAAATGCCACGTCTTCAATGGGCGTCTTGTCGAGTGCACTCGCATCAGAAAGGATTTTGAATCTATGTCAAAAGCAGAACAGATTCGTTTCATTAGAGCCTTCAAAATCATTTCCACTCACAGGAGATACAGACCGGCTTATGTGAGACTGATCAAATTACACGAAAAAAACTTCATGAAGGGTATCCACACGAAAGAACAGTTCTTCCCATGGCACAGGTATTCTTGTAATTTTTTCAATTGTGATGAATGCGTACGTTGAACGTACACGTTGGATAGGTACTAATTTACCTTGCAATTATTATACATCATTTAATTTATTTGCTTTATTGAATATGGGGAAAGTGGGCCGGCACCGCGCAGCCATTGGGCTGGCAGGGGCTATAACCCCTCCACCTTTTGCAATAAAAGGTTAGAAAACTTTTTGATAAGTTTACTCTAACATGGTCTAACGCAACATTGAATCGTATACTCCTAAGTAGTAGCAGTTTTTTGACTGGCAACCCTTTTTGTTTTCTAGGTGTTTTTCTTGATGTTTTATTATCCCCAAGCTAATTTTATCCACCTTTATAGCTATTGATATCTTCTCTGAACCAGATTGTTTATAAAACCCCAGTAGAAATAGGCCAGTATTATCAAAAAAGGGCGTTTTAGTGGGCGTGGCCACAAAAAATTTCTGTCACGCCCTTTTCAGCCCTCTCACATTTAGACTGGTGCGTGGTCCCTGAAAGTGGGGCTGTCATTCGGTAATTTTTACCTTGACTCTGTAAAAAGCATTTTTTGCTGATCAGTAGTAACAAAGTAATCCTAAAATTTACTTTATTTATCATTTTATCTTCTTCATTATGAAGTTAAAAGGTTAACTTTTAAAATGGGCGTTTCCAGCATATTCCAGTCACCTGATGAGTGTGGCACAATAATCCAATCATTAATTTAAACCCCCCCCCCAATCCTTGTATTTTAAACCCGCCCCTGGTGCTGAGCTCCCAAGCCCCAATGCGACGATGCTGTGATTTATTTTTATTGAATATATTTTAGTTAAGGATCATATTTAAAAATCTCAAAGCAAGAAAAATCTACATAATACCTTCATGTGACAGTCCCAACTCTCAAGTGATGTTTCTACAAAGTTATACTTCTAAATCTCTACTTGTCAAAATCGTTCTGAAGTTTGGTCGAAAACAACCAACCATTGTTTCTGTTATTATGATATTTAATGATAGTTTGTTTTACTGTGACTATTTCAGTGACGGATCGAAGCCATTGACAAATATAGCCTCCAATCCAAGGATATTTTGCGCTGGATGTGACATGATTTTGTAACCAGCATATTCTGTGACGTTGTTTTTCAGGAGAGGCATTAAGAGATCGTTAATAAAAGTCACAAAAACAAGTAGACCCAGACAAGAGCCATGGGATAATGTTATGCAACTAGTTTTGTTTTTTATGTACTAAATTAGTTAATTTTTTTTCGTTTCTTCGTCAATACTATTTTTGGTCACCTTGCCATCAACATTCTATGTTATTGGGTAGTGTCACAAATTGGGTTTTGTCAAGTTGCTCCCTTCTCTCGCTTTTTGATATTGCTTACGATGATAATTTAAGGAAAATAAATCTGTCTGCATTTCAATCTGCATTTTCATTCAGTTATAAAAGACAACCTGAATAGATATTCTACAGTAAACAAAACATTAATGCTTTTTGCTTCATTTAAAACAAACTTTAAGTTTGAGCCATATCTTGATTTTCTGTCGGATTTTTCTACAAGAAGCCACTTTGCTAAACTGCGTCTTCGTGCACTTAATTTGCACATTGAAACTGGCAGATATGCAAAGGCCTCAAGATCTGAGAGGTATTGTGTTTTCTGCAAGTCTAGTCAACAAGATGTTGTTGAACATGAAGTACATTTTCTTTTGATATGCCCAGTGTCATGTTAGACAAATTAGAAAGGACATGTTAGAATAAATTTTTTGCAGTTTCCATCAACTGACTAATTGCAAAAAACCTTCCCTTTGGTTGATGAGTGAAAAGAGGCTCTCGAAAAACGAGGCTGCCGTCATGAATAATAAAAATGAATGATTTAGTGAATGAAGGAATTAATGAAATGAGTTTGTTACCATCAAAATTTTTATTTCTAGATGGTTCAACCTGCAGTTGGAGAATATGCTGAGAAAAGTCGATTGTAAAGTAACCTTGCCATACTGGGATTGGAGTATTTGGTCACATGATCCTTGGAACAGGGAAAGAATCTGGGGACCTGTTTATGGTAGCTATTTTTTGTCTCATTGCTTTTTACATAAAAGGTCTTTTAAGGTAACCAACAATGTATTCCTGGATTGTTACGGTAGTTTTTTAAAGACAATAGACAGTCACTAAAGGGGCTTATTCCATCTGCCAATCAACTATTGCTTAATCAAGAAGCATCAGGTTGGTATCACGTTTGTTGATTGGCTAATGTTCATTGACTGGTGGTTTAAGCCATTTCATTATCGGTAGAAATTATTAGCCATTATTGGTCTTTAAACATGGGATTTCTTAAACTCAGATCTTACCGTCTTGCAGTTAATGGATGAGGTATTTCATTTCGTTGCCCCACCTACCTTCTTAAAATTTAGCAATTTTCTTTATTTGGCTAAAGATTTGCCTCTACTACCCCATCTCCTTACAGTTCATTCAGTGTCTGTAGGTCCCGGGGGACTCCCATTATGGCCTAACAGGGGGATCCAGTCAGGGTCAAAGAGGGCCAAGGCTAACATTTTAAAAAATTACCCTCAAATGGTAGGATAATGGTCCCTCTTTAACAAATTTCTTCACAACTGACTGTTTTGGGAAAGACAAAATGTTCTTCTTTATCTAAAATAAATCGCAAGCTAAACTAAGTAGTTGAGTTATTATCGAAACTGGGCCAATTGGCAGCCATTTGGTAAGACCCTCAAACCGATTGAACCCGCTGTCAGGCCTTGCTGGAAGTACGCCACCCCCATCCCTCCCCCCCCCCCGGCTCTAGGTTCACTGACATGCAAACTCGTTTCTCAGGACTTGGAGGAAACGGTCGAAAGAGCGATGAATGTGTGACAGACGGCCCATTCCGTGTTGGTAGTTGGAAGACAGCATCAGGCCATTGCTTGAAAAGGTCGTTCAACGGAAAACCACCAGATGCCGATGAAATCGCCATTGCGACCAAAGAACCAAACTTTGACAAGTTTGAAGTCATGGCCAGAATCACAATTCACGAGGGAATGCATTGCTTTATTAGTACGTATCTTTCATATTTTTGTGACAGGGGCAACGTGTCCCCAGAGGAACATCATTACAACCCTGTGTAAAAGCCTGATGAAAACCATCCACACTTAGGTGTCTTATAGACGAGTTACCCACTAAGAAATTTTCAAAATCTTTCGAGCCCTTCCACTCTTATTAGTTCCTCTCGCTTATTTAACTTTTGCGTAAAAAGTTGAAGAAAAAATAGTTTAAACAAAGCATTCTGCCAACACCTCGAAATTTGGCTACTTTTTGACAGGAGATTTTTTTACAAGCTTTGTCGTCATGATTTAGGCCTTACAGTCAGAATTTCACAGGAATCTCTGGTTGGCCGAAGTATCAAAAGTCCTTTTATGAATAGGGCATTTTGACACCACTTGCCCTTCCTATCAAAAGCCAACAGGGGCGTCTAACTCCCTTGCGCTCCCTTCTCCGACGTCCCTGCTATTCAAGGTGCAAAAAATGTTAACGTCCCGACCTTCTAACTGCGTCCGTATCTGTAGGGATGTCAAGTATCTACAAACCATCAATTGGTGAAATAGGATACATAAAATGTGAAAATTCTCCGGAACTGTGATCAAATATAAACAAGAGTATATATGAACATCAATCAAACATAACATAACACGAGACTACAAGTAAGCTTTAGATAATAAGCATAACATATTTTAACATAAAACCAGTAAGAGATCCACATAAAACAGCTAATTAAAAACGATGACGCAGAATAACATACAACAGAACACATTACTATTCGCAAGGAGTTCTTCTTTCTGTCATCAAGTGAACCAGAAATTGGCACCTAGCCGTTTAGAAACATCATTTTCTTCCAACCATCTTCGACGGTCTCAGTACTATGGTTTCTTAGTCTTTTGTCATCTAAGACCAAGGTTTGCCACAGACAGTCTCTTATAAAACGGCATACATACAAAATAGCAATCGTTTTACGACATTAAAGGAACTTATTATGATTGCTGTTTTCCCTCTGTTGATAGGGTATTCTCTAAAGAAAATGATTGTTCTCTTGAAACGGTGGTCTGTCACCAAATGTAACGAATGTGACTGGTTCTTCTTATGACCATGGTCTGTCATCAAATGTAATGAATGTGACTGGTTCTTCTTACGACGGTGGTCTGTCACCAAATGTAACGAATGTGACTGGTTCTTCTTACGACAGTGGTCTGTCACCAAATGTAACGAATGTGACTGGTTCTTCTTATGACCATGGTCTGTCATCAAATGTAACGAATGTGACTGGTTCTTCTTACGACGGTGGTTTGTCACCAAATGTAACCAATATGATTGGTTCTTCTTATGACCATGGTCTGTAATCAAATGTAACGAATGTGACTGGTTCTTCTTACGACGGTGGTTTGTCACCAAATGTAACCAATATGATTGGTTCTTCTTATGACCATGGTCTGTCATCAAATGTAACGAATGTGACTGGTTCTTCTTACGACGGTGGTTTGTCACCAAATGTAACCAATATGGTTGGTTCTTCTTATGACCATGGTCTGTCATCAAATGTAACGAATGTGACTGGTTCTTCTTACGACGGTGGTTTGTCACCAAATGTAACCAATATGATTGGTTCTTCTTATGACCATGGTCTGTCATCAAATGTAACGAATGTGACTGGTTCTTCTTACGGCGGTGGTCTGTCATCAAATGTAACGAATATGATTGATTCTTTATACAACAGTGGAATACCGGATGGTCATGGCCTAAGCCAGAAGGCCTGGACCGCGCACAGAAAGACTAAAGACTATTCTTCTGCTAATGTTCACTCTTTTGATCAAAGAGTAAACCTCGTGCATTCTAACAAGTCCTAGCACAGATCACACAGTATAAAAGCTTTACAAGGAACACTGCGAAAACAGTGACACATAATTGTCGGTAAGGGAGTTACTAACACATCAGCGGAGCAAACAAACATGCGACATTAACACGCAACGGAATCAAAGAGTCTAAGCACAATAATAACAATTATAAACGAAGAGTACAAATTCTTAAACGTTGTATGTTCCATGCTTTTGCATCTCTAAAGCAGAATGTTTTTTCCATTATTAGAGATTTTTCTTAGGCAGCCACGTGTCTTTATCTGAATTTGTATGTGCTGCGTAAATTTGAAAACAACCCTGTTCTGTGCACCTAAGTTTGTACTTTCCTTTCCAATTGCAAAAAAATCCCGTTAAATTAAAAAAAGGATTTTTCATTTTCCAGACGGAACGATGTGCTCAGGAAAGGCAGCAGAGGCTCCAGAGTTTTTCCTTCATCATGGATTTGTTGACAAGATGTGGGCCGATTACCAAAAGCAAGGATCCTATCACAAGAATGCGTTTTTCCCATCAATCAAAAAGAAAATGACTGTCACAAAATACTACCCCAAGGACTTGATTGACAACTTGAGCCTTCCTGGAGGCGTTCGCGTTGAATATCAAGACCCTACTACTAATTCAGCCAAGAAGATCAGGAATTTTTTGAGGGGTAAGTTTTCTGCTCGAAGGCCTATTCGTTTCACGCGGGGATTGCCCTCGCCTTCACCCTCGCCCTCGCTTTCACCCTCGCCCTCATCCTCGCCCTCACCAGCGCGCTCGCCGAATCATGTCTCGCCTGCTAAAGATAGGGAAAGGATTTACAGAAAAGTTGGTTCCTATCAGTTGCTGTTTTCTTGAATTAAAGGTCAAGTTGCTAGTGAAAACAAGGATTATTGCTGTTTGTTGTTTGTTTGAAAATTGGCTATAACCGCACGATTAGAAAAGCAAAGGTAAGGCAATCGTGAGTAGTTGATACCCCAATACCCCCCTCAGGTCCTGCAAGACCTTTCCTTTAACAAATATTGTTGGACAGGTGATCGCCCTGGTAAGCTCATCCACGCGGGCAGATCATCGCCTTGGTGAAAATTTCTTCACGAAATGGCCTGATACTTGTCATTATATGATATGATCCCAAGTATAATGTATGAGATCTGAAACATAGAATTTGATACGCAAGTGCAAGTGGAAGGGATGGATTTGGCAATATACAATCCTTGCCAAAAGTACTTGGAACACCCTGTGGTCAATTAAAGGTTTTGATGAAATATACATATCCAGCTGTAAGATACAGAAATCCCCCTCCCCCCAAAACAATGTTTATTGAAAGGCCTGTCACTTACCCTAGCTGCTAGAGTTACATTGGTTGAATTTCAAGCTTCGAAACTGTTGTTATTCAACATTGTTTCAAGGGGGAGTGAGGGAATGCTACAAAGCTTTTGCGAAAATTTAGCGAAGTCTACCAAGACTTTTGACAAACACTGTAGCTTTGCCCGTCGTGCATCGTATTTGTCGTTCGTTATCGTTAATTTGGATGTCTTTTGATGTTTGTGTAAGACCAGAGTTTTTGTCCTCGTGTAACCTCTTTTGTTGTTGTATTTAGTGGATTTGCGTTAATTGGTTTGTGTGCATCAAACCCTATTAAAAGCGTATAAGCGAAGCTTAAAAGCGTGGTTAAAAGCGTATGTTCTTTTAGTGCTCAGTCCACCAGTGGAATCAAAGTTATCGTCAAATCAAATTGTGATTTAGTAATTGCTGATTTAAAGAACGTAATCCCAAACTTTAGTCTGCTTACTGAACTTATTTTGCCCTGTAAAATACGTTGATTTGACAATATGTTACTTAAGGTACAAACAGTTGTCCACACTTCTCCCAGATAGTAAGCCAACTTTTGACATTCCTCAACCTTATATAAAACCTTCCTTTAAAGCGATAGAAATGTGGCGTAGGATGGGCGAAAAGATTTGCTGTTCCAATTCTTTCACCCCATCGCAAAGTTATTGGCAGTTCGAGTGGTCTAAAATGTCGTTGTTTGTTTTCTTATCAATTGCTATTTAATGTTCAGTTTCAACCAATTCCCTCCTCTGTTCTCTTTCTGATACAATCCTAAAAATATTTATGATTTCTCAAAATTCGTGATCGCAGAGCCGCGTGTCCCTTTTATCATTGCCAAGATTTTTTGCTTTTCAAATCGCTTTGACTCTCCTATCCTTTTCTAGTTCTGAGCTTCAAGCAGTTGGAACACCTTCAAAGATTGGCATTCTCACAGAATCCTGGCTCAGCAAAGAAGCTGTTTAATCTATCAGCCAATGAGCGAAAGTTTGCTGCTGGCCTTGAGAAAGAGTCAATGCAGAATGTTGATAGCAAACGACGTGGTCAAATCTTTGCAAGGACGCTCTCCTCCTTGGAGAGAGTTGAGGGATTCTCCATCCCAAGTTACTGCAAAAGCTAGACAAAGTCTATTGATGCAAGAAAGGAAGAATCTTGTTGAAACTACAGTTTGTAATCATTTTACTTGTATCGTTTAATTTGCTTGCATATTTAATTTTTTCCTTTAAAATCTTGTTTTAATCGCTTTTTGCCACTTTAATCAAATGATTCTATATTATGTTGACATTCCAATGAAGCACTGCATGGACAGGGTCCAGTTTTGCGTATTTTCTTATAGGCCAGTTCAGGCCTTTCTATCAAATGAGGGTAGTTGGAAAAGCTCTTCTCCGGTCTTGATTGGTCATTCCTTAATGTTCCAAATTACCATTTAAAGCGTCAAATTGACCAATCACTAAGATCTTGAATACATTTTCAATATGTAGTGACAATTCTTACAGCAAGAACTCTAACGGGAAAGCTTTGAGGGCAGAAATGAAATCGAGCATGTTTCGAGCCCGGTGAGAAAGACCGGGTAATTTTTTGTTATTTTCATCCAGCTAGATAGGATGTGTATCTCAGTAATTTAGCATAAATTATCATATGATAATTGCATAAACAGGGTAACTGAACACGCAAAGTGGCATTTTCATTTCCAAAACATTAACAGAAGGTTTTGTATAAAGTCAGTATTGTATTTTATTGATTTTGATTAAGTAAATAAGCGAATCTTGCATGGCTGCAAGAGTGAGGTTTTACCTAAACATCTGTCTCTAAAGCCCCGGCCAAACGTCCGATTTTTCACTCGATTTTTTACTCGACAAGGAATCGAGTGAAAAATCGAGTCGTTTGGCCACCTTATCGAGCAAGTCGATTGGCGTCGAGTGATGTCGAGTGAAGTTCGATCTCTATAAAAAATGTCGAGTGAAAATCGAATCGTTTGGCTACCTTGTCGTGTGAGTCGAGTGTGCGCGTGCGCAGTTATCATCTCTTATGCTGGGCAGGGAAGGATACTACCCTGGGGCCTCGAGGTCAAGGGGACCTTTTTCAAGTGATGAATTCCATTTTAAGAATGGAATTAATCAAAAGAGACAAAATTTTGCCTGAAAATTGTAATTTGCTTCGAAATAAGTACTTAATGGCGGTTCCTGCATTAAACGAACGACATGGTCTTATTTCGCTTGCGTTCGTCAAGAGATTGTGAAAGGATATTTGCACGTAAGATAAACAAGGCGACCGATTTGCGTCTCTTTGCCTTCATTTTGTTGGCGTGAGTGAAAAGTCGAGTGAAAAATCGAGCGAAAGATCGAATCGTTTGGCCAAGGCTTAACAGTTCTTTCAAAGCAATATAATTATACGGACAAGCAAAAATGGCAACAAAAGCATTGCCACATTAAGATTATAGCAGCAGCATTTTTGTCGAGATTTTAACATAAGAGCCTTCTTGCTAACAATAAAATCGCTTAATTCGCAGTTACATGGCCTAAATCCAGAAATGATACTTGATATTAGCTAAAGAAAAAATTCCTTGCGGATAAAGTTATCAATAAAACTTGCCACCCGTAAAATTTTAATAGACATTTGATTGTAAAATTATTGCCCAAAATTGTTTCAAACGGAAAACCCGCAAAGAAGCACAAGCAAGGGGTGACAAAATTTATGTCGAATAAAGTGGGAATGCTCAAGTTCATAGGAGAACTAAATTTCAATGCATAAGACCAAGCTACATATAACACAGCATTCCTTAAACGGCCTGGTAAACATACCTGGTAGCCAGTAGAGGAACTCATACTTCGTCAGTCACCATTTCATAAGCAAGCTTGTGCCAAAACAGTTGCGAGAAGAAAACAGCGTGGAAAGAGCCTACCAAACAAGCACGATAAACCTGACCCAAGGCAAAATACACTCTTCTGAGTCAAGGGACCGATATTTTCGTGCAGAAACCCAATCATTCCCAAAGGCATAAAAGACAGCACATAACGGATAAATACAATAATGAAAGCACCGCAATTGACATACCAATGAGAATAATACTATCCAACTAAAATAAAAACCCCTAAGGAATTCAATTTATACCACATGAGCCTTTGCGAGCGTGGCAAATTGTCCAGGCGACGATCCAAACAATGGCAGTAAACTTCTACGGATTAAGCAAAATTGATTTCAGACTGTCTGAAAATGCAGTATGGGATGCTTTCGTGGCGCAATGGCTCATTTTAGCAATGAGTCTTTAAGTGTGATAAAATTTCTTTTGATCAGTAAGAAAATCTCGTGAAAAAATCACTGATAGTGAGAGAAATTCAATTTTGTTGCCAAACCAAGCAATGTCTTTCTTCGTGTACATTAGGGTTGTTTTCAAAGTTTTGGGCACTTTTCATACTCTGAGGTCGTTGAAGATATTCATGAATCCAATAAAAACCACGACAAGTCTACCAGGAACGAAGGATAGCCTTTTCATAAAAGGTCAGCTACACAAAAAGGGTAATACAGCTGACAACAGACCTGGATTCCTCTTATCCACGATGAAAATATCCCCATTCTTTACATATTACTACTAATTATAAAATCTCTAGTAAAACATAAAATTTTGCTATAGTGACAAAGTTAAATCATATTTTGTGAAATTATCAGTTGTCAAGAGATATCTGCGCAAGGGTTTCTTATAATTCGTAGGTGAATGTCAACCCTAGGCCGTCAAAATGCTCCGCTACAGCCTCGTCAATCCGTTTATTCATATCTTCTGTGAAATAGTTCTTCCAGTCACCAACCTCTCCTTTTCTTATAAAGCCACCTCCCTCTATGTCATTGAAGATAATGTCTCTAAAGGCCTCAAGGTTGACGGATGGGTTCACTTTCATACTGCCAAAACTTAAATGCTCTTCCAACTGTCTTTCTTCCTCCTTGGACAATTGGATTTGCAAAAAATCGGCAACCTTACCAATGCATGATTTAAGATCTCTCTTCATCTCTTCGTAAAAAAGTACACACACATTTGGGTGGTTTCTCCTTTTCCAAGCCTCTTTTGTGTACTCCCAGTAAGGACCCCAAGCAACATGGCCGTTCATGAAGTTATCAAAATATGCTGCAAAATCGCCAGTAAAATCAAATAATTTGAGCAGTCGTTCGTGGTGGTAGTAGGAGACAATTGTGTCTTTAGGGTTGCGTATGACGATAAAAACTTTGCTCTTCTCTAGCATGTCTTCTGGCATCACATCAAAGCACAAATGAGACCTGATTGTTCTTGGCGATTCCATTTTGTTAACCTAGAAAGAAGGAATGACTGATGAAAGAAAGGAAAATGTTTCACGTAATAAGAAATGTGTTATTTGAGAAAGTTTTTATTGGCTTTATCGAGAAAGGAAGAAAAACTACTTTATGCCGCCTGGAAAACTGGCAAATAATCAATCTTTCTATGTAAAAATGTTGATCTTTGAATCGAAAAATGTCGACTGCTTTTATTCCATATTCTATAATCAAACACGTTTTTTTGATATGATTTTTCTTTAAATTAGCTGCTTGATTCATCTATTGAAAATGCAAATAATTAACGAAAAACTTTTGACGTTACAAAATTTCAAAAGGGTGATGGAGAAAAATTCAAGCATTGACTGTAGGGTAAGATAGAGGAGCAAGTTTTTTCCAATGTAAGAGGAAAGAGCTCGTGTTTTTAATTGACCTATTTCTATCCACAACCGCGGATAAACATTCTTGTTTGACTACATCAATCCTAATTCAGACGTGCTATACTCTGAGGAAAGTCAGAGGAAAAGCTTCATTTTGCTTTGACATGTCCTCTTTTTCAAAGCCATGTACAAATAGTTATGAATGATTGGGATTATAAAAGCTAACTAGAAAGCTAAAGAGCACGAGTCCCTTAAAAGTTGAACAATTTAAAAAACTGTGTATTTTCTGACAAATCATTGCGGTACGTTTGGCCAAGTCAACATTTCATTTCTAATTTATATATTGATGTAAGAATGAAAAAGCCAAATATGCTATTAGTACTACCTAAACAAAGACAATGACTTATGGCGATTGTTAATCATGCGGGCCCAATTCACCGTTAGCGCAAATACCACAAAAGTACGGTTCCTATTCTGTGGTACCGTGACCACAGGATCTGTGCCGCGGCGTCGCTTCCTGACAAAGCTTCAATATTTCATTCCGAAACGAGGCCTTGTGACAACTCTGGTCTCTTGCAGGCAATGGTAAGTAACTCATTTAAAAGTGATGGTTACAAAGGCTTAAATACGAGCCTGCTACTATGGCCGAAATACAGACACTTCAACTACAATGCAACCAGGAGACAAGGCCTTGGGCTCAATAAACAAGATTTTTGGAAAAACTACTGATAAACTTAATCCCTATTGTTGATAGACAAAAAGGATTAAGCTTGTCAGTAAGCAAATGCTGATTTTCCAGTGCGCCCATCAAAATTGCCACTGCCACAAGATTCACTTTAATGACGGACTTCTCTGGTAAATAATCCGTGAATTGGACCAGAGAAAGAACACACTGCTTATAACATGCAATAATCTTGCGCTGAAAGTTATGTTTTGTTTAAATCTGGTCGGTTACTTGAAATATATGATTCAAAAACGTCCAATATCTGTATCACCAGACTGTGTCAAATGTTTCAGGCACGCCGGAGCAAGAGGGGCTGGGGGGTTGTAGCCCCCCACCTTTTATCTGAAGTATTATATCAAGGTTTGAAAGGTTTGCAAACTTTTCTGCTCTAGGGGTGATTTGTCTGTTAATTTTCAAACTTCTCGGCAAATGGGGGTAAATGGGGGCCTGAACATTCCTTTGAGCACAATAGCTAGCGACTTCACTGTTTCAACCACGTAGCTGTAGATGTCGGCTAGGGTGGGAAAACTCGAGCAAGATCCATACCTGAGGGGGAGGGGCAGGTTTTAAAACAAGAAAGCAGAAAGCACAGCTCCAGGTGCCCCACATACAGCTACGTGGCTGCCCTGCATACACCCTAATAATTCGAGAAAAAATCAAGAAAAATCAAGCCTGAATTAAAGTTTCGTGGTTTGATATTCAAGAGAGACGAAACAAATTTTTTAAATGGCTTTGGAAAAACAAACACTTTAAAACACACTTATTCCAAAAGCTTCTCGTCTGACATATGTTCAAAGTATAAAATATCAGAATATCAAGCCATTTTTAAGTTATGTACCACCAATAAACTTTTTGCAAAATTATTTCGAAAGAGACTGCCTTCCTCCCTTACTCTTTATGGTACCTATATAAGGCTTTAGGGTACCTGTTTCAAAATATTTGTATATTCTTCAAGCGGTAAGAGATTCTTGAAAGCTTCCGCCATAAATACAAAATCAATGAAAGGGAAGCGGAACTGAGCTGGAACAGATTTGGCTGCAGCAAAATTGCATTTGTTCCTAATGCACCAGACCATCTCTGAAAGCCAAACACTTCCATTCTTCGGCCATCCAAACACGAAGACATCGTCTGAGCGAACACTGAAGTTTGCAAAACCATCCTTGTACTTCTCAAACGTGTAAGCAAGGATTTGGTTTCCCGGTACCGTTCTCACATACCTCTGGCCATGATCTCGATGAGCTTTGTAAAGTTTTCTTAGCCTCTCATCTTCCTCTTCCGTCAATGGGATGGTTTTCAAACTCGACATTTCTTAGGAAGATCTCTCGATTTATGCAATAGAGGACAGAAGTCATAAATCACTTAGCTTAGCGGCCTCCTGAAAATGTGCTCAGCAAGCAGCTACAACCGCCTTTTTTCAATGTTGACAGGTGATTTGTATAAACGGATGTTGTTTTTTGACGTTACACAATGAGAATCTGGCATGAAAGCATTGTTATTTTTCCCCAGGGTTTTTTCCGTTCTTTCTTTTCTTTCCTTTTCCGGAACTTCGTGAAAAGTTGCTGTTGCTGCTCTTGTCAACATCAATTCAGTTCAATTCCACTCAGTCCAGACACATTCTCCATGCCAGTGGTGGAGCTGAGGTGGGGATAAAAACTGAAACATAACACTTTATTTTATGGTTTTTGGTAATGCTTTCTTATTTTCTGATTTAATTTATTCATTTATGAGCAGATGGGATGCAAATTTTATTTGCTAAGTGAATCGTTCTGGTTGCTAATTAATTGAACTGTACAGCATGCTTCCTTACTCTCTAATGTGAGTAAGTAAAGCTGGTCCAGCCAAATGACATTACACGTCCAGTGGTACCTTCCTGCTTTTGAAAGTCACAAAATTCTCTCAGTTTTTGTATGCCTAACGCTGACCAGGTAGTAATTTCGGTAATTCAAGGCAAACCCTTGTTTAGAGCTTGTGGTTATTTTCAAAACCCTTTTTATTTCAGTTAAGTGCAGTTCATATATTTTAAATTCCACCACATACAGTTTATACATAACTTACTATACTAGCAAATAACTAAACTGCAAGGAAATAAGACAATATTACAGAAAATTTATACAATACCGTAAATCCGCGAATAATCCCCCATGCACAAATAAGCTAATGTGTTGCATACAGGCTCAAGTTATCCCAGATTGTAGGGCACATGCACACACAATGGCACCATAGTGCTGTACATCAAAATGTGGAATTTTACATCAAATTTACAGTAGCATTTTTATAGGAAACTTCTGTTTACATGCCATATGCTAGGTAAAAGGGGGTTTGCACACATAAAAAGTGCAGAAATGTCTATGCATACAGGAGATCTCGTCTAAAACTGCCATACTCTGCACACTGGCAGCCAACAGGTTTCTGCTGAGACATTTACAAAAAGCAAAATTTGAAATGCTATTCAGCTAAGAGTTTTCACCTCCAACCTAAAGCCACCATCATGTTTTTTCAGACAACACTGTATGATGAATCAACTCATAAGACCAAAAACAGCACAGCTCAGAAATATCACCTCATATATGCCCAGAATGTACTCAGCAGCAACTGGTGTGAAGAAAAAGGCTGTAATATTTGATATGGGTGGAGTTCTATTGCCATCACCTTTACCATATTTTGATCAGTATGAAGAACGGTATCGAATACCATCAAAAGAAATAACAAAACTTGTTTTGAGTGGAGCGCAATCAGGTATGATATCACTTTTATTGAATTTAATGTTGATTTAATTAATTCTCTGTTTAGCAACAAAATGAAGATGGAACATCTCAAGCCCCCATTGTTGAAGCTGCTGCTTTATATCAACCAAGCTATCTCTTTGTGCTTCATTTCTCCTATTATCATTTTTGATCCACCCCTTCAATGTAAGGAATAAGTTATAATTGTGTTAAGTAAAAACACAATTTTAGAATAAGTACTTTAGTTTCGTTTGGAAAAAGAAATGTTTGAAAGTGTTTCTGGTTATTTTTCGAAACTTTTCATGAGTTTCTACTTTCTTAGTCCATAACAAGCAATATTTTTCAAAACTGAGTAGAGGTCTGCATGCCCAGACTTTTAGATTAATTTAATTTTCTTGTTTAGCAGTGGCAGAGACCTGGGGAAGTGAGGGGGGGCAGTCACCCGCTCAATATTTTGGAAGACAATGGTCTTTTTGTTTTAAAACACTGGGAAAGTGTAAAGTCATCTTATCAAAATGGGCTTGCCCCCCACCCCCCAATATTAGACCAAGTGTCCCTCCCTGTTGTTTAGCATGATATCTAACTTATAGCTACTACCATTATTTGTATTTCTACCATCCCCACCATTCCCCCTTTCATATTCATTCCTGTTTTATGATTGCTGTTATTTCTTTGTTAATTCAACTTTTTAACTGGACTGCAGAGTCTCGTTCTTTATTTATCTTTTTTTGTTTCCACACCTTGTCAAACTCTGCTTGCAGAAAAATATTTAGTTTCATAGTTCACTGTGACAAAAATGAATTTCTAGTCTATTCTATACCATGTTTTCCATATTATTAGAAACTTGGATCAACACTAAGTAGAAAAAATTCTTAATTTGGCATCCCAATTTTCATGTCTAAAGTTTGCTTAGATTGTTAATTATTTCAGGAAAATTCCCAAAATAAAGACTTTTTGACTCTTTTCTTATAATGGAATTTTACATTTCTTAAGTTTTCTCAAGCCTAGTACTATTATTTCTTAATTTTTAAACCAGTTTCTTAAAAATGAAAAAAGTGTATCTTGGTACTTTGAACCTTTAAATAATTTGAATCTTGAACTAAAAGGTTTAAAGGCAATCAAGAAACACTACGAAAAGGCAAAGTGATCCATAAACAAAACTATTTCCCAATCAATGAACATGTACTCGCATAATACAAGCTTCCACAAAGAAATAACTCACCTTTCCTGCCATCAATTTTCTAGCCTTTCTTGACTGCTTATGTCTGCACAAGAAAGTTATAAATTCTTTTTATTTTGTATCTCATGATTGGCTAATGATTTCTAATTTTTTTCACTAGGTATTTGGGGCCAGCTGGAGCGTGGAGAATGTACTGCTTTAGAGTATAAAAAGCTGTTTGAAGACCTTGCACAGCAAAGCTTTGGAAGGCACCTTCCAGAAGACATTGTTATAAGAATGATTGAACAAACAGCAATTTCACAGCCTTTCTCAAATATGATGGATGCAGTTCAATGCCTCAAAGCAGAGGGAGTAAAGACTGCGATTCTTACAAATAATTTCTTTGTCAGAGAGAATGAGTCTTTCTTACCTATGGATCAAAGTCTTTTCAATGTGGTTAGTGGCATTAAAGTTTTCTTTGTACAACTTTAACACAAGGTTTTTGCTGGCAACTCAAGTTTGAGTTGTATTAAAATCTTAATAGACAGGGTAGCAACCTGCCTAACCGAAAATTTTAAATGTTTAAATTATGAGAATTAGTTCTCTATTTATAAGGATACAAGAAATTCAAAATAGACAGAAGGAATACAATACGATACATTACAATACAATGCAATACAATACAATACAATACAATACAACACAACACAACACAATACAATACAATGCAACATAACACAATACAATACAATACAATGCAACACACACAATACAATACAATACAATACAATACAATACAATACATAACAATACAATACAATACAATACAATACAATACAATACAATACAATACAATACAATACAATACAACACAATACAATACAATACAATACAATACAATACATAACAAATATTTAAATTCAAAACCAAATTCCAACATTCTGCAACATTAAGTAGGCTACATTTATGCAAACTTTGTTTTGAATAAATGTCCTTAGAATTCCAAATGGTTTCTTATAAGTGATGGTCCTAAAGAAATGGTTTCTTCAAAAGGTTTGCATTCAACAAATATCTTATTAATCTTTGGCCCTCATTGCAAAAAAATTAATAACAAGGGTTATGGTATATCAATACTTAAAATATTTGGTGTTGTCTCATTTGACTAAAAAATTTTTAGTTGGTCTTCTTCAAAACAAACCTGTCAATCAACTAACCAGCTCCTCCAATCAGATCCAATCACTAATCACAACTCTCTAATCACCAAAAGGTATCTGTTGGTAACCAAACACCAAGATATCAGCAGTGCTGAAAACAGAGTATATTGCAAGCATGAATTTTTTACGACACACTCTTTACATAGGCTGCATTGGAAACAACTGTTCAAGCACATCACATCTTTTGATGGCTTTAACCTATTCAGAAATTTTCTCAGAAAAATATATTTTTTCAATGATTTTCTTGTTTTCTTGACTTTTAGGATGCGTTGTGATTGTCTCTGATAAAGTATTTCCAAACCAGCTGTACTTTTTAAAATAACACAGAAAAGGGGAAACTGCAAGCTAAAGTACTTTTTTACCAAACTCCTCATAGCATTATTGTCAGACGTACCAAAAAATCAGTAGAATTTAATATCCAGATACGTATTGAAAGTAGCATGAGAGTAAATTACTGCGTTGTTTTATTCCAATTTTCGACCTATCAGCCATAGGCGTAGACTTGCATTTTTTCAGGGGGGGGGGGGGCTCAAAAAATTAATGACAATTTCTAATGGCAGCTGCTGGAGTCACAGGATAGAAAATGGATTAGCTAAGGGCTTAAAGGTGATTTTTTCGTGCATTTTCATTATCGAGGAAGAATAAACGCACATGAGATGATGGAAAGTGTATTTTTAAATCATAATCAGTTTCTTTAGGTTGAGATCATCAGTTCTATTTAGGCACCCAAAATGTTTATGCGTGGAACCAATAATATAACAAACTAATCTAAAAATTGGTGAAGCACTTCCTTATTTTCCAGGGGGGGGCTCAGCCCCCCCCCTCGGTTTTCCTCAGGAGGGGCTGAAGACCCAGAGCCCCCCCCCTAAGTTTACGCCTATGCTATCAGCGGTTCCTAACCACACATACATAGTTGGCAGAGTCCAAAACAGAAACTGAACTCTTTCTGTCTACACTTACTGGGATCTTTTGTTTTGATTAAGACAGCTTTTTGAAGCAGCTTTTTTTTAGTTGTTTATCTATGACTTTGATAAAAAAACATTTGAAATTTACTAGAGCTTTGCGTCTGACACTCAGAAGACTGATACTCTGAAGAGTGTCAGAAGAAAAGGTTTAGCGTGTTCCAAAAGGTTTCCTATCCAAAAGCCATTTTAAACTTTTGTGCCACCAAGCTTCGATTATTTATTCATTTCATTCAAAGGTTGTTGAGTCCTGTAAAGAAGGTGTCAGGAAACCAGACCCTATAATTTACGAACGAACATTAAAAAGGCTGAATGTTGAAGCTGAAGAAACAGTTTACCTCGACGATTTGGGGCAGAATCTGAAACCTGGAAAGGAGCTGGGAATGCATACAATAAAGGTTGTGTGTTGATTTATTTTGTGTAAGAAAACAACAGTGCTATTTTCTTTCCTTTCATTTCTTTTTTCTGCTTGCCAAGGGTTGACTTGCCTTTGATGCAACCGAAGTCCATTTTTCCGTTGAACAAAGTTGCTATTTTAACCTGAATATAATCTTTTATCGTTTCACTGTAATTGTATTCCTATTCATAACACACTTGGCTTTGATACCCCATACTTTACAACTCTGGACACGTTTGTAGACATACGGCTCTAGTGGCAATTTTTGTGACTGCTTTTATTTCGTAGGTGTCTGACACCCGTGATGCAATCCGTGAGTTGGAAAATATATTTGGGATTCCCCTTCAAGGGTTCATTCCTGGTACAGTTGCTGTAAGAGCTCCGCATCAACTCAACGAAGTAGCTTTGAAGAAATATCTTCGCGAGAAGTTAAAACTCAAGAGTGACGGTGATCATCACGCCTTTTGAATTTTATTTAGCTAAGAGAATTAATCATTATATACACTCATCATAGGTCGACAGTGTAAATGAGTCATACTCCTCAACTATTTTTTGTATAGGTTTTTAGATTCAGGGCATGTTTCATTGATCATACATCAAAAGTCTATGAGTCATACTTCTCAAGTATCTGTTGTTTAGAATGTTCGGCTCAGTTCATTGATGTTTATTTTTAGACGTCCAGACGCTAATTTTACAGCACGGTTCTGTTCCTCTCCTTAGTTGTGACGATTCTATTCTTGGAACAACAAAGAGGTGTTCTTTAAGTAAAAATGTAGTAAACTTGTTACCACATTCTCCGCAGTCACAAGTGCAAAAACGCTCTAATTATTTTAAAGCCTTTAAGTATATTATGTATTTTATGTAAGCCGATAAGTGATCTGTTATACTGCTTAACACTAATGTAGGATGTCATATCAATAGAATATCTAAGCGAGATGAATATTATGTCTTGCAAAAGAAACTTCTTACCCGCAAGCTGGTAAGATAGCCCTATCTCGAGGTCACTGATAGAGCAACTGCTTTTTTTAAAATGGGAAATAAATTCAAGGTGGCTGTATAAAGTATATCAGATGCCCTTTTTCGAGTAGCTTACCCTGTCCTTCACTCTTTCAGGTCACCCAATGACTATACGAAAGTTCAAGCACGGGCAGTCAAACCCAACATATTACCTGAAGTTTGGTGGAAAAGAACTTGTATTGCGAAAGAAGCCTGTATGTTTCTTTAAAGTTATATCATCTTTTTGCCTTGCAGAAATAGTTTTTTAGAAATGCAGCTTAGAGGGGTATGCTTGATTGGTTTGATGGGTCAGGAATTAAGTTGAATATTGAAGTTCATTGTGTCAATACACAACGCAAAACCGCAACCGCAGTGCGCAGCATAACTTCACTACCCAGCAGAACCGTAGCGCGCAGCAGAACTGCAGCGCGTAGCAGAACCACAGCGCGCAGCAGAACCACAATGTGCAGTAAAACCGCAACCCGCAGCAGAACTGTAATACGCAACAGAGCCATAACACACAAGCAGCGTTTGTTATTGCCCACTTGAAGCACGCAACAGTTAGTCCTAACAGCAGTCCTGTCCTAAATGCTGAGATACTTGGCTGCGTTGGGGCTCTTGTAGATCTAACTCCAATGATAACACTCAAACCTTAACACGAATCTAAACGATAACACACAAACCTTAACACGAACCTAAACGGTAACACTCAAACCTTAACACGAATCTAAACGATAACACACAAACCTTAACACGAATCTAAACGATAACACACAGACCTTAACACGAATCTAAACGATAACACACAAACCTTAACACGAATCTAAACGATAACACACAAACCTTAACACGAATCTAAACGATAACACTCAAACCTTAACACGAATCTAAACGATAACACCCAAACCTTAACACGAATCTAAACTTTATCAAGCGTGCATGGAAATGCATTTGCCGTCTAGGAAAGCGTCTGGAAAAAAGAAAACTTTCATCGTTGACACGCAGCATTACCGTACCATTGATCTAGATCTTTTGCAACTTGCCTGATGACCAATATCTTTGGCTACGCATCTCCAGTATCCCGTATTTTTTCATGTAAAATGAAATTCAATAGAATAAATTAACCACCACTAATACTTAATTACCTTTCACGCCTCATAGACGATAGCATTTTCTTCTGAGGACGATATTCAAGGTGAAAAAGCATTCAATCGGATGGCTGATGGCAAAAGCTTTTTGCGTACACCTCTTCCTTCCACTATCCTTAGGCCATAGTAATTAGTTATTATCCTTCTGTTTCAGCCTGGAAAGCTGCTTCCATCTGCTCATGCCATCGACAGAGAGTTCAGGTAGATCGATATTCAAATACTGCAGTGTTTGTGTTGATCGAAATCTAAACTTCAGAGCAGTATGCAAGTGTCAAGGAACCAATAAAGGGGGTGGGGGGGGTGTGGAGCGTTCGATTCAAATCAAAACAATCAGCCTTAGACTACAATTTTGATGCTTGTAAAACGTAGCATTTGATTTATTTTGTGCGACCCTTGTTCAATATTTCCTGACTAGTCCGATAAAGAGTTTATTTTTGCAGCAACATTTGTCTGAATAAAACTCAAAAGTTTGACTAATTACCTACCAATACGACCTTACCATTAGCCCTATACCCAAGCTCTTTCGAGAACACAAACTATATTGACGGCATCGTTTAGACTCCTTAGGTCCTTAGTATGGCTGGATCGACCCCCATTCTCTGTTTAGGCCTATATTGTCTTGTCAAGAAATTGCATCTTTCTCCTTGCAATTCATACGCCTTTCCGGATACCCTTCTCTTTAGCGTAGGACTTTGGAAGTTGCAATGCCTTTCCATGAGACTTCAAACAGTGATGAAACAATGAATAGATTAAGAAATAAATGTTCATTTATTGTTTCATCTTTCATACTGACAGTCTCTTGTTAATTTTCTTTCGGTTTTCAGGGTGATGAAAGCTGTAATGAATGCTGGTGTCCCGGTTCCAAACTGTCTTGACTTATGTCTGGATGAAAGGTTTGCTTTTTACAATGGCCTAAATTTATTGTGTTACTCTCATCCTTTCAATTCAATCCTTTTGGCAACAGCGGCCATTCTTGTTTTTTATATCATGCTCATCCAAATTGTATTCCATCCCACATGTCCTGCTTCCTCTTGACCGGAAGCTGAAACTTCTAACATCTATTTCTCGCATTTAGAATCATCGGCACACATTTTTATTTGATGGACTACATGAGAGGAAGACTGTTCAAGAACGTCGCCTTGCCTGGAATCTCACCGGATGAAAGACAGGTTTCAACTTTCTTGCAGCTGTTTCATTTTCTCCTTATTTGTCCAAAAAGAATTACAAAATACATTTTTCGTGTGATGTGTTGGTAATCGACTTTTCTTATATTTTTCTAAAGGCAATATACACTGAGATGAACCGAGTTCTTTCTAGAATTCATACTGTCAAGCCCGAAGCAGCTGGTTTGGCTGACTTTGGCAAAAAAGGTGATTGTATTTATGTATTTATGAATAATTATGAATTTACTTTTGAATATATCGAACAGTCAAAGTAAAATGCTGGAGGAAAGCTGGAAGTAACCGTGACCACATTTAGGCCCTTTGCTACTTCTAGGCCCTAGAATATACCAGGACTCAATGCCTGAATTTGGTCAAGTAAGGGACATATAGCCTGTTCTTGGTTTACTTTAACTCTGTTATGTGACAAACATTTCACCCGGACAAAGCAGGACTCTACATTTGGTCTAGTGAATGACATATAACCTATTCTTGGTTTACTTTTCCTCTGTTATGTGACAAACATTTCACCTAGACAAAGCAGGACTCTACATTTGGTCTAGTGAATGACATATAACCTATTCTTAGTTTACTTTAACTCTGTTACGTGACAAACACTTCACCCGGATAAAGCAGGACTCAGTGTCTGAATTTGGTCTAGTGAATGACATAAAACCTGTTCTTGGTTTACTTTAACTCTGTTATGTGACAAACACTTCACCCGGACAAAGCAGGACTCAATGTCTGAATTTGGTCTAGTGAAGGACATACAACCTATTCTTGATTTACTTTAACTCTGTAATGTGACAAACATTTCACCCGGACAAAGCAGGACTCTACATTTGGTCTTGTGAATGATATATATCCTATTCTTGGTTTACTTTAACTCTGTTATGTAACAAATACTTTACCCGTACATTAGTGTATATAGCATCTAAGCTCATATCATCTTGATGAATTTCAGGTTCATGTGCCAGATCAATATATAAATGTTATTGCTTCTTATCGACAATACCCAACTACTTTATACCTATTGTAAAGAACAGGAATGCTCTTGATTATAAAGATCCTTTTTCAGTGGTTTCAGTACAATGATTGCCAACTCGCCTGTTTAAGCGAAAGCCAGTTTGACTTGAAATATATCAAGGCTTCATGTAGCTCTTGAAAATTCAGCTCCGTATGCAACTCTTATCTGGCAAATATGACGTCTTACATTATCTGTCAATATTTCAAATTTTATATAAATGTTTCTTCAATGTCTTAGGGAGCTACATCAAACGACAAGTGGAACGATGGGCTTCACAATATGAGGCCTCGAAGACGCATGAAATCCCATCTATGGACAAGTTAATCAAATGGCTTAATACTAACATGCCAGAAAGTCATTCGGATCATGTGGTTCACGGGGATTTCAGGTTAGTTTTTGCCCTAAGCAAGGGACATGGATTGCAAGGGACATGTTTCCCTTAGATTGCTAGCAAATTTTTTCTAGATTTCTCATTAACAATAAGAGATGTGTCTTATTTATCTAAATTAGAAACAGATTCTCCTCCCGGGTATCGCCGTTGAAGAAATGCATTTTAGATGACGTCAGCAGTTACCATTTGGGTTTTCATAGCCCTACATTCTATTTTATTCATGTTTTTACTTTTCTCTAAGTATTTCTGATTATATACGTATTTTCAATCTCTTTATGCTAAATTATTTTACAAAAATAACACATTTTTATAACTTTTCGCTAAAATCCATCACGTATTAAGGAGGGTGTCCTACAGAGTTTCTAAAGCACAATCGATCATCGAGGGACAGTGCATATCAATACATAAGAAGACTGGCTGTTCTTTATATACATCAGGGGAGGCTACACCTTCTTGTGGTACCCCGTTATGGCTTCTACTTTTGCGATATGTTGAGAATATTTCATATTTATATGATATCTAACTTCTTCACCTTCGTGTTCATTCCACCAATCTATTTCATTCTAGAATCGACAACATGATATTCGATGAACACAGCCCAAAAGTCAAGGCTGTTCTTGACTGGGAATTATCGACTCTCGGCGATCCTCTCTCAGACCTTGCTTACAACTGCATTGCATATTATTTAAGCCCAAAGTTCCCAATCCTCCCTGGCATTGCAGGCCTAAACTTGAAAGCTGAAGGCATCCCTACCGACATTGAGTACATGAAGGAATATTGCAGAAATGCTGGAATACCTCCGGTAGAAAACTGGGATTACTACCTTGCGTTCTCCTTCTTCAGAATAGCAGCCATCTTGCAAGGTGTTTATCAGAGATCACTTAAAGGTGTGTTTTAAACCTGTTTGTGAAGAAGTTTTTATCTTTAAAAATGCAAACCTTTTGAAACATATGAAAGCTTTTCGTCTGACACCCTTCATTATGTAAAGCCTCATTGATCGAAAACTCCAGGCTTTGATCTTTTACTAAATTTTTATACTTTGAAGTGTGTCAAAATTGCATTTTGCAATTTTTATATCTTATTTTGTCGCTAGAGCACAGTCTTTTTTCCTTTACAGAAGTAACAAATACTTAGATCGTAACTAATATCTTAAAAGATCTTGATTTATATTGGTAAACTTTGGTATGATATTCTTAAAGACCTTGCTTGTTCCGTGTGAAGAGAACGTTAAGAGAATCCTGGTCATTTTAAAAGATTCCAATCAATTTGCAGTGGATTGAGCTGTATCTGAAGACATAAGTATATTAAATATCTATAGATGTATAGGAGAGTTCTCTTATAAATTGGTTGCCTATTTGTTGATGTGTCTTTATATAAATGATACCATTTCTAAATCATCAACTAGCAACAACCCAAGAGACAGGCTTTTGCAGCCTACTCTGCCTCCCCTCCTATCCTCCTCCCTTCCTCCCCTACTCCCCACCTCCCCACCTCCTATCCTCCCCTCTTCCCTTCCTTCCCACCCCCTTCCTCCCCTCCTCCCCCTTCCTCCCCTCCTCCAGACCTTCCCTCCTTCCCATCTCCCCCTCCTCGCCTCCTCCCTTCCTCCCCTCCTCCCCTTTCCTCCCCTCCTCCCCATTCCTCCCCCTTCCTCCCCATTCCTCCCCTCCTCCCCCCCTCCCCTCCTCCCTTCCTATCCTCCTCCCTTCCTCCACCTCTCCCCTCCTCCCTTCCTCCCCTCCTCCTTTCCTCTCCTCCTCCCTTCCTCCCCTCCTCCCTATCTCCCCTCCTATCCTCCTCCCTTCCTCCACCTCTCCCTTCCTCCCCTCCTATCCTCCTCCCTTCCTCCACCTCTCCCTTGCTCCCCTCCTATCCTCCTCCCTTCCTCCACCTCTCCCCTGCGCTACATTTTTGTACATTTATGTCAAACTGTTTTCTATTTTGACTAACAGAATGCACTGGATATTTTGAAAATCTTGGCTGCCCGTTATCTCGAACTTTGGCTATCTCCAAAGTTTTTCCATTTTTCCTTGTTTTGATGTAATGTTTTCAATAGAAACGTCATTGGCCACCTAAACTACCCATAATGAGGACTTTTTGCAGTTGTATTTTGATAAAGTTATGCATTATTTATCTTCTGGCTTATTCAGCCCCCCTCCCCACCCACCCCAATCAGCGTTTTTTTCGGAAAATTCGGGCTTTTGTAAGATAATTGACAAAGGTCTAACTTGCTGAAAGCCCATCCAAGATGTTTTCTTATCAGAAAATCGTGTGCCTTAACCCCCCCCCCCCCCCCCCCCTTAATTAAAGACTAAATTTCCGCCACTTTGGTTATCAAGCTTTAATTGATTGCTGCCACTTTCAAACACACTGGGTACTGGGCTTTTATAGACCACTTGCCCCCTTATCTGACCTTATCGACCATTGTCCATTCGTTGAATTAACATCACATATTATCCCCCGCATAACAACTGCAACATCCAGGAAGGAAGTATAACTTTTTTGATATCCAGTCTGTTTTTGTCCCTGAGCCGACATTGCTATAGATGCTTGCTTTGTCTTAGGCCAAGCCAGTCAAGAAAGCGCCAAAGAGGTTGGTGTCCTTGCAGAAGAAGTTGCAAACATCGGCTGGAGGATAGCATCAAAGCAAGAGTCCCAGGCCCCAGAAAATACTGTTCAAAAGGAGATGGAGAAAAAAGAAAATCCCCCTGTGGAGCACCCTAAGACGTCACGGGCTGAGGTCTCTACGAAACATGCTGGCCACATTTATGGTAAGGCATGGTTCTATCATTCCTGTCAACCCTGTTTCATTTTTGAATTTGCTTGTAGCTTCTGCAATACGCATTTTTAGGCCAAATCTCGCTGTGCTCTGTGGATATCATATTTCTCATATTTCTTGAGTAGCCGAAATTGGATCTGGTTGATTACATGAATGTACGGGGGCGAAAGGAGATGGACGGGGGTCGATGGGAATGGACGGAGTTTGATGGAAATGAATGGGTCGATGTGCGTAGACAGGATTAAGCTGGACGTCCATGGTGCAATGAAAATACTTTCATCTCTCCTTTTCACATACTGAGTCAAAAGGACTCTCTTTAAGGCACATGGGAATTGCTTGTTCGTTATATCAATTTTATTGTGTTTGTAGGGGAAAGACTAGAAGTTAAAGCTTTGTGTCTTTATACATAGTGAAGTCCCCATTGAAAATTTTAGATTCTCTGTCTTTTTTACATGAATCATATCTTAAAAGATATCATGACCACAAATGCTAAACGCATCATTGCTTGTGTAATATGGATAACCGCCATTGAAAAGCAGGCCAATACATTCAAAACCATTAGATGCATAAAGTTAATAAGATTTTCAAGCACCAATCAGGGTTCTTGCAACTGTTTTATCTTCAAGACGCCGCATTAAAAGATTCCATTGTGCGATTTGCTGTGGTCAGAATACCGGAATAAATATACCCGTTCATGGCTTGGGGTACTAATTCAATATAAAGTTAATTATTTTAGATTCAGCCATTACCTTAATGCAGAAAATGACCGAACGCATCAGAGAAATCCGGTTTTACTTTGCAATTTTTCTTTCCCATTGTAAGTAATACAAGCAATGAACCCACCATTACCAGAAATCTAATAACACAAACAACATGAATACCCACGCAACAGACACCTAGGCAAATGTTTTCGTCCCAAAATTTCTTTCCTGCATTCAAATGCTGGTAGAAGCTGCCTTAGCATAACGGAAACCTCTTTGCAACGGATATTCCTAAAAAACTGACAGATAATGGTTTTTTAACGATTCCCTTCTGTCAAAACCTTTTTCATGTAGCCTTTCTACACGACATACAAACGGAGAATTTTAAACGACATACAAACGACGTGGCCACATGAAGTCTTTCCCACATTCAAACATAGTACTGTTAAAGTAAGCTCCAAAAACCTCTCTACAACGGACACCTCCCTTAGCGGACACTTCTTACAACAGACAAATGTTTTCGTTCGATTAAGCTCTCCTTACGTCAGAACAATGTAATGTTAAGCAAAGACCGGACATAAGAACCATCTGTACAACGGACACCTTTCTTAGCGGACACTTCTTACAACAGACAAATATTTTCGTTCGATTAAGCTCTCTTTCCTCCAGAACAATGTAATGTTAAGCAAAGACCGGACATAAGAACCATCTGTACAACGGACACCTCCCTTAGCGGACACTTCTTACAACAGACAAATATTTTCGTTCGATTAAGCTCTCTTTCCTCCAGAACAATGTAATGTTAAGCAAAGACCGGACATAAGAACCATCTGTACAACGGACACCTCCCTTAGCGGACACTTCTTACAACAGACAAATATTTTCGTTCGATTAAGCTCTCTTTCCTCCAGAACAATGTAATGTTAAGCAAAGACCGGACATAAGAACCATCTGTACAACGGACACCTCCCTTAGCGGACATTTCTTACAACAGACAAATATTTTCGTTCGATTAAGCTCTCTTTCCTCCAGAACAATGTAATGTTAAGCAAAGACCGGACATAAGAACCATCTGTACAACGGACACCTCCCTTAGCGGACACTTCTTACAACAGACAAATATTTTCGTTCGATTAAGCTCTCCTTCCGTCAGAACAATGTAATGTTAAGCAAAGACCGGACTTAAGAACCATCTGTGCAACGGACACTTCCTGTTAGCGGACACCTCTATCAACAGATATATGATTGTGTGCCATGATGTCTTTCCCAGGGTCAATGTGTTCTAGCTGCAAATTCCAGACAGGTTAAACCTCTCTAAAATGGGATGTTGACTATGATCACGTGTGTGTACCTAGCGTATACCAATGACTTCAAATGTAAAACCTTTTCATGTTATACGCTTTTTGTTTGCAGACCTCCTGCCTGTTAGTGTATCTCAGTTACGACCAAAGGCACAGAAGCTTTTTGCACAGCTAGATGCGTTTATGAAGGAAGAGGTGTATCCGAGAGAGAAAGAGATATCAATAGAGCGGTCTGGCAATGAAAAATGGCAACCCCACCCTCTAATTGAAGAATTAAAGGTATTGAATCATATTATACACTTTTAGGTTTGGGACAATCCATTAAAAGTCGTTTTATGAATTCGGGGTATCTTTGCTCCTACCCATTTGGATCTTCTACCATTTGTTAATTTGGATATGCACTAATCTTGATCAGATTCATTAGACTCCTATGTACACAGGAGAAGTCTGGATCTAGAGAAGCCCAGACCCCTAAACTGCCGCGAACAACGGCGTCTAGTTTTCGTGACTCGAAAGACTCAGCGAAACAACTACACATGATTTGAAAAGCATATCTGGTTAGATCCCATTCTTTCTTTCGAAAAATTCGCTGAGTCGTAATTCCTAATTCTTTGCAATCCAGTTTAGTAACATCGATTTTAGTTAAAATTGCAACATTGACACATAACATTGTTTCACTCATATACCACTGACGCACTAGGTTACCAGCAAACATTTTGCGGCTAGATAAACATTGTTTGTTTATGCTTTTCATTAAATTTCAGGCTAAAGCAAAGGCTGCAGGTCTGTGGAACCTATACATTCCAATTGAAGCTGATCCAGATGAAAAGTACGGAGCTGGGCTCACAAATAGTGAATATGCCTTTCTTTGCGAGTTGATGGGCAAGGTTATATTTGCTCCTGAGGTAGGACGTCTTTCTCGTTCAAGGCCATCAATTCTGTTAAAATGCCGGGGCCATTGCAGTTTTACACCTCTTAGCATATGGGTACATACATAAGGTCTTGGTACAGATCATATCATACTTTAGAGGAAAAGGGTATTTCTGAGAAAAGGGAAAGGAAATTTCTGAGAAAAGGGAAAGAAAAAAGGAAAAGGGCCCGTTGCCAGTAGGGACATTGGGTGCGAATGACTCCCCTTTCTTGTCTCATATTGACTTAAAATAAATGAAGTGCTATGTTAGCACCAGCACTACAAATGATAAAAGGTGTCCTATTTGCTGACGAAATGAACACTTCACCCTCGTCTCCGGGTGAATCACGTCTCCTGGTCTTCATTGATGATCTCGCTTAAAGCTAGTGCTAGTATTCCGTCATAGGACAATATCTCTGTTTTTGAAATTCAAAAGGGCTTGGCTATTATAAAAGTTGCTTCGCCATTCTTGCTTCAGTTATATTAAAAAAAATGTATTTCTGTTTTTATTTTATTTTCTAAAAATGATGATACGAAAGTATCAGAAAAAATTATACTAGCTTCTACATTTTACTGCAAGCTTTAACAATTGATCATACTTTCTAAATTTAGTGCTTATTTGATCAGAACAAGATTTTTTGACGTTCAATGACCAATCATGCATCTCTAGAGCTTATACGGCTAAACACATTTCAACTTGAGTTTTCCAAAATTAGTATCTCCAAGCACAAGCCATGCATCTCTGGGTACTTAATGACCATATAATGTATGTTATAATTTTTAAGTTAAATGATTATATAATGCTCAATTATTATCACTTCCACGTACGCCAGAATCCTTGAAAATCATCTCTGAAACGTCGTATCAAGGATATAGCTATCATAACAATTTCCTCATCAATTTTGTCATGTGCCTAAAGTATTGAACGTTTTCCTCATACATTAGGTGTTCAACTGCTCGGCCCCTGACACAGGAAACATGGAGACTCTGATAAAGTATGGCACAGAAGAACAAAAGGTAAGACGTTTTGGGTTTCTGCTTGATTGGTGGTTAATTGTACAGAAACTGCCAACTAGTTCCAAATTCTGCATATATCCTTCCCCGATTTATTGCTCAATCGAGTTTCATTTTGGCATCGTGTATCCGAATTTCAAACCGGTTATTCAACTTTCCATAAGCTTCAAGTTTTGTCGATCATGATGCAATAATGAGCCAAAATATAGTATCATACGAAAAGACGTACTTTTGAAAGAAAAGTAATTTTATTATCTAAAGAACAAGCATTCCACCTTAGGTTTTTTCTGTGATCGAGTGTTTTTTCGGGGTTTTTTCTGGACCGTTTATGTGACAAACCTCAAGGTATTAACAAAGTATTTAACACTCTCCCGGAATGCTTTAAAAGCCACGGAAATTTTAGTGCGACTGTAATGACATGTTTCAATAATTCCTCTCTAGCTTAAGATCCTTCTTCTGAAAAAAAGGAAGAAAACCTTTGCAATATCTGTAGATTTGATTGCAAATACTTTGAAGATTCATTCTCTTTTAGGATCAATGGCTGGTTCCATTGCTGAACGGCGAAATAAGATCATGTTTTGGAATGACTGAACCAAATGTATGATATTTTTATTGATTCACCAAATCGTATGTTATACAATTATATTTTAGGCTTGGAAAGGTCTGGATCTTCTAGCTTGTGTGCAGACATTAGGGAAATAATTTGCCCCCAGTCCCTTTTTTTCTCCTACTCAGCTCCTACACGCTGGCTAAAGTCTGCTGACTCAGATTTACTGTCTGTTGTTGCATGATTTCCGAAAATATTTGTCAAATAGTGATTTCACATTTACTATTTTGATTGAAATATGTTTTGATGACGTCGTGAATGCGATCCAGATTGAGTAGTCCATTTATGTGGATGATATGTTTACAGGTAGCGTCATCTGATGCAACAAATATCCAGTCTTCGATTAAGCAGGAAGGTGATCATTGGGTCATCAATGGAAGAAAATGGTGGACATCAGGTAATCTTACTGTTACATTCAACAAAACAACTTGTTATTGTGACATTTGCACTTGAGGAAAACTGTGGGTTTTTTGCTTAGCAAGGGTGTGTCGTGGTGAGGGAAGCAAGTTTCATTATCAAAGTACTGATCACTACTCTGTAATCAAAACTGTAATCTAAGGATTACGACTCTGTAATCAAAACTGTAATCCAAAGATTACGAGCACCGACACCGCACACCAGTCTATAAGCTTTTCTACCTCTGGATTTTTGCTGTTTGTTATTTGCAAAACTAAAACCAAGCTCTCTCTCACATTGGTCCCATTTTACAATATACGGCTGATTTTCGAATCAAATTTCCTGAATATCTGGATTTTTCTTGATTTCTCAATTATTGACTGGGTATGGTAGTGTGAAAAAGATAAATGGGTAGATGGAGGGGCTTACCGTTCGAAATCATTTCTGCTAGTTTGTTTATAGTTGTTTATTTGTTTGTAGACTCCATCGGTATCTTGTGACCTTAATTATATTGTAGCATTTTCCTTCCTTTTTCTTCTTCGTGTTTTTATCTTATCAGATGTGGTTCATCTGCTTGCAAGAAATGTTTACATTATCCAATGTTTTTCGTTTCTAACTCTTTTCCAATTACTCGCCTTGTGGGTCAGTATATTGCTCAATCTAATCTCTTTAACTGAAATTTACTCCTGCGGTAAATCTGTAAATCTGACACACAATCCTTTGAAAAGGTAAATTTTGCGTTTCAAATTGAAATTAAAGTAAAATTCTCAAGCATGTTTGAATCGAAGATAGTTGGCTATTGCGGCCCTCTTATTTCTCGATACTGACTATCATTCGTTGCCAAATTATTAATGATTGTTTTAGAAATCAGAATACCCTTTACTCCTATACACCTTGGATGCACTGTAGTACCTATATTATGAAGTTAACGCCCCTTTATAACGTAAGTTGATCAAAAGCAATATTATGGCAACATTTATATGTCTTGGATGCAATACCCCCCCCCCCGCCCTGGTCAACAACGTAACTTAACATCTTGTCTATCTATTTACCAAACAAATCTCTCTGGTTAAACGAACTGTTTAACAAACTCCTGTTATAACGAGCAGCTATTATCGGTCCCTGAAATGGTTGTTATATCGGCATTCCTCTGTATTTCGATGCAGTTGATCTTAGATGAGCTTATTATCACGTCCTTTACCAGGTGCTATGGATCCCCGATGTAAGCTGTGCATATTCATGGGGAAAACAGACCCGTCGGCTCTAAAGCACAGGCAACAGGTACGTGTTGAGTGGAATTGTCTAGTTTCCATACTGCACGACCTGATGGTAGTTTACGGTTATGGATAGGGTTAGGATTAGGGTTGAGGTTAGAGTTACGGTTACGGTTAGGGATAGGGTAAACTAATTACGTCATCAGGTCGAGCAGTATGGAAACTAGACAGCTCTGTGTTGAGTACACACAAAACGAGCCACTGTGTGTGGCCTCTTATGGGTGTGGCTTCTATTGAAGGATAAAACTGATTGTTCCAAGCTTACGAAACCCTAATTTAATTTCTGTTAAAAATTCTTCTTTTGAGAGTAGCTTGGGTCTGCTTGACTAGTTTTCAACTTGTTTTGGCTTGACTAGCGCAAACAAGGGAATGAAGGCTTTCTCATTAAGTAGATTGTCTGCTGTTAGGACCTGTTTATATGAGCAATTTTATCCCACCTTTCGGCCTGGGATGAATGGCAGATAGGATGAAATCATTGCATATTTATATGCAAATTCTACCCCACCTTCCAGCTTACATCTTCTTTGTTATCCCACCTCTCAGCTGTCTTTTAGACTGCAATACGTCATATTTTTGTTATGTCATCCTAACTTCCAGCCAGTTTAGTGTTTATATGGGAAAATATAATCCCAAGAGGTGAGATCCGGCAAGATGAGAGCAGGATCTCATTACTCCCCGGACATAGTGTTTCTCATATAAACACGAGATGGAAATTACAAAGGTTTTTATAGAATATCTGGATCCCACCTCTCAGCCCATTGGTCGGAAGATGGAATAATTCTACTCATATAAGCAGGCTCTCTTGGCTGGCGCTATGCTGTACCAAACTTCAATACTTTTTCCCAGACAAGAGATGAAAAGTTAAATTGTCTTCGGCATTCATATCTCATAACTAGAAATTTTTGTTATGATAACTTTCTTCAGGTGAATTTGTTTTGAGATGCTCTCAAAGTATGTGGTCTGTAAAAAGGATCTCGAGAATGAATAATTTTATTCATAACAAAATATGACTCACCAAAAGCCTTTACAAAGTAGGGAAAGGATTTGTTTTTCTTATTGTTTGAATGAACAAGATCACCCTATTGACGACAATACTCAATTTGATGGAGTTTAATCTAGACGTTGATAGTTTGCGCAGCCTGAACTGGTTTATTGTTGTGACGTTAACTCTGTTGAATTTGACAGCCAAGTTTTTAACTTCAAGGTAAAGAAGATAGGAAGATAAATAAAGTAAAATCTTGGCGTTTTTAGTTACTAATGACTACCAAAGATGAATGTTACCGAATGGAAGCAAAATTTACCTAAGGACACAGAAATATTGGGGGGTGTCGCACCCCCTACATCCCCCGCTAAATCCGTCCCTGCAACCGTTAAGCAAATTTTTCTGATTTAACAACGTCATCCTTGTCCTGCTTTTTTGCAGCGTGAATTTTCTTTAGATTTCGGTTTAAATTTCATTACTGTTGAATCTTTACTTCAAATAGTCACGGTTCCAAATCAAAATTGATTTAATTTCTATACCCCCTAATTCTTTGTCGAATTCATTCTCATTTGCAATAATGTCTTCAAACGTACAGTAAGATTGGTGGCGTGTTTTGAAATCATTCTACGGCCGGCGCTCTCGCTATTTCTCATATTTCTACCGTGTGCTTCATCTTTTTTCTTAATGGAAAGTTGTCCGAGGAGCGCCTAAGTGTAAAATTCAACGATACGCATTCCGCCATTGTTTACTACTTTGCTGGCAGTTAAAGAAGCTCTATCAAAGAACACATTTGTAAATGAGAAACGCTTCCAGTTGACTTGAAAGTCAATAACAATTTGTGTTGAAAGCTAAAAATAATTGAAGCTTGGAATGATCACGAGCCAAGCTTTGACAGTGATAACGAGGTACAAAGTTTGATAAGGAGACTGCTAAAATTGAGGTTATGTGTTATTTGCTGGAAACAATGTCATAGTCATCGCTTGAAGCGATTGACCTTTCTAAAGAACACTCAATTGTCACTAATAATATTATCACTTTTTCAATAATAATTAACTTTCATTTACAACCTTTTTTATTCATTAAAGTTCTTTATCATTTCAATCTCCAGCCAATACCCTTCAAAATTTTGGTTTGCGCCTTCCCTTTCCTTAATCCTTCTGCAAGATATTTTTTAAGTTCACCTCGTGAAAATGATAATCGTAAGAGAGGATTTTTAAATCGGATTTTCTGTGCGCTTGTCTTGATGTTTTTGGGTGTATGAGAAATTTAAAGTAGAACTTTAGGCTGACTAGTTTTTTACTCGTTTTTAATTGCATGTTCATACTGTACGGAAATGTCAAATAGAAGATTGCCTGGTATCGACTTTGGCACAGCTCATTTATGAATGTATCTCGTTTTATGTAGAGTATGGTTCTTGTACCGATGGATGCTCCAGGAGTTAAAGTCATTCGACCTTTGTCTGTTTTCAATTACGAAGATGCACCAGGTAACCATTTTGAAACAGCCTCCTTCCAATTAGCGATTTTTGCAATCAAAATCAAACATTTTGTCAGACTATTTTTGCTAGGCGATTTTGAGCAAGCTTGGCTTAGATTCATTAAATCCGGATGAGCTGCAACATTTCAGTTTCTTTCCTGACTTCTTTTAGGTTTTGCGTCATATTGATTTATTTTAAACTTCAAATTATTTTATTTATTTTAAGCCCCGAATTTTTCATGCTGTACAAAACATTGTCCAATTAGGATGGTTATTCAAATATTAACTTAATGTTGAATAAAGCAATCGAAAATTCTGGTCCTGTTAAAAGCATTGAAGTTGTTTTTTATTCTTCTTGAATGCAGAATGGATTATTTTAATGTCGCCTTGGGGTTTCTTGGGGGTATTTGCAATAAGAGAATTATGATGAAATCCGAAACTAAAATGAAATCATTACGTTAGAATTTTTCTGAAGCTCCCAATAATAATTTGGAAATCTTTGAAAGCCTTTAGTGAGGACCTTTGTTATAACTTTTTGGGGCAACTCTCAGCTCGGAGCCTTGGTCAATCTGCTCCCTGCCCCCACCAGGTTTATTTCACAAACAAAATGCTCAATTTTTTTTAACTTTCATCCGAGTGACAAATGACGATAAAGCCCAAAGATGAGATCCTGTTTTGGAATTGTAAGAGCGTTAGTATTGTAAGAATGTAGGGGTGCATTCAATGATCAGTTGCACATTTAAGCGTGTTTTTTTCTTTGTAGCTGGACATGCAGAAGTTAATTTTGAAAATGTCAGGGTACCTCTTTCAAACATTCTTCTTGGCCCAGGGAGGGGCTTTGAAATCGCGCAGGTAATTTAATTGTACAGTTTTCTGTGTTCTTGCTTTGATTTTCGATATAGGGTGTTTGTCTGCTGCATTTTGAATACTACTTTTGCACTCAATGATCCCAAATTTCACAGTAACTTGGACTCTGTTCCCTCTCCTGACATTGTTTTTTTTCGAGTAAGCTTATTTTAATTGGAAAACGTATGTTTACAAAGTTCCTATACTCATTTGCATTTTGTCTCCATTACATCAGATAGTCTCTACAACTTTCACCCCAGAAGCTTCTTTTGTAGCCCAAGAGTTTCTCTTTCTATTACCATGTTTCTTACAAATCAAAAATGAGCGTTGCCCCTGTTGATTCACCATTAATCTTGTGTTTTGTTACATTCCAGGGTCGTCTTGGTCCCGGGCGAATTCACCACTGCATGCGATTGGTGGGTTATGCAGAACGAGCCCTTGAGCTGATGATTGAAAGGGTTGGTATTGCAGTCTATATTTACATTAGCAGCCATAATTTCAAATGGATTAAATATGCACCATACACTTTCTGTAGTAGATTCAAACTACTAAAACCCTAAACCAAACATATTTCGTTCATCGAGAAAAATGAGTGGCTCCATTGGTATTCTCAGCATAATAACCCTGTGTCCGTCCTTTCTTTGGCTTTTATCTGTTACATTCGGCTACATTCGTCTGTGTTTTATTGTTTATGTGTTGTTGTTTGGTTAGTAACATTAACAGTTGAATTGTTAGTGTCATCCATGGTGGGGACGGGATAACCTTGTGTCTTTAGAACATGTAAAAATAATTTCTTTTTATCTAGAATTAGGTTCTGTTGGTAAAAAAGAAATATATGGGAACTGCCGTTATTTTGTTAAATATTTGTTAATACCCCGCCCCCTCTCTCCCGATATAATGTTGCAGTTTTTATCAGAAAGATTTATTTGCGGCGTTGCTTAGAAGATGAAGGAGTGAAAATTTGAAAACTGTTATCAACAAAGCTAATTCCATTTTTTTCCAAGACCATAGACATATAAGAAAAATCTAGATTTAGGTTTTTCTGGTCAAACTATCATGCATGAAACCCAAAGTTACCTCTTGTAACTCACAGTTACCCCTCTTGTAACTCACAGTTACCTCTTGTAACTCACAGTAACCATTGTTTAGCAACACAAGTTAACACTATTATGTTAACACACAATTAGCTACATGGTACTCTGTACAACAAGCATAAATTTAAATGATTCCTTAGCCTAATTCTTTAAAATGCTTTTCCCGTGTCTCTTATTTTGATTTTGCCACAGTAAACCGTCCCCCATCCTAAACGATAATGAACGAACATGATTTTTTACATATATAGAAAGTTCAATTATCTTTCTTTTGGCTGTGAACCAAAAAGTCATCAGAAGAGCTACGTTATCAATCTATCTACTCATTAGCTAAACTTCTGATTCGTTCAAGTCGTCAAAATTGTTGCTCTTCTGATAATTCAGACTCGATTAATCTAATTTCAAGCAATGCGAAGAATTATGTATCCTATGTATGAGAATGATCACGTGATAAGGAAAACATTTTGGGTTTTATGGCAGACCATCGTAAAATCAAAATCAGTACGATTCTCTAATCTAATCAAAATATATTTATTACTATTCGCAGACAAAATCAAGGGTTGCTTTTGGTAAACCAATTATCGAGCAAGGAACAATCAGAGATGATATAGCTCAATCAAGAATAGACATTGAGCAAGCAAGGTAATTCTATGTGTACTGACGATTTTATAAAGCTGACAAACTCATTTTTATCACGCGTCTGATAGGCCCTGTTGAAGTTTTCCCTGATTCACAGTGTAGTTTCGAGACTGGCCCGATCAGAAACAAATATCACAGATGTTCATACGATTAAGGATTCGGTTTGACTTTTGTTCACTAGGGAACTTTGCTATACACTGTGTTGTATGAACTATGATGTAGCAATCAAAGAGAGGCTATAAAATTCCAACCTATCGGATTCATGTGTTCATGCGACCCCTAAAGCGATTCAATGCTCTCCCATGCCACATTTTAAGCAGGTTGATTTGACTCTCCAAAAGAACACCGAGCAAATGGATTTACGCTCTCGTCCTGTGAACTAAACCGCTATCTTGTATGAATCCGGTACAAAAAGAATCCGGTCTGTATACCAGTTCAACTTACGGCCTCATTTTGAAAAATTCTTTGAACCTCAGATTCAGATTAAGAGCAATGATTTTAGTCTACTTGGAAGTTTCCATTATGTTGTTGCTCACGATGTTTATTTTATGACGACTTTAAGATAAAATCTTTATAAGTGATTTGACCCTGATTGGCGACTAGGGGGGGGGGGTAAAATTTCACTCGGAACGGTATTTGCTGTCAAACCCCTTACATGTCTTCCAACTTCATTTCTCCGTAAAATTTAAAATACAAGCACAAACAATATGAAAAATTGTATCTGGCCTAAAATTATGATGATGACGCCAGATCTGAGCTTTAAAAAGTCGTATAATGAAGTTTGGAAAAATTTCCAAGACGAGGCCGTAAGTTGAATTGATGTATTGTGAGCAGGAATTTAGCATTTTGGCACCTTGAGAGTTTGCACGTGATTCTTCACATTTCCCAGCTGTTTATTCCCCTTCGTAAATTTTCAATGATATTTCAAAGTAAACTAGCTATGACACTGTCAAAATATGTTCTGAGTGAAGATGCCTTTTTTGGAGATGAATAAATCTTTTAATAAGTAGCTCTATATTGCTGCTCGCAAGTAAGCTCAACGCGAATGCTCTTTGAGCATAAGAAGGGGGCATTCAGTTTCACGAGGCATGTTATATATCTCCATAGCATCCACTGTCCTTCATGATTGTTAACACGCCCCGTTTATGTGCATTTTAATTTTTAAATTAATCTACGATTATCATATGCACCGAAAATGGTATGATCTTAATCCGGTGTAATGTAGCAATCAGAAGGATGCTATAGAATTCCAGCCTATCGGATTCATTCATTCATGCCACCCCAGAAGTTCTGATAAAGAAAAAGACTGGATCGAGCAATCTTTTATTTTAGGCCGCCAAAATTCGTTGACGCTTTCTTCGTGTGACCATCTCTAACTTCGGCGCTGTACAATTCGAAAAAAATTACGGTCAAAAACTGAAAGCAGTGTAGTGTATTTAGTTGTAATAAATTGAAAAAGACGAAAGGAGAAGGGAAGAATGCTAGGAGTGACAGGGGACGTTGTGACAGTGAATTGAAAATCACGAAGCCAAAATACTTCAGCAAATGTGTAGCTATTTATTTGGGTTCATCAGATGGTATATTAGAAAAATCTAAAACATAAAAACCTTTAAAGTGAAATATCCATGATATTCCAGACTTGCATGTTCCGTTTTCCAACAAGCGTTGTACTGATTCAGTGCCCTCCCATGCCTTCCGAATCTTTCTCCTTTCTCCTCAAAACAATTTCAAGGCGAAATGGCGTGAGCAAAGACGGAAGCCGCGGGCCGCTGACAGGGAAACCAGTAATGGGAAAACATTCAAAGCGTGTTGATTTCACTTTCCAAAACGACACGGAGCGTATATATTCACGCTCTCGTCCTGTGAACTGAACCACAATCTTGTTCTGAATCAGGATGCCTTGTTTGGGGGGGGGGGGTGAATATGTCAAAGTCATTTGATAAGTGGCTCTATGGGGAAAAGTGTGCATACTCGCAAGTAGGCTTAACGCGCATGCTCGTTGGGCATAGTGGGCTGTTTCGCTCAGTTTTTGAGGCATGTTGTATATTTTCAGAGCTCATTATGAGGCATGTTATATACCAGTGTCATTCATGATAGTTAGCACACTCCTTATACGTGCATCTTAGTTTTTGAATTTGCCTACGATAATCAAATGCAACGAAACTATTTTGATCTCAATTCCTAGTCAACATAGGCCTAATTAAGTATTCCTAACTCCATCAAGAATATTTAGTCCATTTTATATTTGACTTCACAAGAAATTGGATTCTCGTTGTCGTTTTGATTTGTTCACAGAAACCGGCGGACAGCCTACCCTGTGTATCTTCCGAATGATTTTGCTTTTGAGTCTTACATTTAATGTCACTTTTACCAATGCCTTATGCCTCCCTTTTTTTTCTACTAATTCTCTACTCGTTTTCTAATACCAGACAAATTTCTCTAATATTTTTCCAAATGTCTTGTAACAACGGTATCTGAACAGATTGTAGATTTTAAATGTATTTTTATTTGTCAAGCCAAGCCTAATCATCTTGTCTCTTTGCAATTGTCTAGGCTCTTGACTCTTAAAGCGGCTCATTTGATGGACACAGTTGGAAATAAGGTATGCCATTGACAATCTTTATAAGTAAACTGGATGTTTATAAACTGCATGTATATCAATTGTATACATACAAACTGTATGTAAAAGTTAGAGCGCCCCATTAATACCCATAAAATCCTTGCTCACTCCCTTATGGACATAAGAGAGTTGTACTCTAGAGGGGTTCAACTTGTAGATAAGCATGCCTTTTAACTGACAAGCACAATTTTTACCCATATTATAGCCTTTAAAAGGGACCCCTTTGTTGGAATGACTAAATTCTCACAGAGAGAATCGATTGCATTTTGTTGCTTTGTCATAATTTGAAAGACAATTCTATCTACTTTTGGTATCGATAAAATTGGTTCCCTAAATTAATGCCATCTTCAAATTCTATCTTTACCTAAGAATACAACTCCTATGGCCCCCTGGTTGCATAAGGCAAGAATGGGGATTTCAAGGCCCCTGCCAGAACAGGCCCGTTATCTGTCGCTGACAGTCCCACCCTACATCCATTTGAAGTTAGGATTAAAATGTCAATGATTCACTTTCACTCTACAGAGATTTGTTCCTTTTGCTTTGACGGCGAGAGGTATTCTGGCAAAGTACTTTTAGCCCCAGGCTTATTAATAATCTCATAATAATCTCATGCTTTTATTACAGTGACAATGTTGATTTCCTTCTATTAGCGAGATAACAGTGCCAGTATTTTCATAAACCCTTGAGTGAATTTACTGCACGATTCTCAACATAAGGCTATTTTTCAGCTCTCGGCAGAGGGTACTTGTAAAGCATTGGGAAAGTACAGGGCTTTTTCTTAGGCTGTTTCACCATTGGTGTCTTTCAAGTCATGTATTCTTTGTTCCTTCTTGCATTTTTATTGCTTAAATTGGATTCTTTGTTTATTGGATCTTTGCTTAAGGCCTTCTTCTGTTTATTGGCCAAGAGGCAATTCTTTAGCTTTTCTAGATCACCAGCTCAATGTGTCAACCGCCAACTTTCCATTTTGTACCCTAACCCTCTCCGTATTTCTACAATCCCCCCTCGTGGCCGCCATTTTAAGTAAAAGGAAATGCGCATGGCTAACTTTTGGTTGCAAAAAGTAATGTCAATATCATAAAATCATATATTATAAAGAATACTTTGCCAAAATATTTCCCCTCCCCCAAAATTTTCTCGTCGATTTTAGACGAAATACAAAATGCAATGAGGAACAATTTCTTGGCCTCCGACAAGTTATCGGTTTTGCTTGTATGTCTTTTATCGTCTGTTTGGTTCAGTGCCAAACCAAAGGGTGTTTTATAGCTAAAATTTATAACAACTGGTTTTGCTCTTAGCACAGTGCTAGAGTAAGGAATTCCACTTCACATTTATGCGATTGAGTTCGTACTTTGTTTTATCTCAGTCCTCTTTCATGGTGTTGTTTTTGTGCCAAATTCTAATTTTCTACTCGCTAATTGTCGGTTTTGTTGGAAACCAGTGCGGTTTTAGACGACGTGTTTTTTGGATATCATTCAATAGCATCCAGTTGGGGCCAAGAATATTTGAAAAGCTTTTTATAAGTTCATTTGCTTTTGGCTCCAAATCACTAATGAACATTGTATCTAATAACATTTATGACCATTAAACACTGATAACCACTGATATCGATGTCATATCTCGGTTGCCAAATATTTTATCTGATATTGTGGTAAAATGATAACGCCATATAGCTGTTTTGTAGAATTTTTGGAATCTTTATCATATAGCCTAAAGGAATATTATAGAATAGCTTTGTTAAGAAACAGCTGAAACTATTCCAAATCTGCTGAGAAGAAGATCCTTGACCAGAGACTCCCTCGCTATCAAAATATTGTAATACGGTCCTGTTTCCTGGATATTATGAACCAAGTCAAACAACATTAACACGTCAGTAGCTCCCAGGTCTTTTGCTTCATGTATCCGCAGCCCTTTTGCAATAGTATGCACGCTTTCTTGTGTTCTATAGCATATTCTCTGATGGTATGGTCCAATTTTCAAAAGTTTTTAAGCGTCATAATTTGCATAATTCATTATGCATAATTCACATCTTTGTAGGTTGCTGCGCCAGAAATAGCCATGATAAAGGTTGCAGCTCCATTAATGGCTGAGAGGGTTGTTGATAGAGCAATTCAGGTGAGATCTCTTCCCCCGGTTGCCGTTTCACCTATATCGCCCGTTCAAAGTTTGTTGAACGTTTTAGTATTTGTTGTGTTTTTTCGGTCACTGTAGTTTTTATATAACGATGTACGGTCACTATTGATTTTCCACATCTACTTTTCATATGATAAGCGATCCTTTCTTGAATGATCTGGAAAATTATAAGTCTTATTTATACGTCATATATATTATAGTTGCTTTGTGTATAGTGAGTAAAAATCATTGTAGATTTTACAAATCTTCTCTTTGAAATGAGATTTTCTAGACTCGTTGCCTTGAGAGTACGGATAACTCTGTGGTTGATGGCAATTTTTACCAGAATATTTGTATCATAAATGTTTCAGTAGAATACTATTCTCAAATGCCTTAGGATAATGTAATACCACTTGTTTAACCTCTCTTTGATGCACCAATCAAAGCGTAGGAAATGTCAAGAGCCCTGAGTGTCGCCAAATTCATTCTATTCATGTCTCTTGAATATTGACCCTTTTTAGGCCTTCGGTGGAGCTGGTTTATGTGCAGATTTCCCGTTGGCTCATTTCTTCACCTGGGCTCGTGTCCTAAGACTCGCAGACGGTCCTGACGAAGTTCATAAAGAGGCTATAGCCAGAATGGAGATTAAGCGAGGACAGAAAAGTCGTTTGTAAGAGCTCAATCCGCTCCAATGCTTTGACCTATTTTAACTGTAACTAAAGCCCCCCTTCCCTAATTGAATAATTGAACTAATTTCTTTCCTACAAAAATGTCGTGTAGAAAATCGAGAGGGAATTCAGTTGCTTCTTTGTACTTTTTTCCTAATGCCTGTATACTGCAAATACTACAAAAAATATCAAGTAGCATTATCGATATCAGTTGATATTATCTAAAATAATGTATTTCATGAAGCACTTATCAGTCTTGACCCACTACCCCTAGAAATTTCCACCTTGATCAAATGGTGCCTTTTATTGCGAAGTTCAACAGGCAGTATAGGTACTTTCGTTATTATCGCGCTTGTACAAAGATACACTGCTCAATTTAAATTTTAAACATTTTTTGAAAACATTAGGAAAGGCAACATGCTCTGTTATGCTAGGCCATAATTCTTCCATGTAACGAATATAAGCAGTCATGTTTTGTCTGATATATGTACTTTACCAAGACACATTTCCTTCAAGATTCTAGTTTTTCACAGGATAAATAATAAGTCTACTTTTCATGTACCTATTTTTACACCTTCTATCGCATAACCTATATTTCAAGATGCATTGTACCCATTCTGATAAAAAATTGCCTTTTAAGAAAAGCGGATTCAGAAAAAGAAATTCAGATAGATGTGTACTTGAATAAGAAAAGTGTTAGAAGGAAATTGACTTTTTAACAAATTTAGTGATTTTAGATCCCTCCTTTTAGATCAAAAGCCTCACAACTTTTCACATCCAACTTGCCTAATAATTTCTTATTCCCCATACTAGTTTCTAATGTAAAAAATTGTAATAAAATCTGTATAACTTGAGCCACCAAGAAGAAGATGAAGTTGGTTCGAGTTTACGAAAGTTCGAATTAACGTAAATTCGAGTTTATGAAATTTTTAGGTATCGAAGTTTTGAGTTATCGGTTGTTCGAGTTTCCTGGATTGTATTATCCAGAACTCCAATGCCACAGTAAATAAACTTAAAATAAAGGAACTTTTGAGAAAAAGCCACTTCTGAAATTTGCTGCTGAAATTCGCCATTGTTTCTTTTATTAAATAGGTTTACAGGAATTTCTTACTAGATTTGATAGCATTTATATATGTTGAAAATGCAGTATATAATTTTACATGCCACCATCACCCTTCGTCTATTTTTGTGTAGTCGATATTGCATTTATGATTTGTTTTGCGTACAGTTTTTCCTGCTGTGCGGGAGTTTTCAAACCCGAATGTTTCGCTTGTCAGTCGATTGTGTTTCTTTTCTATTGTATGCTAAAAATAAGCTTATAATTTCATGTATCTTAATCTTACAATTCGTTTGTTAGCCGGATTAGACAAATGCTTGAGAAGGTAGTCAAAAGACACTAAAGTCGCTAGCCATCTGTCAATCAATATTAACCAATCATTGAGCAGGACAACACCCAAACGCTTGTTGATTGGACAACAGTTGATTGACATATGGCTTAAGCCACTTTAGTATCCCTCGATTGCCTTAAACTACAGATTTTGATTTAGCAGGATAAATACACTAGTAGAAAGCTTTTCAAAAAACACCAAGACGTTTATATTTGATGCTAATTTTGCTGTCACGTATTTGAAATATATGGTCAAATTTAACGTTGTACCTTTTTTAGCGTGTGAACTACAGATATCTTGTATAGGTACAGTAAAAGGCAGAGTTGGAAATCAGGAGAACATAGAAAAAGGTTGGGGTCTTAAAGATAGTTATGCCGGAACCACTCGTGTGGTCTCACACCTGCCTCTAGGCGTGAAAATCGGCTATTCCTCAATTTTAGATTTTGTGACAAGTGTAGCGGCTCAAGGATCAGGTCTCGACCCACTGATATTTATTCCCACCATAAATGGTATGCCAAAGCATTTACTCCATTTGAAAGAAACCATCCCACCTTCCAACACGAATAATGAGAGGAGGAATCCCACCTCCTTACAAATTCCTTTATAAATGGCTTTAAGAAAAGCCAACATTTTTCAACATACTAGTAGAAGCTTTTTCATCTGACACTCCTCAGGGTATAAAACGTCAGAATAAGGGAAGAGCACGATTGAAAATATATACCCAGTTGTGGATCGAAATAGGCCAATCAGAAAAATGCTAGCACATTACCGGCATGGTTGTCCAATCAGTGCTGCGTGCCTATACAAAAGTTACTATTGGATTCCAAGAGAGAAAACAAACTCCTTTTGAAAAACCTTGGTGTTTTTCACACCGTGTTTAAAATTGCAACTGATGTTCACCTTTCAGTTGTGCCTTGAAAGTTTTGCATGAAGCAATCTTCGACTTAACAGTGCGATGCACTGTGTTCTCAGCCAAAGTCTTGAATTAACATCTTAATAAGGACTAAAATAAAATGCCTTTAGAGCATCCAAGAACATGTGAAAATCAAAAACCCTTTTCATGTCAATAGTTCAACGTTGTTTATAATAGTGCTTTGGAAACACATATAACATACTTAAATAATTCTACACAACCCTCTTACACCTTGATTAGGGGGCTCCTGTACAAACGCTGCAAAAAAACAATAAAAAAGTAGAAATTTGCCAATTTTCGGTAATAAGGGGTTTACACCCTAGCTCTACACCACAGTTAATTACCCTGACAAGTATTCTTGATTTTCGTGGGCTAATCAGTGGCAAATTAGAACGTAGTGAGACGTCAAAGTCTGGCAAAACGAGGCTGATTTGAAGGCGGGTCACGGGTGTTCCTGCAGGTTAAACTCCAAGATGGCTGAAGAATAATACCACGGTGACAAAGCAAGACCATGGCAAAACGGTTTTGTCGTATACTAAACAAGTCAATATTTCACCGACTACCGCACAGGGCCTATGTAAGGTTCTTTAGCAGTGCTGAGTACGAACATGAGCCACGTATTTTGATTACAGGTATGTTTTAGGACATTTCGTTCATTGCATGATATGAAGATGAGATGCCGATGCGATACGATGATCCTGGTCCTGGTTTGCTACAAATATCTTACGGTCCTAAACATGTTGTTGGCTTTCGTTGGCAGTCAATGATCTTTCAATTTTCTCTTATCAAGGCTGTCTCAAAATTCAAAACTGATTTTCTCACAAATTTTCAAATACCGAAGCACGCCGTACGGCATCACACGGCACCTTCTACACTGCCTTTACGGTCATGACACGAAACATAATTTTGTGGACCACGTAATTTGACGATCACAAATTTGCTGATGGGCTTCTGTTTGCCCTTCTCCATTTATGAAATGCCCTGCACCAGCAAATGATCATAAAACATAACAGTAATAAAGTTTCCATTGGTTGGATGAAGAAAAGTTTACTTACAAAGTTGTGTGTCTCTAAATTAAAATATTCTTATATCCAAAAGAATAATAAAATGAAACAATCGGTTGTTGCTTTTATAATTGATTATAAATGGCTATTCATCATCGTTCTGCACTATATTATCATACTGTATGATACATGACTAAAAACGAATTCTCTTCCCTAAACAGGAAGTCTTGGACAGCTAGGACCTGGAGTTGCCAAGCAATTGAGGTGTGACTTTTATGGTTTACCTCTGTGTTAAAGATCAAATATTGAATTGGTTAATGTGTACAACTTTCATATTTTGCATGTGGCTGAAAAAGTTGGAAAAGTTCCAAGATTTATATCAGTATGTTATGGCCAGGATTTCTTTAATGTCGGTATGAGGAAATGCAGAGAATTGGATATATCTTTTGTCACCAAATCTTTGTTACTAAAAGATTTCTTACACTTATGCAGGGCCTGCGCCACAGGGGGGCCGGGTTGGCCATGCCCCCCCCAATTTTTGTAAGAAAGAAATTTTAAAAGTGAAGTAAAAGAGAAGCCTTGGCCCGCTACTTTTTAGCCTCGCCCCCCCCCACTTTAAAATTTGTGGCGCCGGCCTTGTTATGTTACATATTACAACATAAAAAACTGTTACACAAAGAACTGGAATATATGTTTTTGAAATTTTGAGTGACTGCCTCTGTGGAAACCATAAATCCCTTTAAACATTGGTGCATTTATTTGTTTTCATGTTATCTGGTTTGTATTTTGTTCATGTAATAGCTGAAGGTTTACTTGTTAAAAGCTTTGACTTCCTCTAGTTTGGCCTTCAGGCAACAACCTATGTTCTTTATAAAACTATGTGTAGGATTTATAAGTATGCTACAAATTTTTTCATTGATGCTGGCACCAAACAATGATTTTCATTTAAACTAATGTGTGTGATTTGATTATTCCAAAACAAATGATATACTTAAAGGTTTGTGCATTAACTTTTGTGCATACAATTATTGCTACTTCAATTTTGTTCATTGCATCCTTCCAGGGACTTATATGGAACAGATAATGTGATTTGCTCTGATGTTGTAAAGGCACCAAGAAATATCTTAGAGAGTGGTAAGGCACCATCGATTTCAATATGTTTTGACTTTTGGAAAGTTTTAATATAAATCACCCTATAAGTTTCAGTTCTCAAAATAATCTTTCAAGGGTCCAATATAGTATATTGTGAAGAATGATATTTCATCCAAGCAATATATGCCTTCAAAATTTTCATACTAAGCCCTAATTTGGAACCCATGGCTCTCTGTATTTGATTTATCCTACAGACCGTCTCTTTTTAGAGGTGTATTTATCCTTTTTTTTAAATAAATTTTTCCTTTATGTTTTGCTTGTCAATTTTGTTAAAATATTTTGTGGTCATAGTCTACAAATGCTTATGGTTGAATCAATGTGCTTGCCTTGTTGAAGATTAACCACACTTCAGTTGAATGCTGTCTCCTTGTTTACATCATCAGCTGATAACTCTAATACTGGAACCTTTGCCAGGTACATTTAGAAAAGATCCTTTTCTCAAATTTGGCCACATAGATTGATACACCCTGTAGAAATACCAGGGCTTGAAAAAATATTTTCTTCCTGGCAGCAAAACAAAAAATTCAAGATTTTCTGTTAAGCTTTGATAATGTTTTCAGGCACTCAAGTGATATTTTAAGTTGCTTTATTTGTGTAAATATTTGTCTCAATTAAGTAAACCGTCTTACTAAAAAAGAACTAATTGTTGGGCCTTTAATTTTTATCATTAGCTATTTGAACAGCAATCTTTTAGTTTATATCATACTGTATTAGATGATCAAAGAGAATGTGATTGAGCACAAAACTCTGTTTTGAGGTTAAATAGTTTGTTTTCAGTTAAGGTTAGTTAGTCCGAAAATCTCTAGTAACTTTGATAAAATTTCATATCAGTGCTAGCAAACTAGAAACTGTTGAAGTATTGATGTACCTTACATCTTGCTCTGGGTCTCGTGTTTGCTGCTCATTTTTATCGTCAAAGCTAGTAGTTCATACAACATGTAAGAATTCCTTTTACTTTTCAAAGGTTAAAATTAATGTTTTAAGTCAGGAGTGGTGCTAGAGGCAAAGATGTTTACATTCTATTAAGCTTGCAATAGAAAATGTATGCAAATGCCAGTAGAAAGGCGCAAATGATAATCGACACATCCACACAGGCATGTTCACCTTCAATACAGTTGACGTTACAAGATTGGCTGTCTTTAAGTGTTTTTACTTATCTAGAATGGCTAATGTAAAAAGGGAAAAAAGGAAATCAAGTTTGTTTTAGCTTGCTTGAATTAAATTAGAAGCTGAAAATTGTGCCCGAATTGCCGGAAATTTGGTGTAAGAGACGTTTTTTGTTAGTAATGCAGAACAAAAATTATACAGTATGTATGTATATCACAAGAAAACAATGTTTTGTAGAAAGAGAGTAACCTAAATTCAATGTTCATATTAAAATGAAGCAATGGAGATTTCACTCTTAAAATTTCCTGGGAAACAGCAGCATTTTCTTGCAATAAAGTTGTGCTAAAAATTCCCTCGCAGCTTTTTTTCTAAGCTTTCTAGGGGTATTGGGCATGTCATATTCTTTGATTTTTCAAAATTATTGCAAAACTACCACAATTTTTTTTGCATAGAAAATGCTAATTTCTTTTTATTGTCATTAGAATGTCTATATAGATACATTTGAAATTAGGTGGCACCAGTCATTAAAATGCTTGTAAAAGATACCAGTTGAACTTTCTAGGCCATGTTAACCCCCTTTGTTTATTAAAAAATATTTGCTTATTTTAGGGCCGTTCATCTATGCAGATATTTTGGATTACAAGAATTTACAGTCAATCGTAGTTGATTACAGCATTGACTGGATTGTCCACTTTAGTGCCCTCCTCAGTGCAATAGGGGAGCAAAATGTCTCAGAGGCTTTGAAAATAAATATATATGGATTCCATAATATCATCGAGCTTTGCAGAAGATACAAACTGAAGCTGTTCAGTCCCAGCACCATTGGTGCCTTTGGTCATGACTCTCCACGGAATCCCACACCAGACATCACAGTACAAAGGCCAAGGACAATTTATGGGGTGTCAAAAGTTCACATGGAACTAATGGGAGAGGTAAGACTGTTTTTATGAAGGAGATCTTGTGTTCAGTTAGAAGTTAGTTTGGATGCAATTATGGTAGAAACAATGCATAAAAGAAGAATAAGACTGAAGTACTCTTCACCAACCATTAAACCTGAAAGGCTTTGCGTTAGAACAAGTTTACTGGAAAAATATATGAAATACTTTTAAAAATTTTATTCCAATTTAATTCAATATATTTCTAGAAGTTGAATTAAAGATTATTTTTTAAAAGTTATATGATGCTTAAGCTGTGCATGCTGTTTCCAAATGATCACTTGTGAAACTCAGATTTGCAGCTTATAACTGCCTTGCTCTACACAGTTAAGCATAAGAAATTATATGCAAACGCTTTGCCTGTTTGACACCCCATATATTAGATCCAGTGGGGTGGCAAGCCACTATGTCTTGGAAAGTCAGAATAAAAAAACCTGGCCATGCCTATTTTACTGCCAGAAAACGCCTGTTTACTAACAGCCTGTCTACTAACAGCCAAAGCCGATTTCGCCAATAGGGAACGTTCATGAATAATTTTAGGTAACGCTAAGATAGATTCAAAATCATAGAATCTTGTCACAAAGAATACGCCAAAAAATATTACCCTTTCTCAACATTTTGCATCGAATTTAGACGAAACCCATATCGACTCTGCCAAGAACTAGGAGATAGTTCCCCCTCCCTAGTCCCACCCCCTGGGGCAGCCATTGCTCAGAACCCTCTAGATTATTTGAGAGAAAACCTTTCTGTGTCGTTGCAAAGATCTTAACCTTAATCATGTTTGCAGTACTACAACTACCGTTATGGCGTCGATTTTCGATCATGTCGATTTCCTGGCGTTATTTCAGCTGACACATCGCCTGGCGGTGGAACAACAGGTTTGATTTTTTATTTTCCTTACTTCTAACTGGCTTTGCATCGAAGTTGTCGACAAACACATTGGCTGTACGGTCTTTACCTGTTTATACAATGATTTCACTCTTGTTATGTCAAATCCTTCCCAATTTGAACAAGATTTTTCATCGTTTGATTTCGAGGATTTTTAACAATATACGTAACATTTCAAAAATATGACGTTTACGAAAAAATTTTCTTTTTATTGAAGAATCGTTTGTACAAACTATTTCTTGCTCACTTTAAGGGCCTAGTTGAAAGCAGATTAAAGATATAACCTTGCATGTTTTTGGCAAAGGCAAGAATGTTAAAAGATTATGTTGTCTTTATTGTTATCTTATCTATACCATTATTGTTATCTTATCTATAAGGTGCTTTTTCTTGCAGATTATGCCGTAGAGATTTTTCACCATGCTTTGAAGACTGGCAAGTTCAGCTGCTACCTACGACCAGACACCCGTATGCCAATGATTTACTTGCCTGACGTCATTCGCGCCACTGTCGACTTTTTAAAATGTCCGAACGAGTGGCTGAAGATACGAACATACAATATTACGGCAATGAGCTTTACACCGGAGGAGCTTTCTGCAGAGATTAGAAAATACATTCCGAATTTCGAGATCACGTATGCACCAGATCCCCTTCGACAGAATATAGGTATGCTCCAATATACGTTTCTTGAACGTGTACTCACATCTTTTATAATGAAACAATAAGATTTATCAGTACATTTTAGAAGAGTTGCGAGCTCAATGTCTTTTGAACGTGTTTGTTGGTTGATTTGTGTGTCGCTGAGAACCGTATTATGACAGCAAATTCGTGCTCGATAAGCACAGCTTCTCATCAAGCTACTTTGAAAATCTACTTTGAAAAAAAATTATCAGATATTTCCGTTCTTCCTTGAGAGCAGGAATGATATCCCTGACTTGTTCAGGTCCGTCATGATCCTGGAACAAACCTTATGGAATGGTGCTCTGTAGTCCTTTAAAAAGTTTTGGAAATTGAGTGAATGTACCCATTGACTAATTAAATAAATATGTCTTTGTATAAGAATACTTTATATTGTTTCCTATTCCTGCAACATTCCATTTTTTCCAAAGAAATAATCATGAAATTTGATTATTTCTACTTTTGAATACGGTCTTATTTCAGCATCTATAAACATTTTTGCAGAAAGAGAGTCATTTTAGGCCTTCTAATTAGGCCTACCACTGTTGCTCTTTGACTACTTAAAATTTTTCCAAAAATGCCTACTTCTTAAATTCTCAAAATTTGACTCTTACAGCTGATGGTTGGCCCGAGGTACTAGATGACACCGGTGCGAGGCAGGACTGGGCCTGGAAAGAGGATTATGACCTACCAAAGCTTGTTTATGCGATGCTGCATGCGTTAGGCCCACATTACAGTAACCAAGTCACTGACAATTCTTATGGAAGAACAATTGCAGCCAAAATGTGAAATTTTACATCGTATTTTTAGTTAATTTTATTTATTTGGCACCATTTATGCTCCTTTTTAGTAAATATTTGCACCGTCATATTCAATTCATTATTTAATTTCCATATTTTTTACTGGGATTTGCATGAAACTTGAGCCGTCTAGTGTTTGTATCAGCAATGAGGAAAACAAAGTTTTCATTTTATTAGATACCTGTGTGATGAATTGTTTGTTAATTTGTGGTTTTCACTCTTCTGATATTTTTCCCATTAGTACGGCCATCTCTATTTTCTAAGATGGTGCAATAGTGGCTATGTGATGACGTCATGAGTACATGTATCTAGCGTTTATGAATTTGGATAAAAAAATCTGGAGTTCATATATGTGCAGAATTATCTAGTTATGCTGCCAGACACACACTTTGGCTTAATTTGACTGTTCTCTTCACCTGAGATCGATTTTAGAATTTAGCATAGGCTCCTACAGCACCTCTTTTGCTGCTTTCATAGATCCTTCCCCAGGTTTTCTTTTGAGTTAGAGCTCATTTAATGCATTTATAAAATTCATTTCATTAAATCTGACGTAACAAAAGTGCTAAAGTTAGTTAGGTTTTTTCAAGTGAGTGGCCTACTTCTTACTACTGTCAACCGAAATTTTGCACATGTAGCCTTCAATTCAGGCAATAAACCAATTGATTTGATTTTGCAAATAATCCTTATTACATGAAAACAAGACGGGTAACGCGAATGCAAATTAACGCAAATAATGAAGGGCTGAACATAGAAACTTTGACAGAAGGTAATTAATTCGCATCAAGTAATGTGCAGCGCTAGTTTCACGTAATAAATTGGCATTTAAAGGTGAGGAAGGATTTTGATAGGACATTTTAGGTATAAACGATACAAGGTGTATATAGTGGGACCGAGTGTTATGACACCACTGTAGGCTAGTAAAAACATGTCGCTCAAACCCCACCCCCCACCCCCATTGAAACCAGCTATAGTTCAGCTCTCTGTAACTGCGAGGGTATCATGCTGGTAGTAGGCCTATTGTTTGCATACCAGTTTGTGATGGAGGATTACCCATTCAAGCGTGTAGCTTGACTGCAAACAAACCAATGCGCAGGAACAACCTTAAAGCAGGTCAATGTAAACCTTTCAAAGATTCAAATGCAACTTGGCGATACTAATTTCGTGTTATCATATCTCTATCGTTTTTGTCTTCCCACCCTGCTTGAAATGCAGCGATGGGAGGGCAATCTTCTGATTGAGCTATGCTTGTTGAACCATTGCAAATAACGTATTTTCATGCTTTATAGCCGTCGTGTAAGTATTGTTACTTTTATTCACTTTAACACCTCTATGTTGACGCTGGCTTGTTCAGACAATAAACATTTTCTCCAAAAGTTATCGGACTTCTCAATTATGGAACATTTTCTCTTTTTCTTGAAATAAAAAGCTGAAAATAATCAGCACCAGTTTTAAAACTTTAGTCTGTTGATTAGAATCACGGGGTTAGGATACTCAACGCGTTTGCAGGTTTGCGTGATGTAGCGGGTACGGAAAATGTTCTACTTGGAAAGGGGTGTAACAGGTCAGTTTTTTGTAACAAGCAATTACCTCATTGGTGACAAGCAACTGCCGACCGTCATCTTCATACAAATAATTTCTTTTTGCTTTTCTTAAAGTCCTGTTTTTCCCTTTTCCACTGGCTGATATTTGACTCCTTCGATCTTTTAGCCAAGCATATTTCGTCTTTGGGGATATCCATACCCGTTGGTCTTTGTACAGCCTCGATTTTTGAAATGTCAACCTCCTCTTCGCAGCGACATTGGTAATAACTCGTCAGGACAGTTCTGGTGTTCCGAAAATTATGCCATGCAAAAGTTTGGTGCTGCTTCTCCATTTTACAGCAATGCTTTCCGGTAAGAGTAAGAATTATTGATTAAAACACCAGATAAAGCATATTAATAAGGTTGAAGAATAACAGGGCGTCGCTAAGGCCAATAAAGGCGTATTGACGAAGAGTTGACTACTTTTGATGTTATATGCTTCAGAGCTAGAGACAATGTCAAATAATTTAAACTTATAATTTACTTGATTTATCAAAATTCCAAATAAATGTACGTTGGCCCAAATAGCGGTACTCCTGAAGGGGGAATATTCTTTGTTCGAATTAAGAAAACAGTCAAATGATTAGAAAGTGGAATTATCCGACTAGGCTGTATCTACATTTTCAAAAGAGTTATAAAGAAGAAGGTACTTTCTCTGTACACTGCCAGGGAGTTAGTCGATTTCCTTGGATACTGGCTGTCTCTTATTGTTTATAGATCAAGTCTTGTACCCAAGGTAGAATTCGATAGATGTGGGTTAAAGGGTGTATATGTGGATGATCAGAGTACACCTATTCTGTAGGTTTCCTCCAAAACAGGATCTCCCTTTCAACGAGTATACTCTTAAAACGAGTTTATCTCTTTTTTAAGGTTTCCACAATCATGCTTCAATATGCTTATATGTTTTTTTTAAATAGCATATCATTTGAAATTGCTCTTATTTGACTCCAGAAAAGACATTTGTTTCGAACGTTTACAGTTGGGCTAAAAAGAAATTGTCTTTTTGAAAGATATGCTCCATTTTACCTAAATGACCGGGGTATTCTTTCGATTTCCAATTATTGGTCTTAACAGCAATCCTTTAAAGGCACCTATTATTATTACAGAAATTAATGGACGTCAGAATTTTGGAATAGTTATCGATACCTCCGAGAACATGGGTCGAGAGAACTTCAAGCAGTCTATAGTTTTCATCGAAAGATTGGCCCAGCATATCAGTATTTCACTCGGAACGATCAGAATTTCAGTCTCAACCGTCGGTAATTCATTTATCAAACATCTCGGTGTCACTGAAAGTATCAACAGGGAACATTTCCTTGATAATTTGAAAAAATTAAGGTAATTCTCACATTTGCATAGGAAGTAAAAACTTTAATTTCCTTTCCTGGACCTAGAATTTTTTCTGCTTTTACTACTTCAGCAGGCTATGGTTTATACTCTATTTTTAGAAATGTAGCTACTTAGAACTATGATTTTAAAATGACCGATCTTTTATGATTTTTCTCTATTTATTTCAATGTTACATCTTCCGACAGAGAGTTAATGACCTTCACGAAGTAACGTCAAAGGTCACTAATGCTGGATCGAAGAGCTCTTAAAATTGACACCCACCCTAAACACTATGCCGTTTCTAACAATTTTTTTCTCTGTATATCCTAACAAAATGTCAAAGATCATTTGTTTAAGGTCAAAGTTCTTATGTGAGGTAATGACGTGCGCAAGCGTCCTTGCGATAGACAATCTTTCACCACACTATTACTTGTCTGCTCTGTTAACCTAAATGCTACATCCTGATAGAATGTCAAAGACCATTTGTGCAAGGTCAAACGTCATTTGTTTAGGGTCATTTCGGGCCAAAGAGATCTTATGACACATGATCCACCCAACGCATTTTCTGCTTTTGTAGCCTTTAAATATGTAACGATAATATGGGTTGTCTTTATATCAACAATGAGTTGTTCTTTCTTGTCCTTTTGAAGTTCCCCATTGATCTTTTAGCTGCTGTAATGGAGTCTCCCAGGCAAAGACAATGCTTAAGGCTATACAAGTTCTTGACAACGACGAATTTAATGACCGGAAAATGAATGTGCTCCTCTTATTCCTTGGCGAGAAATGCTTTAAAGAATGGGCAAATATGAAATTCGCTGGTCATCAGAGCAATAAAAATATTCTAGTTTTCACGAGCTCATATGATAGATACTTCACAAAATGCCTGGCCAATAATGTTACTTGCTTGAATATCAATTCATTTGACTCAAGCAAAACTGCATTGCAAGCACTAAATCTGCCTGGAGGTGAGTAACATTTTGAAGCTACTACCAATTAGCATTAAATCTGCCAAGTAGAAAGTGCCTCGGTACTAACAATAGCATTAGTTTTTATAGAAATAATTTTAGACCATCCATTCATTCCAATAATAACGTTTAATGAATTGCTCTGAAACAGTATACCTCGCTGGGCAGAGTGTAATATTTTATATGAATGATGTTTTAATTGGATGAATGATTTTATATGAATGATGTGTCCTCAATTAGCTTGTAAGCTAAATATTTTTTGACACATTAAAAAAGTTTTTGTTTGATTGATTGATTGATTGATTGATTGGTTGATTGATTGATTGATTGATTGATTGATTGATTGATTGATTGATTGATTGATTGATTGATTGATTGATTGATTGATTGATTGATTGATTGATTGATTGATTGGAATAAATGTTTACCGACCTGTCATTTTGTGCTTCATGGCGTACAGTTTGGGCTGTACGTGCTCACTGCCGGTGTCATATGCGTTATTCACAGCTAGGCCATGCATGTCCGCCATTACACTGTAGCACTTAAAGCGCAGATGTGTCTCAGCCATGGTCTCAGCCTATACAGAAACGCATGCCCATGCAGAAACGCATAGTACAACGGATAAATGTATCAAGGGTGAAACACGGAGTAGCAACTTGTGCTTGCTATACAGACTTAGAAGTTGGATTTTCGTGTTACTAGTTGCCTGATGGTCGCATTAAGCATAAAACTTGAAATTAGTATTTATTTTGGGTTGTGAATGAAAATGTACCCCATGATAATTCGTTGAAATTTGTTAGGCTGAAAAATACCTAAATAATTTATAATAAGAGGTTATGGCCGCAATATTGCTATTCGCTCATTTAAAGACATCTGTTTTTGTTTCTTATACAATAATATTGTTTTTATTTAAATTTATTCAATAATATATTGATTTATTGTGGAATTTTCTCTTAGATATAATTACGCAGTGCAATGTCACAGGAAAGATTTTTGACGAGTGTGGGCGACATTGTGATTGCGTTAATGGCACCATAACAAACTGCTACCGAATTCGCAAAGAGTTTACTCAAATGACAAAAAGAGAAAGGCGAAAGTACTTGAAAGCATACTTCAAGCTTACAACTAAGTTCCCATTCAAATACCGATACGAGAAGTTCATATATATACACCAGAAATACTTTTGTTACGGGATTCACTCAAAGCGTCTCTTTCTGCCTTGGCATAGGTTTTATATCCTTCAAATGGAAAACCTGTTAAGAGAGATTGACTGCTCTGTGACACTGCCGTATTGGGATTGGAGCTTTGTAGGCAATGACCCTTGGCAAAGCGAGGGTATTTGGAGCGAGGGTTCTTACGGCCTTGGAGGCAATGGCTCAGAAACGAACGGATTTTGTGTTTCTAGCGGTATGTTCCAACATCCTAAATGGAAAACGCCGTATTTCAACGACAACCTGGATATCGTGCTAAGCACTATTGACATCTACGGAGACTTGGAAGAGGATGAGGTTTTGCCAAATCTTTCAGATTGTCTCAGGCGTTATTTCGATGGACATTTGCCAGATTCTTTACACGTTCAGCGAGCACTAGGCCTTCCTCCGGAGAATTTCACTGATTTTGACCTCAATTTGCGGGTCAATTATCATGATACCATACACAATGCCGTAGGTGAGTTTTTGTTATGTTTTGTAAATTTTTGCAGCTTTTTGTAGAAGGTTTTTGTTGCCTTTCTCACACTAAGTAAAACTTCACTTACCACTTTCTTCGTTTCTTGTTTACCACTTTCCCATTTTTATTTTCTTCTTTTCACAATTGCAACTTCTGCTAAAAGCCCTTGCAACGACCAGTTACTCAATTAAGGCAATCAACTGACACTAAAGTGGCTACATCCATCTGTCGATCAAAAATTAGCCAATCATTGAGCATGATACCACTTATGCGCTTGTTGATTGGTTGATGTTGATTGATAGGTTAAGTCACTTTCATATCTGTTCGATGTTGTGAGTAATGAGGGACTGGAACGATAGTTGTTGTTGTTGTAATTAGTGAGCAAGAAAGAAGAGATGTTGAGTGGAGTGTATGGAGTGTTGAAGCGGAGATATAGGTTGGACACGTAGCAGAAGAGGTTTCATAGTTAGATAGGGGAATATTGAATAAGTAGAAAATCCGAATAATCGTTTTTATTTGCTTTCATTTTTGAAGGCTTCGTTACATCTGTAAATTGCTTTTGAATAATATTTTGAATAATATTCACCTTTCTGGCATAAAGACCCGACACCACACCACCATCCCTCCAAATGATATTGGCCGTACAATTTACTTTCCAAGCTATCGGTTAAAAATAAACTGGACAACCCAGAAGCTTTTAATATTAAATAAAGCAACATTATTTTGTTGTTAAAGGGATATGCAAATGGCAAATGTACCAAGATATTTGATAGGGGTTTTGGCAAATATTTTAGATGATGAATTGAGTATATCGTTAGAAACAAACAGCTTGACTTTGATGAATAAGCATTGAATAGCAACAATTGTTCCGATCTACAATTACAGAAGTGTAGCATATCTCGTTCAAGCATTCAGCTTCTTGCCATGCTACAATGCCTGCCAAAAGTCTTGGAACACTGACATAAATTTCCAAGGTCAAAATCAATCATCCCCCTCTCCCCCACGGAACAATGTTGGTTTACTATCAAACGTGTTAGGATTTTAGGAAGCACATTCTTTTGCGCTTCTTTTATGATATTTCTCTGAATCATCAACATTGTTTGAGGGGGAAGGGGGCGGAAGTAGCAATTTTTTTCATGAAAGGAATGACAGATATCAAATGCAGCGTAAATTGGTGGGTGTTCCAAGTACTTTTGGCAGGCATTGTAAGCGTACAAGATCCTACATGCCTGTAAGCTTGCCTCTATATACCTATACATTGATAATTGCCATCTTATTTACTTATTTTCTTTGCAGGCGGGACAATGTGCACACATTACGCGGGGACTGCTCCTGAATTTTTCCTCCATCACGCTTTTCTTGACAAAATCTGGTTTATGTGGCAGCAGAAAAGCATTGAACATAAACACGTCCATTTTGCCAAATCAAGACAAAAGTTAGTGGGGTTTTCACATACCGCTCATGAATTGATAGACTCCCATAGCCTACCTGGGCACGTTAAAGTCTCATACACGAAGTTCCCATACCCGAAGAAACTGAAACGAGACACAGCAAGTGAGGGTGAATACAGCGATGGTGAGTCACGTTACGCCAGTTTCGTGGCCTAAGCTAAGATTTTCTTAGCTCCATAGAGTCTAATAGCAATGGTCTTGAAAAGAGTTAACATTTTGGAACATGTTAGTAAAGCTTTTCGTCTGACACTCTTCAGAGTATATAAGGTCAGAACATCGACCCAGTTGTGGATCGAAATAGGCCATGCTTTATATATACCCGGCTTTAACAACTATTTCGATCCACAGCTGGGTATATATATATATATATAGAAATTTGTTTTTGATACTTCCGTAGCACAGTGCTCAATACGTTAGCACGTAGAGCGTGATATATCATAGATTTGAAGAAAGTAAAACTACATGGTTTATCTCTACAAGCCTGTTTCGTGAGTAACTCAGGAGACCTCCCGAAGAGTGAGTTACTCATGAAACAGGCTTGTAGAGATAAACCATGTAGTTTTACTTTCTTCAATCTATGATATATAAATATATATATATATATATATACTCAATCTGCAGACAGTACTGTTTTGCCCTTTGTGGGCTCATCAGTGCAGCACAGAGCTTGTCTGAGACACACTCCGAGCTATGCTGTCAGAGCAACAAGGCAGTTTAACGGATATATATATATATATACATCCTAACGTAGAGTTTTCGATCAATGTTCTGGTGTTTTTACTCTGAAGAGTGTCAGACGAAAAGCTTTAGCATGACTCAAAATGTTTGCTTTTTTCAAAGCCATTTTAAATTTCTGTACCACAAAAAGATCTGTCTAATAATAGTTCAATTAAAGATTTCCTATAATTCTACTAGAATTACCTCATTCGTTTTAAATTTGGTTTCACGTATTTATGCCAATAGGATTTTCATTTCCATATCGAGCATGCAGTTTGACCCCCAAATAGGTTAAGGATTTGGCTTTTATCTACGCTTTCGCTTAGAAATAGGATTAACTGAAACTTAACTTTATAATAGTGAGATTGATCACTATAGAGAGTAGATTTATTCAAGAAAGGGGCATGAATTCTTTTACTCGATACTTAGCCAGTATTTTTTGCAGTGGAAATCTTGATGGGGTCAGTTTTTCTTAGTTAAAGGGTCATAACTAAAATCTGCTTTTAATTAATCATAACATCTGGATTTAATTTCCGAAGGTCTAAAATAAAGCTCTTCCTTCCAGATGTCAATACTCCAACTGGAGCGATTTTCAGTGGCATAGTTCAAACTTCAAGTCGTCATGTATTCCCTTCGTGCAAACGCAAAAAAAGTGAAAGACTTAGAGCTGAATACCTCGATAAAATATTTTCAAGGAGAGGATATTGATTTTCAGATGTACCCGTGTAAGCATCTCGCGTGAGTTTGCAAAGGAGTCGCTAGCCAATGTGCTTCAGATCCCATGTGCCAATAGAAGTAGGTGAGCTATACTTTATTTGCAGACAAGTCTGAACATTGCAACCCAAAAAACTTTCACTTTTGCAACCCAATTTTTTCCAAGGGGTCGTGTCATAGTTAGTTTGAGGGAAGTTGTTGGTAAATTTTGATTGCCTAGCTTTTTGTCCTCTAGTTTTTTTGGACACCAATTGTGACTAGAAATTTTTTCCTTTTAACAATTTTCTTCTGGCACTCGCTTTGACCATAAAAGTAAATAAACATTGCCGATAAGACACCTCTACATGGCAAAAAACTTTCACTTTTGCAACCCAATTTTTTCCAAGGGGTCGTGTCACAACCCCCCGTGCCCCACTGTAGCGATGGCCTTGTGTCAAGGTGGGTTTCAATTTTACTCAATTGAGTAACTGTTTGAAGAGAGATTCAACCACGTGCGTAGATGCAAGAGGATACAGTTAAGAACTTTTTGGTTCGCAAAGTTTAGATTAGAAAGAAACAAACTTAATTAGTTTGTTTCTTTTCAATAATTGAATCAATTGTTGAAATTATTAGGTACAAGAATGCAGCAGGGTATTACTCGAGTCTCACGAAACATGTTTTCAAAGACAAGCTGTAAACTTATGTAAATAAACTCTTATTGGTGTAACCAGTCGTATTTAAATAAAAGCTAACCTTTTATAAGGCACAATCTTTCAAGTATAATTTACATACCCTAGTAAAATGACATGTCTACTGATAAGTTCTTGTTAACATTAACTGCCGTTCTAAATAAAAGGCTCTTGTGCAACCGGCATGCCTAGCGGTAGCTGTCTTTTTACGCGAGAAGAAAGTGACTGTGTTTTGTATTTTCATGCAGTACGATATTAGGCCGGTTTGGGAATTATAGTCGCAAAGCAGACCGGTTGCGCAGGAGCCTTTAAGCTTATTTTTAAATCTCATTTCTACGCTAAGTGGAATAAATATGCCATAGTTGAAATACATACTATATTTTTTAAACAAACACTTAAATAATTGTGATGTATAACCTTAACTAACATTCAAACTTAATACTTAGCGACAAACTATTTTTGCGAGTCATAAGATGAAGAGTTGCCCATTTTGTTGTTCTATAACCTTAATCTTGAGGGAAGTTGTTGGTAAATTTTGATTGCCTAGCTTTTTGTCCTCTAGTTTTTTGTACACCAATTGTGACTAGAAATTTTTTTTCTTTTAACAATTTTCTTCTGGCACTTGCTTTGACCATAAAAGTAAATGAATAGAATATTAACTCAAGAAAGTTTTATTGTAAAATGCCAAGAGCTCAGTAGAGTGATTTCGTGATTCATGATTTTGTTATGTACGTGACACTTTTGGAAAACGATGTATGCCAAACAGAGGCTTATAGATTCTTAAGGGTAATGAGCTTTTTGAATTGAAGGTTAAGCAGAGTGAACATGCTTGTTTGAGTGACCACTTCTGCTCTACTTCCTAGGTCAAAATATCTCATTTATGAGAAACATCTTCCAGGCACATCGAATGAGGGGTAGGGAAATTCCCCCTGGGTATTCGCCAATTTCTGTTTGGTTCCAGATCATAGTTATTCTTGCTATGTATTGGCTCGTTAAACAACAATGGCCTGGGCTCGTTCAGTTTCTTAGATAAATGTGAGTTGCTAGATCTAAAATTTGTGTAACGCTAAACTAGCTAAAACTTGTACAACTTATCAAAACAACATATACAAGATGCCAAATGTGAAAAAAGAAGTGCAATGTTAATATGTTAGTATCTAGTTAGTATTGATGTTAATATGTGACGATAAGTAATATACAATAAATGTCGCAGCTTTGATAAATTACAACTCAGCCAATGTTTATCGCTCGCTCTTTATTTGTTCCTTTTTAAACATACGTAATGCTGGTTCAGCAATATTGTGCATATGTATCCGCTGACACACTCTTGGCATCGCCGACAATCTCCTTGAGGGCCAACTGGCGAGCATTTCTTTGTACAGTAACCGTATCTGGTAGCTGAAAAGATACAGTATCTACTGACTCAGCAGTTCGAATTTAACATAAGACCCTTTTTCTGTTACCCTTGTTTATGCCAGCTTTGAAAAATATAAGTGTTTTTCTTAAGATTAAGGTTAGGCCGTATTCTGTACACTGCTTCAGTGAAGGGGTGGCGTCGTGGAAGACTAGGGGGCTATAGACTTCTTATTCGAGATGTTACCCAATTCCCCGCCGCACCCTATTTGGATGAAAACCTGTGTTTTGTCGGAGCAAAGCTTTGTTCATCAGATCGTAGTCAAATTGCATTGCAAAGAATTTTGCCCCACCCCATCATGCTCTAAAGTGGTAAAGTGGTCAGTTACTTGGGCGTAACTTTCTGTATGCGAAAAAGGGCTAAAGATTACCTGGGTGAAATCGTTTGCACATATATCCATTGCAGCAATCACTTGAAGATTTGCATGGACTGCTACAGAACGCTTGCCGACTTGATTTGCCAAGGCCTGGGTCTATGAAAGAATCTCCAAAGCTGTCGTCTAAACCGAATTCTCTCTGTAACAAAGTTAAAACGATTAATAGGTGCCAGTGAAGCACGAAATGATTTGTTATATCGTATGACATCATTAAGGATTAAGATAGAAGAGTTCGCAAGTATTTTTTGCTTCAAATTTTGCTGTATGCGTATTATATGAACAATGATGGCGAGTTTTTCTAATCTTTTTCAACAGATCCGGCATTAACGAAAATACTTGATGTTATGCAAAAACCAATGCTGATTACAGTTGAAGGGCTATACCAAAATTTCTAATGATTATGCGGGGCCTATCCGCTGTTTTAGGCCTGTCGAAGCAGGCTGTCGAAATAAACTTCGTATATATCCAAAGATAGCTGCTCGGCAATGCAACTGACATATTATGCGCATACAGCTTGGTATTGATATAGGACGATATGCTTGGTGTCATTGGTTTGAAGCAGGCAGTCGAAATAAACTTCGTATATATCCAAAGATAGCTGCGCGTCCATACAACTGAGATATTATGCGCATACAACTTTGTATTGATATAGGACGATATGCTTGGTGTCATTGGTCTGAAGCAGGCAGTCGAAATAAACTTTGTATATATCAAAATATAGCTGCTCGGCCATGCAACTAACATAATATGGGCATACAGCTTTGTATTGATATAGGACGACCTGCATTAATGTCATTGGTTTGGAGCAGGCAGTTGAAGTGTTTGATCTCAAGGAAGGAACAGTTCATTTCTTGATGTTTCTAAATTCGTGCTTAGATCTTCACCAAAAGCCACGTGAAATACCAACAGCATTAGCCATAACCAGAAAATCGCCTTTGCTTTTAATCCCATACGCTGACCTATCGTAAATTCTCAAATATTTATGCGATTTTGCTACTTTGACATAATCTTTTTAATTTTTTCTTTCTCCATTCGACGCCTATTAGGTATTCGAAGCATATCATGTCCGATTTTGGTAGAATATTCAAATATTTTCTATTTGCCACTAGGATGTGGTAAAAGAATTTCGAACAAAATAAACTGAAATCTTTTTTATAAAAACAATGGCATCTACGCACTGCCAATTCCTTACATATCTTTAAGCGACAACAAATTTGTAAGTGTTTTTATATTGTCTTAATTTTAGCAATTTATTAACTCAAGGGACTGCATCTCCAGTCCTCGCCCTGTACGCTTATAGAGACAGCATTGCTAACATATATATATCGTGTGCACAAATTTCAACAGCAGCATTTCAATATAGAAAACCCCCTCTCCTCGCTATTTCTACATATCTAAACTACTCTCGCCATCAAAGACATTCTTCCCTTCCCCTTTCTTTCTTTGTCTTTGCTTCCCCTTCATCACCCTATTCTTTTTCATCTTGCCCATTTCCTATTATTCTCGCTCCCCACCCCGCTGCCCTTTTCCTGCTTCCTTTTCTTCTTTTCCCTTCTTCTCCCTGTCCTTTTTTCACCTCGCCCCTTCTCACCACACTGCCCTTTTCCTTCTTCATTTTCTTCTTTCCCCTTCTTCAGCCCCCTTTTTTCGCTTCGCCCCCTTCTCTCGCCCTTTCTGCAAGTAGCAAAAACGACAAACCTGCGAGCTTCAATAGCTGTAATACATAGCTTTTGATTCTTACATTAACGATCGATGTGCAGAAACGGCAATTCTTCATACATTAATAGATTAAATTTGTATAAGGTGACGCAAAGATGTGTATGGGCGACATTCTGCCTTCCCGCAATTAATTCAATCAATTTTCACAACATTGCTTATCATACACTCTTTTTTATAAGGACAATTTTATAAGAACACGAGCCTCAAAATTGGCCAAAAGATAAGAACAAATTAAGAACAAGCTGAGGCTGAGCTTCTGCAAAATGCAATTTTGAACAACGTTTTTTCTGAAAACCGAGGATTTTTAGCGATATGTGGGTGCTTTTTCGGTGAATATTCAAATTTGTCAGCAAATTAAAGCTGTTTCACTCACTTTGTTGGCAAATGAGGCCTGTACACCACCCTAGAGCTAAAAAGCTAGCACTCGCACTGCTTACACCCTATCAGATTAAGAACATATTAAGAACAATCCAGCCTCAGATTTTCGAAAAAATTAAGAATAGCCAGCCTGAACTTAAACTAACTGGTTCTTATAAAAAAAAGTGTATCATCATAAAAAGAACCTCAATTTCCTGATAATCACTTATTCATGTAACTATGCTCGATGATTTTACCTGCTCTTGCGAAACGAATGCATTTCCCAGGGCCAAAGCAGTAGTGAATTGGAGAATTAATGCCAAATGCATTCTGATCTTCGTATTCCGTTTTTCTAATAAGCTATACCTGATAAAAAATGAAAAACAATTGAAATTACCATCACAATTCTTATTAAAATACACCTGGAATCCATTTTGCACCGTACAGGAAGATAGGAAGGAGTTCAGATTCAAAGTGGAGCAATTTCTCTAATTAGGGATACCTGGCCGACTAATCGCAGCTGATTTAAGAAGAGATGCATCGCATGTATTACTTTGGTATCGTCTCGTTGTACTGATACATTGGCATAGAAGCAATAGCAAAATGGGGCAGGAGCAGGGGCAGGGGCATGTCATTCTTGTGATTTTCTTGATTTCCGTAATCCCGACTGTTGGCCATTAATTCTGTTCCTCCCCCTCCATAGACATCAACACAATATCAATCCAACGTCAGGCATATATTTTCTCTACACATTCGGTTCGTGCGTGAACAAATTTAACTTCTTCTAAAAATTTCCCAGATGGAGACAGTTATCAGTGTGCCTTTTAGAGTGCATTTCTCTGGAAAAACGGTAGCTCGTTCCGAACACTGTTGCTTATCAACCTAAAGCTTGGTTTCTCTAAGAAACGATGTTACTTTGCAAATTTCCCTTACAACATATATCAAAGAATAATATTATAGACAATACTACGATAACCATAATATTATGATAATATTTCACACTGGTCATTAAAAATACAGTAACTTGATGCAGCACAGATTGTATGGCTCCTCAAAAGCAGCAAGAAATAAAATAGAATTGGTTATTTCCATAAAAAGTTCATATCGCTGGTGTAAACATTGATCCTTAATACTTTATTACACAAATATTCTTTAATAAGCATTATAGTATCACAAAACAAGGTTACCTTGTGATATCGACTGCAATCAGAGACACCAACAGCTTGTGCACTGGGGACCGAATGAAGCTCACTTTCACTGCTCAGCACGTTTAAATCCTAGTATGATTTATAAATATTTTAGAGATTACGACAAATTCCCGGTTCCTGGCTGACAACAAAAAAATTAATTCCTGCTTAAACAGATGTCCCCTCTATTACGTGAACAACTAATATTTACGTAGTTGTTAAAAATATTTATCTTCGATGACACGAACAGTGTATAACGGATGCATGGCTTCTGTGAATAATCATTGGAGAATTACTTTGGGACAAAGGGCTCCATCACCTCAGCCAGATCCTCAAAGCTTATAGCTCAAACAGAACATTTTTGATTAGAAATTTGTTTTGCTAATTAACAGCTATTTCCATACGGTTTACTAATTCTGCACCTAAATTGTTGAAATGCCATTTTTGTAATTAGACCAACCTCTAAATCGCAGTATTCAACACAAGTGAACAGCTGCTCTAACGTTTTGTTTGATTATTCGATTTTAGAGAATGGTTTTCATTATCAATCAATCTTCCTTTTTAGGTATGTTCCCAGATGCTCCTTTTCAGCGAATGCACTCTTTATCTATATAAACCCACTAATGTAAACGATTTCTAAAACAATCCGGATATAGTCCACTCCAGTGGCGTGGGCAGTGTTGGAGATCGAGCTTTTTGAATGGGTTGACAAGCGCGATGAATTTTCTAAATTTCTTCATGGAGCTGCTTTTCACTTTTCAAATTTCCAATTTAAACAGTGCCCGATTTTCAGTTACATCTCCGACTCTGTTCCAGTTGGGTAGCACATGCCCCCTTTTTATAACTGGGTTTAGCGATGGGGTATAGTTGGGCAGTTCCAGGTCATTTTTTGTTAGGCTTTTTAACTCTACTGTTGAGAAAAAACCAACAACAACGGAACGGTATTATAAGAGCCCTTCGTTTGTCTTCAGTGTTAGCATTGGCGTTGTAGACTTTGAAGTTTCACGGGATATAGAGGGTGGTGTGGTTTTACCCAATAAGAATGAGAATACTCAAAAGCAATAAAACTCAGTCGAAAATGCAGGGCACAACCCCCTAGAATCTATGCACTATGGCATTATTATAGCATCAAGAAGTGGTCAATCTAAAGATGTCGTAATGAAAAACATGAAACTGGCAGCGTTGGCTAGGATCCTAGCTGCAGAGCCGCACTCGTGAAATTTTAGGTGGCTAGTGAGTGCATGCATCTTTAGAAAACATCCATGCGAAGTAGATACACTATTATTTGTACCACACAAAATCTGCACCTACGTGCGCATTTCAATTCGCAAGTGCTCGAATTGTGGAGCCTTATCCGGGGGGGGGGGGTTGCTTTACCATGGAGAAAAATTACGAGGATTTGCCTTACACAATGAATTTTTTGACCCTATCCTTATAAAATATTCTGTAGACAGCCCTGGAATAATTGCTTTTATTCCAAAATTTGTGCTTTAAGAGAATAACGCTATAACGAATTAAATAAAATGAATGAAATAAAAAATAAAAAATTGACAACATTTCCATTTTCATGACAAAACTGACCTGTCCTGGAAAAAGAATCTTTGATGGGCATACCTCTGCTAGAAAAAAGACAGCTCTTTCCCAGAATTTTCAGCCGAAAATGAGGCTGTTTTAGAAGAGACATCTCGGTAGTCAGTGTATTACGTAAACTCCCTGGGGCCTCGTCCAAGTGTCATTTTCATTTTATGTTGGATGGCTGAAATCGAAAGATAGAAGGCAAAAACTGACAGAGAAAGAGAAACGTCAGCATTTTCAAGGGATGTACACAGAGGCATAAAGTGTTACCCTAGACAACCACACGAAAAAGATAATAGTCGAGATCAAAAATAAAAATGTTTTAAGATTCAGGACTGGCTGACTATTAACTATAATTCTTATGTTGTGTTAAGTTTTCGTTTTGATTTGAATTTCTTATAGTTTTACCAAACGATTCCTTATATTTTCCGAAAATTTTTCCAGCGGGTCGATTTTTTTACAACACCACAAAATTGAAAATACAACACCACAAATTAAATTTACAATACCACAAAACGATAACAAAACCACGTTAGAAAAACCCCTGGGTAGTTCAACATAACAAGGAAAGGGTGCGTCCCCGATTAATTTGTAGGGGCCTCAGTGTTTTTATCACTCACGTTTCTTAAGGAAGAAATATTGGCTTAAAATAAGCTTTCTTTACGTCAATGATTTGTTCACAAGGAAGTTGGATTAAGAAATTCGTGCGTGATGGATGAATTAAGCTATGTCACGTATGCACGTAATTTTTAAAAAACATCTAACCTTGCCTACCAAAGGCAGAGATGGGGGCAAGATTGGCCCGCTTCTAGTAATGGCAAACGACAAAGAGCAATCCAATATAGTCAAATCTAATGTGAAAAGCTGATTTTTGCAAATTCATTCCTAAATAATTTTACAACTAGCAAAGTCGCCTAATAAATTGCTGGCAGCATCCCTCTAACTTGCCCAAATCTACAAAGCATGTGAAAATACGATACTCTTTCCTATAAGAACAGCCCTTATAAGAAACACCAAGCTGGGTTTGCCCAAAAAATTAGAACAACATAAAAAACAAGGCAGGCTGAAATTCAAAACTCAAGAAATAAAATACCAGCAAAAATTTAAAGATGAATGAATAGGAACAGAAAAACAGAAAGCGATAAGCAAAATGGCATTAATTACTTTATCAAGCGCAAGCTATGTCCAGACACTACTATGCACTGGAAATTTCATTAAAAAGATAAGAAACAAAATAAGAAACACGTCAGGCTGAATTTATGCAAAAAAATGTGAAAGGCCAGGCTGAAACTACCCTGGGTACCAGACTCAATATAGTGAGTCTGGTACCCAGGGTAGGCTGAGACTGGAGCCAAGTTTTCTTATTAAAAAAACGTGTATACGATAAACTATGTAGGACTGGCGAAACGCATTTCCGTGTTTAGGGGACAAAATGGCAAGTTGGTGGAAGGGTTTAATAAAAGGGTAAAAGCTGTCATCATGGTTGGGGGCCAGTGGCGGCGCCAAGGGGTGGTATGGGGGGGTAATTACCTCCCCACTTTTCTGAAAATATGGTCTATATATTTCTTTTAAAAATGGATTAAAAAGCGCTGGGTAGGGGTAGATCAAATTTTCCAAGAAAAGGGACGAATCACTAGAACAAGGCAAAATGGGCGTGGTCATACTGGCCACGCCCATTACCCTCCCACTCTGTAATAGCTGGCGCCGCCACTGTTGGAAAAAGACTAGAAATATGGTATGCGAGGGATTGTGAAATTCTGCTCCTAAACCGACTTCGACCGAAAGAATATCCAAGGCAATAATATCAAACTTTCTTTTATCATTACGCCCCACAGTTTTATTCATTTTGATGTGGGCATGAAATAGAAAAGGTCTTGCAAGACTTTCTAGAATAGCCGTTTGCTACTGAGAGAGTCCCTCATTAAGAATTCTCCTACATAAGAAAATCCTCTTGAGTAAATAAATTAATCTTTTATTCTACGTGAATTGTCGTATGTAGTTATTCAAGTTGTTTAATTTTAGATTATTTTTATGTAGTGAAATTCATAATGAATGAATGAATGAATGAACTGAATTCAACTGCAACGAGTATAATTGAATTTTTTGTACACGGTATTGGAAACCAAAGATGGATCAGAAAATTAAACAAAACACAGCTTTATCAATTAAATATGGATATAAGAATTCAAAAGAAAAACTACAAGTTGGGTTATTTTGGGAAAAAAGTGTTTGTAATATATTCGACACTAGACTTAAAAAAATCTTTCAAACTGGGCTGTCCAAATGGTTTGTGAATAGAAATCATCACTACGTCTAAAATTTTAGTCAAGTTACTTCGATATTGTTTGTTTGTCAAGAAAGAACAGTCTGCTTTGCCCTGCCTATTTAAATCTCCCTCTACCATGAAATATTCGCCTAAAGTTTTATAGTTAGCGTTTCTTTTCTTGCTCTGCTGTGCAGCAAGATTGTCAATAGAATCAGACTTCGAAGCTTTCTTGAATATACTCACCAAAAACAAATCTATCAATTCTTCTTTTGACATATTCTCACATATTTTATTCTATCCATAGTCCATAATCTACGAAACTCCTTAATTTGAGTTATCCTGGATCGGTCTCTCCATCCATATCCCATACCAAGCACGCGTCCCAAAGGCCGTACAACGGTTTATAGTAAACAATATCTGTTTTGATAAGCTGTTACCCGTACATAGCCCAGGGGCGGATCCAGAGCAAATTTGAAGGAGGGGCAGTTGGTAGTGGGGGCGCTAAAAATTTTTCAAAAATTAGTTACGAGAGTACGCTGTTACCCTGGGTGCCAGAGCCTCAGAGAGTCAAAGGATGAAGAACGGGGGAAGGAATTGCGAAGGAGAATGGAATAGTAAAAGGCCCCTTTCTTCTTCCATTCTCCTTTGCATTTCCTTTCCCCCGTTCTTCATCCTTTGACTCTCTGAGGCTCTGGCACCCAGGGTAGTACGCTGTATACAACAATTTCAGATACTTTTTCAGAATAAACAACATAACTTTGAGGTAATCCTTGAAGCAAATTAACCTATCGGTCAAAGAACCTTTTTCATCTGATTCTCATTCTACAAAAGGGGCGCACAATTTCCAAAAAGGGGCGCCAGACTTGCTTCAACTCGTTGAGGGAAGGGCAACTGCCCCTAGTTGCCCCCCTTTAAATCCGCCACTGACATAGCCTGTGCTCCAGACAAGTAACTTGATTCAGTTTCTTCGATAAACTTCTAAATATTTAAATGGGGATGTCATAGCTAAGGGGTAATTTAAGGAGATGTTAAGCACAATTAGTTACAGAAAGTTGGATTAGAAAAGTTTTGTTGGCTCTGCAGAAATGAAGGGGGAAAAGGCCCCCATGCCCCCTGGTTTTTACGCCGGTACAGCATACCAGTAACAATCTCTTGGTCAGCTTTTTTCGGGATTGTATAGTGACTTTTGTTTGTCTTAGGCTTGCCCCCACCGATAACTCTTTAGAATAGGCCATTTACTCCTCTGATAGTTTAATTACCGTATTAGTTATATATTGGTAAAGTTACAGTCCTTCCTTTTATTGATTTAAGAAGGTTTTACTTGAAATCCAAAAAATTAAGAAACTGCAGCACTAAGAGCAAAGGAGATCAGAAGCAATTGAATTAATAAAACAGAACTCCAACACAGTGACTAACATAGATTAGGGCACCTTGATTCGATAACCAAGACCCCCGATAAAAAATGCCCCCAAAAATGTAGATTCTTTAGCTGAAGCAAAAAACTCAGATCCCCCCAGCTAACGGGTGCGATTTTCTTGCAGTCCGTAAATAGGGATCCCTTTCAGTTTTTTCTTAGGGCCTCAGATACCTGTGTTACGTCATTGCTCCAACATTTCATTATTTTTCATTAATGTTATTGACCGGCTGGTATAACCTATAGAGATACAAACAATTAAAAGGCTGCATACAAACTCTCCTTGAAGTTGGGATGATTGATATTCCGTACGGTGCGAGCTCGTCCGCGTTTCATTGACGCGCCATAGCAACAAGAGAAGCCAAACCACAGGAAGCAACGGGTTTCTGCGAATTCAATTTATGTGTTAAACTATTTAGACCCATATAAGGGTGTTATTTCGAGCTTAAAGATGTGGCTTGTCCTGAAGACTTAGACCCCGTTTACACTGTCCCGTGCAAGTTTGGAACCGTGACAAAACTGTCGCGGTTCGCCCTTCCGTTTACACTAGCACTGTGGAACCGTGACGATTTTGCTCTGCTATCCGGAACAGTTTGGACCCTGCTTTGAAAGCGAACGAATTTTGTACCGTCACGGTTCCGTTTTTGAACGGGACAGTGTAAACACCTATCCGAGACGATTTTGTCACGGATTCACAAAGAGGTCTTTTGTATGGCTGTTTCAGGTAATCGAGGCTTTGATTGTGGCGTAACTACGTTGTCAAATTCTGAAGAAAAGGAAATTCTGAAGAAAAGACAACCACAGAAAAGGCTTGTATTGTTTCCCAGTCCAAGCCTTGATTGGACTTTGCAGCTTTGTAGTCTAAAATAACACTGAAAATTAAAGCCACCTTGTCGTTCGTCCAAGTAAAGTTTTTATCGGCCTTTCACTGCATTTTAACTCCAATAAAAATTCGATTGTTGACTTCGGCGGCAAAATAAAAGCCTTAGTTGACTAAATACAGCTTCTTCTAAACAATGTTCTGCCATTAAATTCTGAAGCCATTACACTGTACTGGTACAGTGTAAACGGAACGGCTAAACGAAACAATTTGGAACCGCGACAGTGTAAACACTTGCGAACCGTAACGGTACAAAATTGTCCCGGGACAGTGTAAACGGGGTCTTAAATGCACCTTGAATATGTATAACAGAGCCTATACAGTCAATCCTGTCTATATTAATCTCGTGTTGTTCGAAATTTCACTAATTTGAACAAAATTCGAACCAAATTCGAACCAAATTTTCAGGTTCCTTGAAAAACTCCTGACAAACGCCCTCTGTAATTCAAATCTATATACACTCTTTTTTATAAGGACAATTTCATAAGAACACGAGACTCAAATTGGTCAAAAGTTAAGAACAAATTAAGAACAAGATCTACTGTAAAATGCAGTTTTGAACAACGTTTTATCTCAAAAACGAGGATTCTAGCCATGTGTGGGTGCTTCTTCGATGAATGTTCAAACATGTCGACAAATGAATGTTGTCTAACGCACTTTGTTGGCAAAAGAGGCCTGAACACTCCCTAGAGCGAAAAAGCTAGCAATTGCACTCCTTACGTTACGCCCTATTAGTTTAAGAACAAATTAAGAACAATTCAGCCTCAGATTTTCTAAAAATCTAAGAACAATCAGCCTGAGCTTAAATTTACGGGTTCTTATATAAAACAGAGTGTGATTCGAACTTTTCCTTATTCCACCAATTTTTCGGTCCTCACAGGAAAATAACCTTTCTAGATCGAGCTTTCTGCCAGTTTTAAGAAATAAGCTTATCATACTATTTGAAATAAAGACTTTATTTAATGAGATTCCCTAAAAATTGACGATATTTGAATTATTGGCTGCTATTTAGGTCACTTCCTTCAGTTTTTTGGGGGGAGATGAAAACCCTAAGTTCCAGGAATCCTAGCCTGCCCCGTACCGAGTCCTGAAAGACCAGCGACAAAGCATACACGTTTTTGTAACAACACGTGGCTACATTTTCAGCCTGGTGTTTCTTATTTTTCATATTTCCAGCCTCATGTACTTCTTATTTTGTTTCTTATTTTTGTAATGGATTTTCCTGTGCATAGAAATGTCCGGACTTGACATGTGCTGTGCTCGATAAAGTAATTAATGCCATTTTGCTTATCGATTTATGTTTTTCTGTTGCTATTCTTTAATTTTTCAATTGTTGCTGGTATTTTATTTCTCGAGTTTTATTGAATTTCAGCCTGCCTTGTTTCTTATGTTGTTATTATATTTTGAGCAAATCTCAGCCTGATGTTTCTTATAAGGGCTATTCTTATAAAAAAATGTGTATTTTGTTATGCAAATGTAAGTTTCTTCGAAGTGGTTTATTATGGTACTCCCTTGAAGAATGGTCTAGATATCAATAATTTTCTTGGAAAACAATTTGTGGCATGGGTCAGTCTCCACTCGACTGTTACATACACCTGCTTTGATTAAGTTAGTGCGCTTTATAGGTAGAAAATATATGTTCGTTTGGGAAAAAGCTTATTACGAACTTGATCAACATTTCATGCCATATTCTACCCCGAATGCATTCTGTTTCTATAAGAAAAATTGAGGTTCAGATTGGCTGTTCTTAATCTTTCTTAAGCTTCGAGGCTAGGGATGTATAAATCTAGGGACCGCAGAAGCGGGGGAAGGAAGCAACGAGGGCGTTTGCCCCCCCCCCAAATACTTTCTAAAATGTACTTAAAATCATACCAAAAATCGCCCTGCATTTGGTTCTCAGCATGTTTAGCCCCCCGAAAACGTTTTATAAAGCTTTGTTAATAAGGTCCTTGTATAAAGCTGGTAAATTGACTTATCGATTGCAATGTTTCCCTATATTCTCTAGTTCCCCAATTGCCATACTTCCCAATTCCCCCTTCATTCCTCTATTACCCTATTTTCCTGGGTCCCCTAAACACCCCGATTCCGTTTCCCCATGCTCCATTCCATGTTTTAGTAATAGCCACGTTGATATGAAAAAAAATTCAATTACGCCTGGTTGCACTTCTTGGAAGACATGTCTAAGTGTAGCAAAATTTCTAGGAAAACAAATACTTTTGTTTACGAATTGTGAAGACGTTTTTTATAAGAGTAGCAAGGCAACCAGTCTGCCAGACAGATGCAGAAAGCTCGCTCGTTCAGTTGAAGCTCGACTTGAAGCACAGCTTGTTCACTTGTTCACTGAATTTTTCTGCGTCAACCAAAGATGGCAGATTTGGCTGAGGAGACTCTCAAAGCTGCAGCCAACAATGCAAAAACAAATGCGCCTACATCCCAAGTTCATGATACACCAGAAGGACGTCTCGTTGCTGATTGTTGCCTGATCATAATGGCATTGATACCAATTTACATCGGATCTTTTCGATCTCAGAAGCGCAAGGACCATCCTAACGCACTAACGGTTTGTGTTTATATGATTCCTACGTGTGTACACGTTTTTTTATAAGAAACCTAGCTTGGGTCCTAGTGCTAAAAGTTTCTAAGGCAGCCTTTCCACTAGCCTGGGTTAAAACCAGTGGCGGCTCGTGTATTGGGGCTAGTGGGGCTCAGCCCCACCAAAGATTTCCAAAAATAAGCTTTAGATTTATAAACGTAAATAAAATCAACGTCCATTATTAATTTAGCACTGTTCACTAATTTCGTTGCTTCGAGTTTCACTGTTTGTCCATTCTCTAGTTTGTTTAGGTCCCACTGCCCGCGGTTCTTTCGAAAACTGAACAAACACGCGTATCAGAAACCATCTCCCGAGCTTTTGGGGCTAGCCCCAAACTAGCAGAGAATGCACTACCCTGGGTACCAGACTCACTATATAAAATAATAGAGAGTCTGGTCTAGTGCGCCCCATTCTCGTTCTGGTGAACTTACTTGAAAGAACTGAGGTCTATTTAACAGACTAGGCCTGTGAAACAAGACTGTCAGATAAATAACGAAGAAACTCAGTAGTCAAAGGAGTTTTGGGAAATCTTAAAGCAAATGTGTTTTATTTAGTTCTTTAAAGTCGACATTTTTAATACAGTGGTAATAGACTTTTCTGCCTCAAGATAACAATCAAATCAGGTTTAAAACGCCATTTGGCAGCAAAAAACATGTGCGAAGCATGAAATCAAAGTTAGCACAATGCAGTTATTAAATGTTAATCATTATCAAATTTCGCATACAACTTAAAATAAGTCTTTTGTAATTTTCCTCATAAATTGTGAGTACTTTGAACGTCTACTTCCTCACTGTGAAGGCAGCGTGCTTGGACACCGCGGCGGTTAGAATCATCACGTTGGAAGGTCACCACAGCAAATATGGCCAATACGACAAGCGAAGCCCCGTATGCCAGGCGAAATATTAGCTATAACTGATTAACTGTGTTTGTTGTTATTTGTTCTCGGTGCCTTGCGGTGTTTCTTATCTACTGCATTTCACTACAAGGCCTAATTTCTTTGCAACGAGAGGCACAGCCTGAAATATCAGAGACTTTCAAAAGCCAGTTGGCAATATGGCGAAGGTGTCTCTTCTCTTTACAAACAAGGCTTTCAATGCTGTTCTGTGTTCAGTTCCACAACATGCGGAAAATATTCTTTGAGTACAGTTTTTACAGCATCTTCAAACTCAATCGTTACGGTCGCTAGCATTTATTTATGTTCTGTTCTGTTCAATGTTTTATACCAGAGCTAAGTTTATTGTTTCGCTGTGACCTTTGAACGTACAGAAATCTGTACACTCGCTCCTGATTGGTTAATATCAGCACACCAGAACGAGAATGGGGCGCACTAGACCAGACTCTCTATTTTATTTCATATATAGTGAGTCTGGTACCCAGGGTAAGAATGCACCAATCAAGTGCCTCTCATGACTCGACTATTCAATTGATGACTGCCTTCTGATTGGCCAATTCTGCTCGAATCTGCATTCCTTAGGGGCTAGTTGAAACTAGCCCCAAATAATTCAATTCAATGGTAGCTGAATTTTTGTTGTTGTGATAGGCAATGTTGATCTTGAAGTGGAACGCAGCAAAGTGGCGTGTATTCGATGACTCGCATTTTCAGCTTTAAAACTTTGAAATAAAGCATACAAGTTAGATCTTTATCAGAATTAATTTTGCCGATCCTGAAATAAGCTCAAAATGGGAAGGCTAGGCCGTAGGCCTTCTAATGGCATAAAGCATATTTCCAATGCAGGCTTTCAACTGGAACAATTTTAGCTTCACAGCATATGGAAATTAATCAATTAACAGTTTGAATTTTTATTCTTGAAAAAAATTTTAATTGCCATGATATGCAATGCAAAAGATATCGTCTACGGGTTGGCCATATTCAAGTTGTCTATGTTTTTATGGACATCCCCCACGAACTCCCCTTTTTGTGAAGAGAGAAACGGTCCAGCGGACTTGAATAAATAAAGTTGAGCACACCAACATTCCACATAGTTTATTACTTTGCTTATTAAAAAATTATACATGATTGATACTGGCACTTGTTTTTTTTTCAATCGAAACTTTCAAAATGATGACAGCCTTGTTGATTAGAGGTAGTAAAGAATGGAAAGGCTTTTTATTATTCTTGGCGTTCCGTGTCTATGGCTTTAGATTCGAATATTACGTCATCAGCCCCACCAAAAATTTACCCCACGAGCCGCCACTGGTTAAAAAATATCCGGGTTAAAAGTTATCCGTTTCTACGTCGCGTTCCCACTAACCCACTTGAAAAACGGATAAGTTTGAAAACGGGTCTCAAAGTGGATCAGTTTTTACCCGGGTATCTTTTGACTCACCAGCGAGTTAATGGAAACGCCGAACCCGGATAACTTTTGATCCACTTGCAACAACAGCAACGTTTAAAAATTGAGACGGCGCCAAAAATCAAAAACAAAATCCTGGATGTCGATGTTGCTTCCATTGGCCTACAACGATAGAAATTGAAAGATTTTTGATGCAAATACTGATTTCTCTTACAACTTTTCACCCTGGATACATTTTAACCCGGCTTAGTGGGAACGATCAAAAATGGATGAAAAACGGTTCGAAGAAAAGTGCCGTTTCCATTGACTCACTTTAAAAACGGATAACTTTTAACCCGGGTAACTAAAAGTTTCCTAAAGGTTTTTTTCTAGATAAGCATTTAACATCAAATTTTGCGCTTTCCCTCGCATATTAATTGTATTTAAGTTTATAACACAACAGTAAGATTTGATATCGTATCTCTTGTTTATTATTCGTATGGAAACGGGGGTACTTTTTATCGAGACACCCAGTACAGTGTGCTTAAATTGTTGTAATACGGGAACAGCCTATTAAGCAAAGTTATCGGAAACCCACATGCTATTACAAGTAGACTCAACATCCCGTGTTACTCTAAATAAAAATGTGAACAATTTTTTGCGGTACAGAATTTGAAAATGGCTTTGAAAAAAGGAAACATTTTACAACATACTTAAAGCTTTAAGTATGTTGTAAAATGTTTGCTTTTTTCAAAGCCATTTTTAAATAAAAATGTGTTAGCAAATTTAAATCAAGCAAAAAACGATTGTTGACGTATTATTTTCCGGCTCAGAAAGTTATCTGATTTTCTTTCGGAGTTTATTAAAAATAATGATTTAGTTCTAAAAGTTTCTTAAATTTTTAGGGCTCTAGTACTAGGTTTCTCATAAACCGGTTTCTTATAAAAAATGTGTAGATATGTATTTTTCTATAACTGAATCCCGTTTAGTCGTACCTCTTCGGACTTTCATTATTAAGTCGGACTGACTTTAAATTCCCACTCGATTTTTCTATCTTAAGGCCGATTTCCATTAGACATTTTTTGTGCGCGCGGGTGTAGCGCCCAAATCTGAGCATGCGTAGTTAAAATCAAGTGGTCCCAAATTTGCGTCCGCTGTGAGCGCTAGAAAGTTGATAGGGTCTCAACTTTTTTGTGCGCTCGGCCACTTGACAGCAGCACTTAGCTACGCATGCTCAGATTTGAGCGCTACGCCCACGCGCACAAAAAATGTTGATTCCCGTTTAATCGGACCTTCAAGAAAGTTAGGAAATGGTCTGAAAATGAAAAAAAAATCAATAAGAATTGAAAATCAGTTCGACTTAGTGAAGTTCGAGTTATCCGTGGTGCGGCTTAAGGAAGTCTAACTGTACTTTTATATTTATCTCTTGAACGAAAATCCCCTTAAAGACAGGTTTTAATAACATTTTTGTTTTAATAACATTTTTATTGCACAACTAGCGGTGGAGCGCTCAATCCAGAATGCTTCTGCTCCCAAACAAAGAATCTCAGAATTTCGCAAGGATTTTAAAACATTGATAAATTTATGATGGGAGCCATATTTTATATACTTTTGCATATAATCAACCTAAGCATATAATCAATAATGTTGAACGATGTCTGCATTTTCTTAGAAGAACCTTTCCTCTAAAACGCGTAGTATTATCTAAGATTAAAAAACCAGAGTTTTAAGTCTTCTAACAATCGTATAACAAATCGCCCTTAGTAGTGTACCAAAATCTATGTATGAGCATCGAATGTATAACTTTCGAGTCGAAAAAGGGAAAATTTAATAATAATAATAATAATAATAATCTCTTTATTTACAGTTACAGTTGAGCAATAGTTAATATACAAAGATAATTATGTAAGACTAATTAATACCAACTATTTATATGCATGAAAAGAAAAAAGTACAATATTAATCTACCTATTTACATATTTTACAGCTACATTTGTCTCCCTTCCAGGCATTAATGCCTTTTTCAATTTGGATACGTTTTCCACACTTTTTATCGTATCAGGCAAGGTGTTTCAGAGAATGCTCCCCCCGAATGTCAATGAGTTTATCCCAAATGATATCGTTTCGGTAGGCGGAAGTTGCAGCGTATTTTTTATTCGTAAATTATAAGTCAATTCCCTCTGTACGAAAAACTCTCTCATGAACGAGGGACTCTTTAAAAATTTCTTGAAAATTAACCTTTACACTAATATGTTTGGAAGATTATTTTGTATTAATATCTTAGATCCAAATGATACATGGCGTTTAATAAAACAGTTTTTTAAATTCTAGACAAAGTTTCCACATTTTTGCTTCGTAGTGCACTCAGAACTTCGAAAATCCCTAAATCTACAGGAACCGCGAAGCAGGGGTTCGGGGGTGGCTATGATGACCAAGAAATTTACTCAGTCAAACCTCTTTTTGTTAAGTTTTAGCCCCCCCCCCCCCTCTCACTTTTCTCAAGGTTCTGTGGTGCTTGTTCTAACATACAGTTGTATTCCATTTCAATAGTTCCAGACTGGGGGAAATTTCTTTAGTCGAAATTTATATATCAAATGGAAACTGTAACTTTGCAGGCACTATTGTTTCCATGACAACTGGGGCTGAAATAGGCCTTACCATGATAATGACAACGAGTTTCTTTCTTTCTTATTTATTGATAAATTTAAATAGACAGAATTTTAATATTTCATTGTCCAGTGAATTTACTATCATTTTCCTGGGTCGCGTTCTCATATTCTACTTTCTCTATTCCTGGCAGATATTTGGCCACAGTATTGAAAGATACGGCAAAGAAGATGCCTTTAGAGAACTTATCGAATTTAACGTCGTTCTTATGGCCCTTTATACTGCTTTCAAGGTAAGTAGTTTTATTTGTAAAATATGACAGGAAGCAAGCATTACATAATTATTAATTCTATGCACAGTTAATACATTTTCATATTTTTAAATCGCAAATTCCATCTAATTAACTGGCTGTTTCAACTTGCTTATCAAGGCTTGGTTTTTAAAATCTTTGCCTACCATTTTATAGCAGCAGTTACTTTTTGCCCTAACAATAGTTCTAATAAGTGTTTATTACGTTTCAGGAAAGTGTAGTCAATCTTTATTTAGCTGTTAGAGACCCCGCCTGAGATCTTTGAATAGAGTAAAAATACGTATTAGTTGTGAACTGTAGATGGTTAAAGCAATGAAGGAAGAAAGGAAGATGTAGCCGGGTGAAGGCATAGAATGAGATAAAAAAGAAAATACGCGCACATCGACATTTCATCTAGATAGCGTTCAGTTATGATATAGTAAATAATAGCATGAACTATTTTTTGTTAAGCACTGCGAGAGAATTTTCCGCCCCTCCCCGAGAAAAGATATTGCTTTCGCAATTAGTTATTTTCTTTCATGAAGAGCCCTAGGAGCCTGGAACACAGGCCATGACGTAAAGACAGAGCTGTACACGCTTGGTGTATAGAACAGGACAGTTGTCAGTTGCAACTCCGAGTTACACGCTTAATGTCATCATGCTGTTCTTTGATATATTATATTTTTTACAGGTTTTTTCTTTAATAAAAACATTTGTTAAACATTTATATTGCCCAGACAGAATTTAGATATTTCATTGTCCAGTGACTTGTAATAGAAATAGCTAATTTTGATGATCCATATTTTGGTATCTAGGTTAGCAGAAACGAATCCGTCCATCCCTTGATCCTGGTTTTCCTCTACATTTTTGCTGGATATCGCATTCTCCCAGATGTATGGAGGTAAGCACTGGTGCGTTATGCGCTTAGAAAGGACAATGATATTAAAATCTTTTAGGCAATTGCAATAAAACAATATTAAGAAGGACAAATGACAACATATTGATATCATAAAGGGGGCCGAATCTCCCAATTCCATGAGCGTGCTAGCGGGGAATGTAGGGGCTGTGACAGCCCTAAAATCTAAACGAGTTGCTCAGCTGGTCCACAAAATCTCCGATAGGTCGGTAAAATCTATCGGTAGGTGAAATCGCACCTAAAATTTGCTTCATCTATGTCTTTATTGGTAAGTTTTATTATTTATGAGCTCCCCCTCCACCCCTAATCTGGATGCCAAAACCCTGTTCCTACCCTAATACCGCGGGCCTCTACTACAGCACTCAGAACCACTACATCTCTGAGTAAGATAAAGGCGGCGATAGATACTCCTAAACTAAAAGTTTAGGATTATTTTGCAAATAAAGATTCAGTAGTTTGAAAGGCTCAAAATTCAGAAACTTTTTCTTCTACATTTTATTTTGGAATGAAAAATCATGGGATGACTTGAGCATGCCAGTTAATACTTTGGTTGTAAAACAGTAGAACAAGACCCAGTTACGTTATCCCTTATTTTTGATGTTTCTAACTTGCCTGGAAGTAGAATCCCTTCATGTCTAGAGACGCTGGAACAGCCGTTAAGCAGGGGGAAAGTCAGGAGAAAATCACAGCCCCCCGGCCACTGACTGAAGGGTGGTTTAAAAAAAATTGAGTAAGGTGGCTAAAAATTAGGAAAAAATAGATATTTGAAATTTGATGCGCATTTTGGTTTCAAAATACAGAAATGAATAGATAAATAGCAAAATAATATTTACATACTTCCTGCTTTTTACATGGATTAGTTCGGAGAACTAATTTGCACTGTAAAATTTAGGTATCAACTGTTTTTTATCTATTTATTTACACAATATATTATTTATGCAATTATCACACGATTTTGCTAGCAAACTCCCAAAATGCTGAGTACGCCAATTTTCTGACCAAGCCCATTTTAAACCAAATAAAAATGAGGAATGTTTTAAAGTATGATTTTCTTTTCCGAAGGAAGTTTGAAAATATTTCTGTACTCTGAAGAGGGTGGGGCAAGATGTTAAGAATAAGGACAAAACAACTACAAAATGAATCAAATTGTTAAGAGAGCAACTGCCTCCTTATATCCCCGTGCTCCGGCGTCCATATTTGATGAGCCAAGCTTTGCATATCCGGCCCTAACTCTGCAATTATTCTTAGCAAAGAAAGATTTAAAAGAATTGTTTGTCAGATTCAAAAATAACGATTGATTACTTTTTAAACATCTCTGGATAGCATTATAAGTAGTATATTAGTAACAATTGTTGTTCTGTGGATTTTCAAAAGGTACTAATAGTATTTATATAGACAGAATATCAGCCCTTGCAATATCAAATGCATTCAGAAGATCGTTATTTGATATTTGCTCTATATTTGTAAAAAGTAAAAGCGAGTCATTTTGCATCATTTTCAGTGAGTCATTCTGATTAACATTTAATCAACAAAAAATTGACTTTAAATGTTCTTTTAGGTATTTAAAAAGTATGTGGAATAGTATCCGTGGACAAAACGTGAATGAAGTACCAAATACAGCAGAGGTATAGCAAATTTTAATTCATCTAAAATCCTAGTTTAGAACATTCATTCTTCAATGTTTTTGCCAAGGAAAAGAAAGCTTTAATACATTCAAGATACTACATTAGAACATTTTTTAAGTACTTTTTAAAGAGGCGGGAGTTGGAATGAAGCCCATATTGAATTTGTTTATGAAAAAGGCAAATAATGCTTGACACGTACATTATTTAATGCCAGAGACAAAGTTATACTGGTTTGTTCTCTTTAAAATTGTTGAAATAAAAAGGCCTTTCGTCAAAGTTTTTATCCATGAGGTCTCAATAAAACATGCACTGATAAAGGACCTGAAAATAGGTTTGTTTATTTGCAATTTACTGTTAAAAATGAAAAAGTTTATGTGTGGGATTTCGTGTACTCGCGAAAATGGGTGGTGCTTTCAAGCTTTGAAGTGTTCTCAGCTTCATACTTTCAATCCCACTATAAACATCATTTCGTGGCCCACGGCACAGTAATTACAGGAAAACAAGCATGCCATGCCTTGCATATCAAAAAAGTTACGGAAAAGCGTCTATATACTGTACATATACATATATGCGTTCCCCTCGACCCACCACGTAGTGTACTTATTCTTCGTACACAAAAACCATGATGTTGTTGTCGGCTGTCCAAAACAAGAATCCTCGCCATAGCGAGGCCAGTACAGGGCACAAAGGTAGAGTTGTTCACTTTGAAGCAGGTGCAACTTTGTCCACGTGTTTAAAAATAATTGGTGTATGGGCCGGAAGTTTTCTCTTCACAAAGAGAAAATTTTCAGTCATAGAGAAAGCCCATGTTGCCAATAACTGAAATTTAAAGATTTTTAAAGATTAAAGCCACCAAATAAGTTGTAAGAGCTTTGTGGACTGTGTAACAAGTTAGCAGTGATTAACAAATTTACGCTTGTCTAACTACTGAAAACAAAGATGGCGGATGCAGATTTGGTTTCGCAAACGCTGAATGATACTGTTAATGCAACTTTGAATAACGCCACTGCACAGAACAGAACAGCCATGGGACGAGCTGCCGCAACACCCCAAGGACTTCTTGTTGCTTACTGTAGTCTTGTACTAATGGCCCTTATTCCGATATTTTTTGGTTCATTTCGCTCCATAGGCCACAAGAAGCGACAAAAGGTTTGTAATTATCAAATGTAGGCCATAGATCTTAACAAAGGAATCCAATATTCTAGTCATTTTCCACCCGCAAACCATAAAGGTTTTGTTCAAGGCAGTTAAAAGTTTTCAAAAATTGTAAAAGCTTGTCCCTATCGCAATTATAGTTATATCCTATTTCTAAATTATCTCTGCAACTTCTTTGTTATTTGTTGAAAATGACGGGAAAACTTCCAGTATATTATCACGTATCACATATGATTTTCCTTACCATTTTCAAACCCCTGTTTGTGAGCCGTGTTAAATGATTTAGATTTTTTGAGAAAAAATTGATTGATCTTTTCCACCAATAAATTGTCAATGTTTTTAAAAGAATTGTACAAAGTTGCAGTTATGCTCTAATTTAACAAATTGCTATTTTCATGCTCTTTGCTCAGTATTTCTTTTAAAGTACTTAGAATGGTTTAAGCCTTAGAATACAAGCAGTGATTTTAGAAATTTTTGTGCCAATAATTTATCATTTGATTGTCTAACCTGAAGACCCACATTTTTCCCAAAGAAATTTAAACGTTTTTTCTAAATTTTAAAAACGGTATCAGTGCTTTGAAACATGTTAAAACTTTGTCAAAGGAAGATAAAATATTTTATCTGATGAAGTTCTGTTTGCTTGGGATTTGAATTAAGTGAACTTTTATCTTTTTATTATTATTACTAGGCTAGTGTTTATTAGTTCACTGTTATGGCAAGATTTGCATATACCATAAAAGCTCGGTTAATCTCCTGGGGGCTTACTTATATCTTCAGTCCTAGGGCTTAAATGAGAGGGGTGCTTATTAATAATTCAAAGTAAAACATATGATAAAACTGACCATATATAAATATATAAATATGTCATAAAAATTTTTTGAACAAATTTTGCTAGCAGCTTCAAAATTTTATTGAAATTTATCAATTATAAGGTCCTCATCTTCAATATCAATATCATGGGGATCAATTGATAGCCCTGAGACATTTCTTAACAAATTTAATCCTGTTTTTTGGCAATACAGAGCTTGAAAATGGCTTTGATAAAAGCATACATTTTATAACATTAAAAAAAGCTTTTTCTTCTGACACTCCTCACAGCATGTCAAAATAAGGGTCTGGAAGACACAATGAGAATACATACCCAGTTGTGGGTTGAAATAGGCCAATCAGAAAAATGCAAGCACAAGACTGGTATAGTTGTCCAATCAGTGCTGCGCGCCTAAAGAAAAATTCCCCATGGAGTCCAAGGGACCAATAAACTCTTTCTGTCTACACACCAAATCACTTGTTTTAACATTGTTTTTAGACCTACAAGATTGAGGAGGCTGTTCTCTTTGAGGAACAGTTTTGTTTCCTATGTTAGAAGGAACATGCTGTTTTATCCTATACCCCAATCTTTGGATTGTGCATCCTACATAGCCAGAATCACACTGGCACGTAAATTCATAAACAACAGAACTAATGGAACAACATTTCTTTGCTGTCAATCCCCGTATTGTTTACAGCACTAGGAGAGCCCTTCCATCCATTCAAAAGGATTGCGCTCCTACCAACCAAAAAAGTTCCGCTATTTATGAATTTGCATAAAACTTGGTTGTTTGATGAAGAGGCTTACAGTCATCCAAGACATTCACTCTTAATCCAGGTCATATTTCAGATATTTCCCAAGGGGTTTGTAAATTTCAGCTGGGTGCATAATGTTGTCTAATAACCTTTTATATATTGAGCAATAGATGCAGAATAAGCAGGGGAGCTCCAGGGCTTGAGTCCCTCCTGCCAAAAACCAGCCCCTCTGGGAAATAAAGAAGCTGGTTATCAATTTGTTAGACAAATTTTTAATATTCTTGATTTCTATCATAAAAATAATCTCTAAAGATCTAATCAAGAACAAATTATAATTATAATGAATAATGTAAAATAAAATCGCATTAGAACCCTCAGGTAGGCCTCTTTCTACCCTCTGCCATCAGCAGGATCCATTAGCAATTGAAATAAATATTTGAGCCCCCCCCCTCCCCCGTAAAAAAACATAAGTCTGCACCTATGTATTGAACTATGCTGTTTAAAAGTTGTTTACATTATATTGATTTGTTTCTAATGTACAGGAATCTGGCGAGAAAATTGAGAGCATGAGTAAGAAAGATGCTGCTATGTTCCCTATCATAGCAAGTTGCACACTTTTTGGCCTCTACATTTTCTTCAAGGTATGATTGTTTGATAGTGCAGCTCTCTATGGACTTTTAGATTTATGATGAAATAACTGTCATGATAAATTTTAAGATTTATGAAAGATGTTTATTGAAACTTCTTCTAAACCTGGTCATTTTTACTTTGTCCTAGTTACTTTGTTCCTGTTTCTTGAGTTTCTTGATTATTGTTGAAAGTTATTAGTTTTCTTTTCTTTTTCATTTCTCTCTTTCCAACTCAGCCTGCCTGTCAATCTATCTATAGTAAGAATTCTCTCTACTGTTCCAGATCTGTGTTCCTCATTGTATATTTCATCTCACCTTTTTCATAAACCTTCTTTGCCTTCTTTTGTTACATTTCTCTCATTGCTCTTTCCTTGTCTGATCTTCTTTATATGTCTTTCCTTTAATTTTGAAATTTGGCTCAACTATTTCTATCCATCTTGTAACACTGTATCAACTTTCTTGACCTCCTTAGGAAAACAACAAAAGCCAAATTTTTTTCTTAGAAATGAATCTTTTTTCTTTGCAGATTTTTGGCAAAGAGTATATTAACCATCTTCTGGCATTGTACTTCTTTGTACTTGGGGTCATGTGTTTAGCAAATATATTGAGGTAAGGAAGTTTACATGAATTGATCATGCTCCTTAACATTCTACTTGGGTTACTTTGGAAAGCAAAAAAAGTTTGGTAGATGTGGAATGCTTTAGTTATCTTGGCTAGGAGTTTTTGAAGGGGAATATTGCAATAAAATTTAGTTATTGTAAATCCATCATAAATCTATCATGAATTTATTAAAATCCAAAAAAGACTTTTTGTTTCAGCAAGTACACTCCCTTCACGGAAGTATTCAGACAGTTCAAAATTGATTGCTCTTTCAGACAAAGAAAAATTAAGGCTGACGATAACGACTCTTTGACTAAGTGATAATAATTTTTTGAGAAACCCTTCCAAAATGAACTAAGACATTACAATGTTCTAAAACTTCTGCACTTTTCATCTGTTATGATTTTTTGTTAAAAAAAGAAACCTTTGCACTAAAAGCCTTATACAAATCCACTGATGTCTTTGTGCATTCAATAATATTGGCAATTTAATTATAGCTTTACATTTTGTGCATCCATCATTATGGTAAAACATTGCTGCTGCCATCTTGAGAAAAACAATCTCAAAGTTTGCTTACATATCTGATGGGTTAGCTTGTTTGTATTTTGGAGCTGTTTCTCTATGTTTTATCGTATTACTCAGAGTAAGAAAAAAGACTAAGCCTCCAATTCTAAAGTTTCCTAACAGAGCCTATCATTACCCAAACTACCCATAAAAGAACCCATAATTACTAATAAGACATCGTTTTCAAATTAGGGAGAATTTTTACGTCACAAAAATAGCTTTAAAACTTGTAAAATAGAATCAGCCGAAAAAAGGCGCCAGAAATTTTTCAATATTCTTTTTGGCGTTGAAATTTCTACAATAATTTAAAAAAATTGGTAACATTAAGATACATTTTTTCAGCGCATAAAGAGATCAACAGTCATCAAACAGCCAGCCTAAATAGCTTGAAAAAATTTGAGGTTATTGATAGAAACGTTTTCATGAAAACTTCGTTAGAAATTTGTAAAAAGATTATCTAACAACAGATTTGCCACTAAATCGAAGTTGTCCAGATACTTTCAGACAAAAGTGTAGTTATGAAGTTTTGTAGTATGTTGAATAAACCTGTCAGATGTCATGTCAAATTTTTTTTGTGCGCATCACTTACAAAGTCAAAATTTCACATTCCTAAAGAGCATGCAAGAATTTGTGCATATAGTTTTTGGAAAATTTCTTTGGCCTTTTTAGTTTTTACTCATGTTAAGCCATATGAGTCCATAAAGTGAATTTCCTGACATAAAAGGCTGGGTCTACAAATAACTTCAAGCCCAGATTTAGGCATGGATGCACAAGCTGTTGTGATAATTGACAAAAGAGAATCTTGCATGAGTTTTGGTTCACACATTTTGACTGGATAATTGTAACATCTATTTTTGGCAAACAGGAAACCTTTGGGGATCTCCTCTTATAACTCAGGGCATTTATTTTAACTACATGTTTTCTGCTGTTCAATTGTGTGTTCAGGACATGGTAGCTAGAAAATCTATTTCTGGTACTGCTTGAAGGGATTAGCTATATGCACATAGAAGTATGAGACTAAAGGGACGGGGACAGTAAGAATACAGAAATAAGAACCCTTTTTCAGAAATACGCCTCCTGACTTGTAACTTTCTGAACAAATTTGTGTTTGATGCCAAGTAAAACTATATGGTCATATATCTGACTGGCTAAAGTCTTCAAATTTGAATGTAATTAAGCTTACAGGCAATATTTTGATATTTTCAGCAAGTTTATGTTTTTTCTTCCAGGCCAATTTTGAATCTTGTTACACCTGACTCGTTTCCGAGGTCAGATTATCACATCATGTTAACTGAAGGACAACCCCCAGAGCAAACAGGTAATTACCGTTATCTCTTAATAATTGCAAATTTTTACTGTTAATATTGACTGTCCAGGAGATCAAACATAAAAGCAAGTTAGCTTCTTTTGATGTACTTTTGCTTTCCTATTGGGTTAAACAGAGTCTTGCATTTTGAAAACTGCCTTTTTATCCTTATTTGGTTTGGTCAGCCCCTTTGTTAGAGAATTTTTTGTGGTCCTTATCCAAGGTAATCTCGTATCCTTACATATATGACTATGCTATGTTACTCATATACAGACCTGTGTCATCTACATACATACATGCATAATCTTTGTGAGCCTGTGCAATGGAAAAATAGAAATTGGATAAGTTTATATGTTATTAAAATCACTTGTTGGATTATGTACATTTTGTGCATTGAATTAAAAAGTTTACTAGGTTTTCTTTAAACTCATTACACTGCTTCAATGTTGCATAGCTTTTCCTTTTGTTTTTGCTCCCTTGTGGCTATGATGGCTTTTAGATCCTGCATATCATCTTTCTCTAATGTTGAATGTATCATTAAATATCATCAAAGGTTGACATTACATCTTTTAGTTGCTACTTGGTAACCATACTATAATAGATGGACTTTGTTCCACTTGAAAGCAAAATTTGTACTTGATAACCAATTGAATGCTTATCATATGGCAAGGCACTATCTATCTGGAAGGAATGTCTGGTATAAAAAGATAGATCTCATAGAAAAAGCTTTTTTACAACAAGTTACTAGTAATATGTAACTGCGACCAAGTTTATCACCACCCATTGTCACCATACACCTTGTCTCTCCCCATGTTAACATAAATTACTTTTTAACAAACCAAAATAATCTTGGGAAACAGATCAAAAGATAATTGTTTTGAAAGACCCTTTAAATTCTTGACTCTTGAGAAAATTCATTTTTATCAGTTACTTCTTCTTTTGAGAAAAGTGATTAAAAATTAGATTCTATCTACAGATAGACAGATTTATATATCACATCAGTTCCTGTACCAAGACTAGAATTTTCTGTTTGCGCAACCTGATTGTGTCCTAACTTAACTTTTAGAGTATCTAAATTTCAAGTTTGATCGAGTTGATCTGATATGCCTTGCCATCTCCAGCATCATTGGTTTGTGGTATCTTGTTAAGAAGGTTTGTACCAAAACATTTTCTTCCTGACAATGGGATTCGTAACTTTTTGTGTCTTTGCATGGTTGGATGGCAGCCCTTTTTTATATATACCATTTTCCTATCTCAAACCAGTGCCTTGCAAAGTACCTTTAAATTTTCAGTAGTCCATCAAACTTCTGACTCAGCATAGTGGATTTATCTTGCAATCTACAAACAAGTGCAAAATTATAAAAATAGATAATTTAAAATTTTTGCATTGAAGGTTGAATTCAGTTTTGAATATTTTTAAATAAGTGTAGAGATTGTTAGAGACTTTAAGAGTGATACTTGCAGAAGAAGTTAATGTTAGAACCCACAGATATGATGTCCTTAAATTGAAAGTTTTATAAAGAATCCTTAAAGATATTTGTTGGAAAATTGAGAATTGAATCAAATAATGTAAGATCATTATAACAACTTTTTTATTTGACTTGCATTTGTTTTTTCAGCACTGGATTGCCAACAATGTCTTTGGTCTTGCATTCTCTTTGAGTGGAGTGGAGCTTCTGCATTTGAACAGGTATTTTCACTTTTTTTCTAATTGCAATAAAGAGTTCTGTTTTTCTGATTGCTCTATTTTGATCCACAACTGTGTATGTTCTTTGGAACCCTTATTCCTGACGGTTTATACCCTGAGTATTGTCAGATGAAAAAAGTTTTGGTTTGCTGTGAAATGTTTGCTTTTTTCAAAGCCATTTTCAAATTCTGTATTGCCAAAAAACTGTTCACATTCTGGCATTAATTAGATCAGTGTTACATGATATCTTTTTGACTGATATTTTCAGTTTCAGTCTTTGATTTTATCCTACTCTACAATTCACAACAAATGATTCTAAAAGATCAAATAAAATTTTCAAAAAAATTCATTGGATAACTGTAGCTTTGTTCAAATTGATGACTGTATTTACCAGGGAAGATGATTTAATGATTTAGAGAAAATATTTGTTCCATTATCATGAAATAAAATGATGGCTTGACCCCTGTCTTTTCTTTTATAGACCACCTTTTGCTTACTGAACTTATCCCCTGTATATATTTTACTTGTTTCAAAATGGTGACAGCAATGAAATATATATTTATATTTTCATTCAGTACATTTCTTGATTTTACTTTTTTTCTTGAGCCTCAAACCTTTCTCTAATGTAAAGTTTTAAAAGTGAGATTTGTGCATTGTTGAAAACAATTCATATGATTATTGTAGCTTTCCAATTGGATGCATTCTCCTTGGTGGTTTGTTTGTATATGACATCTTCTGGGTGAGTTCTAAAATCCCTTTTATTTTTCTGCAGTGTAGTACATTTCAACAAATATTGAATTTGTTTTCTTAAATGCTTTTTATCAAGACAACCTACAGACCATGTTTAGAAACAAACACCCATTTGATGTTAATTTCCAAATACAACTGAACCATTATAAATCTGTAGTGAACTAAGCCATTGCAATTAAGGCCATTTCCCACTTACTTTCTTTCTTGTTCATGCTTTCTCAATCATGACATCTCTGTGACATCCCATTGCATCATTCAAAGCATCACATACCAGAGGACTATCTCTCATAGATTGTTTACAACTTTATTCAAATGTGTCAGGCTTACCACATTTTTATTCAAGACATTATTCATGCACATTTAGAAAACTGGGGGGGGGCTTGTTTATTTTTCAGTCCTAGAGGGAGGGCCTATTAAGGAGGAAAGCTAATTAGAGAGGGGGTTTATAGATAATTCAATGTAAAAAATGTAATAAAAATGCCCTTCTGCATTTTTGGTTATTGAAATGTCATACAAATGTTCTTAGAAAACTTCATTTCTTCTAAAGTTTCTTAAAATCAATCAATTATATGTCCTCATGGAACATGAATTTGTCAAATTTTCCATTGCAAGCTTTCTTAATCTATGCCCATTTTCACAGTATTTTGATCCCAATGAACATTTAGGTGTAAACTTCAAGAAGTAGAACATTTGATTAGTCAATCAATTTTATCTTTCCTTGTGATTGTGAATTCGAGGGTTTGAATGAATGTGTCTCATCTCTTTGTGTTTTTTCATTGAAAAACAGGTGTTTGGAACAGATGTTATGGTTACAGTTGCCAAATCATTTGATGGACCTATCAAATGTGAGTTTTGTAGGAATAACTTTTTTGTAATTAATTCATGATTTTCTGTATCAACTGTTGTCTTTGATTTTACTTACTTTGCAAGAAAGAGGAGAGAGGTGCATATAAGATCTCTCTAATGTAGCATAAAGAGGTGCTTATAACATTTCTGAGAGAAGTATGTCAATCAAAATATTTGTATCTATGTATATTTACAGGCCTGGCGGTTTGAGGCGAGCGATAGCTCGCACTCGCCTCCACGCTCCCCTCGCAACCTGAGGCGAGCTATGAATTGCTCTCCTAAACAGAACATGAAGGGAGAATCGCTCCCCTAAAATTTCCATTCATTTGCCCTTTTCCTATTCAGAGAACCCTGAAAAGGGTTAATTGGTTTATTTTTGTAACAGCAATTTCTCCCGTCACTGCATTTTTTGCAATTAACTTTTTGCTTGTTGGGCGGTTTTTGTTATAATAGGCATGAACTTTGATCTATTTGGAAAAGGGTGGTTAAGCGAAAGGTACGTTTCTAGCGATTAGGACCTTTCAATCTTAATAAAACAGGCATATTTTTGGAAGTAAAGTCGAAGAAATTGGTAGGAACTGTAAATTGGGGGATAAAATAAAACACCAGGTCCCTTCCAGCAATAGAAACAAAACTATCCCTCAAAGAGAACAGGGTACTCTGTCTTGCAGATCAAAAACGACAACCAAAACATGGAATTCCACTATCCAGCAGCATTTACTGAAAAACCCAGATTGGATGAAAAACTATAACGGCGACATGTTTCGCATTATTGGCAAAGCATGATCATCGTTCCATCTAGCAGTTTGTGAATCTATCTACTATATAAACATGACAGACTGCTTTTGTGTAGACAGAAGGAGTTTGTTTTCACCTTAGGAATCCGTTGGTAACATTTTCAATAGGAAAGCGGCAAAGATTGGACAACCTCAACAGTAATGTGCTCGCGTTTTCTGATTGGCCTATTTCGATCCAAAACTGGGTATTTTAGAAAGAGTTTTCCATCTATGTTCTGACGTTTTATACTCTGAAGAGTGTTAGACGTATAACTTAATTTTGTTTCAAAATTTGTTTTTCAAAACCATTTTCAAATTCTGTACAACAAAAAAACTGTTTGGCAAGAAAAATGTTGTTTTTGTGTTGTGAAACTGAAAGAGTCTGTTCTTTTAAATACTTTAAGTAAAGGGGGTGCTTAAGTCACGGTTAGAGCAAATGCAAATTGAAAGAAATAAAACAGCATACTCCTGACTGAGGCTATTAAAGGCAACCGACAGATACTAAAGGGGCTTAAGTCATCTGTCGATTGTCTTTAAAGTACATTCTATGTGTTACTGATTTAGCTCGCCTCAGCAAATGAGGGGAGCGATTCACAGCTCACCTATAAAAATACAAACGGCCAGGCCTGATATTTATATATATTTTCACAACTTTATATGTATAAACAACAACTAAGAAAATATTTCTTGTTCATCATAAGAAAATTTCATTGATGATTATTGTTTTTTCATTTGAATCTTAAGCATTCAGTTTAGTTAGAAAGGGGATAATTTTTGGAAGAGAAGGTGCTAATTTGGGGACCTGATTATAAAATTTTAAACTTTAGGTTAAGATGCTTATTTCATATATATGCCTTGAGGTAAGAGCATAATAGTAAAAACAGGATTCTCAATGTTTTAACTCTTTAGATATTTTGATGAAGCTTACTATGTGGTTGTTTATCTGCTGCATTGACCTATGCTTGTTTTTATCTTCTGCTTTCTGTTAGTGTCTTCTGCTTTGTACATAATGGGGTTTAGGCTCCAAACAAACACATACTGCTGCTTTTTCTATTATGCACAGTAAAGCTTGTCTCATTTGAAGACTGTCAAATGAATTAGTAACCTATCTTGATAAGCATTCATTGTGAAAATTTACTGTCACTAATTTAATATGATTGATAATATTGTCTTTTTTGGTAGTGGTTTTTCCAATGGATTTCTTAGAGCATGGAATATATGGTAAAAATTTTGCCATGCTTGGCCTTGGAGATATTGTCATTCCAGGTAGGCATGTTTTTGTTTTGTGAGAAGTTCAAATGTATCCAGCATTTCAGCCAACACCCCTTTACATTTTCACACCATGGATTTTAAGCTTGTTTTTAAGCTGGTGTTGCTCTGTACTGTTGCACCGTTGCTCTGTTGCACCGTTGCTCTGTTGCACCGTTGCTCTGTTGCACCGTTGCTCTGTTGCACCGTTGCTCTGTTGCACCGTTGCTCTGTTGTTCAGTCATGTTTAGCAATGTTGAATAAAATTTGAATGGAATGAAAGATGTTCACAACTCAATGTCTTTATGATGTCTGGTGTTGCTTTGTTTTTTGCACCCATCTGCACGCCACAGCATTGAACCACACTTTTAAGCTACCTAGAAATTTCAAACATTTTAAACATCTTCAAAGGAATTATGTATTACGGTACTTACTGTAGTATTGGCATAACATTTCATTCTTTTGCAAGGGCATCTGATATATACTGTTAATTAGGTTCCACTGAGAAAGTCATTTATATTCCTTTTTTTCAAATCTCTGCAGGGATTTTCATTGCTTTGTTGCTTAGATATGATTGCAGGTAATTTAGCTTCTTGTTTATATTGATATAATATTATTCTTTATGATATACATGATATTTTATGATACATGATATTTTATGATACATGATATTTTATGATACATGATATGATACATGATATGATACATGATATGATACATAATGTGATATATGATATGATGTGATATGATATGACATTGTATTGTATTATATTATGTTATGTTTATATTATATTATATTATATTATATTATATTATATTATATTATATTATATTCTATTCTATTCTATTCTATTCTATTCTATTCTTTCATGTTATGTATATTTTGCCATGATATTTCAATTTTTACTCTCATGTTCATTTTACATTACATTTCACTGTGCTTTGTATGGTTGATTATTTTATTTGCAGTAAGCAAGATGGAAACAGAAAGCCATTTTTCTTCACAAGTTTCTTGGCTTATTTCCTTGGTTTGGTGATGACAGTTGTAGTCATGCATTTCTTCAAAGCTGCCCAGCCTGCATTGCTTTATCTTGTTCCAGCCTGTATTGGCAGTGCAATTATTGTCGCAATATTCAAAGGAGAAGTTTCAGACCTTTTCAAGTATGTGTTAGTATGTAAGAAAAAGTGCTGAAAATGTTTTAGTAACAACCTTCCAAAATAAAGCCACAGTTATAGCATCTGGCTGGTTTAGTTATCCTTTACATTTGCTTGGATTTTTGGCTAAATTTATTATAAATTTTATGATCTATACAAAATTGCATCAATACGTCAAATGTTTTATTTCAGTATTGACCAGGGAGCACAACAAGCTTTTTCTTGTAAAACTATATTCCTAGTTGTTTATTCATATTCTGAAATATTTTGAGGAACAGTTTTATATTCAGTTGCAATGTTTTGTCCAGTTTCAATTCATTGGAAATATGTTGTCCTTTTCTGCTGGAGAATTGCACATTTAAAAATTAGTGCCTTGCCATATGATGAACATTCAAATGGCTATCCAGTACAAGTTTTGCTTTTTAAGTGACAAAGACTTACCAGGATGTTTCTTGATGTTGCCTATGGAAATATGTTGTCCTTTTCTGCTGGAGAATTGCACATTTGAAAATTAGTTTCATTAGTTTTCTAATAAATTTATCCAAAAAATTTACTTTGATTGAAAAACGTTTTTGATTTGCCAATCACAACCTCCAGAAGAAGAATAAATTTGAAAGATGGATGAACCAGATGAGCTTGAAACAGTTTTCAACTTTATGTAATGGGAACTCTTCAATACATTATATACCAGGTGTTACAAAGTCTCTCTTTTTGGTCTCGGCCGGAACCAAAAGTTTGTGCTGATGTGACTTATCTTTGAAGTTGCTAACAATTTCAACTCAAAAGGTTTTTGATTTCTTGAGGTAACTGCTTTTGTATTTTTAACTTATGCTTTTCTAAATTTTATTATTTGAAGCTAACTTTTTAAATAACATTTTCAGATATGAGGATCACCCTGAGGAAATGATCAAGAAAGATGATGAAAGTTGTTCAAAGAAAGCTGAAGTGGAAGAAGATTCAACAGATGAGGCAAAAAAGGAAAAGTAAACATTTCCCGTTAACATCCTGTTGTATAGATAGTAAATTGAATTTCACTGTTAGATATCGTTGGATTCAAATCTAAAGTATTCAATATATATTGTTGTGTTTTTTTAGTGTATCACTTCAATTTTACACCGTAACTATGGCTTCACTATGTTATCAGAACTGTTTGTTTTATAAAAAAGCAAACTTCCTAAATATAAATCCTATTATCCTTGACCTTCTATTCTGTAAAACCATTCAGAGAACGACTTTCTGTCATTCTAATTTGTGGAAAATCCCTCTGGTTTTTTTGGTATCAGATTTGATTATATGATATCCTCAGCTCTTACAACTATATTTTGGTGTATTATATTTTTTGAAAGCCTTGTTGGGGAAATTTTCATGGTTAATCTTGTTTTTTTCATTATAAAAGGTGTGTCATACTCAGCACGCTTACTATACATTCCTAGTAATTCAAGCTTCATGTTTAGGTATCAGATAGCCTTATTACAGAATCCACTTTTCCCTATACAACCAATCAAATAAGCAAGTATTTCTGTGATGCCTGGCAGAATTAAATACTGAATGTAAATTTTTTTGGATTTCTACAACCAGAAGCATCTACTTGTCAGATAACTCCAACAGTAACTTCATAGACATTCTCACTTTGTTTACAAACTCTGTTTTTTATTCAAATCCAGCCATTTTAAAATGAACTATGCCAAACCAATTCACCTATAAATCTAATGAAAAATAATAGCCTTAAAAAAACCTTGAAGTGAATCATATGTCTTTTATTCAGTTTAGTAGTGCTAATATTTTGCTTAGCATGCAAGTTCAAAGCTAATTTACATACAAATTACTTTAAAATTAGCCTTGAAAAAGCCTGATATTCAACTGTGAAGTGCACATATAATAATAATCAAATAATTCCAATATTGATGCTCTTTATTCATCTGCACATGCAGAGAACCTTGCAAATCCCTCACAAACATTAAATTTTTCCCCTGATCTTTCAATAAACTAAAATTAAAAACATCACTCTGTCTCTATGAATTGTAAAATTTTCAAGTTCAAATGCTGAGAAGGAAATAACAATGGAAATGTTTCTTGTTTTCTAAAAACAATTTCTTTGGTAAGAGAAAGGAATGAATAACTGTTGAATTCTCTTTCAATGATTTGCTTCAACTATTGCCAATGAAATTAGTTAGGCATGCAGAAATAATGTAGATTTTTTATATCTTGTCACAAAAAATTACCAACAAAACCAAAGGTCAAAATAATTTTCCATTTGTAGTATCTATGAAAATTATCTTAAAAATTCTAAAACTTTCATTGCAGGCCTGTGAGAGATTGAGCTTTGTTTCAGACAATGTCAATTCTTACAATGAACAAAATGTTAAGAGTAACTATACAAAAATCTAAAGAAACAAATATTTACATAAGAGTTGCTTGTGCATCAGTGAGAGTTTACAATAAGCAGCTTATTTCATATCACTTGTTAACATGGTAGTATGCATGTGGTTTGCAAAGGTCTTACATACTTCTACATGTTTTACCAAGACACATATTATTAAATTAATCCAGGCAAGCTCTGTATGGTAGCACCAATACATCTTAAATTATGCTATTTCAGAAATATGTGAAAATTAATATTCACTATAACTAGATAACATTCACGCTAGAACCTGTTCAAGTTCTGAAAGATGGCTAAGCATATCTGCTGGCATTTTATTGAAGATCATTTGAAGATTGAAGTGTATTTTCTATGGACCTTAATAAATTTGTGTTGATATTATTAGCATTGAATATATTGTTTGAGGTTTTTTGACCTATCCTCTATTTTCTAGAATTAAGTAGGTATAAATTTTCTTTTAATCAGGCTAGAGGTTTTTTTGGCCTAGATATTTTTATTTGATTTAAAAATAATATTTCATTTAACAGATATCAGATGGTAGAGGATCTTTTTTATTAATTAAAAAATTGATAAGAAAGGTGACATAAAAAGTTTCTAGAAAGGTAAACTCTTCCATGAAATTTTTAGGAGGAAACTTTCAGAACTGCAATACCCCCTATTCAACATTATTTAGAAAATTTACCTTCTACTTTTGAATATTTTTGCATATTTGATGCAATTATTGCCATTGTCTCAGACAATTTTAAACAAGACTTAGCCCAAAGAATCTCTTGCACTGTATGAGTCAGCAAATTGATGCATCTCATAAACTGATCCTCTTTCTCTTCTAATGTATTCCTTTGCCATCAAGGTATTTTTCAGCGATAAAAATAGCTGGTGTTTCCTTTCTTGCAATAACTTCAATTTCTCCTCTAGACCATGTCTTTTTTCCTTCACATTTGAAAGTTCTTTTTCAATCTCCTGCAATTTAAAGATTTTGCCACGATCAGTATGTATTAATAATGTAATATCTATCTAATTTAATATTTAAGATCAATCTATATTCCAGAAAACTTTGTTCATCAAACTTAACAGATAGCTATTAAATCAAACACATTTTCAAGAATAATAAGATTATTCTGAATAATTGAATTGCAAACATAATAAATTCAAAACGATAAGCGAAAATAAATCATTTTATGACTGACCTCGATACGGGTCATTTTCCGCTCCCTTTCGAGTGCTTTCTTTTCTTCAGCTTCCTTCTTTTTTCGTTCAATTTCGCGTTTCAGTTTCAAAACAAATGCCGCTTCAACAAGCTGATCTTTCTTTCGCCTCCATAAAATGTATGGACGTAGAATTTTGCAATTTTCTCGCACATGCCGCCGTCCTTCCCCAGCAATTAATTCTGGCATCGTTTTAACGTTGATTTTGTGGCCAATATAGGGTTAAACTGGGACTATAAAATCTGCAATATAACGACATTCCTAACAGGCTGGTGATGCTTCAGCCATTACTAGACAGCCTCTTTTCAGTAAAATAGAAGAGCAAGATTGAGTATGCCTCTACACGTGTCGATGTCGTGAGGATGGAAGGGACTGCGTCTCCCGGATAAGAAAATGAGAAAAGTTGAAGGTACGTAGTTTATTCTAGTATAATCAGCAATTTACTTGATAAATTGCTTCAATTTGTATCTTTTTTCGAGATCTCGCCACATCCCTCATTCTACACCAAGGCTACTATAACGAACGTTGAAGTGTCCCGGCCCGGCGTGAATGAAGAAACTGTTTTTTTCCTATTGGATTCTTTCTTTATTTTTCCCAGCTAACTTTACTGTAAAAGCACTGTTTTAAATTGAGTCTTTGAAAAGTTCTCCAACTAGCGCCAGACCTTGAATAATTATTATATTAATTATGAAAATTGTATATTATTTTTATATAAGTAAGTCAATATTAAAGTTTGCCTGACAAACTCATACATACAAACAAGTCAAGTCAAAATTTTCTTTCCTCCCTGTTATTATTTAGATGCAGATGCTTCCATGTCCAGTAGATCAGACTTTGTTGCACTGGACTGTGAAATGGTTGGAGTGGGAGTTGGAAGGCAGAGTGCTTTAGCAAGATGCAGTGTTGTTGATTACCACGGAAATGTCAAACTTGACTGCTATGTAAAACCAGATAAAAAAATCACAGACTACAGAACAAGATATAGTGGAATTTTGCCCTTTCATATGAAAAATGCAATAACATTCAAAGAGGCTCGCACAAAGGTAAAAAGATTGTTAAAGAAGAAGCATCTAGTTGGTCATTCCATAGGAAATGATTTGAAGATTTTGCAACTGCGACATGATCCATTAAAAATTAGGGACACATCACAATTTCCACCACTTCGTCTGATGGCTGGATTACCTATTTGTAAAACACCATCTTTGAAAAACTTGTCTAAAGCACTTTTTAATAAGGATATTCAAAGTAATGTACATTGCTCCATAGAAGATTCAAGAACTGCAATGAATTTATATAAATTGGTTGAGGACAAATGGGAACTTCAAGGTGCTTCAGGTTCTGACAGATGTTATTTAGATGATGTTTTTTGGCCAGACTTTATAAATATGAACTAGTTAAATTTTCAATTGGAAATTGCAGTTTTCTAGCATTTTATTTTTTTTGTTTCTGCATATCTTTCTGTAATTTTGTTAAATTTGGGATCCGCATGCATCATCAAATTCATGTAATTTCCACATTGTTTGGTAAATTTTTTACATTCAAGGCAGTAGATTTTCGCTTTTATCCTTGGTTTAAGAGGTGCTAAAAAACAAAGTTGAAGGATAAAAAATAGAAGGGGACCTTTCCATCCTCTTGTTTGATGCCATTGGACTACAGGGCATTGTGGCTAGGCAGGACACCAGGAGATTACCTTTCAAATGACTTTGTAAAACCCAGGACACTATTTTATGTGAATTAAATCTTTGGTGAAATAATCCCTCTTTTATGTGTAAACTCAAGTTTATAGTTATATATCATAGACTTTGAGGTCAACTATTAGAAAAAGGACCCTGTGAAAGGAGTGCCTGAAGTTTTAAAGGAATGAAGGTCAAGCAGAAGATGGTCCCATAGAATGAAGCTTGGGATACCTGATGGATAGGCTTTTGCATTTGATAGTACTGTAAATCTTTGAATCACCCCCTGGAATATATTAAGTTAGGAAGTTTTTTGTTTGGGCATTTTTTAGGGGCTGTGCAAGAATTTGCTTGAAAGTGATCTCAAAAATGTTAAACAAAAAGCTCCCTATGGAGTTTTTTTTGTGATTTTTCTATGACATGGAGTTGTTGAAATGGAGGAGGCAGGACATGGCTGAATGATTTTAAGCAAAGTTTTCTGTTTATTTAGTCAAAGATAAAGCATAGGGTGTGCTGCAAAACATCATCAGATCTGGAGATGCATTACATTACCAAGTACACTTAATCTTTATATGACCAGTTGTGCAGATTTCAAGAACATGTTTAAGAAAGTTTTAACTTGAAAGCAATTTGCAACCATGCCAAAGCCTACCAACCATTTGGCAAAAATAAAAGTATCAATAAGATCGAAACGGTCGAGAAGAGGGCATAACCCATAAAGCTCTTCCCTGCAAAGCGTAAACAAACGAAATCTTGTACAGAAAATTGACGAAATGGAAAAAACCGTAGAAAAACTATAATTCCATTCCATTTATATTTCACTGCCAGTGAGGCAGCTGAGCTGAACCTAAGCTATACCATACCTGGTAGTTCCAAAGACCTGTATGTGCCTTGCAGCTCAAATCTAAATCAAATCAAATGCTAAATAGCATGGATGTAATAAGACCAGGGCAATTTTTCTGTTTTATTTCGGAATCGTTCTCGCTTTCTCAGAACTCAGTTGCATAGAGCCTCGTTTGCTGTAATTGACTTAGAGGCAGTATGGCCTAAAGCATGGGCAGTTTGAAATTTGAGGTATTTTTGTAAGAAAGATGGAAAAGCTAACAGCGACGACCTGTCACATTCAAAGGAGCTTAAATGCCTTAAAGGACCTTCCTAGAGTAGCGAGCTACAATATAAAAGATTTGCCTGGAGCAAAAAAAACGGTATGTTGTGCGTTTATCCTTGATTAGCACTGGCTGTTTCGTTTCCCACATACAGGCCTATTTGAAAATGCACTTTTGCCCTGAGATTTCGAGTATACATTGGCAAGCTTCTATTTGTGCAGAATGCAGACCTTGAAGTGTGCACTTTGAATTTCAATGTTACTTCTGTTGCTTTCTTCCAGTGTCTGCAAGAAGAGCAAGTCAGGTCAGGTGCCAGAGTAGTGCTAAGTGCGAAGTATTTTTTGTGGGTGGGGAATAATTTTCTGTTGCTTACGCTTGCGTGGGAAAAAATCACGTTGCAAAGTAGCAGATTAAATGCTTCAGGATTTTATTTTTTAAATAGCATTAGTAGGCCTAGTGGTGAGGCTATGTCTGGGATTCGGAAAGTCTGTGCTGCAACTTTGCGGATTAATCTAAATTTGCAAAAAATAGCATGCGAACGGGGTTTGAGGAAGAATTATCCACGCATACCCAAACTTTGCAGTCTGGGTCAGTTGCACACACACAAGACATGACACTTTTTTCCAAATTATTCTGTAACAGTTCTAGAGTGACAAAAATACCTAATTTCTTTACCATGCCCATTTTGCTACAGCCACGCCCATTTTGTCAAGTGTGCAAAGATAATTTCAAAAAATTTTAATTTTGTGCTGCTGATACCAATACCATCACAAAGGCTATCGCAAAAACACTATGCAATATGGAAATAAGTCAGATGCGTTACTGGGGTGGAATGCCATTCCCGTTGGAGTAAAGAAATTGAAGAAGTTGAATTTTTTTTTTCATATATGTATATGTAGTTTTAAGTGAAGGTGTGTGTAGTGGAATCTAAAATATGAAACTGAAACTGAAACCTATTAGTATAAAAATACAATGTAACGTTTGGCTATACATTTAAGAAAAAAGCATTATTGGTGATGATAAAGTACTTACTTTATTGTTACTAAGTACATACAATATGATTTTATGATGAATCATTTTACTACAGATAGCATGACTGCAACCTCAGTTGATAGTTAATATGGGAGGGGGCAAAAATTCCAATCTGATAGATAACTGGCTAAGTTGTAAGGAAGAAAGCAGCCTATCCTATTTAGCATGCTAGCATAGATATGCATATGAAAAAGCTCTATTAAGCCCCCTGGGGGCTTGTTCATTTTTTCAGTCCTAACGGGGGGCTTAAAAGAGAGGGAGGATTTTTAGAGGGAGGAGACTTTATTAAAAATTTGAAGTAAAAAATTTTTTCAAAATAGCCTTGTCTATTTTATTGTAATAGAAATGTCCTACAAATTTTGTCAGAAAACTTGCTAGCAGCTTTGAAAGTCTAATAAATCACTTATAAGGTCATCATCTTCATCAGAATCAATTGATAACCCTAGGACATCTTCTTAACAAATTCCAACTGACATTTTAGGTGCAAAATTATGTCTTTACATGGGCCCTATATAATGCACATGATCTTATTATCATTGCACCTGTCAAGAGACCCACTAAATCACTAAATGCGCATGTTTTTCTTGTTGACAACAAAGACTATAGAGGGGGGCTTAATAGAGAGCGGGGGCTTATTTTAGGTTTTTGCTTGATAGGGAGGGGCTTAATAGAGATGGTGGCTTAATAGAGAGAGGGGGCTTAATAGAGCTTTTACGTTAGGTATTCCTTTTTAAGGAAAGTATGACAATTGCATGCCAGAGATTTCTACAGAAGCAATTATTTCACACTTGAAAACTTTTTGATAGATTCTCTTTGAATGTATGTTCGCTTTGGAAAATTAACATGAATGTGTCTTCATTGAAATTCTGTGTTATTGAGTTTAAATTTTGTTAAAAGTTTGGCATATAGTTAGGAAGATATCTTCAGAATGGCATTTTGAATTCATTTTTACAACTTAATTTGATTTTCTTCTAGAAAAGAAGGCGTGGTCGTGGGCCAGGTACAGGGAAAGGCAAAACAGCTGGGAGAGGACACAAAGGCCAAGGGCAGAGAGGGACACATACTTACTTCCAATTTGAAGGTGGTCAGACACCCTTCTACAGGCTGGTGCCAAAACATGGTCAATCTAAATCCTTGATGTAAGTTCCCCACTATTTTTGTTGGATAAGAACTAATTTTGATCTCTCAGACAAATACCAGACAATTATTTTGTTCCAAGGGGGATGTTGCTTTTTGACATATGGTAGTTAAATTTCTTTGCCGTCAGCTTTTGTTTACATGACCTGCATATTTGTTGGCTCATCCTTTTGGAGCATGTTTGCAAGTTTGCTTCATCATTATGACTATATTAATGTGAGAGCGTTGGAAAATGCAATATGGTCTTTCATGCCTAGTCAGTCATGGTGATATGAAATTTGTTGGCATGCTAGTAATTCCCCCCCTTTAAAATTTAAGGCTTGTGATGGTGTGTGAACAGTAAAATGCAGTGAGACCTGATATGATTTTTATGAAAACTTGATTGCCTTTTGAATTTAACATATGTATTTGAAGAAAAGGTTTTTGTAAACAAAATATTTTTATGGAATTTTAGAAGAAGTTTCTTGAAAACAAAATGATTTATCAAAAAGCATACAATTTTTTATGCCCTGTTGCCATTACTCTGTTTTTATATAGATGAAACATATAAAAAGAAGTTTACTAATAGAAAGAGGGCCCCAAACAGTGATTATACCCTGAAAAGGTATGCCTCAGGTGGTTAGGTGTATGCCTGAAAAGGTATGCCTCACATGCGACTCTTACACCTTTATGATTCTTCTGATTCTTATGGCGTGTGTGAAAATTTGACCTTAACTAATTTTTGATTTTTGGAGCAACCAAAAATTAGTTTGCAAATTTTCAGATGTTTATTGATTTAGTTGTGTCAAAATGGTTACGTTTGTACAATATTTGAACAACAATTAAACGTTTTGAAAGTTTTACTGCAGCAATTCTTTGTGGAATGCTTTTTATTTATAAATATGTACATGTTTTTATATGAAAATGTTTTCTACTATTAAAGGACTACCTTTTTTCTAATTGGTACAGTACCTTTCATATTTAATCTGGGTTCCAAATTATATTTATTGCCAGTGTTAAGCTCTATCAAGCAAGCTACCAAACAGAAAATCAATTTTTGTTGCTTGAAAAATATGCCTTTTTAATGAGAAAATTAGTAGCTATATAGAACAGTTTGTCTTATAACATATACAATGTCATACTAACCATACTTGAATCTCAAATTGTTTATTCAAGTACCACTCAGAATGTGAGCTTGAAATAACTATTAAGATGGTTTAGTGGTTAGGTTCACAGTCTACAGATCCAAGGGTCTGTGGTTCATGTGGTAACATAAACAAACCTTGATTCAGAGTGTGGAGAGTCGCCAGCTATCTATATTTCCAGGTGTGGTAATCAAAGGTGTGGTCACATTGAGAGGAAGGACCAGAACATTGTTTATTAAATGACAAATGACACACTTTTCACCTTATCTTTTATTTTCATTAACTTATAGATCATCATTTAGAAGTAATTTTTTTCCTGGTTTAGAAAAAAAAATTCTAATCAGGGGGCGCAGGGGGCGCGATTTTGCTTTTTATCACGTGACCCTATGACGTACATTGTGATAACTCGGAATTTTCCTGTCATTATTAGAGAGTCTAAGAAACACGACGCGACAGGTCCAGACGAACTGAATTCGATTAGAAGCGTGTTGTAAACGTTAATATTGCACTGTATACCAGTAGCAGCAATAACAGATTATCACAATCTACGTCACAATGTCACGTGATTCATTTCCCGCCATAATTTGAAAAGGGTTTTTAAGTGGGAAAATGAAATCAGAAAGGAAAAATATTTCAACAACACTCAAATACAGCATTTTACTTTAGGTTAAAAGGAAAAAAAATCTGGCGCCAAAAGCGTGTCACTTGTCCTTTAAGCATAGCTTCTTAAGCATAGCTAAAACTGCCTTCAGATGCCAGGTAGTAATAGAATACAATGCAATACAATACAATGCAATACAATACAATGCATTGCAATACAATAAAATACAATAAAATACAATGCAATACAATACAAAACAATGCAATAAAATACAATGCAATACAATACAATACAATGCAATAAAATACAATGCAATACAATACAATACAATACAATACAATACAAATGCTTGTTAAGAAGATAGATTTATTGTTATAAAAGCCTTGCTTTTTTAATATTGCTACTACTTTTTATTAGAAAAAACATGCAGCTGACACCAGTCAATTTGGACAGGTTGCAATACTTTATTGATAGTGGTAGGATAGACCCAAATGAAACAATTACCATGAGAGTGATGCGGATGTCTGGTCTTGTTTCTGGCAGAATATCAGGTGGCGTTAAGCTTCTTGGAATGGTAAGAGTCCTTTGATATTTTCAGCAAGGGTTTTGTTTCTGTTTTTTCAAGTGTATTACATTTTCATTAAGCTTTTTAAACTTTGGTATCATCAATACCTGAAGACGCTATTGCCAGTCTGACAAGATTTGCCAAATCTCTAAAAGAATCCGAAAATGTAGCTTATAAGAATGTAGTAAGAGGTGCACAAAAGAGGTTTTAAAATGTAGCCAAATCCATGCAATTTCTTAATCTAAAGAACTTATAAATTCAGAGTTTGTCAGAAGCGGGCAAAAAAAATTCTCAGAAACGGTAATATGCTAGCTATTTAACTGTTGGCAGAGAAGTACTTCCAACAATTATTTTTTTTCGTCAGGGGGCAGATTGGTTTGATGCAAAGGTGAAAATTGAAGTTAGCCTGGCCTCAAAATCTGCTATAGAAGCTGTTGAGAGACAAGGTGGGACTATTGATTGTGTATATTTTGATAAAGTTGGACTCAGAGTCCATTTGAGGCCAGAGAGTTTTTCCCCTCCTATTCCACGCCAAGCGAGGCCTTCATCTAAATTAATGAAGATCTATGCAGATCCTGAGAGAAGAGGGTTTTTAGCAGATCCAAATGAAATTCAAAAACTGAAAGAAGAAAAGCAAAAGGCCGGGGAACTGGTCAAAACGTTGGAAAACTTAGAAATTAAGTAAAACATCATTATGATTCTCTTACAACTTGAAAGGTTCTGGTTGATGAAAAATAACTGCATTAGAATTTGTAAATTGTATTACCATGGTATGTGTACGAGTGTTGTTTGGGAAAAATTGCTTAATGATTTATTTTGGTATTCACTCTTCATCAACAGTAATCCTATTCTGTCTACTTCTGTTGTCAACATTCATTTAAGTCTTATCGGAACGTATATCCCCATCTTTAGAGACTTGCTTTTTAGCTGCTTTTTGCTCTATAAACTTTACTTTTGCAAGATTTGTCCTGTAGCTGTTCAACTTGATGAGCAAAAATCACTTATCTTCATCATCGCTGCTCATATGTTATTCTCATACATGCTCCTCTGTCATTGCCCTAGTTCTTTTGGCTTGCTTTCCATTAATCATTTGAAGGGGGTTCTAGCATTAAAATTTACAGGGATCTTTGACACCAGAGAAGCTTTAAGGCCATAATTGGTTGTTGCTGTTTATCTATTGTACTTCTTTTGTTGGAGCAAATAGCCTGCTATGTTTGAGGAGAATCACTGGCCGCAAAGTAGTTTGTATTTCTAGGTGATCAGCACCTTCGACAAGATATTTCATTTGATAGTTCATTAATAATTTTGTTGGTATGATGTTTGCGAACCTATGAGCAGACACACTTTGGTGTTGCTAACCTAATGAGGTAATTTGGATTAACCAAACAGAGGAATGAAATATTAGAGAATTCTTGTATGAGAGCTCTCCTTATAATGCAAATCATAACCAGTGATGATAAGCAACAATTGTATAGAGCAAGTGAGAAAATATTCAAAATTATTTTTGTCCATCCATGTACATTCAGTAAAGCATTCATATGAGAACTGTGAATTGAGACTTCAAATTTGAAATTCATTCATCCCTTGACATAAATACTTTTGGGTCAGTCCATTGATGACAATTCTGAGTTGTTTGTAAAGGTAACCTTGTTTCAAGGTGCAATTTCTTGTCACAGAGTACTATAGCTTTGCATAGTGAGATCAGATTAGATAAGGACCATGTTATAGTTTCGTTGAAATCTCACATCATGAAACCAATTTTTCTATCTGTATGGCTGGACTGGATCAACCTCCAGAGAACAAATAAGCATTGTGAGAGAAGAGAGACTTGCTCCTTTTGACCTCTGTTATTCATGAATTGCAATGATCTCACTTTGATTCCAAATCACTTTGGACAAGGGCATACAATCTGAATCTCCTTGATTACACGGAGACATGACTGGCATGAACTTGACTGTGAAACCAAAAAGCAAACCTGGCTCCTTCCCTTAGAAGCTCACTGTTACAAAGAAGGGGGGCTGATGAAGATGAGGTATCATTTTTATTATAGGAACATTGGTTGTTGAAAAAAGGGTGCTTTGTGTGCTTTTAGGATGCCTGTTTGCTTAGCCCCTTGGCGCAATCACTTCTTTCTTATCAGATATAATGTTACAAATAGTCACTTGTTATCACTTCAAGCTTGTCCACAAATTGAAGAGAAGTTGAATATTCTAACCATTTTCTATAAATGTTCAATACAATAAATTAGCTACAATACATTAAATAAAACAGATGACTACTAAAGTATACATAGACTAACAGAGTCCATATTCAACTATGACAAACACAGGTATGTTCAGTGAGTTTATTCATTGTTGCCCGCAATTATATTCTTTCTCCATACATATTTACCTTTATATAATTCTTTACCGTTTATAATTTGGCATTTGGTGCTCAGAAATAGAAAATTAGCTTCCTTGAAAAGATTTGGGCCCTTACAAATTTGACTCAAGAAATATATTTTGCATGCATGACTCACTGAATTAAAAAACTTCATTGGACTACCTTTCTCGGCTGTCTCTTGGCCTATTTTTGTGGTAATTTTTCTGGAATGGCAAATAAGGACTCAGTTGCAGCAGTTGAATACTAAAACATTGTATGGAAAAAGATAGATATTGATATACCCATCCTACAGACTATCATGAAAATTTCCCTTTGCGATGTCATTGAAAAGATCTTGTAAGATTAGTAGACCTAAATGATGTGATATGGTTATGCTTTGGTAAAGGTTGCTTCATATTTTTCATAAAATCACTGAAAATAAGTAAAATTGATATTGCCAAGCCCTACGGAAGTTGACAAAACATTATTGGTTGTAAAGGAACCTATTTGTCATTGCAGATTAGATACCTTGCTAAACTATCAGCTACAAGCAACAATGGACAAAACGCGAGAGACTTCGCACAATCACTCTCACTCATTTCCAGTGATTATAGGAAAAATTTGAAGCAACTTGTACTTTTGGTAGTGTAACCCAGCTTTTAACTAAACGTCTGTTTTTTCGAAAGCAAGGCTACCTACAGAGTGTTTGTTAAAGTGCGTGTTTCTAAAAAGTGTATCTACATCTCCACTTTGAGCTTCTCAACTTCTGTATTGACTGGTTTGCTGTACCCAATCTGTAACTGATAGTCAGTTGCCTGAAATTAGAGATTAAAAAATAAGATTATGTGGGGCTTTGCAAATAGTTAATGAGCAAATGTATTTAAGATTGGTATGACAAAGTTATGACAGATTGGTAGAATATCTATTTTCATTACACAGCCATTGGTAGAATATCTATTTTCATTACACAGCCATTGCACAAATCTTTGCTACCATTTCCAATTCCAGTGGCTTTGTCAGTTTCAATGCTTACCTCCACTTTTTGAACACACTTTTCAGAGTTTGCAAATTAAGGCCCTGGCGTTTTATGTGAACAATTGATTCCATGAAAAGTATTCTTATTTAGATCTGTTATTCATTTCAGTGAAAGAAATGCAGGTAATGAAATATAAACTGCAAATATCCAGGTACCCTATCAGACCCTTCTTTCCCTTTATGTTTTGTATAAAGGGCCCAAGAAAAAATAGCAGCAAATCCTATATCATCATCACCACCATTCTCAGTCATCGTAATTTTAATTCATTATCATCATTAAGATTTGATAGACTTCAGCTGAGGATTCTTCAATATTATTTTTGGACCATACCATTATTTGTATCAAAAAAAAGGATTTAATGATAATGCTTTCTAATGCCGAAGACTTTCAAAAGGAAATTCAGTTCACGCTTTGAAGAAATTGAAATACCTCTCCACTGTTGTTCACCTGCAATGCTGTGTTTGCTTGTTGAAAATACCCAATTTGTATTTCCTGGTCAGTTGCCTGCAAGCAGAATTCAGTAGTTAGACTGTTTCAACTTCTAAAAGAACAGCAGCAAGAATAAATTGAGGGTTTGTTGTCAAACAAGTACTACATCAGGAGGGGAAAGTCTCTATGCACCTCCTACCCAACATTCCAATTTCTGTTTGGTAAAGAGATTGAAAGGGAACCAACAGAATACCAAGCCCTAGAAACTTTAAGACCAGAGCCCATTCGAATTACAGTGATGCATGGAACAAGCCAAAACCACCCAAGACCACCCATGTTTTGCCTCATTCCATGTTTTGGTAAGTAGGTTCAGCAATCTCCAAATTTTCTCAACATTCAAAAGCCAGACTGAATTGCTACAGACCTTCAGCTCATATTTGAGAATTTTTCTATAAAATAAATTTTGATCCACTGTTGTTGGAACCTATTCTAATGTTGTATACTGTGACCTACCTAGGAGGGGGCTTGGTGATAATTAAAGGTTAAATTTATGGGGAAAAGTTAAGCATTTAAATCTCTTTTCCTGTCAGACAATTTTGATGAGAAACTCCATCTTTGAAGTAGCACAAAAGAGCAGAAACATACCATATCATACTTATACGATTTGGTATGTTTCTGCTCATCCATTCTATTTTCAAACTTCATCTTTGCTTCCCAACTAAAAATTTTACCAAACATTTGAGATGAAATTGGATGATGTTCCACCCTCAGGTTCCCTGATTTGTTAAATTCTTGTTAAACTGGCAGAAGTTGTAATTATCCTCAAATATCCTCTAGCACAGAGCCTGGGAACAGCAGGTTCTGAAAAATGGCAAGATTCATTTGCTTTTTAGAGGTGAAATTGTGTAGATGGATGACTCACCTTGTTGCAACAGCATCTGATGCTGCATAGGACCAGATTCAACACTGATAATCCTAGCAAAGCCACTGATATTGCCAACGCAGTGTTATTAATTGCTGTTTGTGTTTGAATAACCTTCGGACAGCGATCTATTCCATCACTCATCTTCAGCCCTTTATAGTAGTCATCACAGCTGTTATTTCCTAGCACTGCTATGCTCATAAAAGAAACTGCTGAAATTGCAGCCAAGATTGACACTATCGAAAACCCCATGTTTGTACCATTCTGGAAAACAAACAAGTCTCTTACTTCAGTTTGTCATAATGGAAGGCTAGAGACATTTCCTTTGTGCACATTCTTTTTTACTTGTATCAGTAGTGTAGTGAGGTGGAGGCAACAGGGGGCAGATTTCCCCCTTCCGATGGCAGAAAATCTTTTTGAAAAATGTATTTACTGGTGTTCCAAAGGGTGTGGACCTTACTTTTACCTCGCTCAACTGACCATTGCCCCCCTTCCGAAATCTAACCACCCTGGCTATGCTACTGCTTGTAATACTTGCATGGAATAGAGTTTGTCAAGGGTACACTAGGGTCTACTGAAATAGCTAACTTAGCTAGCATAATACTGTAAGCTTTGCCCCCCCCCCCTGAATTAAGTCCCCCAAATATAAGTAAATTCACTTCTGAGTGTAAGCCCGCCCATATATTAGAATTACCTTATTTTTTCAGTTGAATGGAATAATGAGTTTTGAGTAGCAGAATTCACTTTAAGATCATTTTAGCCACAAAAATTACCCTCTGATACTTTTATTATTTATATTTTATCACAATGTACATCTGTAATAAACACTAAGCTTGTGTAATATTACAATAAACATTACATAACATACAATAAACATTATATAAAATGATCTAGATATAAAATGATCTAGTAACATACCATAGCTGCTGACTTTGGAAAACAAGTGGAGAAAATCCATATTATTGCACAAATTACAATCTAAAACAGTGAAAAGAAGAAGTTAAAAATAGAATCATAGCATTTAGTGTCATCAATATCAGAATAAAGACAGCCAAGAGTTAATTCCTGTTGCAAAAGCTCAGGGGGCCTTGACCCTTTGAATTGATTCAGTTTATGCAGTTGGTTGGTTTTTGTAAAATTATGCATTCTAGGATCAGTAGAATTTCAAGACAGGCTAGTCAAGCATATTCATTGTTATATTTTTTTGCCATCTTGATAACGATTGTTGTAGACACTTTCTTCATATTTTCTGTTCTCCTTTGACCACTTTACGCAAACAAACATCTTTGGGCCAAAAAGACCAGATTTATGAAGTGATCACCAAACATTTCCTGATCTGCCAAAAATGTATCTAATATTGATGCTTTGAAAATATGCTTAAATTTGATTTTGATTTGTCATCCTCATTTTGAATAGTTTTGCACATATTAAACTAGTATTTTATGGCATCCTTGATGGACATAGTCTAATATAAGTACAATGGTATGACGTCATCACTAAGCCACTCCATAAACCAACCTCATCATTTTAATCCTTTGGCCTTTGACATCAGGTTATTCATTTCAATTATCACGATCATTATCATCATCATAACAAATCTCGCTATCTAAGTGTAAAAGCAAAGGCCTAAAATAATTATCTTGGAAGTGTTCATGGGTTCGTTCTAATGTTTTGATTGCAACCACTTACTGCACACCTGCTATCTTTAGATAGAGATAGGTCCTAACATTGGCACCTATCTCTTCTTTTCTCATTCCTTTTGTCAGTACACATTTTGGTTCACTGAGATCAAGGCCTCCGACGAGAGGGGCTAGGGGGCCAGGGGGCAATGGCCCCCACTTTTTTGCCAAACTTTCCCTTGGCCTCCTTCCCCACATTCCTACCTGTGTCTGAGACCATGGAGATCAGTGGTTTTGTTAGCTTATTTCAAATAGTATATCAGTTAGGCAATTAAAATCACAAAATCATATACCGTAACGAAGGTGAAATTGCTCGATTTAAAATTAACCCCTCCCCATTAAGGTTTTGCCCCACATCATGCAAACCATCACGTCGTCAAATTACTATTGTTTTGGTTTCTGTTTTTGTCAGAGGTCAAATTCTACAAGGTCTTTAATCAATCGGGTTGTGCTGTTCTTTCTGCCCCGTGCAAATGTTTTTGTAATTTGCATTAACTAACATGATCGAGGGGCAACGCACTCTTGAAATAGCGTACGAAATCTTCCATCAAAACAAAAGACAGCTTTTGATGGAGTGATCTGCCCCTCAAATAAAAGTTTCCTTTTTGGCCAGGGAATTTTGTAACAAAAAATACGCGACAAAAAACCAGAATCGAAACATTTTACTCACCACTGAGCCCAATATTATGCGTATAAAGGCAATTATTGCCTCTGCTATGTCGACACGAAGTATCGTTGCTTTGAGAAGAACTACAGCACCTTGACAAATTATTGTGGCGGATAAAACTGTCTGTAAAATAGCACATACTCTAGACACAATAAGTCTGTTGGTATTCCTCTCCATGTTTATCATCGATAAAGTTTAGCGATTCGTTTAGGTTTTGGGCTTCTTAGCCTTTTAGCTTACGAATGGAACTGGCAAATATTATGTTTACAGAACTTTTATAGACAGACTCTGACGTCAACAATATTCCGCTTTGATTTGAACTTTCTGTGGACAGAGGTGGGAATAACAAAAGCGGTAACTTATGACGTAATTGATGATTCAGAATTGACTCCTTTGGCCTTCAACCTTCAATCGTTTACTCCTGAAGGTTTACAGCAGGCCCATTCTTTCTCTTTATTTTCGTATGCCTTATATCTTTCGATGTTAGATGAAATACAGTAGCCCTCCATTTGTCTTTATCAATTGTCGTTTATGTTGACGGATTTACCGGGGAATGCAGGGGTTGTAGGGGGTAGCTTTATTTCGGTAAAATGCATTTTCGTGGTCACAAGTAACGAAATAATACAAAAATTTACGTTAAAGTTATGCCCCAAAAAAGTGATGCCCCAAAATTTGTGGTCTTGCTAAAAATCAATCCCAACATTTATGACCGTCTTAGATTTTACAAAAATCTATACCCCAAAACTTATTTTCTCCTCGAAAAAAGATACCCCAAAAATGGCAAATGAAGTTACTCCCGGAATAGATACGTGAGAATAAGATGCCAATGACATAATAGATGATTCAGAATTGCTCCAGAAACGAGACATAAAGCTAAAAATTTATAAGAGATTGGACGACTTTTGCAGTCAACTCCATTATAACTACAATACAAGCCCAAGAATAAACAGTTTGAGAAGTCGTATACGAATTCCGCTTTTATTTAAACAGGGACGCCTTGATCCAAAAAAGGGCAAGGGGGCAGAAATTTAGAAAGGGCATCTTCAGCAGCTAGATTTGCGCATATGTGCGCCGTTAAGTTATCCTTCTACCCGCTCTTGGCAGGGACGCCTGCAAAAGATAAGGGCAGGAGAGGCAGTGTTGGTGCCAAGGGCAAATCGAGTAATTTTTCTACTAACATAATCGAGTATTCCTAGGTGGGAGGGGGCGAGGTTGGGGTAACATAATAAGATTGTAATAAACCTCATTTTGTTTGCTTTGATATGCGCCGCGCCTAAAGGCCTACTTCGTTCGTAGAAATTGCTAGAATTTGCACGCAGTTACTTCGCATATTACGTATATAGCATGGTATATTGTCAGAGGGAATTCCCTATGTCCTGTCCGCATGCCAACTTATTGTTTACTCACCACGCAAGGATATCCCCATTAGGTACGTTCAAGAATATTCCATTGCGTTCTATTATTACATCATCGTTTATATTTGGTATTATTTTTGCAGTGTAATCATGATTTAGCAAAATCTATTGTCAGAGCACACACATATATATATAACCCGTAGAAGGTAGTTTGGAGAGAGTCAGTAAGAGAATTTTAGAGTTGTGTTTATTAGCTGCTGTTGGTGCTTGAAAAAGGCCTCAGTAGTGAGTAAGACTTGTTGTGTCGAAAATACATGTGAAAACATCAATTGGTCGTCATTTATCCGTCTTTTCTACGGAACGTATTACAAGATATTAACTTGAATACAGTGCCACCCATACATCTGGGTTTTTTACCATTGTTCTTGCGAGCAGCTATACTTTTCCTTTTCGTAGGATTACCCCTTATTAGAATTACATCATGTTGCGTAGTCATTAGTTATATTGGGTAACATTTTATGCTTGGTTATGCTTTTCTGGTATTTTCTTTGTACATATAAATATACGTAGTTAGTTAGATTCAAGGAGATTCGGAGAGAAATTCAGAAGGTATAGACATGAAAGGCTAAACACCAGAAGGAAGCTAACCGTTTCACCCAAGAGGCTTGCGAAAGCTCTTGCGGCCCAGTTTGCATATAGGACAGGCAGTGCTTGAGAGAGACTGCGCTGTTCCTCGTTATATGTTTCATTGGATTGTTAGTATTAGAGTTCGCGGAGAACCGTCGTTGTTTATGCTAGCTGTTTAGATTAATGTTCAGCCTTGGGAGGTTATAAGATGGAAATGGAAAGGAAAAGTATCTAGCCGCTCGCAATAAACCGTCATTCTTTGAAGTTTTAGTCTTCGGATCATCTCTCGCCTGCACAAGGGGGATATCCTAATAATCTACGTAATATACAAAATACCTACGTATACAAAAAACCAAGCGAAATTGCTAAATTTAGCTCCATTACACCATCAAAGATTCTAAACATAGAGAAAATGTTGACAAAATTATCCTTACATAAAAATGGGTATCAAATGGCCTTGTTATTAATGGGCTGGTTGGCATCGTGCAAAAATAAATTATTTCTTTATGTGACAATAGCAATAGGTTACAGTAATTAGCAATGGGAGGCCTACGATAATTTTACGGAAGTAACTTTCAACATTATAATGCTTGATTTTTCATTATTTCTGACATTTGTTTTGTAATCATCTATCATTTTTTAACAAAATAGAATAATAGTAGCATAAGAGCCGTTGGGAAATGTGGTTAACGTTAAATCTTTAAACAAAAAATGACTGTATTTAAAAATGTTATTTTCTTAAAAAGGGGAAATTTGTCCCCTCTGCCCCTCCTGGTGAAAGGCAAAGGGGCACTGCCCCCCATCATGCCCCCCATCTTAGAGCAGTGTGCTGTGGTTTCACGTGAGCAGTTTCCAATTCCATTCTTGTGGGCGTGCTCTGATCAATTTGACCTAAGTTTTTTGGATTCGCTGTACTTATGCATGTTAAATGCCTTTAATGTATTTATATTGCTCACCATTTCATTCTTCGATCCAGATGGTAGACCTTAAAGAGATGTAAGGCTAAAAAGTAACCTAACACAGTAGCCTTAAAGGCTTATGAAAGCTCTTTTGGTCTAATCACAGAATAAAATGTATTATTTTCATTCTGTAGTCTAGTTTATCGCTTCTCTACCTAGTCATTCGTATTTTGGAGAATTGTATTTACTAACAGGAGCTACATTGACACGGACTTATGGAATCTCAACGGAAAGATTATCAGGACTACCATTGTCGGTTAAAGTGCAGCTTCTAGGCACGTCAGAGCCGGAGGGGGCTGGGGGGCATGGGGAGGGGGTTGTATCCCTAGCCCCTTTTTTCTGGTGTATGATATTTAAGTTATGACATCAAATATGATGGTGGCAGACTACCACAGACCCCCCCCCCCCCAATCTAAAATATGCTTCGGTGTCCCTTCCCTCCTCAACATCAAAGTCATTCCATCGCAGTTGCCTGAGGATTGGCAGTAGCAGCTGAGGATTGTTCTGTTCTGTACACCTAAAGCTTAATTCATCATAAACCACTTTTACACTTGTGCCTCTTCAAACGCCCGTCATAGCAAGAGCTTGTGTTAATTATGTCCCCTCTAGCTTTCTAGTGCACTACGGTTGATTGGGGTCATCTTGATCGCCATGGTCACGTTGAAACCAAACATATAGTTTTTATATGTAAGCTAAACATATAGTTGCTGAATAATGCCAGAAATTGTCTAGATGGAGACGTCATATCTAAATGTTATTGCAATGAAAGAATTTTTATTGTAAGAAACATCATTTGACATTAAATTTGTTTGCTCGTTTGACCCATTCTTACTTCCCAAAGAATCTCTCTTAAAAGCCTTCTTTCTTTACTCCTCTAATGCAAGACCGTTGGGTCTTGCTTGCCTTTCAATTTCATTTCTCTTACCGCAGTGGCGTTGCCAGTTCGAGAAATCTAGGGTGGACAAAAACAGATTTTCTCGGCCGCGCCCTTCAGACTCTTGGGAAATCCTTTTTTAGTATTTTCTATCTATTTTGAAATTTTTGGAAAACAGCTTTCTCTTTTGGTATTATTCGTAACGGTGGCTATTTTGCCATTGCGAAAATCGAAATCAATCTGATCAGTCAAATTGCCCCCTCCCTCCACCCCAACCCCCCCCCAATGTTTTTCAACGGATTTCGAGAAATTAGAAAATCGACTTCTGGCAAAACTGGGGTGGAAGTCCACCCCATGGCGATGCCACTGCCTAACCGTATTTCCTCTAATTAACATACCTGTCGTTTAACAATTTTTGGGAAGTATGGTGTTGTATTTAACAGACAGTGGCATTTAATAAGGTTCTGTGTGCAAGGTTAGGGGCTTATTCAAGGAAAGGGGCTTTCTCGAGGTTAGGTGCTTTTTAAAAATTTTCAGGCAATATGAGGATTTACGTTACATTACATTGGTTACATCTCGGCGGTGTACAAATGGTAGCGAATTACTACTTAGCTTGGTAAACGCGTCTCATCAAGAATTTCATCTCACACGTACGAACTCAGACTAGAGCCAGTTGCCCTCTCTTTTTTTCTTCACTCACGTTCAAACTGATAACGCCACCTGAATTTTTATGAGAATCCGAAAACGTAGAGAAATCGCATATGCCACGTTTAACACGTTTCTCATGCCCTCTGTCACAGGGGCGGATCCAGAGCAAATTTGAAGGAGGGGCAGTTGGCAGTGGGGGCGCTGAAAAATTTCAAAAACTGGTTACGAGAGTACGCTGTATACGAAAATTTCAGATACCTTTTCAGAATAAACAACATAACTTTGAGGTAAACCTTGAAGCAAATTAGCCTATCGGTCCAAGAACCTTTTTCATCTGATTCTCATTCTTCAAAAGTGGCGCACAATTTCCAAAAAGGGGCGCCAGACTTGCTTCAACTCGTTGAAGGAGGGGCAACTGCCTTTAGTTGACCCCCCTTAAATCAGCCACTGCTCTGTCAAAGATACAAAATTGACCCGATTCTTCTTGTTTCAAATGGATGGGAAATTCGATATCATTTGCGTTTTTAGAGAAAAACTAATGGATTTTCAACAGAATCCAGAATACTCAGCCGATTAATCACTACAAAGTAAGGCTCTGACAATAATGACGGGGGATGGCTCAATTTTGAGACCACTTCAAGTTGTTTTCCTCCCAAGAAACTTAGTGGGTGTTCAAGAAGACCCAAGATACTGTATGACTTTAGTATAAGTTCAATCGCTGGAAGGAGATCATGTTTTCAGGTCTGTGACTTTACTTGAATTCGGGTCTCTGACATATAACAGATCTGGATTTGGGTAAAATATTTTGGGACTGCGTTTTTGGATTTTGGTAAATATATTGGGCGAAACCATTCTACAGCCGACTGTTTGAGGTATCTTTGGTTTTCTTTTCTGTAAATTTTTACTGCAACTCTGTGGGATGGCTTACCGTCCGCCAAAACCTCAGCACTGCTTAGCGGTACGGACCCGTGCGTACTCCTTTTCCAGGGGTGCACTGCTCGGGGGCTCAGGGGGGCTAAGCTCTCTTATTGAGGCTGAAAATTGGCAAATTTCTACTTTTGCTATTGTTTTTCGTAACATTTTGTGTAAGAGCCCCCTTGTAATTTTGATAGAACTACATCGTTGTTATTTTCCTTTTTCCTACGATTTTGGGTCTGAGTTGAACACCCCGACATTTACTTACCGACAAAGTCAGATTTGTGCAGAAAGACGCGACAGCAAGCCAGGACATCTTAACAGGACAAAAGATGAGGTAAAAATCACGTGGTTTAGGGCTAAATGATTTGGAATCACATACGCGTTACTTATACAAATATATTATGATGTTAACTCTGATTAAAGATCGCATTCAATATAAAACATAGTAACATGAAAATATACTTGTTTATAAAAGTAACAAAAATATCGTTTAGGAACAGCCATACAAACGCAACGATAGAAAAGCAGTGGAACCGTATACTAATTCAACGATTATAAATGTTCCGATACAAAAATACTAGTTTTACATTTAAGCAATGGCCTTAAAAGGGCGACTGATAAGGGTCTTGATCAATCCTAGCATACACAGCGAAAAACATTTTCTTCAAAGGGTACGTTCCATGGATGGACTGGCCTAAACACGTTCCATGGATGGGCTGGCACCTAAACACGAGCCCGTGCGATTTCGAAATCGAGGCTTCAGAGCTAAAGCAACTGCAGTGAGGAAAAAGTCGGGGTCCCTGAGTAATTTCAGATCGCAATTTGTGTTCCTTACAGTTCTCGCAATATGTACATCTGCTTCTACTTTCTTTAATAAGCGTTTTATCAGAGTGATTCTCGCATAAATAGGGAGCCTTTAAAACTCTGTATTGACTGCTAGCCCGACTAGCCATGCCATCCCTGCTTTGTTGGGTATTTTGCTACGAGAATGAGTGCGCGTGCTCCTTTTTATTACAAATAAAAAAGATGCCGCCCAGCCCAAGACTGAAACCCGAAAAGGGCATTTTTACAAAAAGCTATTTCGCTAGAATTTATGATAATCTTTGATAAATTACGAATTCTTATATGAGAAAGACTCTTAATCGGGTTAATGAAAAACTAATCCTTGACAGAGAAAATATCAAGGTGCCCTACAACTTTCTTATGAAAAATTTAACAAAAACTAAAACATAATTTATTCAAATAAAAAAAATCAAAGTACAAAACAGTACGAAAATTTGTCCTAACTGTGAAATAAGCTATCGTTAAAACCATACCATAACAAGGCTAATCATACCAATTCTTCGGGACACTAGCTTGAGGGGGAACTGAGAATTCGAGCAATGGATGATAAAAGCGAAAAAACAGGCAAAATTTTCAGAAAGGTTGTTTCTTCAATAAAAATGATAATTGTCAGACACGGGCTCTCTCAGAAACCTACTTTCATGTCAGCGAATTATATCAGGGTCGTAGTGTTTGCATTGAGTTGCAAGCATTTTAGAACGCACAGTCTGCGGGCACAAGGAAAACTCTTTGGGATCTGCCCATCGTAAGCTGATCTTTTTTCTGATTGGTGAAAAATCATAAGTCATTATTTGATTGGTTCTTGGAAGACAAATAGGTTTAGTTTGACCAATCAGCTGTTTGATGGTGAATCGTGATATAATCCTCAGTGGTCGCTGAGTTTGTCAAAGACTGTATTGGCAATGAACATATATTTTTGCGAGGAAATGGGGTGTTAGGTAATGATTTAAAGGTACATAACCGTAAGTGAAAAATCAGTGGAAATGTGCACCAATTGTGCCGCTCAACCCAAAGACATTACGACTGAATTAAAAAAAATTAAATAGGGTGAGGGGCACATGTAAGCAAAAATACACCTCGCCATGTGCTATTTTTGAAATTCAGAATTGCTATTTCTGAAAAGTCGAATTAAGTGATTCCGTCTACTGACAAAAAACAACTCTCAGTTTTTCCAGCTATTGTTACGCTTAGCCTTTATTCGCAATTCAGCATTATATCTGAAAATAACTACATCTACATCTTACCTTCGTATAAGCGAAAACAGCGTCTTCTTACCTTCACTTAAACTATATACAACCGCGAAATTCAACAGCAAAATAATTGTTCCTGGGTTTCTGTCAGTCCATTAAGTCGTCAATCAGCAGATTCATCCACCCAGTTATAGAACCGTTGTTTTCTCTCTAGGCTCAAGTACCAAAATACTCTCAGCACATGCTGCCATATCCTGAACGAGATTGCAGAAACTGGCGCGATGATCCTGTTGCACAGCATAGGAACAAATTTGCGATTGATGACGTCAGTATTTAGAGCTTCGAAGTCTCTTGGCTGGCGACCCTAGACGTTATATAACCGTTTAAGAATATGACTTGCTCAAGCTTAATATTTCGAAATTTTAAAACTTGAAATAAAAACCTCTTTAGGGCACCTGAAACAACATTCTAGAAGGATCATGAACCTGAATTTGAAAAGAATTCGCAGACCTGGCAAATCAAAAGCTATAAACTGAATATGCGAAATTCAATACTGAATATATGAAAAGGATCTTAACAAAAAATGCACTCATTATTTCATCTCAGAACAAAAAAGCTCTCTCGTGAATTTCAACACACGAAATCATTCATACCTGGATAGAAATCCTGCACGGTTTTCTACTCAAAAAGTCCTATAGACTCGTTCAAAACAAACAAATTGTTTTTGAACCTTCCCTTCCCAACTGATACTTAGTAGTGATTATACATGACACTCTCCAAAAAGCTTGAAGGAGAAAACGCAAACATACCACTTTGTCGTCGCATGCTTCGTGTAAGGACAATATGACTCGCATCTGCCGACTCAGAATCGGTAGTAGACTTTCGTCGCTTTCTTCCATCGGACTTTTGTATCGATTCGCCTTCTGTAAAGCTCCGTTTTCTGGTTCTGGTATGTGCCTCTGACTTCACAGAGTTGTCATTCTCTTCCCCTTGCAGCTCCTTGCTCCCAGTCTCAGCATCTTCACTTGATACTTCGTCAGCAGACATCTGTCCGCCATCTTGCTCTGATCTGTTGGTTTCCTCTTCACTTTGCTGTCCACCACTCACACTATCACCCTTCTCCTGTCCGTCAATTGTGCAATCACTATCCTGTGCACTCGCTCTGACTTGCTCCTTTTTGCTTGCAGAGGACTTATCTACTATGTCTTCACTTTCCTCATCACTAGATTCCTTATATGTAGAGATGCTTTGCAAGGCCTGTGTTTTTTCAATTACCTCTGGATCTCCATGACAATTGTCACTTTCAACATTCGCAGGCAAAACGTTTTGCGACCTGCTGTCAAAGTCCGCTTGTTTGCTGACACAACTATCGATATGAGATGTACTTTCTGAAACAGTTTTCCCAGAAATGCTTTTTACTGCTGCAACTTTAATTTCATTATTGTCTGTTTCAGTTATCCTACTCTCTACCCTATTTTCAGTCCTCTTTGGTATAAGTTCATCATCTGTCTTTTCTGTTTCCTTCAAGTTGTTGTTGACTTTAGGTTCTTCACCATCATCGCCTGCGACTTGGCAGGGCCTTAAACTCTTCGCACAACCTTCATCAGTGGGAGTTGCCTTTTCCAATTTCAGTTCGCCTGTAGATAAATCATCTTTGTCCGTATTTACATGTTCATCTTGCTCTACTTTTGCAGTTTTTATGGCCAAATGAGGGTCATCTTTATCAGCAACGTCCAGTTTTCGTTTAGATTGACTCATCCTTGTTGAAACAACAGCAGCCTCGCTACACGATAAACCGCTCTCTCCGATGTGATCTAAAGCCTTTAATGATGTGCTCAAAACTGAAAAAATTCCTGGTCTTTGCTCAATAGAGTCATCCACAGTGCAATTAGCCTCCTTTCTAGACAAAATCCTATCATTTATTCCAGCCCTGTCACCAGAATCTACAGATTTTTGATCTACCGTTTCCTCGGTTCGACTTAGCCCTTGAAATACTTTACTTTCAGCACCCTTTTCTTCTGCTACTAGCTTAGCCTCGTTAACACTCTTCCTTGTGCTTGCCTCAACTTCAGGCTTAGCGTGAGATGCATCCGCGACGCAAACCTTTTTTTCCACAAAACAATCATCGTGTCCTTCCTTTTTGCTAGATAAACCAATATTCTCAAATATATTCCCATCTCTCTCATCTGAAGTGTTATTGGTCTTTTCTTTCGAGTCTGAAACTAATTCCGGCAACTTTTCCCTTGCAAGACTTTCAAATATATTCCCACAAACAGCTTCACTAGCTAGACTAGACTTGCCAGCCTTTTCCACATATGAATGCTCTCCAGCAATTATCAAATGGCTGTCTTTGACCACCGGTTCATCGCAATTCCGTGTAGTTCCTTTGTTTTTACTTCTAATATCCTCATCTTTGGATAACGCTGCACCAACAGCTGATGATTCCCCGATACTGTCAACTGGTGATTCCCTGACATCGTGAAGTGATTCCAAGTGTTCAACCTCGGTTGCCTTCGTACACTCCGTGGTCTCCTCTTTGCCTATCAGTTCATCGCTGACACCAAGATTCTGGTTATTTAATTCCTTGCTTGCTCCTTTTGCACAGCTTTGGCCTTGATCCAGGGATACCACAAACTTCCCCTTCTCCTTACCAAAGGCAGTTGACATTTCGCTCTTGCTTTCAGATGTGCTGGTTTCTGGAATTGTACCTCTGTCATTCGATAATTCTTGATTACTCTGATTCTGATCAAATAGGCCTAAAAGACATTTAGCAGCGTCTATATCTTCGAATTTCTTCTTTGGCACTGAGAGCATGGATGTTTCGTCCATAGATTTCTTTTCAGTCGACATTTGTGAAGGAGAATCTGGGGATTTAGAATTAGCTGCCGGTTTCCATGCACTTTCAAGGCTAACGTCGCATGAATGTGGCAGCTGGCTTGCATTTTCACTACTTCCTAGGTCACAACCGCCCTCAACTCCTGCTGTCTCCGCTCTGCCTGAACCTTTCGCATTATCTGAAGAGCCTGTGCGCATGTGCAGTTTACTATCACTAGGTTGCTCGACCTTTAAAGACCCTTTTGATGACTTAGAATGCAAATCTTTCTCTTCTACACTTGTAAATCGCTCGCCATCCCTTGCATCATTAGAAGACAAGGCATCAAACTTTGGAGCTTCATCAGCTAGCAATGGGCTTTTGAGAGGCAAAGCTGGTGTCTTTGGATACGCAATCTGATAAGAACTTTGCTTTTGTCCGTTGTGTTGTGTATCGCTATCGTCGCAGATTGTCACATTGACGCGAGCATCAAATGACTTGGAAGAGTCATATGTTTCAGAAGTTTCCTTTTTCCCTGGAGATTTCGTCCTTTCTGCCAACGTTTCTCTGCCCAAACCTTTCTTTTCTTTAGCTACATCAACAAGCTGGCAAACTCCTGTAATATCCTTGTTGACCGTTGACTCTTTTGTTTTAGACTTTACGTTGAGCTTATGGCTACCATTTGTTGATGCATCGATAGTGCCTGTAGTCAACTCTGACTTTTCCTTGTGACTTTCTTTAGACGGCTCCGAAAATAAGGCTTTTGCTTTCGAAACATCCAAGTTCTCCTGTGAAAGAGACTTGTCCCCTTGCACAGTTTTAACAGTATGTTCCTCCTGGTCAGCTGGTCGACCTTGGCTATGTGTTTTACCTTCCTTTGCTTTCCCAAAAGAATGAGCCACCTTTTCAATGCTACTCTTAATTAGTTTAGTAATACGAGATCCAACATTCGAAGATCCTTTGCTAGGAACATTCTCAATTTTACCACTTCTTATATGACCCTTCTTGACATCTATCTTTTTGACTACCTGGGAACGAATATCTGGTCTTGCTGTTTTCTTGTCATCTCGACTGGCCTTGCTATCAATTTCATTAGTCGATAAAGAGCCCATGTCGCTTTTTTCTTTAGCACCCTCTTCAATACCTTTGTCCCTGTCACAAGACGAAGCTTTTACATTATCTCCAAGTAAATCGTTTTGAGCACCCCTTCCTTCTTCACTTTCTACTGGTAGTGTACCAGCTCCCTCATTCTTTTCTTTATTTTTATCACTATTCCTTGACAGCCGTGTTTCTATCGTCTTTTCCTCTCCAGCTGCAGATATCTGCACATTTTCACAGGTAACTGTCCTTCTACTAATCCCAGCTCCAAGACCACTCGCGCCGATAGTCAAGGGCAATGCTTCATTTGGCTCATCTGTTTTTCTTTTGCTTTCAATTACCTCAGTGCTACTCGATTCCATCTTTTCACTTTCTAAATTAATATCTGATTTCTCTGTGGTTGTTCTTTGTTTCTCTAAGGAAACTTTCCTGTTCTCATCTGACTCTGTTTTTTCTGTTTTATGTTTAGTTTCTTTCAGTTCATTCTCTGCATCATCAGTATTTCCTTTACGTTTCAAATCACTCTTTCCGTTACGTGTAGCGTCTTTCCCATTATCTTCAACAACATTTGGTGACAGCACAACATGCAGTAATTGCTCATTATCATTTCCTGTGTTGGTAGAAGCTGTCTGTTTACAGCTTCCAGGCTCCAATATTACCTCATTGGAATTTTTTAAAGGAAGGTTGGCTGACGTGTTTTGTGATGTTTTCAAATAAGTAGAGCTGGTTCCATTACCATCATTTTCTTCAGCGGTGTTAAAATCGTCTGCCTTGTTGACAACCTCTTTAACATATTGTTTTTCAAACCCATCTCCAGGTTCATGTTTGACAGAAGAATCAACTTTTTCTTTACTTTTCTTGGCACAATCGTTCCTTGTGTGTTCATAGATTACTATGTTGTCCTTCATAAAATCGTCTCTTTCAGTAGAGCGCGACGGCCTTATAGGGTCATAAGGCAGTACAGTCTTGGCACTCTCTGTAGTCCTGGGAACGACAATGACGTCATATTGATTAGGTTGTGATGTCATGTCACTTTCATTTGAAGTCTCGATGCTCGACTCCTTTAGAATGCTGTCATGCGTAGCGGAAGAAGTATCACTTGGCCCACCAGCCTTTTTTACTTTATTTATTAACGGCTCCGAGTCACTGCTTTCGTCTGAATCATACGATTGACATGTGTCAGGCTCTGTGTCGTCATAATCCTCATCAAAACTATCTGAGGACGAATACTCTTCTCCTACTGCAACAGCTTTTCTTGGTCGCAGACTCATTCTGTGACTCGGTTTCTGTATTTCGACATCCACAGTGACCCTTCTATGAGGTCTCTCCACAGTGAACTCTATGTCGCCACACGTCTCTGAGCTCTTTTTCTTTGCTGACTGGGTTTTTGTCGCTTTAGCACCAACACCAGAACGCCGACTCTGCATTCTATCGAAAATGTGAGTATCTTGGCTCAACAAATCTGTTTCCGATTTGAAATCTTTCCCGGGTCCTTTAATACTATCTATACTTCTCTGGTCGTCTCTAGTACTTGCAAGATTCATAGTAGCTTTCTTTGATAAATTTTCTTTCATAGCCAGTTTAAATGCCGTGCTCATATCAACAAATTTCATCCCAACACTGTCATCATCTGCAAATATGATTGGATAGTTTTCTCCATAGTATACATCTTCTGGCAAAAGCTGGTCTGTTTCACACGCAACAGATGGATACAGACGATTGTAGAGCTCTTCAACATCTCTATGAATGCTATCCTTCTGGTACCATCTGTGACTGCGTGAGCGGACTCTTTTATCAACATCTATTTGACTAGGGCTACCCAAATGATGGATATAATGATGTTTAGAAGTAGCTTTTTCTACATGAGTTCCGTCACCAGTTGACATCTTCAGTGTTTTTCCTTTTGCCAATGTTTCTCGGGAATGGGAGGTGTTGTCACTTTTCTCAACGCTTCGCATGGCTATCAACTTCAGTGGTACGTCATCATCATTATCATACACTGTACTTGTAGAGTCATCATCACTTCTGTGAACACTTGAAGCTCTGTAACTATCAGAAGAGCTACTTCTTCTGCTTTGCGGCATTCCAATGTCTTTCTCAGAAGACTTCTCTCCAAAATCATGAAACTTTTCAGAATCAACAAGAAACAGCTTATTGTCACTGATGTCTCCATCCAAATCAATTGTCTCTTTTTCAATCAATGTCGTCGTTAGGACCCTTGGAATTGGCCTCTGTTTTCCTTTCTTACTTTTATTTTTATCACCAACAGGCACTTGGATGTAATTTGCTCCTGATTTTGGTGGCCGACCACGCTTTCTCTTCACCACATAGCCAGAATTGCTTTCTTGACTGCTAACTTCCATCTCTCCAGTTTGGCCTCGATCAAATTGTTCTGGTGTCGTTTCATATTTTGTAATGACTTTTTTCTCTCTGTTTTCATTTCCCCTTGCAGTAATCCCTTTAAGGTAATCTAAATCAAGATTCACAGAGATTGGCAAAGATCCATGGAATTTTATGTCACCATCGCAAAATGGTCTTTGTATAGAAACTTTGCTCACACTTTGCACCTTGCTGAATGATACCACATGGGATTTACAATCTTCCACCTGTACTTCATGCGAATCCTGTCCAACAGGATAACTATTTTCGTCAATCCTTGCTGCAACATGTTTACTTGGTGTTTCATTTAATTGCTCCATGGGTACATTTTCCTTAGCATCTTCAGCACAACTGTCCTGTGTATCCTTCAGTTCAAGGTTTCTCTGTGAATCGGATTCCACTTCACCTTTGTCGCCACTCGCAACATCTGCATTTTCAGTAATCCTGCTTTCTATTTGTTCAGCTTTCAATTTTACATCTTCCTTAGAGCGTTGTGTGTTAAAGGTTGAAATTTCAGTATTCTTAAACTCCTTTGCTGGCCTAACAGCCGCCTGACTCAAACAATCAAAGCTATACTGTGATACTTTGCTTGCATCTTGTTCTGATAATACTGATGTTTGATTTGAGATGCTTACACTCTCATGTGATTGATGAATAGCACCCTTGACAAGCTGTTGATCTGGCGCTGTAATTGCTCTACTAGTAGGAAGTAAAACGTCATTCTTCTCTGCAAGTTTTTCATATTTCTTAGAATTTGGATGTTCTATGCTTGATTCTTTCTTCCTTTTCTCATCGGAAGTAACCAGAGAGTTTGCTAAAGATTCGAGTATGAGAATACTTTCTGACGAGCATTGTGCGCTGCCCGAATCCGATGACGCCAGTTGTGAAAATGTTTCTGGGTTAGTGTGAACTCTCCCAGGCTCACTGTCCTCGTAGACCTTGTATGCCCCATTATTATTCCACAGCAGTTCGCTTCTAGATGTCTGCCTCTGCAGTGGCTCAAACCTTCCTGATCCGGGTCTAGGCCTATAAATCACTCTTTCAGAACCAGTCTGACAAGCAACTTCACATCTACCATGTTTTCTGAACGATATACACAAAGAACTCTTAACCAGCCATTCTGGAACAATTTCCAAAGAACCTCCATCGATTGGAAAGCTTTCTTCCGTCAACACTCCACGTGATATACCAATGATTTTTGTTCGAATTTCACCTCTCTCGTACCCAGGAACTATACCTTGCCTAACATCGTGCCTTTCTTTTATCAGCTGCTGCGAAGGATTCAAGTAATTGTACAGAACGACCTGTGGTGGGGAGGATAGATAGGCCACATGCTCCAATGGGTCTGCCTGGCCGACTTGTCTGTCTCCCTGTAGTGGGTACTCATTTTCATAAAAATATGGCCTAATTTGATCCGAATAACTGAACCTTTCACTATGAAGGGCGCGTCTTTTTTCTTCAAAGGAGGAACCTCTTATTTCTCGAACTTGTACCTTCAAAATACCAATCTCTCTCAGTCTGGTATCACCCGAAACAGCAAGATCGCGAAGTCGTTTAGCAGCATATCGAGGCAGCTCAAATGTGACATTGAAATTTTTGCACCAACGTTTTTCAAAGTCCTGTCTTTGCATGACTTCTGGATTCAAACTCCAACGCCTTTAACGTCTTATAGGAATTGAGACTCCAAACCAAAGACTACACCACAGTTCTTGAAAAAAAAGATAATGGAAACATCATAAATACAATGGCGCAATGTATGAAATGTTTCAATTTAATATAATGATCTGCTTTGACCAGAGTGTGCTCGGTTTTCTTAAAAGTGAATGCGACTTTCAAGAAAAATCAATTCTTAGTGAATTTCGGGATCTGATTGTAAAAAGCCAGTTCAATTGCACATAAGGTCAGTATTCATTATCAAGCAGCGCTTTTCACTCTTTCAATCCTCCCCCCCCCCTTCCCCCTTATCGAAACCATACACATACCAATCAATTAAACAAAGGCAATAACACATAAGGAATACTATCTTTAAACCCAACTCCTATTATAATATACAAAAACCACCTTCCACTTAACCTCCAAACTCGAGCTTGGAATATTTACCGATTAATATCCTTTTTAACATAATTTGCTTAAACAGAAAATAATATGCCCAGATTGTTACTAGATTTGAAAGTTTATAGATTTGAAAATATTTCTTGGAACTTTTTATAACTCGCTATAGCTTTAGACACCTCAAGATCGACTAACATTGACAGCTGTATTCCTACAACACAAGGAAATATAAAAAAATGATAGATGAAAATGATGCAACAAAAGCAAGAAAAAAACGGATACAGAGCACACTAGAAATATTTTACATCTGATACTCCTTGGAATATAAACGTTGCGACAGTTAAACGAATACCAATTGGTCAAAAATTGGAATAAATTGATGCACCATTCTTCTTTCAGGTTTCTCTTTGTGAATAGATATAAATTTCTGCTCACCTTTAGTCATTATCCAACATTTATACTCCGATAGGAGTCGGGTGAAAGTACTTTCCGCTTTTATCCGACATTTATGCTCCGAGGGAAATCAGGTGAAAAATCAGGGGCAAGAAGTACTTTCCGCTTTCCCGTGCTGTCTTATGATTTTTCGTTAAAAAATATCTGCTGTTCATATCGAGTTTTTGATGATAAATGCAAAATAGCAAGTTTTTTCATATAACCCTCTATAATAAAAAAATAGAATTCAACAAGAAAGTAAATCAACAATAAAGACGTTAGGCAATGAGTTAAAGGTAGTGGAAATCTATAACCAGGTGCGGATCCGTGCAACGAGAGCGGAATCATGGTGCGGTTAATTGGCTCCTTGTTTCTGGCCAATCAGCTAACCATTTTATAATTAATAATTAGAGATTCCAGGAGAGAAAACAATATTTTTCAGCCTACACAAGCCGTTGGGGCCCTTTATTTTGAAAACAGATTCCAAAATACATAAAATGAAAGACAACTTCGGCTTTCCCGATGATTTTAAAACTATTGTCAGGATTCTTGAGCAAAATACATTTATATTGAGGCACTCTGATTCTTGAAAATAAGTAGTGGCTTGCAGGTGAATTAATGGTTCCTGAACTGATGATCTATAGTCTTTCTGATTGGCAGGCAACCAAACTCTTTTGACAGGCGGGGAACATGACCTTAGCACTATGAGCAATGGAAAAACGTTTCACTTCCTAAGAGAAGAGCAACAGCTTGTCAAAAGGGCTATTGATCGGTTATGGCCTTATTTATTTGACTTTAAAACATTTGTGAAATAATACCAACCTCAATAAGGCATTCTTATTGAGGGTTGACTTTTTCCCCATCAAGAAATTCGCAATTTATTTCGGCAGCAGGCTCAAATTATATGGTGTTTCATAAAAATCTTTGCAAACTTTTTTCAAAATCACAAGGAGCATTTTTCACTGTAAATGGAGTGGAAAACTTTGTAAAAGGTCTCTGCACTAAGTGCATCATCTAAGATTATCAGACAAGAAATCAAATTCTTGGAAACAATTGGCAACCTGCATGTAAAAAATAGTCCAAGGGAGACATGTCTCATACCAGTAGCGGCACCACAGTGGCCTGGGCGGACACTTCCCTACCTCCAGTTTTTGACAGGATCATTCTTGTCATATGCCTTCCCTTCTGATAAGTTAGTCATATATGTTCCTTTCTGATAACATTTGCGTTTCCTGTTGGTAAAAGGGCGTTTACTGGTGGAAAAAAGGGCGTGACCTTCAAAATTTTGTTTTCCCCCCCAGAGCTTAGTGGTTGTTGCCACCATTGTCCCATACCATATTCTGGAGGAGAATAAATGAATGATAACTGACAAAAAGCTAACCTGGGACTCTCACATAAACAAAGTGACAACAAGCATGAATGCAAAAGATAAAGCCGGTGGGAAAAGATTACCTGAAGAGGGTGAAAAGTTTACCAACTAGTGTTTCGAGATAATTTACTTCAAAGGCAGTCTACCAAGCACAACATATGGTATTTCTATTTGGGGCAACTTTTCTATAGCCAAAATGAGAAAGTTAGAGGAACTTGATCTAAGAGCAGCACAACTAGTCCATAAAATTTCTAAAGAAATACATTAAAGTGATGTATTCCAAACAGTCAAATGGATGCTGATCAGAGCTATGTGTAAAAAAGAAGTTTGATTTCTCTCACATAGTAAGCTTACTTTATCAGGGCCCTGAAGACATTAACAGTATCATTACAAAACAGAATCATCATAGCCTGAGGGATAATCGAATGATGGATATTTAGCCCGTGCAGAATTTGTTGTTTATCTATGTATACTTGAGTATATACAAGTCAAAAAAATAAAGTACCTTGTCTCCTTGTAAACATGATTTATCTTAAGAAGACAGTTGTTTTGTGTTACCCCCAAATGACAAACTGGTTTTTTGCAAAATGGCAACGTTTTGTGTAGGAACACAGATTTATTGAGTAGTATCCAACAAAACTCATCTTTATTCAAAAAGATATGGAGCAGCAGAATGTTATTTAAAGGGTAATGGAAGTTGATTCGCATAAAAAATTCAAGAAAAATAACTGAAATACACTTCTTTTCTATTAGAAATGAAGGTCGCCTTGGAGTGCTCCAGTTTCTTAATGGTATAGGAAATTCCAATACTCATTCTTTCTTTAAGTGTTTTTTAATCTGAAAAAGCACGGAAGAGCGAAAAAATAACATGATAAAAATCGGCAAATAACATATACATAAACCTCAAAGCATAAAGGGAAGCAGAAATGCAGATCGAAAGTAACGAGAGAGTTCAGACAGGGTGAATGATTGGTTCTATGTTCTTGACATATCCCAACTGCGTATCTCACCTTGTTGAAGTGTCGAAGAGCAAAAACGAATTATTTCTGTTCACGAACTTTTTCAATTTTTTTCCGATTGCCCAGTTGTTGTTTATTATAGCGTGTTTCTTATAAAAAATTAGTGTATTCGTAACACAAATTTCACACTTAACAATGTTGTGTAACAATTCTTGCTATTTTACGCTTTCCGTTGTTCCTTTCCTGCACAACCATTTCCTATTCCATTGCTAGTTGTAACAAGTAATACTATAGTTTGTTAACATTTGATGTCAAAAGAAACAGAAATTTCCTTTTTATAACGATATTTATAAAAACCATATATCTCTTTGACACAACATTTTTTTATGAATACCCTGATATACAGTGGTAGGTAGTTAAAACACTGAGGGGTGAGACGAAAAGAATTCAATGAGAGCGAGAGGTATAAAAAACTGCATGGGCGGAAAAAAGCCCTTGCAAAACTCTTTTGCATGGGGTTTCCCCAGGCGCGGGCTTTAGCCCACGTCTCTAGGAAAGGCCTTGCGATGCACACCTTGACCACATGTCCACACTGTTAGATGGGAATCGTCTTACATACCTGTCACTCTGCAGCTCATAATTCCTATTGAATATTTGACCTGGATCACAGATTAAAAACCTCCCTGCAAAGAAAAGAATGGTTTAGTTTCTATGGCTACAGGACTTTTTCAAACATCACAAAACAGTAAACTTTTCTTATCTCTTTTATAATCATTATGGCTTGAATAGACACAAAAAAGATGGATTTACCAAATAAAACAATGCCTACCAATAATAAACAATGTACCTTTAACCACTAGGTTCCAAACTTTTAGCATAACCTTTGCTGAAATCTTAGACAGTGATATCATTCAGCATTCAGCACTCAATGAAGGTAGATTATTTATGGTTGAACAAATTTCGGCCATAAGTAATTTTCATTGCTTTCATATTTTGTGTTTTTTTGTTAGACTAATTATGCTTTAACTGCATAATTATGCTTTAACTTTTCATCACAGTCTTTTGTGTTGACCAGAAATACATTGAGAAAGTCAACTTAGATGTTATACAAAAATAATTTCCACTGACACAAAGACTTAGTCAATACCCAGAGGAAGAGTTGAAAACATGTAGTGAAAAACAAGGGATCAGATCTTAATAAAGGGCCATAACTACAGGGGCATGTTGGCTGTAACCTCTCATTCAAAAATTCTGTTTCAAAAACAAGTAGTTTTATCTGTCTAAAATGCTTGTTTCCAAATATTTCAATAAGTTGGCAAATAAAGGGTGGCTCCTCCACTTTGATGGCAAATTTGGGCATGACCTCCACTCTGGAGAACGCTCTCCAGCCCTGTCTAGATGTCAAGAAACCACAATGCTCTCTAAGATACTTAGAGCTACATTATGTCATATGAACAATGCTCAAAGTTTGCTAAGCTCTCTCTGCCACTAGCATGGTTCAACGTTATGATTTAAACTGTAATCATGCAGTGGTAAAAATTGTAAATTTATATGGCACTCACTCATATTGGAAATTTTACAGAGCAGAAATCGGAAATATAAGCACAAACAGTGCACAACAGTAGGGCAGTTTGTCTAAAATTTTTGGCTGTTTTATGAATTTCAAATGCTGCATCCATTTTAAAATGACTCATCAATAGAGCAAGAGCTAAACAGGTCCTAGATCTAAATTACAAAACAACTTGTGCTTACACAGAAATATTGTTCTAAGACTTGGAACCAAAAGGATGTGTTACTATAAACAGTACAGGGGGAGAGGAGCTTGTAAAAAGTCTCTAAAAAACAAAAGCAATTGGCACAAAAAGGCTACCTTTTGTCATTTACAAGGCAGGGCACTGTACCTCTGGGCCCCCCTCATTCCCCTAGCTCTACACCCCTGCTGCAGTGTATCTTGTATGTTTATCAAGAAAAATCGTGAGAAGGCATCCGTGTCTAGTAACACCCACATAATTTAATGCTTAATATTACATATATTGGTTTTGTGTTTTACATGGCAAACCTTTCGTTTATCACCAAGTAAACAAGTGGACAAGCTAACGAAGCCTAAACTTTAGGGACCTTATAGTAGCTTTGCCTCAGGCCTTAAGGTTACTTTGAATCAATTCCGAGTTGTTGGGTTTCCTTTAAGGTAACAAAATCTCGAAACATTCCGATAGATCAACAGGTAACGTCCATGTGTTCTAACATTACCAATCATGTTTTAACTGCAGCTGTTTTCAGAGCAGGTTGATATGATTGCAAAAATAATCGGAGCCACGTGGGACCAATTTGCGATTTCATTGCAACTAGAGTACCTCGAGGTGAAGACAAGAAATGGGATCATAAAAGTTAATTTGCAAAGACAATTTTGTTGACGTTTTATGTGCAGGTGAAGTTTTTGATAATATGCCAGAAAAGGATGTGATTTAGAGTCAGCAAGATTTAAAAGAAGAAAAAGATCAATACAGCCTGATCTCTGAAATAGATCATCTAGTAGAGATCAAATTCTTCTCCCATACGGAAACTTAACTTGCAAAACAACTCCTTTCTTGTAAATGAGTTAAATTTGCTAATCTCGTCGAATGACCTCGGGAAAATCGAGCTAGGACTAATGGTAAGTTAAGATGAAGGTAAACGAAATAGGGAAAGTTTCTTGCAAACCCAGTTGTTTCCATGCATGCAAAGGCGACATAGAATACCCAACATATTTTAAACAAATAAAAATGCTTTGAAGTTAAGAAATACTTACAATATTCCAAACGCTTTCAATATTTTCATCCCTCCATTCCTAGACGGCCTATACACCACTATTGTCTCTGGTCTCTGTATTGGAGTGCCGTGTATTGTCTTTCTCACTTTTCGACGTCCATTCCCGTGTCTATTGTCCTTTTGCTGTCAATTCCACAAAGTGTCTTTGTCAACTGTGATTATTTACAGATGAATTGTCTTGTAGATCACTCAATAAATGATCTTATCAACAAGAAACAAAGGGACTTTCACTTGATTTTAATCAACTGATTGTTTTAGAAACAAAAGTACTCAACTCCCCAATACTAAGTGCTCTTTGCTCCCATTGAGAAAATCGCCTCCACAGGGGCAAAACAAAGGAATCCAGCCTTTAGCAACCAGAAGTTACACTCGCTTTCTTTTATAAGAACAATTTATAAAAAAAACCTTAACCTTCCTGAAATTTGAGAAACGATTTTGAGAATGCCGAGGTTGAGGTACCGTCAAATATCAGAAAGTTTGAGCATTGTAAAAATATCGCTTATTATTTGGACATGTCTTTCATAACAGGTCATATTTTTGACTAGAGGCCAATCGCTTCATGAAAATATCGTATATCTTTTGATGTAAATCCTATTTTTCATCTTAAAATCCCGAGAAATCCTTTTGTTTTGATTGAAATTTCGTACGCTAATTTGCACAAGTGAATTCGTGCGCTAATTCGTCTTTTACCAAGATAAAATAAGGGAACCGGTAATAGTTCTTCTGTACCTGTACATTCCGCAATAAAACAGTTTTAAGCTGGTATTTTTGTGTAATTATACGCAATTTTTATTGCGTGGTCAATACAGGGCCGCAGAGAAGATGTTTAGGCCCCGGGTCAGGACGAAAGATATATAGTAAAGACAGACGCTTCTAGGGGGTACACATTATTTGATAACAACCAGAAGCTTTTCAACTTCTTTAGACCAAGCCCACAAAGTTGAGAAATTCATAACAGCAGTCAAAAAATCAACTTGCTTCTACCTTACTTCTTTCATAGACTTTTGTCATTATTGTTTCTTTAAAAGACAGTTTGTGATAATGGAGAGGCTGGACTGTTACTTATAATGTTTTAAATTGAGTTATTATTTGTGGGCCCCTAAGGCCAAGGGCCCCCTAGTCAGTGACCCCCTGACCCCACTCTTCTCAGCACTGGGTCAATATATCAAAAGAATATCCAGATAAGGTAAAAAAATTCTTTATAAGACGCTTTGATGCAATTTATTGAACTGTTTCAACTTTGAATCAATGGGGACATGTATAAACTTGTTGAAACAGCATTCATCTTCGCAGAAAGGGGTCTGGGGATAAATTTGGCGGGAAATTTTGATGACGAATGCGACGCATTGTTTTGAACGTAAAAATTTTAGTCGCTTCGAGGAAAATCACAACTGTATCAAAAGACAACTGATTTCGGTGAACGGTTTATAGCAACGGCTTTAGCTATGATAGCCTCTCGAGAAAAAGCAACTCTTGAGCTGCCACGTAGAAAGTTTTGCCAGATATCTAACCCTATAAAGTTGCCTTTTATCTCTAGGGAGTGCGCGACAAGACGTGATGGCTACATAACTGAAAAAAACTCATACGTTTCAAAGAATATTGAAAGTCAGGTTGATGCTAAGAAAAGTTCAGAGAACAAAGAGTCAATATCTACCACTGAAGATGAAGCATGTCGTTTTCTGTGTACAATTTTAGATGAAGTTGAAAGGCAAGTTGATAGAGCTTTTATAAGCAGACATGTCAACCTGGAATGGGCTGCAGTTGACACTACAAGCAAACGAAATCAAAGGCAAGTTCATTTTTCTTCTCCTCTTGTAACAGAAGCATATTCTCAATGTAAAGATGATGAGCAATCTCAAGACACATTGCCATTCATTGACGAAGAGGAAGATTTTGAATTGACTCCGGATGAGGACATAGCTAAAACCATTTTTGGAAGAAACGAGGTATTTTCAACCCAAACATCCACCACTGAGATGAATCCAAAAGCATTATTCCCAGAGATAAACCTAGGAAATTTACTAGGGGACCAAGAAGAAGATGAATGTATTATTGAAAGGGAATGGAAAGAACTTGAAACTAGTCAAATAGTGCCAGGAGCTGTGACAAATGGCTCGGGGAATTGCAGTGGAAACAAAACAGCTGATTTATCTAACGATGTCCCGTGTTTTCCAAATGATAAACCTGAAGTAGAAACCTCGTCAATGTCACAATCTGAGGACCAAAATTTTGTGGACGAGAAAATAGAGGTTGTAAAAGAGTTGGATCATATCGAGAAGTCCAGTAAGCTGCCAATTCCAATACACAATCAAGGAGGATCAACAAATGACTCTGCTTGGTACGAGGAGGTGGTGCAAAGAAAATATAAAGAGAAGTACAGCTTAAGCGTGGCACAATTAAAGTCTCGAATGATGAAAAATTTATCTGATAATGTAAAACAAGATGCAGGAAATGTCAGTCAATGTAGTCGAATTGAACCATTGATAATTCCACAGATGGATGTAAGTTTCAATTGCTATAATTTCATTCCTTCTTAATTCTGATGTTTATCAAGAGCGAATTCACCCATAAAAAACATGAAGCACTCAATAAAAAGGGTAAATCATTATTGAGAATAAGAATATTGGTTTTTATTGGTTAATAAAACTGTCTGCTGATTATGCCAAATTGAATTTTTCAAATCTGGATTTGTAATTCAACTGTCTCATCGAATTTATCAATTTTAATAATGGATTAGTCGTTCAATTCAATTGGATTGATATTATTGAAATAAAAATTCAAAAATGTCGTTCTTTGTTGCCACACTGGTTATCTTTAATATTGGTTAATATGTTATAAAAGAACAGACAATCGTAAGTTATCAGCATCTGCTGTTGAAAGTATTAATTTTACATCTAGGTTATTTTTCTGTATGGATTTTCACTCTAGCTGTGATAATATTTTCGAGTGAGGTTTTGTCATAAAACTTGTTTTGTTTTAACAAGAAGTATTAAGATAACAGCCTGACCTCAGTCAATATAAAAGATAACTATCCCAATTTTCTCTGAAATTATTGTTTTGAACTTTTCTCAAGTTGAAATCTAAAGAAATATGATTTTCATTAATCTATCTTATACATTTATTAAATATTGGCTAACATCCATAAAATCGAAAGTTTAATGTTGTGGTTTACGTCATAAAAAGTCACAAGGCCGTCGGAAGTGGGCTGGGGGCAGCTTGAGCCCCCCCCCCCCCTCCAATTTTTTGTCAACTGTACTATATTTCATTTATAATGGTGTATAAAATGGGAAGCAACACAAAAGGTAGCCCTTCCCCCTTTTGAATGGGAAGCAACACAAAAGGTAGCCCCTCCCCCTTTTGAATGGGAAGCAATACAATAAGCAGCTTTTGACGACACTGGGTAACATTGTCATCCTTCACAGCTCCCCTTAAAGTGTTTTACATACTTTAGCGAAATCTCTATTTTTTCAAGGATCAAACTGTTCCTGAAAGTAGCACGGCCCTCGAAAATTCGAGAGCATTGTCATCTAGCATTCCAAACGTTATTTCCAACCTGGAGTTGCAGTGTTACGCCATTAACTCTTCCCCTCCATTGCCAACAAAGGGTGTTGAGGATTTTACGATGGAAGCAACTAAATCGAAAGATGATGTTGAAATTGATGACGTCATACCAATTTATTCCCAAAACTCAATTCCAGAAGACATGTTGCCAGAAATTGATAAAGCTGACAAAGTCTTTCCGTTAACAATTGAGAACATCTCATCAAATGATAGTGAGTTTTTTACTTTCTTATAAAACTTATATTATATTCGTAATAATTGTCTAGTGTCCCGTGAGCCTCTGTAATCTTCTGAAACGAATACCTGATTTGATGCCCCAATTTCGAAACCTTCTAAATTTTTTTGCAATATTAGGAAAGTTTGCAAATATGATTTTGCAAACCGTTGCTTTGCAAGCAAAACTTTTGATTTTTGTGTCAAAACGTAGTTTTTCCCGTCATAAAGCCTTGGCCAAACTGGGCAACATTGTTGCCTGACAATGTTGCTCGAATCTTTTTTTTTTCTTTGAAACGTTTTGGCCAAACTTGGCAACATTGTCGTGCAGCATACTGTGCTGCTATTGTCACAACAGCGCGCCAAATATGACTTGATATGTGGTTTTCTGCGCCATATTTGATATAAACACAAATTTTGAAAAGTATGGCAGAAAGAAAGAAAGCTGCAGCTTGTTTGCAGTTATTGAAAGCTGATTTTTACATAGCAACATCATTTTTGCTTTTCTTCATGATGCTAGTTTATATTAGTGTTAACACTACTGTTTAACCAGCAATAAAGAAGGTATAATTATCATAGCACTCTTCGGTCGAGCACTTGTAGAAGCAGTAATACTTGGCCGATTTGTTGTTTTAAAAGAACATGCACTTGGACTTGTTTCAGACGATATGTTATTAATATCCTCTCTAGCTCTTAAAAATTGATTGTACCTAAGTCGTATTCATTTCCCTCTTCATCATTTTCTCCCTTTTCTGTATAATCAACTTCAACGCAAAATTAAATTAAGTTGAACTGTTGCCCAACAATGTGGTCAAACTGGAAACATACAGCTGAGCAACAAATGTTGCCGGAAAAATTTGAGCATTTTCAAACATTTGAGCAACAAAATTCTTGACGAATTTGTCGGCCGACATGGTGGCCAAACTAGGCGACATTTGAGCAACATTTGGAAATTGTGACTGTTGCTCAACATTGTTGCCCAGTTTGGCCAAGCCTTAACGATGAATGCGAAAGGAAAACGCTTTTCAAACATTTGTTTGGCTTCTGTCTAGAGAGAATAAATTGATTCAATGGTAAACTGGTTGAATGGAGTTCGTATTTTTGACAATATAAAGACATCTCTTTAGAAATTTTGAATTCTGTCCAGATAACCTAAAAAACACCTAAAGCTTTGAACAGTGGCCAGATTTCAGAGGTTTGATGGGAAAAAGGCCTCTGCTCATGTGGCCATTTCTCAGCCAATTCGTGACTGACTTAACTCCTTTTGCTCATTTTCACGATGCCCTTTCAGGTTATGGAAAACAAATTCAAAATTCTTAATATATATTTTTGTGACGTCATTACTTAAGAACTCTATTGGATAAGCCATCACGCTCTTGGTTTATTTTAACAATTATTTTATTTTTGTCACCAATACTCTGATTTGTACATGCAAAAAATATACCCAAACATTATTGTTATGTTTATTAACAAAACATATATCCAAAGTTTTTACAAAGTTATATGATGAAATTTATTGGCTTTGATTTTGTTACTATCTTCTAAAAACATTGCAATCAACACAACTAATAGCAAACTCTGGCTTTTGAAACAGGTAATGAAAACCAAAGCAAAAATCAGTCTGATGAACTTAACACGGATGTCTCTGAAAATGTGAAAAACAAGACGTCCTATCCTGGAAAGAGAAAAGCTGTGGAATCCTTAAGCGATATATTAGCTATGAATATTGATGCCAAACGTGGAAATCAAGATGTACAAGCAATTTCGAATCTATCGATGATTCATGATTCTGGAGATACAATCGACGAACAAGACATAAAAGAGAAAGATACTTCCTCTGAAGAAGATTTCCATGAAAAAGAAGAAAATACATTTCCTCCTGCCAAAGTACTTATAGTTCAGCTTCCAAGAAAAATAGAAAAATCAGCCACAGTTTTAAATGAAAAAGAATGTTTTGGCAGTTTTGGCGATGGTATCATAGTGGACCCTTCAAGGTCAGAAGTTAAAGAATTTGCTTCAAATGATTTTAACAGTTCTGAAGATTCAGGAAACAATGTTGTTGCTGAAAAGGTGCCGACTGGAAGAAATTCTGAAGGATTACGTTTAGCAGAGGTACCAGGGTTTGATGCATGTTTGGACAAGCTGATTAACGAGCAGATAAATAACGCTAGTATGTTCCAAGAAATGCAAGATAATCTCGATTCCAGATTTGGTGCTGTTGCTAAGGGAACCAACAATGACAATGGTGAAGTTGATGGTAATTTACAACAAAATCCAGAAGCTAAGGGTGATTATTTAGCAGCTGATATTAAAAGAAGCACTTCTGAAAAATGTGACTATGTAGATCGGGAAAGAGCAGAGGAAAGAGCAGTCATGGTTTGCAGAGATGAGTGCAATGAAGAAATATCTGAAGAGCGAGTGAGTTTGAAACTAGAGGAGACTAAGACTCTGAAATCAGAGACAGGCCAACATGATGAGCAAGTAGTTTTGCATCGTGGCATTAATAATGTAGGTGAAGATCCTTTAGATACTACAGACATAAGCAGTATGTTGATTGATGAAGGTAAATCTATTTTGGCAAGAGGCATGCTCAAGAAAGTACCACGTGACGTAGCTATGCAGGAGTACGAAGAAAAAAGAGCTGAAAGTGGTTGTCAGAATTCTCAGGAGACAAATAGAGTGTCATTAGAGAATCAACAAGAGAAAGAAGAGGAAGAAGAGGAAGAAGAGGAAGAAGAGGAAGAAGAGGAAGAAGAAAAAGAAAAGAAAGAAGAGGAAGAAGAGGAAGAAGAGGAAGAAGAGGAAGAAGAGGAAGAAGAGGAAGAAGAGGAAGAAGAGGAAGAAGAGGAAGAAGAGGAGTCTGTGGCCAATTCAGAAGGCTTTGAAGTAGCTTTGGTGCCAGATTTTTCTATTGTTAAAAAGCCAGAAGAAAACATTGAGAATTCGTCTCAAAGACAAAAAACAAAGTTCAAATATGGTCGATTTATTTCCAGGCCTCGTACGAACACAGCATCCAATGCAAATGAAATGGTGAGTGTGTTTTGCAATGATGTCAGAGCTAAATTGGCTTTTGATACTGACGCAGAACACAATCAGACTTTAGGAAGGGCTGATGTGGAGACAATAGCTACTGACATCAGATTTTATGAAGATGAAAAGAGTTTTTTTGCCCTCAGCGGGAAAGGTTCAGATCAAGTTCTTTGTATCAAGGTTTGTTATTTTGATCTTAAATTGATTTGACTAAGCATACATACTGCATAAAATCTTTGATGACTAAAACCTTTTAAAGTGTGAAAATAAATTTTAGGTTGATTAAACTTCGCAACTGCAGAATTGCAAAAGTCATCATTTTTACTGTGATAAAAAATCATCTACCTCTTTTAGAGGTCTATTTATTTTGAACCTCGTAAGTGAGTGACAACAATAAAGGCTGGAGGACTCAGTTGACTGACAATCTTGTTTTCGAGGAAACAGGACCTGCATTCTCCCCAGTCTTAATCTCTCACTAGCCCAGGCAGTGGTTGTTTTAAATGCTTTCATAAATTTACCCAACGAATGTTTTAAACTCAAACATGTTGTTATCAACTGCTCCATGTTCTTCTGTAGGATTGGCAAATTAGCATTGTCAGAGAGACACAATATTTTTAACAGCATATGAATCTTTATGAATCTTGTCTGGTTGAAATAGGTTGAAGAAAGGGAAGATTCTTCCTGTGCTGAGAAATCATGCGATGAATGCAAGAAAAAGGCGACGAATTTGGACGGGATAAGCTGTTCCTCTAGCGTCTTTCCTTGGGTAAAGAAGCAAAAGTTTGATGGCTTTCAGGAAAATAGCATTGACAAATGTGAGTTGAATATGCAATATGAAGAAATAAGTTTGAATCCTCGCAACCTTAGATTGTTTCACTTTTGTAACCCAGTTACAAAATTAAAACTTACAGGTAACATCTCAGAGAAGCAATTTTCCTTTTTGAGTAATAAATTTAGTTGATCAATAAAGTTTTCTTGCATAGATAGAAATTCTCTGAAATTTTCAGCAATATTGTAAATTGCCATCAATAATATCTGCAACTTTTTAATTAGGAAAGTAGAAAAACTTGAATTAGTTTTAATAAATGACTGGGGGAAAAGCTGAGTAACTTAAAATTTGTTTTCATCTGAATGTTCATGACTGAGAAGTAGATGTCTTAAAGGCATTTGACATGCATAAATACAGCGAATCCAAAAGTAACTTAGGCCAAATTCATCAGAGCGCTCGTATTGAGAACCGCTCATGTGAAACCACTGCGCGCTGCTCTAGGATTTCACCGATTTGCAGAAAGGGCGGAAGCTGTTCACTGCTGTTCTCTGTGCCAACCGCTCGTGGTCGAGTGGCTGTAAGCCACTTTTACCTGTGTCAAATGCCTTTAAGGATAAGTAAGTATTGGCAGAGTGCTTATGGTAGAAACCCCTCTTTCACTGTGGAATTTTTTAACTGGCCAGCAACACATCAAACGATGAAAGCTCTACCTCTTGTGTTTAAAAACACTTTGCCATATAACATCTATTGTGAGATTTATCTAAAGTGTTTTTTCGGAAATTCTAGCATTACCGAGGTCAGAAACAACAAATCAGAAAACGATGGTATCAAAAAAATCGCCTGGTCACTCATTAATGCTTGATGGTGCTCATTGCCCCTTGAGAATTGGTTTATCCAGACGTAGGCCACTCAAGAGGCTTCATCCATATCTTGACAAGAATCAAGTGAATATGTACAAAGAAGATAGGCAAGTTGTGCCAGATATCAATCTGGACGAAAAACAGCTTGTTTAATTAGTCAATTTGTAAGCCTTAGTTTTGTTAGGAAGACGATAATGCCAGCAAAAGGATACTGGGACCATTGAAGCAGGTGGGCTGAAAGGGCTTATCCCCCACCCCCGCAAATTTAGAAAAGGTTGAACCCTTGATGGACCCGACAATAAGGACTGGGTTCAGTGGCGGCGCCAGCTACTGGCGAGTGGGAGGGTAATGGGCGTGACCAGTGAGACCACGCCCTAATCACCTTGTTTCAGTGCATTGTACCAGGTACAAATTTCCTTAGGAAATATGATCTACCCCTACCTAGTGCTTTTTAACCCGTTTTTAGACGAAATATGTAGACCATGTTTCGAAGAAAGTTGGGGGGGGGGTAATTACCCCCCCATACCATCCCCTGGCGCCGCCACTGACTAGGTTTGATTCGCTTGCAGTGGCGTCGCCAGCTCAAAAAACTGGGGTAGACAAAAGCTAATTTTTGTGGCCACGCCCTTCAGACTCTTGGAAAACCTTTTTTCAGTATTTTCTATCTATTTTGAAATTTTGTATGTGCGAAAATCAAAATCGATCTGATCAGCCCACCCCCCCCCCCCCCTCTCAAAGGTTTTTCGACGGATTTCGAGAAATCAGACGATCGACTTCTGGAAAACTGGGGTTCACCCCGTGGTGATGCCATTATACGATTGCTGTGTCTTCTCAAGGCATGGGATCATGGGATCGCTCATTTGACTCTTTTCTCATTTTGCCCCTCTTCCCCAAACGTTACCTACACATAACTTTAGCATCAATTTTCTATTGTCAAGTCGTAGTTTATTTCATAATTCAAAGATATGCTCATCATCCTTGAAAACCTTTTCCTTATTCAATAAGAACACAGCGTTCATTGGCTAATAGTGTTATTTTATTACCGGGATCTTCTTCCTGCAATTGGTCGCGCAAGCGCCTGTTTTGTGAACCTGGTTTTTTGTTATTTCGTTGTGGAATTTGTTAAGCTTCAACTTGAATGATATAGGCAACCTTCACCTATCATAATTCTGGTAAATATCGATTGTTCATGTAAACACACACATATATATATATTCGAATTTTTCCTGAAGGTGTTGATTTTGAGATTTTCTTGTATATATTCTTAAATTATTCCTATATTGTTGGAAATATTGTTTGGATTCTATGCGAATTTCGATTCGTTCATTTCTTAATTTCTTTAATTGGTGTACGAAAACCTTAATGGAGTCATATGGTAGAAGAGAAAATTTTTAAACTATCAATTCTGTCATTTTCTCATAAACAAAACAAAACAAAACCTCCCCTCCACTCCTCTCGACCCTTCAACTCCCTCCTTCCCCGTCCCTCTCCTTCCCTCTCTTTAGGCAGTCCGAGTAACAGGGCCCGCGCCACGAATTTGAAAGTGGGGGCCAAGGCCATCCCGCCCCCCTCCTTGGTGGCGCGGGCCTTGAGTAAGTAGGGGAAATTACCATTTGTTACTTCTATTAGACACGAAACGCTTTTTGTTCACTAGTGACGTAATTCCCTTCTGCTCCAAACGAGACTCAATGTGAGACGAGGTTGCAACTTCTTCGAAGTAAAACAAGTATGGCTGCCGAAAGCGATTTTCTGGCAGAGAATAATCAGTGCGGTCAGACGCTACTGAAACTTGTTAGCCGAGGAAATGCAATTGTTGCAGAACTTTTAAGACTTACGGACTTCGTTCCTCCAATCTTCAAGTTGGAAAGCAGAGAAGACAAGGAAAAATATGGAGAGATCCTGCCAGACTTCAGCTACTTCCGGTCAATTGACCTGTTTGAACACAAGTTGAACAGCCGACCAGTGAGTAAATTTGTGAAAAAGGTTTTTCTAAAGTTTGAAGTTGAATACAAGTGACTATTTAATTATGTCATATTCAAATCAGTCTTGCTAGTTTGCATGAGATTGAAAGGTTTTTGTCATACTCCCCGCCCCCCAAACCAGTCTGCAGAGTATGGCATGTGCATACCAGAGATATTTTTGTGCAAAACCTGTTGCACACCGGGTATTTTTGGGTGTGGAAACTAAAATGGGTGTGGCTTGTTGTGGTCCCATAAAAAAATGTCAGCTGATAAAAACAAGCACAGTTGTGTATGAACAATTTGAGATATCATGAATCTTACTTGACAAATATACAAATAAAAACTTGCACTATCTTCAACAGTATACTTCACACGCATTTTTACGGTGAAATGCAAATTCATAAATTTCAACCACAACAGGGGAAAATAGTCGGTGCACACCAGCACACCAGACATTTTTGGTTGTGCACACCGTCACACCAGGCTTTTTGCTCGTGCACACCGGAGATCTCGTCGAAAAGTGCCATACTCTGCAGACCGGCCCCCAAATGTCTGCAAATCTCCAAAAAAGTTGGTCATGCAGCGAGGACCTTAGCGTTAATTAGGAAGTTTGACCAAACGTCAACTCGTAATTCGTTTATTTTGTTGGTCATGATTGGTCATACTCAACTTTTTTTTTTGGTAGTACTGTAAATAACTTGCCAATAACGAACGGTTTTAAGATGCAGTCGATTGAAAATTTCAGACTCTTAACTTACTATTTCTCAGGGCCAGCAGAACTGCGGGGGGCGGGGCCATGGCCCCTACTTTTCTGCAGAGGAAATTAAAAAGTTTTAGGAAAAGGGGAAAGAAATGTAGCATACCATTCTGGAAGTAACTTTGCCAAGTATTTCCTTAAAAATGCCCTTAATTTTAGCTTGGTTACTATGTTCTCTAATCATAGAAGACAAATATATAATTGAACATTAAATACAGTTCCTTGCCATCCTAGAATCCATATATTCCTAAAATTTTTCTTACCACCAACCATGATTGTCACCTTTCTTTGATCCTTTCAAAACTTTGATATTTTGGCCCCTCCACTTTCAAATACGTTTTGCTGGCCCTGTAGCATTTTTGTATGTGAAGCAAATCTCGAGCTTGGAATGAGCTAAGCTAGTAGCCATCTTATTTTCCCAAATGCAGTGCTTGTCACATGACGTTTCTAAACACACTACAAAAATACATACATCGCTTAATTATATGGAAAGTATTTTTCGCTGGTTAATAATTCATTTCACAGATGATAGGTCTGGATGTTTTCCAATAATACCCAGAAGTACTTTTAGTTAGAGAAACTTCAAGGATTTACAGAATTAGCATACTTAGACATATTTGCCACACAAGCCTTTAAAATTCTTATAGGTTAAAGGAAACTTTATAATTTGAAATTATTGTTTGTAGTCTTTTTTTGCGGATTAACCTAAAATTGGTTTTTCGCAAAAAACATGCTTATTGATTCCTCTAAAAATGCGAAATTTACAAAAAAAATTTTCTGCCAACTCATTCTCTTTATACTTTCATGCCATTATTTGCTCTAACTTTGTTATCATTAAATGTGTAAATGATAATCCATTTCATTCTTAATACATTTTTTTAAGGAGAAATAATTGGTCACTTTTTTTCTGAATGCCCCCTCCCCCCCAACTAAATTGTCTAGGCACATTACTGAGCTGAAGTAGTGATTATTTTGCTTGTTTTTGAAACTGAAGTGAGCAGATCTCTGAATGCATTACAAGCATTACAAGTGATACAGTAATACAAGAAATGCAAGAGCTTTCCTTAAGGTCATGGCAGTGTTGTCTCTTTTTTTATTCTCTAACACCCCCTAACTTTGATCAGAATCACTCCTTTTCTTACTGTAAATTATACTGTCTTTTAAATATGCACATACAAGGAAGTAGGTGCATACAAGAGTGTTTCAAAATATTAATGTTGCCCCTGTTTCACTTTTTTAATCTCCATTGACTTGGCCTGAATCACTCTTTTTTGACTGTAAGAGCCTTTTTTGATATAGCAGAATTAATTTTTTTGCAACTTATATTGTATTTTAAATATCATATTTCTAGTTTTCTAGTTTGATATTCATCTTTTTTCCTTTTTCAAATAGTAATTGACATAAGCTTTGCCAGGTTGGAAAACATGTATGATTTTGCCGATGTTTCACTGTGATCGACAGCACGTTATCAGCTGTGACCTGCAAGTAGAGCTGCAGGCAGCAATGCTTATATATACATTACTATAGTATAATATACATGGCTTCATTGATGTTTGGATTATGAGAGGTCAGATGTGAGCATAATAAGTCCAGCATAGCTGCGAGCCTGGAAATTATGTTGATCAAGAAAATAGGGAAGATATTCTGAAAAGTTTACCTTTATTTATTTACACAGAATACTCTTAGTCAACCATACCAATTCTGTCAGTTGAAGTTTTTTGTGCTAGGTTTGCTTTTAAAAAATGAAGTGTTTATCTTCTAGGATTTGCAAGACTTAGATGAAGTTTTTAAAGAAACCCATCTTGAGATACTTACTCGTTTCTATCATGTGTTTGAAAGCATTTACAAATATGTCACAGATTTAAACAGGTTAGTTTTGCAACAGTTCCAGTTTAAGTTTTATGTTTATTTTATTTTAACAGGTTTATTTTATGTTTAATATTCATTCTACATTTTCCTTGAATAATGTTCTTATTCTTTTGAGAAAATTGTATCAATGTACATATTTTGACAAATATTCATTTTTTATAGATTTGAACCATAGAGTTAGTAGGCAGTTGAGAGGGAAAAATTAAAAATTTTTAGGCCATGCCCTGTTTACTGTCAGAAAACACCTATTTTACCAATAGTGAACGCCCATGACTAACTTCTCATTATGTAATGACAGTTTCAAAATCGTAGAATCAAACAATAACAAATACTTTGCTAAAGGATTACCCTGCCCCCAATATCTTCTGATCATTTTTATAGCCAAAATGCAAAATCTCCAAGGACTGCCAAGGATCTGTCAAGAACTGAAGTGTATCCCCAAATCCCCCATGCCCCCACGATACCAGCACAGGTTGCATTAAGTGTGTAATAATGTTTAATTTTGGGTTAATGTTTATCCCCATTCTCCGTATTTTGCTCTCTAGGTTTCTGGAAGACCTGGGTGAAGGGGTGTACATTCAACAAACTTTGGAGACAATTCTACTGAATGGAGATGGAAAGCAACTTGCTGTAAGTTTTATCTGATCAATTAACATATAACTGCATGCATGAATTTTTCTTGTTTTTTTCAAGATACCATTGTTTTATTGCTATCAAAGTAGAGTGACATTTACGTTACCTTAGTGTAAAAAATTCACCAATGAGTTTCCCAAATAATTGCAACTTTTAATGTTATTGCAGTGCATTTCAAGATATCTCTTGGCTGTAGTGTGTAGTGTAGCGTTTGATTCCAAGAACAGGCATATTCTTTTTCTTTGATTTGGAGAAAAACCTTTAATCCTAAGATAAGAACAATGTGGTGCCATTGTTAAATCCCACATGGAAAATTTAAAGACCTTTAGCCACTGACAGAACTGCTTTTAAATTTGCCAGTTTCATTTTCCACTGCTTTAGAAATTTTTGAAACATATTTTGGAACTTTTAGGCTATGGTGAATTTTTAGAAATTTCCTTCCCGCTGATTAATGGAAAATGTTTATATAAGTCATGTTTGTCTGAATTTTACACATATAGAAAAAATATGTTTGTCCCCTGATTAATTCGTTCAATGTTCTTGTCGAACTTTTTTCATTTCGGCAGTGTGAAATCTTGTTTCTGTATGGAGTTATGCTTATGATTGCTGATATGAGATTTGAAGGGGATGTTAGAGAACGAATGCTTGTGGCTTATTACAGATATTGGTATGATCTTAATACATTCATTCTCTTGATTTACTTTTACTTAAACATTATTATTATACTTTTACAGTAGTTTGACCTAATGTTTATAATTTTTCCAATAGACCACTTTAAGGGACTTGATTTTGTGCGACTAGGAATTCATGATAAATTGATGCTAGAATGTGTATCAAGGTTTCATTTCTTTTAGCTCATCAGTGTCTACTACTGATTCATATGTGGATGATGTGTTGAAACTGTTAAGAAGTACCGGGTTTTCTGCCAATCCAAATGCCAAAAGACCACCAAAGTATCCTGAAGAGTACTTCATGTAAGAAGTTAGCTTAAGCGTAATTTTGCATTCTTCAGTCATCTGCTCCTTTGTTTTCGAGATATCTTTCATATAAAGAACCATTTAACTCAAGTGAAAAATAAAATCATCTAAGCTGCTTCATCTAAAAATTACAGTCTACAATCTATTTCAATTTGAAATGTAAATACCATTCATCTTTGTAGTTGATAAAAGGCCAGGTGATATGAGAAGAAAGAAAACAAGGATCAGGAAAATTTCTTTGTGCCACTTTGTGACAGTTTTTTATCTAAAAACTGTCATTACATTTAGCTGAATAGAAAGATTTTGAATTATATTGGAAAATGAGAATAGGAAACTCATGAAATTGGAGAATGCTCAATTTTTAACGTCTCTGTTATTATGTCTCAGTATTTTTTGTGTAATATTATAAAGCGTTTTTGCTTATTCTTTTGTTAATGCTTTCAGGCGAGTACCAATCTCAAGCACATTCATTGACATGGTTGTTGGACGGTTAAGATCAGATGATATTTACAATCAGGTAATTCTTCATGCAGTTAAACTACTGATAACTCCGACTCTCAATTTGAAAAAGCATGGTTCAAATTATTGAATGTGTCTGCTGGGAACTTTTAATATTGGGAATTTACCATCCAATGTTCCAAAACCAGTCTACTGCAATGTATACTTTCTTGTTTGCAATTAACTTAGGTTTGCCCAGTACAACACTCAAATCTGGATTGGTTTGTACCATTGTTATATTAAGTTGTATACATAAATGAAGATAAGATTGCATTTGGAGTGCAAGTCAATTGTATAGCGATATATTATAAAAATATTAAATAAATGTATAAGATGAGATGATATTTATATTGAGGTAATACTTCATACAGTGACACCACTGAAAACTCTCAGTTTGAAAAAGCATTCTCTGATAAACTGGTCAACTTTGTGAGAAATTCCTAACAATGCAGGTTTAGAAGTATACAATGATCACGAAACAGCTTCGAATTTCAAATCTTGGAATATTTCGCAAAAATTCTCAATTTTGAGAGCGCACATAGTAGAGTCCAGGATGGTAGCATACTTCTTCGAGACAGTTTACTCAAGCTTTAAAACCATTCTTACAAAACAAGAAAAGTGAGCCAGGGTTTGGGTGTGGCACTTTACTTTATTGTTTTTCATTGTTTTTCCTTACGGTCTCGATCGCCCTGTCTTCTAGGGTCCGGCGTATCGAACAGACTTCAAGAAATTTCAAGCAGGTGTCCACCTAAAAATGCAATTCCACTTTTTGCTTGCCTTTTCAGGGTATTTGAAGCATCTGATCATCAAAAGCCCTTGTAATTTTCTGTTGATCAGATGACCTAATTTAGGGAGATTTTTCTGTTAGTGTTAGGCTCCTAAAATGGTGCAGCATTTTGGTGCACGAAGACATTTTCTAGTGTTTTTTTAGTTTAAACTAGCCAAATGTGAACTTGGACCCTGGGGGCACAAAAGAAATTAAAAAACTTTTCAGTGCAAAAGAAGTGTCAGATACACCTTGGTATGAAACTTTGTAGTCATTTGAAAGGCTTAAAAAGATTACCATAGAACCTTATGGCAATATATTAATTATTAACCCCCCTTTTTAGATTGCAGCATACCCGTTGCCCGAACACAGAAGCACGGCCCTGGCCACACAGGCCTCAATGCTATATGTCATTCTTCATTTCTGTCCCGACATATTGCACAATCAACAAGCAAAGATGAGAGAAATAGTTGACAAGCATTTTCCTGACAACTGGGTATGAAACTCTTTTGTTTTCCTTAACGACTTTCAAACATTCTATTATCATAGAACTATCTGCGAAATTTTGTTCTCTTGTGTCATGAGCAGTCGCTCCTCCTTAAACAATCTATTTTCAAGATCTAACGATTTTCTCTCCGTTTCCGAGCCATTTTTATCTTATTTGCAAATTTTGTTGTTGAATTTTCATATGGTTTGTACAAGAAACGTTTTCATGAATTTTATGATGTTTTCCAGTGCGTGTCTCAACAAAGAATATGTGAATCATTTTCATTCCCACTTATAAGTCCTTAACTAATGCCTCTCCTTCGTCTATAAGGTGATCAGTGTGTACATGGGTATAATCGTTAATTTGATTGATGCTTGGGAACCTTACAAAGCTGCCAAAAATGCATTGAACAACTCCCTTGATGCCCAGAGTGTTAAAACCCACGTGAGTATTTGGTTCTTTTCAGCTAACCCTAGGATGGAAATGTTATGTCAAACTAACTTGTTTTTTATACTCAGTCCAAGAAAGCACATTTTACAAAAACAAGTTTACAAAGACGATAACAATGGGAGCATGATAGGCATGGCTACCCATTAGTAGCATCAAAGGCTATACCAAAATCATGTTTAGGTCGTTCATAAGGAATAGCCAATCAAAAGATAAAGAGACTTCTGCTTGTGGAGAAAATGAGTTGTCTGTTAGGCTTCAAACGTTTTAATCCACTCGTTTGTTGTTGATCGGCTAAATTTTTGGCTTTTTTATTTTGCCTTGATAGTTGATTGGTTTTAAATTGAACTAAAGGTTAAAGGCAATCCACAGATACTAAAGAGGCTTAATACATTTATCAATCAATAATTAGCGAATCAGTGAGCGTGATGTCACTCACATGGCTATTGATTGGTTAATATTGATTGACAGCTGGCCTAAGCAACTTAAGTATATGTCGATTGTCTTTACATTTGAGATTGAATGAGTTTTCTTTTTTGAATTTGACAGGCAACAAGGCATTTGCAGAAAGTCAGATCTCTGAATGCAGAGGTAATTTTTAAAAGCAGTGCATATCTAACAGTATCTATATAAGTATTCGTGATTTTGTCTGTCTAACTGGATACCGTAATATCGGCATCATCTTTTGGATTGTAAATCAACGACTGCCTGTGGGCTTGGAACTTGATAGAATTCAACTATTCCTCTTTCCTTATTTAAAAGTTTTACAAATCAGATGGGAAATGTAAATTTCGCGTAACTTTTTTGGTATTTAACTTGACTGTTGAAAGGGAAAGCGGATGTGAAAGAGTTGGGAGATGAAGCGAAAAAAAACATTACTTTTGTCGTTTGCTTTTCCACGTAAAGAGTGATAACGCCGCAAAAAAGCTTTTTTGCAATTTTTGAATTTGGATAACATAGCATGAAAGGGCATAATAAAATGCCTCGGAAGATGAGAAATCAGTTGCATGTGTTACAAATTGGCTGAGATATGCCCACATGAGCACAGGCGCTTTCCCAAAACAATTACTATAATTTGGTTTCTATTCATTACTTTATGAACGAAGCCAGAGTAACAGTAATCTGTTAGCAAACTTCAAATCTTAAATTGGCCGCATGCCAAACAAACATCAACATATTTAACTGCTTTTCATATTTCAAGGTATTTCATGGTGTTCTTTCAACTATGTGTATAAAGTAAAAAGTTGTGAAAATATATTTTTTTATGAAATCATATTTTAGAACTCTATATAGGCCTACGGTAAATGTGAAAGCATTATAAGAACGAATTCAAGATCTAATACCAGCGTTTTTAACCTCCAAGGCACTGCAATATTTGAAGGAAGGAGTGTTGGTAGAGCAATTTATACTTGATTCAATACCAAAGCTGATGAACTGCCTACGAGATTGCAACGTGACATTAAGATGGCTGATGCTTCATACTGCAGACAAAGGTATTTCTCATACCATATTCGCTGCGTCTTAGTTATAATTTCTTTTTATCATCTAGAGTCGTCCTTCAGACATTGCTGCGTGATGCTTTCACGAACAGCATGAAAAAAAGGAAGGGGGATTATAAAGCAGCGGCAAAGGCGTAGAGGTGAAAGATGTGACTGTCCCAAAGTTGAGAAAAGCAAAAGAACACTATGACTCTGTCTTATAATAAAAGAAAAAGTGTCGTTTTAAAAACACTGACCCCCTCTAACTATTTGCCAGGTGTGCGGTTGTGTATAAAATAACTTAGGATAAAGGTACACCAATACGAAGAAATTGTCGTAACTGGTCATAGTTTGAAAAGTACAGTAAAAGACAATTTTAGAAAATCTTTAGAGTGAAATGGCTGAAGGAAAGGCTCGCTACATCTTGTGGCGTAACGGGGGTGTCTGTGGTCTTAAAGAAAAGACGGAAACGGACACCTATTTACATACTGCAGGAAAGTCCAATCCAAGGGTGTTGAGCATGTCAAACACAATAAGAAACTGACGTAAAAATGATAATTTCTACTAGGGGGGGGGGGGGGTTGTGTAATATGTTTAAAATGAACTTGAACGAAGTTTTGAAAACATATATTTTCAAAATAACATGGGCCCCTTTTGGTCGAAGGTCCTTAGTGATCGAACGAAGGTGCCCTAAACTGCTTTACAGATGAATGCACCTCCTTATTTTATATACCCTGTTTTGTTCTGTGAAATATGAACGTTGTTGAAATCCTCTGGTCTCAATGAATGTTGCATTGAGATTTCAGTTTTGCTGCAAATTGTTTGTTGTGTTTCTTTTGGTAATTAATTCAGGAAAATTACTTTTCAGTTGGAGAAAATTCAAAAAAGGCCCGTCAAGTGAAGGAATCAATAATTGGATTGGGTTATAATCCAAAGTTTGTGTTTGAACTGATGCTTAACATTGCTCAATTTGAGTTTGTCCTGAAAGAGGTACGTACCTTATCGTTTTGGTGTTGCAATGATTGTATAGATAGATTTATTGTGATGTTGTTCTGTGAAAATGTTTTTGGTTTGCCTGTCGAATGATTGCCTGTCAAGTGTCATTAGAATGCTCTTTTGCTCCTATATTGGCTTGAAAAACAGGTAAAAAATGAACTCAAAATAATCCTTGCCCCACCCACTTCCCTCCTTCTTAGACCAATGTCAGCTTAAAAACCGTCAAGGCTTTAAATGTACTATGAAGCATGTACTAGCCAATACCTTTTTTGAACTATTGGGCAACTTTGATAATGCTTTCAGTCTCAATAGCTTAGTTTTCTAGAGGTTTGATCACAATATGAATGTTTGATAAACTATGATAGCGATTCCTAGATACATTATTTACTCTGCTTGAAAATTGCCCTCTTAATTGTAAATTACTTGTTTACATAAATAGTTGTTTACGTGAAGAGTGGGTTTTTAAAGTGAATATACACATTCAGAGTAAAAATATTCTTTCGAAAGTTAACACTGGAATTTAGCAAATTGAAATATTTCACATAAAAAGACGGATTTCACACTTTCACACAGACTACTCACGATGGCAGGTATTCTTAAGCACTGCCCTTTATGAGCCTATTTTTGGGTCTGTTCCTGAGTAACATAAGATAATGATGACACATCTGATATGTGACTTCGTTTCGCTTGGTTCCAGGCTTTTAAGAAAATGCTGTCACAGAAGCAAGACAAATGGGAAAAGTGCAAAAAGGAGAGTGTGGAGCGGATGACAGAACTCAGCGATGTCTTCTCGGGAACGAAGCCCCTGACTAGGGTTGAAAAAAATGGTAAGTTTTCGGGCTTGTAGATAAGTATGAAGGTAGATAAGTATGTTACGTGCCAGTGTGATTCTGGCTACGTAGGACGCACCACCCAAAGATTGGAGGATAGAATAAAATAACATGTTCCGTCTAATATTAGAAACAAAACCAACCCCCAAAGAGAACAGCCACCTCGGTCTTGCAAATCTAAAATTACAACTAAAACCTGCGATTCTGCTATCGGGCAGCATTTACTAGAAAACTCGGATTGTGCAAAAAACTATAATGGCGACATGTTTCGGATTATTGGTAAAGCCCGCTCGTCGTTCCACCTAGCAGTTTTGGAATCTATCTACATAAGCACGAACAAACCGCTACTGTGTAGACAAAAGGAGTTCGTTTTCACCTTAGGACTCCATTGGTAACATTCTCAATAGGCAAGCGGCACTGATTGGTCAACCTATACAGTCATGTCCTCGTGTTTCTGATTGGCCTATTTCGATCCACAACTGGGTATATATATATCCTAGCGTAGAGTTTTCGATCTATGTTCTGACGTTTTAAACTCTGAAGAGTGTCAGACGAAAAGCTTTAGTTTACTAAATGTTTGCTTTTTTCAAAGCCATATAGTTGGTTTCTTTAATTGTAACTCTCGTAGAAGCCGATACTATTGCCTTTTAATTTCTTTTTATAACTCTTCGTTGCACAGAAAACCTCATGGCTTGGTTTCAGGAAATGGGGAAACAAATCGAATCTTTGAGTTATGAAAACTCAACATCTGCAGGAAGGAAGATTGTGCAGTTAATTCAAGCACTTGAGGAGGTAGGAAAACATTAATATCATATAAACCCACTACATGTAAAAATGATTCATCATATTCATCATAAATTGATCACACATCACTGCCGTCGGAACGAAATTCATATTTGGGGGGGGGAATGGCTGTTCATTGTATTGCTTCCCATTCAGTACACTATAATAAGGGAAATATAGTACTGCTTGACAATGATTGCCCCCTCCTTCCCTTCCCCCTCTCCCCCCTTCCAACGACCCTGCACAAAACTTTGTGTTAACTTGTAAGTCATGTTTTATATATCCTAATTTGAATTTTATTGATCTAAATACGTTTTTTTAAAGTACCGCAAAATTTTAAGATGTCACTAAATAGCGGAAACAGCATCGGATAACGACCAAAGTAAGCTGCAAATTAAAACCATTCGACAGATACTAAACAGACTTAAGCTGTCTTTCAATAGAAAATTGACCAATCAGTGAGCGTGATTCCACTCATACGCCCACTGATTGGCTTATATTGATTGACAGATGGCTTTTATATCTGTTGATTGCCTTTATGTTTTAGAAGCTATAGAATTTGCTCTTTTAGTAATTATAGATTTCCAGCTTACTTTCGGTCATCATCCGACGTTTATGCTCTGAAGTGTGTCGAACGAAACGTACTTAAAGGCATTAAGTCATGATAAAATGGATTGGGTATACCCTAAGTGCCAAAATCCGCTGAGTCATGATTTTCATTACTGCGACGCTATTGGTTGACCTGGAACTCATGAACTCACCTCGTACTGATTGACAAATCAATTTCCATCAATAGAAAGTTGTCAACAACGAATGCCAATATCACATGAAACAGCAGTCTTTACGCCGAAACCAAATGACCCCTATAGAGAAGGCCTATTTACCATGACTACTCGATGCTTTCTATGTTTCCGCTATTTCTTGCTATCTTCAAATCTTATATATTTGTTGAGAAAAATAAAATTACATTTATAAATTCAAGGTTTTATTAAATGCGGTCTCTGCAAGAACTTCGGTATAACTCTTCTAGGAATTATGATTTATAAGGATTCAAGGTATTATGTGTTTGCCAATGTTGTCAAAGTGCTCTATCACTGTGCAACCAATATAGTTGAACACTCCATAATCCAGTCTACCCTTGAATGTGTCGTTGTCGAGGCCTGGTTTTGATGATTCAAAACTCTTAAGAATAAAATTTATTTCCAATGTTGCTGGGAAAGTTCGGACTCTGATTGTCTTTCGCGTATATTTCCATGAGTAAAATATCTCCTCTTTTGATTTGATTGGCACTTGACTCTCCATTCAACAGGTTCAAGAATTTCACCAACTTGAAAGCAACTTGCAGGTCAGGCAGTTTCTGCTAGACACCAGGCAGTTTCTTCATCAGATGATTCGCACGATCAACATCAAAGAAGAAGTAAGCTATCCACAATACTGGGTTTTCTCACAGTAGCTTGGCTTAATTTGTTTTATAGCAAGCGACAGCTTTGGATTCACCAGGAAACCATGCAGAATAATTAAGCTGTAGGGTAGTTTAAAAGCACCATTTTTCAAATTAAATTTTTGGATAATTTCTTTCCGAATCAATCTATTTTCTGCTAATTTCTTTCTTTTTGTATCTCCCAGATATGGCTAGTTATTTCTAACTACATTTTTTCCTTGCGATTTTACAATTGCAGTTTAAACTGTTAAAACTGAATCCCTGTTTCATTTATAAGCTGTTTCATTTCTTGATAAACGACTGAAAATTGGAGAGAAAATCCATCATTTCAATTTTGCTATACTGTATGAATTCTTTGCAGTGTTGTAGTTCACATCTTCTCCATTAATCTGCTCGAAGTTTTCATTGATATCTTGGCATTCGTTTATAGGTGATGATAACAGTTCAGATAGTTGGTGATCTTTCCTACGCTTGGGAGATAATGGATAGGTGAGTAAAGTTCCACTAGTGGATCACTGCTTAGAACATAGAGCGAGACTGTTGTTGTTGCTGGAATTGAGATAGAGCAAGGGCTTCTTGTACTAAATATATATCTTGACTATTTTTCTACAAACTTATAAAGTAATGAATCTTATGTTATCCAATTGAAGCGTATTTTATATCCCTGGTTTGTCTTATGGAGGAGTGTCTAAAAGAGCGGGCATTTAATGGAGGGTGTAGGTAAAGAGGGTTTGAAAAGAAAATGGATGTTTAATGGGAATTGAGGTCATTCTTGAAACGTTTGTCACTTAAAAGTTTGATCGCGCTCTCGACAAAATAGATTTTATAGTTTCTTAGATGAGGGGCTTACCATGTTCACCTACACCGGGTATAATCTGTTTAGTAATTTTCAGCACTTTTATCTCCTTACAGTTATACACTACTAATGCAGCAAGGAATCAAGTCAAGTCCAACTTTAGTGAAGAAACTCCGAGCAACATTTTTAAAGGTAAATAGGATTTTCAAGTTGTGAATTCTTAGAGACACCTAAGTCTCCTTAATTCGCCTTAAGAAACATTCTTTGAAAATGAGACTCTCAGGCTAGTACTTAAGCAGAAATTTATGGTTTGATGTCTTAGGTATCTTTTCATCATAGCTGTAGACTGGCAACCTTTACGCTTACGTTTTCCTTTTCTATTTTACCCTTCCTCGTCGTCCTTTATTACCCCCTGTCTAGTTTTGTTGATATTGCATTTGCAAGATTCACAGAATCAGCAGATGGCCTATTGGTGCCCTGACCTTTTCTCATTCCTTTTTAGATGGCTTCAGCACTAGATCTGCCTCTGGTGCGCATCAGTCAAGCGAACAGCCCTGATCTTGTCAGTGTTTCACAGTATTACTCGGGTGAACTTGTCGCATACGTGAGAAAGGTAAGCCTTCTAGTACAATCATATTCTAACCAAACCCCAAGTCTTCATTTATGCATGTTTTTAGATTTAATCTATCGATATTGAAGTAGATATCTTGTTAATATTTTGAAGGTGATTTGTTAGCAATGTTTGCCCGAACCATTAGTCACATTGTAACAGCACTGGCGAAATTCGGCAATGCGGATCACCATACCTAAAAACGATTTTTCTTGATCTCTTTGTAATTGATTCTTTGAGGCTTTATTCTAACAGGTTCTGCAGATTATTCCTGAATCGATATTCTCGCAGTTAGCTGCCATCATTAATATTCTCACGCACAAAATGAAGGAGGTCAGTTACATTGCTTTAGCTCGATTGCAAGTATAACTTGGATTTCTTCCCATGTTGCTCATTTATTGCTTCCCATGTTGCTCAAAATGGCGGGGGAGGGGTAATATTTTGGCAACATACTTTTTGTGATGTAATCCTATGATTTTCAAACTGCCTTTCCATAGCCAAAAGCTAGTTATAAGCGTTCCCTTAATGTAAAATTGGCGTTTCTTGTTGGTAAAAGAGCATTTTCTGGTGCTGAAAAGGGCGAGGCCTAACTTTTTTTGTTTTGTCCCTCCCCTGTTCCCCCAGAGTGTAGTGGCTGACGCCGCCATTGATCCCTTATCATCAAAGATCAATTTAACCAAATCAGGAGCAAGAAATCGTATTTGGAAAGGGTAGCATTAAATAATTGTCTTTGTTTGTTAGTAAACCTAGTTTTTTGATTGAATTAAGAGATGGTATTTATCGTTTTATGTTAAGAACTTACAAATCTTTAATAAGTTGCGACACAGATTTCAAATCCATAACTGGTCATGTATAGTTCGTAGTTTTTGATCAATTGATTTATTTATAGTTGATAGACTAAAATCGCTATTTATTTTGATTCTATTATACTAAGTTTAGGCAAATGGTGTTCATCATGTCAGAGTGTTAATTATGATTGCAGGTTCCCACCAGATTGGACAAAGACAAAATGAAAGATTATTCTCAACTTGATGAGCGGTATCAGGTCTGGCTATATCAATTGTGATTTAAATTTCCAGAAGCAACTCAGTTTGAGAAAACTTTTCTTCCACTGATCTATAAAAAAGACTGGACTGAGCCTCAATTGTGACGTCATCTGATAAGAAGGCCCAAGGACTGCCCAACCAATGAGATTGCCTTCATTTCACTCCTAACAACGTATTCATCTGCTTTGACCTTATTATTTCTCGACACTGATTTACAGAGCATTGCAGCTCTCGCATATCGAAATCATTCAAATATTGGTTATAAGAAAAAGGTTCCCGCTTCTGTTTGAGAACCTCTCTCTTTTGAAATTGACTGGGCTTCAAACTTTGGTGTTTCAAGACAACAAGAAGCTCGATCCAGTCTTTTCTATAGAACAGAGGGTCACAGAGACCAGGACAAAGGGAGGCTTGTGTTAGTCATGTGAAAAGTGACAACTACATTTTCAAAACTGTTAACGTGGGGACTTATGACCAAGCTTCTCTCAAAACGTCATTTGGGAGTTAAAGGAAAGGAAGTCATTACTGAAAAAATAGTTTACTTTGTTGGCACTCATTGTTAATAAAAGTATTTTGTTCTGGAGTAAGGTATTTAAAAGGGTGTCAATCTGGAGTGAAACACTGCAAGTCAGGGCATTCTCTGACATACAAACTAGAAGGGGGGACTTGCACCTGGTAAGGGGGGACTTGCACCTGGTCAATTCAAACATTGCCAGAGTAAGCACATGGAAGAAATCTGTATATAGACATCTTTAAAATGAATTATTCGAAAATAGAATTAGAGAGTGCTTCAGAATTGAGCCAAAGAAATTCGTTTTTAGAATAGACGTAGATTTCCTCCTCATCCAGTCTTAATTCTAGTTTCAAAAATTCACCAAAAACAATTATTTCCAAAGAATTTAACTAGCATAATTGGAATTTCTACTTTGCTATAGGAACAGATGCTGTTACCACAAAACCCACTTGCTCTCTAATCAATTGCTTTTTTTTCATTACAGGTAGCAAAATTGACCCATTCGATTTCACTTTTTACCGAAGGAATTCTTATGATGAAGACCACACTGGTTGGCATCATCAAGGTAAGCAAGATATGTCCAAAAAGCTGCCGATTTTGGTGTTTTTGGTATGGTATGAGCTCGATTTGCCAAAAAATGAGAAAAACACAAGAATGTAACCAGCCTCAGAAGAAAAACTGGCATAAAACAATGTTTTTTTAAGTTTTCTCTCGTGTTTGCAAAAAAGAGCAGATTTTTTTATTCAATCAACATTATTGTCCATAGGTCTTAGAAAGAATTCATTGTATATAGATTTAGAAATACCAATAGTTAAAATGAACATAGAGCCTTGAAAAAAGTTGACTGGTTCTTACAAAGTGTGGTGTTCAAATTTATACGTATTTAAAGCATTGAGAAATATTTTCAAGCAAGTGGTTTTCTTACGTCATTTATTTAGATTGATCCGAAACAGTTGCTTGAAGATGGTATTCGCAAAGAGCTCGTCAAGCAGGTTGCCGCTGCGCTGCACTCAGGGCTTATCTTTTCACCAAAGATCAAGGTAAGACTCTTCTTGATGTGATGTGGCACAATGCTTCTTTTTTGAAAATAAGGAGATGACTTTATAATGGGAAAAGAATTTTAAGCGTGTGTCCATGTTCATATTTACCAAGTGTCATTCGTAATGTTTTCCAATATTGTATTGGACGTTCATTTTTTGTTTGGATCTCAAAATACGAGAATTTCAAAGGTTTTCATTGATTATACAAACCAGTTACGAGAGTTGTATTATTTTCAGTTCAAATTGGTAGATATCTAAGATTAATAGAAGGCAGAAAGATCTGGCAGTCACCTTTTTGAACTGGCCTAGAAGGAACGAATGTCCGCTCTAAAAGCTTTAATAGGGGGGGGGGTTCAGTGATACCGAGTTCTTTAAAGGGGGGCTTTGGCCACTCTAAAAGGTCCTGCAGCTAGGTGATCATTTTTTTAGAATTTTCCTAGATTAAGTCTGCAGATCCAGGATCAATTATCTGTGACTACATCTGGAACCCTAAAATGATATTCTAATCAGCTTAACCCTACAATATAGTGACCACTCTGGCACCATTGGCATCTCGATACCACTTTGCCTTTTCTTTTTATGCCTTTTCTTTTTTGATGTTGACTAAGGACAACAACCTTTAAAATCTAAGATAATTATAATCGTTTCGTTGAATCGTTTATCGTTATTAATCATTTGCAAACAGCCTGGAGAACTGCAGCAACGTCTCAAGCAGTTGGGCAGCCGCATGGACGCTTTCAAAAGATCCTTTGAGTACATCCAAGATTACGTTGACATGCAAGGGCTGAAGATTTGGCAAGAAGAGCTTTCGCGAATTGTCAACTACAACATCGAACAAGAATGCAACAGTTTCTTAAGAGTCAAGGTAACATTTTTCATTAAATGACCCACTATTTAGGCTTCGATTGATTTGTTCATGAACTTACAAAGTTTCCCAACTCTTCGCTGTAGCGAAAGTAAATTATGGACTAGGTGATTAAAGAGCTCGCTGCGGGGGCTGCCCAGTACCCCTGCGCATAGTAGCCTCGGAAAGGCAACAAAAAATGTTAACTTCAGTTAAAAAATGAACCATCACAACCAATGTGTCTACGCGGAAATCAGTTGACAGGAAGCGTCACCAAAATCTATACGAATTGAAGTTATAAAGCCATTCCCACTTCTTCACGGGACATGCGCACAATACTTTGACAATCGCTAGAAAGAGGGCTAAACCTCCTTTTCTATTCACGCGCCCTCTGATCAAATTATTTCACCCTTTTCGAGAGGAGGTTAAAGACGACCATTTACTGTTTTACGGCTACAGAATACCTTTCAACTTCGTCTGTTTCTTCCTGAACAACAGAGTTCTTAAACTCTTGCTTATATGGCCTGCCAACAATAAAAGTAAAATGCGGACTAGTTAATTGATGAGATAACAAAATAATTCAAGCATTTATATAATGGTTATTGACATTGCGATTCACGGGCGCTTGTGCACATTGGCCTTCCTTATTGGAGGTGAAACAGTTGGTCCATTAACGAAGTCATACATGAAGACATCACTGGTTGGGTTTTAACTACCTCGGCTAATTTACAGACCAACTACGATTTATTCATCCTACTAGAAAGTTTAAAGCCCACCAATAAGCAGTACCCCAGTTGAGAACACCCCTTTCTCGATGACGTCAAAAGGCTACTGTCCACTGGTTTATTACAACTACAGAATACCTTTGGATATTTTATGGCAATTTTTTTATGAGAAAATAATGTCGATTTTCATGTAAGTAAAATTGAATTCTTCTTATCCATAGGTGATGGACTGGCAGTCAATATATCAATCAAAGACCATTCCGATTCCACGTTTCGCACCTGTCGACGAGTCTGTTAACTTTGTTGGAAGACTAGCACGAGAGGTTCTGAGAATAACAGATCCGAAGTGAGAAAACTTTAGAGTCTGTATCTCTGTTTGGTCTTTATTGGGATTGTAAAGGACGATTATTTTGAGATACACAGCCCTAGAATGGATAGTCCTTGAATTGATGCAACGAAAAAATTAGTGAGGAAGCTAAATCAGTCAATGTCTCTTCGATAGTTTGATGTTTCATGTTGTAAGCAGTTCTGTCTCGAGTGTTTATATCTCTCCTCTTTACACCTCTCTATTGTAAGAACTTTCTAAACAGAGTAGCATTTTCACAAGAAATGAGTCTATCACTTTCCCACTGTGTCTTTTACTGTTACTTTTACTTTTTTTTCTACTGAAAAGCAAAAATACCTCCGTCCCCTCATTCTTGATTGGGCATACTCAACATTTACGGTGAGGGTAAATAGTGGGGAAAGGGTTTTGTTCTTTATATTCATATCTAAAGGCAAGCTATCAATTTCTCTCTGAGAATTTTAAGGTAACGAAAGTACTTAAGGTACTTAAGACAGTGAATGAATAAGGTAACGTTCTTTGAGGCCGTATTCCTTTTTCGCAGGACCACACTATATTGTGATCAGATGAACGCTTGGTATGACATGAAAACAAGAGAAGAGCTACTCAATTCGACCATTTTCTCTTTGATTCAGAAAAGCTTGGATACACCAGGTTTGGTTGGCCTAGACAGACTGATGTCCTTTATGATTGTTCGCGAGTTACAGGTAATTTTATTGCTGTTCAGATGCTCTGTTACCGTAAATATTTAGCATATATTTCTTTCTTTAAAGAGGGCTTGAATTACGACAAGAACTGCCTCAACACATCTTGAATTAAAAAAATACTCCTTCTTCGTTCCCTGAAAGTGGTAATGTTACATCTGATAGAATTCCTTACTTTTTATGCAGAAATTTTCAATTTTTCTGCAAAACCATATGATGAAAGATCAGACTGTAGCAACTCAAATGGGATCTTTAGTAAAACAAGTATCGCCAATCAGAAGTCTAGTTGGTAAGTGCTAACAGATTATTAGAACTTTGATTTACTGATCTAGAATTGATCAAAATGTGCAAGACTGTTTTTGGTATTCAACTGTACTGCAGTGTGCCTCGACGTCTCTGTAATAGAATCAGAATGTGAAGGTGGCTTGATACTTGGAGCAATAGATTTAAGCTACTTTTTGTAATTTATTTTTGCTATCAATTTCAAAAGCTTAAAAGCTAGAAAATATGCACCTCAACTGTGTCCAACACGACGGAAATGACACAATGTCAGCAAGTATCCACTTTGACTGGCGGCATTTACAAGGTTACTCAGTTTTAATGCAATATCAGACCAGACTTAATTTCAGTTATTGTCATGTTGTGGCGTTCATCTTTCACAGATGGCATTTTAGGTATTTTGCTGTATTTCATATGTTGATGTCAGGCCAAAATACAGTTTAAGGCATTCATGAAGCAAATCTTGCAATTCTTTTTATCACAGCCAACCCACAAAAAGTGTACAATACAGTTTATCAGAAAATGGCAAAGTGGTGGCCACAGTACACAGAATTTGTTGTCAAAGTAAGTGACTGTCTTTATTGTACCTGATTATCATCATTTAGGAAGATTTGATTCCTTCCGACCTGTATGGTTAGGATGCTTTATTCAAAATTAGCAAAGTCATCCTAATCGGACAATGTACTGACCTAAAATCTCAAATTTTGCATTTTCTTGTCATTTAAACAAGAATGAGTTGTAATGTTTCGAAAATGCTAGCTAAACCAAACTTCGTTGAAGTTAATCTTATTTTTAAGATGTGCATAGAATAAATGAGAATAACTGTGAGACTTATGCGCAAAATGTAATTATTAGCCTCCCAGTTATTTTCTCCCGCTCTCCTGCACTTTCTCTTGTTTTCCCACATTTTCCGGCATTTCCCATACTTTCTCTTTTTTTCACGCGTTTTCCACACATTTTCCTGAGTTTTCCCCACGTTTCCCCCCCCTCCCGTTTTCCCCCACGTTTTCCCTGCGTATTTTTGGTGCTTCTGGTTTCTTACATTTCACATTTCCCTTGCTCTCTCTTTGCTTCTCCTTTTCCAAATACCCCACAGGTGCATTGTTTTGTCGATTACCAATCCTTCTGCCTTCTTTATATCAATTTCTAACAGTGGTGTTTTAGTTGTTTTTCTTCAAACGAACCCTTAGATTGTTATATCAGACTCAAACTTGAACGACAATCTTCCCCAAAAACTATCGATTGTCTAATCTGATACTACTCTGTTATTAAAACACAATAGGCCCAACATTGCTTGGGAAGAGGAGTTGACAGCTTGGCCTAGACGTTATCTGAACATATTTGTAAAGGATTGTAGTTCCAATTAAAATAATTAAGCTTCTGAAGGCATATGGAGAGATACCAGTTTACATGCTTATTCAGTTGTTAGCTTTTATCTAAATTTTCTAACATCGTTGAAGAATGTGACGATATGGTATTTGTAAGATTATGGGTTGACCAATTGTAGCTGGCTTATTTAGCTACAGGTAGCATGTAGCTATATTAGCCAATAGGTTTTAAGAGATTAGGCATGTGTTAGTTCATGGTGTTATGTGATTGGTCTTTCTTTTTCAGGTTGGTCAAATGCAGATTATCAGATCACAGATTGCATACGAGCTTAATGTCTCTTGCAGATTTGATTCGAAGCTCTTAGCTAGCGCACTCCAGACTTTCAACCAGTGCGTATCATATCATCCAAGTTTTCCTTCTGTGAATCTTTAGCTATGACTGCCTTTTATCTTTAGCTATTAGCTATAGGGTTATCCTTTAAGGGTCCATGAAGCTGTTTTAGAATTTTAATAAAATCCCATCTCCACATACTAATTCACACAGCCGATGTTAAGGCTTATATTGCTGCAATAAATAGCAGTTTATCTTTATAAACCCGTCTGTAATAATACCAAGTGTACAGTCAATCTGTAAGGACCGTAGTTTAAAATGACCCTTTACGTCAATTATGTGACAAATTATACTAGAGCATATACTGTAGTTTCATACATACTTTAAAAGAAAAATGATATTTGATAAGCTTCAAAATGCAAATATACATAGTGACAACAAATGATATGTAACTTAGAAGACTAGATATTAGATGGCCTATATATCAATGGGTCGTAATATATTCATTAATTTACAAATTGTCATTAGTCGAAGAATATCTTGTGAAAGTTTGGTTGGATTGTTTTTAGTAGTTTTGGAGATAATCATTCAGAGAAATGCCTAACTGTAAATTGTTGTGTTCTCTGGTCCTAAACGTTTTCCCTGTTTTCCGCTACAGAAAACACTTTGCCAATTTTTGTGTTTATTTTTAGAGCTTTGATGAAAGACATTGCAGCTCATTATCACGATCCGAATCTACCATACCCCGAAGAAGAAAATCCACTTCTTTATGAGCTAACATCTTACTTGGAATCAACGGGCATTTCAAATCCATTTGCAAAGGTAGCCCTTTTGTTTTTGTTTGTGTGTACGATCCAATACTTTTCTGATAAATACAGTGATAACTATCCTTTCATGTTTAGGCCTATTGACAATGTGTTGTTTTAACCGAGTTGCACTCGGGCTGGGTGAACCCAAGTACCGTCATTAATTTTAAACACATTGTACTCCGGCTGATATCGAAATAAACTTCCTCTATTATTTCTGGCGTAGGAATCACAAGGTGTAGTCACATCGAGAGGAAGGACCAGGAGACTGCTAGATAAGCATATCTTCTCAGAAAACTTCCTTCAGAAGCTAGGTAGAAGCAAATACCAAAACAATGCAAATACGAAAAAACTGAGTGGTTATGGGCAATATTAATTTTCTGATTTAACCTGCTCCTTCATCTGGTGATTGTAAACTTTAGCATCTTAAGCATCAGAATAAGCCCCCACTTTAGCATCAAATAAGCTTCCCTCTCGAATAAGCCCCCTTATATGACTGTTCCATTTTTTAAATAGCAACCTTTACTTTTTATGTTATTTAAGTTGAAAGCTTTCTTATCATAAATCTAACTTTTGCATCTCCAATATTGTTGCTTTAAGTATATTCTACGTGTCAAGTAGCTCCCCCCTTCCCTTTTTCTTGAATGAGCCCCCTCTCGATTGTGCCCCCGTCTTTTGCTTCGACTTTTTGAATAGGTCTCTCGTTGATTTTTCAAATTATTACAGTATTTTAAAAAAAGATATTTCCTTTATTTTAGATTTATGTCACCAACAAAAGAATCCCGTCATTTTCCCTCTTCAATATGGTTTATGTGATATCGCAAATAGGCAAACTGTCCTATGTGAAGGGTCTAAGTAAGTGAAAAATTGCTTATTTTCACGGCATTTTATATTGATTTCCACGTACTGGGCTGTATAATTTTGGAAACTACAGATATTGCAAAATTGTGCTGCTCGAATAATTGCACAGTAGCAGTCATGATATTTCAGCAGATGATTTTGATAAAAAAGCTTAAATGGCCAACAATTTCTGGTTTTATTCAAAATGAAATAGTAACTATGATTTACAAGTATATTAACAGCGTCACGCCTGAATATCCGTCTGTTCCATCTGTTATTTGCAAAAAACACGGTTCGAAATACACTGAGATTAGGTAACGCTGAAAATGACTTTCCTCTTATTCATTTCAACACATCAGATGAGCAGGACTGTGTTTCATTTCGTTGGCCTAAGCTATGGAACAAGTTGGGGGTGGGAAGAGGGGTGCAAAAGATGAACACACATCCTCTCATTGCCTAGGTTTTGTTTCAACTTTTTGTTTTTCCTTTCTTTTCAATTTGCTTTAGACTTCTCTTTGATTTATTTGTTGCAATTCAAATTTGTTATTTGTTATTAAATTTTGCAACTAGGTTCTTGTTTGCAATGTAATGTAAAAAATAGTGGAAATGTAATTTTGTAGCAAATAAATAACTTTAAATTTATTTACCAAATGTGCGATCAAGGACCAAGACAGCCTGAAAACACTCGGAATTTAACCCATCCGATTCTACAGCTTATTTTCTGCTTCGGGGCCTTAACGTAAAAATTTGTATGACATTATACCGCTTAGTAAAGCTTGCAAGGAATTTTAAAACTTTTTTTGCATAATAAAAAGGTAAATGATTTTTGAACAAAGTAGGTTAAATTTAATTCCATAATGGATGTAATTTAGAGTATGTTATTTCAAAATTTGTAATTAAAGCTAATTTTCATACATAAATTTCACCTGATTTTATCCTGTTTTGTTTTATTTTTCTTTCAATATGATTTTTGACTCGTGAACAACAACCACTCAATACGAGAAACTATACACCATGTTTTGTTTTCAATAACAAATTAGCTAATAGGAGGGAATTTGAATTTTTTTCTGGCGCAAATTACGATAAATCATTTGATGAAATACGATCAAGGGTTGATTAGATTTTTAAATAGGACACAAAAATGCAATAATATCGAACGAAATGCGGTATTTGAAGCAAGCCTTAAACAACCGTGATGAACAGGGCCTTTTTAAAACAATAACAACTGTGCTGCTAACATTGATCGTTACTTCGTTCATAGGTAGCATGATGCCAAAGAATCTCAAAGACCCACTGGACAGCATGCCGTTCACCATTGGCCTACTTACGATTCTTAAGCAATACCATAGTGAATACACAGAAGATTTCATCGCACTGATTGGTCAATACGCAAGGTCCTCAGTAGAGGCTAATGCTACAAGGTTGTTTACATTCCCTCATCGTTTCGTTTAAAGATATCTCACAAATATAGGCCAAATTTTGAGAGCGTAATTTGAAAAAAATTCTTTTCTTGAGAAATTGGAGTTATCCGACGTTCAATGAAGGTTAAAGAACGTTTTCTGCATCAATGCGGCTGTGTAAAAATTGTTGATTTTGCATTTGTGTTTATCAAAAGTAGATCGAATGTTGACTGACTTGCTAATATATCTTAACCTCTGTAGAAAGTACTTATAAAGTTTGCAATTTAACTATGCATTTTTGACAAAGAGTCAACAAGGATTTATCGTATGAACAGCAGCGCGTTATGATTCATTTCTTTCTTGTACTATCTGATAGATCTCTGCTGCCCCCTTTTTTTAACATTTTCACTTGAAGTTTTTATTTTCTTTAACTTTTACGATAATTCTTTTTCGAGAATTCTACTCTATATACGCGCTTGTTTTGTTGTAAAAAGTAACACGGTACTTTTTGTTTGCAGCCCAAAGACAACTGAACTATCCCCGGAAGTTGTTTGTGTGTTGAAATTCCTGGAAGATTTTGCGCACCATGCTAAACTTCCGAGAAAAGTAAGTGATTTTTTGTTCCGTATAAATAAAAATACTGAAACTTCAGGTTGGCATTTTCAATGCGCCTATAAGTCAGGAACAAGGCATATAAGAAGTCGTGAAATTAAGAAAAATGATCCTTGGCTCGATGATTTTTGACAATTGACTGACTGAAAAGTGTGGCCCCCCTTGCAGCACCCCCTTCCTTTGTTGGTCTTAGGTTTTCTTTAGTGAGGTCTGATGTCTTTCAGGGGGTGGGTTGCAGTTGGTTATTAAAAAAAACTGTCAACCTAGAACAACCATCATGGGATATTTTGGATGGGTAACAATGCTGCCTTCGGTGTTTAAAAGAAAAGAGATTTCTTACGGTATATGGCGAGACGTATGAAAGCATGCGTTTCTGTTGTGACCATATTCGCGATACTTAAAATTATAATGACATTTCCTGTCTAAATATTTCCGTAAGTTGGAGACACTATGATATCCTCGTGTGAAAAGGATAGTCAGCTGCAAAGTACCTTTGCAATAAAGACATCTTTGATTGTTGTTACTGAAAGCAAAAGAAACATTTCCATCATCGTTATTTGTATTACTCCGTGTAAACTTGCATGAAATATATGTTGCTGTTGCAAAGCTTCTGAACACATGTTTGATATATGTCTCAAACCACAAATGCTGTTTTTCCACTAAACGACCGTGGCTCATGAATCTTTTACCTTGTTGAATATAACATGCTGAATTTTCTGTCACGATTAGCTACCATCTACAATCCTAGAGCAGCTGAAGTTCATCACCAAGCAACAAATCTTTCCTACTAAAACTAAAACACAAAATCAAAATAACCCAACTGTTTGTGAAACGAAATTTAGTAATCAGGAATTATATGTAGGAATCAATTATTGAGGTTTTTCGGATTCTGAAACTTTTTTACTGCACGTTCATTCGTGAGGATGTCGATGGGTAACGATCTTTCCGAGTTACTGCTGGATATGCTGACTTCATACCTGTGTGTTTAGTCAAAACCGTTGATAAAAAAACACTCTCCGCCCATGCTTAAACCCACACATTGAGATATTCAGGTGTCTTTTTTAGTTAAGCTCTCAACATAGGTGTATATTGAATGAAATAACCTGCCTCCTTTTCATTAACAAATCATGCAATTGAGGACTCCTACTGTGGTTGTTGTTACTTGTACTGGCTATTGATATGCCTGGGAGTTTTCCAGCCAGTTCCCAGGTGAAATGACAACATCACAAATGCTTTGTATGGTCTAGGGCAGGCAAGCTATGCTTTTTGTATGGTGCAGAAAGGCAGAAACGTTGCACCAAATATTCTTTTCTTGTACAAAGTCGTTATTTTATTTTATCAAACACACACAATTCCATTGATTATCATATTTTTGTATTAGTCTGACACGTTAAATTTTTCAATATGGATAGTACAATTCCCCCTCTCAAAAAATCCTCATCTCAAAATAAGCCCTCTTCAAATAGAGCCCCACTCAGAATAATCCCTTTTATACCATCAAGTTTTGAATACTCTCCAGACAAAAAGCATCGAAAACAACTTTTTCACAACGTTTTATGCATTAGCACACCTACAGTGGTTTCATATAATCTAATTTTGCAGTTTGTGTCCAGTTAATTTTTCATTCTGTTTTTTGAGTTCACAATTTTTACTTTTTCGATTTGTTCTAGGTGTCAGATATACCCCTTTGATATCTTATTCGATGCAAAAAACCCCCTCTCGAATAGGCTCCCCTCTTTAGGATCAAGTTATGAGTAAGCCCTTCTCCTGGAAAGGGTTTTTCGAATTGTGACGGTTAATTGTAAGCGGAATAGATCGATTGCCCTTGTTCTGTTTATCTTTCATCTTTAATAACGCAATACTTGACAAACAGATTGCATTATGAATGATTTCAATGTTGTGTCCGTTTTAGATGATCGAATCACATATACCGGCTTATTTGCTGGACGACTTCAAGTTCCAAAGCACAACATAGCAGATCTTGATTGGCGTAGATCAGTAGAGTTAATTCCAAAATGACGTCATCCTTGATCCAGATGAAGAAATGATTCTAATAGCGGCGTTCAGATTAATTATTTTGCTTGTTTCGTAAGTTGGCTTTTCCAGACACTGTAAATCGTCAGTCTAGTCCATTTTCCGCCGATTTATAATTATATTGCGTGTAGAAGCAGCGGTTTTAAAAGAGAATTGAGACTTCATGGCATCGAGACATTTTCCTGGAGACACGTCAATGAATCGTCAGATATATTGGGGTATGAGTTGAGGGTATGAATAGAGCTACAGTACTTATTCAATTATCCGGTCTTCTCGGGACATTTGATTTCAAGATTCGTGCGGATAATCCGAAATTCCCGATAATTGAAAATATACGGCAGAAACCAGCGTAAATAAAAAAAAGAGTGTTGTGAAAGTTTGTTTCTAAGCAAACATTACAATCCAATGCACCGAATACTCTTAAAATACTAATAAAATATTTAAAATGGAAAGCAAGATAAACGCTCGCGACATATTATCAAAAATGCCGAAAATTTTTCCTAAGGTTTTTTCACATTTTTCACGGACCAGATAAACGAAGTTCGGATAAACGGTAGGTCGGATAAATTTGATGGTTACCGTACTGTTAAGAAGGCGGTTGAAGGGCTTGTCAAGCCAAGCTGCTACTAATATGCTTTTCAATAACATTCCACTCTTTCATATCACAAAATGAGAAAGAAAAACTGTTTACACTACCTAGTTGAATCGCATGGATTTCATGAATACCGTAGTCTCTCCCATTGTCTACTTTCCCATTGAAAATTTGAAATTGCGGGTCAAGTGATTGGGTTAGTGCCACGCCCTCTGTGTGCCTGCATATGTTTATTGCAGTTCCTTGTTATCAACACGAATTATAATCGCATCAGCCGAAAAAATCGAGATTATTGTTTTGCATAAGGACTTTGTGGAAAGAGGATCCTAGTATTTGATCAGCAAAGACGGGTTTTAGAGGCGGGGATTGGGGTGAAGTGTAGGCAATGATCGAATTTTTGCGATACTCACTTCAGGTGCCTGGAAACAATAGAAACGCCCATTTTAACAGTTTCATTGTTAACTACAGATAGATAAGATAAGATATATAAAGTAAAATTATGGCGTCATTTGATTACTGCTTACTACCAAAAGTATTTTACCGTATCAAAGCAAGATTAGCTAAATGACACAAAAATATTGGTTGATACAGTTTGGGGGTTATCGCTCTTCCACGCCCTTCCACGCTCTTTTATAAGTCTGTTCCTCTTGATCAGCGACACACTGAACACAGGTACACCAAAAGATCTGTTTGGTAATCGTTTTGAGATTACAAGTCATAATCGGAAGGTTCTTAGCATTTGTTGAATTGCCTCCTTATTCATATTTGAAAGAAATTTCAACGTTTATGTTATTTCAGAAACCTTCAGGCGACTTCGTTGCAGCGTGCTTGACTTTCTTAATCGATTCTCTATTAGGCCTAGTTAACTGAACCACACAAACTATTGAATAACGATATTTCAACTACAAATTGTATCATGTTCATAATAAATTGTATGAAATTCGAAGCACTGATTGGTATTTTTTGTGACTTAATTTGAGTTTGATTCTAAATAGAAATTAATCAACAGACAAAGATCTCGCTGTTTTTTATTGAAACTCAGAAAACGCCGTAACTTTTAGCGTAATTGTTAGCCATCAATTAATTATGTTCTAATTATGCCAATTTTGAATATAACACAGGCAGGGCCTGCATCTATCTCTGTTCGGTTATGGAAAATAATTCCTATGCTTTTTGAGGTGAAGCAAGACTGCTTACTGGGTACTCACAACTTATCGTGCAGGCTGCTCATGCCGTATAAGGTCGATAGCGACAAATTCTGTGTATATTTTATAATCCTTGGCTAGGATAATTGTGCAAAGTTGCTTCACTTCTAGTTGCAAATTCTATTTAAATTTTTTTTAAACAAACATGATACCCCAAAAGCCCCTTAGCAAGTCTAAGAAACTGGTTTAACTTCGACAAGTTTATGAAATTTTGTCGCTGAACTACAATTTACATGATCAAAAACTGGCATTGGAAGAATAACAAAGAATCGATCTTGTGTCCAAGATTCCAGATATCTTAAATTCACATCCGAAAAATGGAAATTTATAACATACTCTTGAAAATTCTTATATTCTGTTACAGCCATTGTACTATATTCTATTTCACTCTATCTTGCGAATTTCTTCTTTAACTATCTTGTTTCACTTTGATTTGGAACATGCTTGCCTTTAAAGATGGGCTTTGCAAGGATCGGGTCAGTTCTCTCTTTTCAACTTCACCAAACTTGTTGTTTTCTTTATTTCGTAAATATAAATAGTCACGTAAATATAAAAATAAATAGCATCACCAGTGATCCATTTTGATGAATTTTGACTTATGGCCACATCTTTTCCCAAAAATTAATCCTTTGTCCTATGTGTGACTAATTCGACCATCGATCATCTTTTCTTTAACTTCAAATACAGAAAAGAAAAGCCGCCAGATATTTCCTTGTTTATCATTCAGATTTTTGTTTGTTTTTCCATCAATTGTTTTCTAATATGGTTACAGTGCTCGGCCTATCCGAGGAGAAAGTTGGTAAATGTCAAAGAATCATTGGAATGGCAGGAGGAACGGGCAACAACCACCATATTGAAAAAGTTAAAAATCTTCAGCATCAATGTCATGTTTCTTGTGGATGACACGAATTTTTTTATTTGGCCTTGAAAATTCTTATGGGTTTCTTTTCAATTCATCAAAATTGACAGCAGACCATTTATTTTCCTAAAAAATGCGAAAACTGGTTAATAAAAACTTTGTAGCCGAAATTTTGCATAGTTGACAATTTGCTATAAATTTGCTTGGCCATTCGTGACAAGGCAAAATAAATGCCTGGTCGTGAAAATTGTTTGGTATTCATATTTATCATTTTGATAAAAAAGCTGTAATTCTGTTCTTATGTTAATTAGAATGTTTCAAAAACTTAATTTCACAATGGCCCGTTGTAGTTAGAATTTTTGCAAATTGGAAAATATCAATCCCACAATTTGGAAAACTTCAATTAATGATTTTTTGTAGTATTTATTTCGTCAACAACTCTTCCCTCTTTAGACGTCAAAACTGTTGACTGAATTCATCAAAATTGCTCGTTATTTGATCAAAGTTTCGCACGAGACTGATAAAATTTTACCGAGTACACTCTCTTTTTATAAGAATCAGTAAATTTGAGGTCAGGCTGATTGTTGTAATTTTTTCGCTAATCTGCCCAGGACACAAGATTGGGTTGTTTTAATTTGTTCTTAAATTAAGAGGGTGTAAGCAATGCAATTGCTAGTATTTTCTCTCTAGGGAAGTGTTAAGGCCTCATTTGCCAAGAAAATGAGTGAGACAGCTTTCATTTATCGATAAGTTTGAAAGTTCACTGAAACAAGCGCCCTCACATGGCTAAAAATCCTCGTTTTTGAGATGAAACTTTGTTCAAAATTGCTTTTTACTGTAGCTCAGCTCAGCCTCAGTTTGTTATTACTTTGTTCTTAAATTTCGACCAATTTTGAGGCTCGTGTTCTTCTAAAATTGTTCTTATAAAAAAACAATGTATTAATTCTCATTCCTGCAAAAATCTTCACAGGTACATCCTTCAGAAAGATGACATTAATCTATAGAATGCGCCAGCTTTAGGTGGTAGCTCATTGCGGATGTCAAATGCGAACTCCAGCGATTTAATCTATATCATTATTTTTGCTAGTATTTTTCCGTCTAGGGTAGAGCTTAAAATTTCATGGAAGTGCTGGGGATAAGATAATCGTTGTGTGCTTCGGATGATTCAAATCGATTTGCTAACAGAGCTCACTAACTTCCTCTTCGCTGCTTCGAGAGGGCCTTATCAATACCGAAGGAACTGGCCTAACTCTCTTGCTAGCGTGGAGTTGGCTTAAATTTCAACGACATTTGAAGTCATGCCAAGGCATGGATACGGAAATAACCGATGAAAAGCCCGTTGCAGGACAAAAACAAGAAGTTACTGAAAATGAAGTTCACATAACAACTGAGGAATCAAAGAAGTCTAATGGTTCAGTTTCTAACGATAAACAAACCCATCATAATCGTGGCGCTGGAAGAAGCACTTTGTCAATAATAAATCGTCGTCTTAGACTCATTTTTCGTCCTTGGAAGTGGAGAAGAAAAGCTAAAAGTAAAAGGTCACACAAAAAGGATCAGAAAGGTAATTTTACCGCGTGTTATTGGGCTTTTTCTGATCATACGAGCCATTGTGTTCCATGAACAAGTTTTTAAAAACGTATCGAAGTCAACAAATAGGCAGAGATTTTTAGCATTAATAAGAATATTGATAAATATTTCCAGCTGATTTTAAGATTTCAAAGCGAAACGTATTTTTTAACAGAAATTATAGGTGATAAAAAAGGAGTCCCGTGTTTATATAGGTATATGTTTTACACCCAAATAAATTTAATATAACTTACTAAGTTTCTTAATTTTATACTTATCCATAGATGAATTTATAATTTTATTTGTCTGATCTGAAAGTAAAGTAGAATGGCCTGATAGTAATATAAACATGCTCTCATAAAAGTAATAGACACTTTGATTGATATATGAATTATAAAGTGATAAATTAACGAATAAGGTGATAAAATGATAAAATATTATTTTAAGTAACATTCTTCTAGAGGCCATTCATTAACATCTCAAAGCCAGGGAGCATTGTCTTTTCCATAGACATGGTTGAGTATAAAACTAATAATTATTTCCACCTGCCTGACATGTCTGCCAGACAGAGTTGTTTGTCATGAGATTATTTGTTTGTTTGTGATCTTATTTTAAATTGCATATAAGTTTTAGTCCGCAAAGCCCTCTTTTAAAATATCTTTCTCATTTTACTTTCACAATGATAGCAGAACTGGCCATTTGAAGAGAGTAATAGCCCATACTTCTTTTCAAAGGCTGGGAGAAGCACTCTCAAACTGTTCAAAAAATAAATTGCTCTCTGGAAATCAATCTTTTCTTTTTTTCTGTTTTTAGTAGCATATGATTATTGCTCCCCTGCTAAAAGCCTTATGGCCAGGTCTCCATTGTCCAAAGACCTTTGTTTTTGGGCTTTGGCTTTGAAAAAACAAATATTTTGAAACACACTAATACTTTTTCATCTGATGCCCTATAAATTAATAAATGTGAGGTCATAGGTAGAAAACTAACTTCAGTTTCTAGTTTTGTATTTAAATTCTTGTTTTTATTCTTTATAGGATTTTAATAACATTGAAATAATGATATATATACAGTGTTGGTTGAAAATAAATTATGGGGCACAAGCATCATAACATATAATTTAGCATGCCATCTTAAAACAGATATGATTTAGTGTGCTATCTTAAAACAGATAGCTTAGTGTACTATTTGTTTTTGTCTGCTGTTTGCCTAGTGTGCAGAGTATGGCATTTCATGAAAAAATCTTGTGTTCGCACATCATTTCAAACATGTTTACTGTGTGGAAACTTCCTTTTATTCATCATATGGTATCTAAAATATCGCTTTTTTAAGTTTGATGTGCAAATTCAAATTTTGGCTTACTATTTAGACTGGTTTGAAGGGACATTGTTCTTTTGTACAGAAAACTGTACATTTATTAATTGTGACAAACTATATTTTCTAAATTAAAGCAGTTTATATTGCGAATCCTCATAAACTGTATCATTTTGGAGAATTAATGATTTTTAGCTTGAGTGTTAATAATGGCGATGATGATGTCCATTATCACAGCTTTTCAGTGTCCTAAGACAACCTTAAGCAGCTAGGTGATAGTAAATACAAATTATGTTAATAACTTTAAAGTTATCTCAAAATCAAAAGATTATCCCAAAATGTCTCTTACGGCTAAGAATCATTAATGTGACAACTGAAAAACAATTGTCCATATAAACATGAAATTAATGGTTTTGGATATAAATCAGCCTAGTAGCAAAAGTCAATTTAAAACTTCTTTAAAATAATTTTACACATCATCCTGTCATTATGTAATACATCATTCATAAGCCCATTTCTTATTGAAAACATTTGAATCCCAATCTTTCTACTTAAATGTTTAGCAGGTACCAGACTGTCTGTGAATGGCTTATATGTTGATTGTTGGGTTTATTTTTGACTTGCCTCAACTTTCTGGCTAGATTTTTCATGTTTATAACTTTCCTGATAATACGAAAAAACTTTTTCACAGCTTTTTCATCTCATTTCATTTCATAATCATTGGTTTCTCATTTCATCAGCCATTTTTGTAGCATAGTTTAAGGGCCAATCACATCAACCAAATAAATGTTTATTACGCACATTATATATTGCCAAACTAAAAGGTCAATTTGTAATGTTGTTTTATAGCAGATGAAAAGATGGTTTAAGTCTTCTCTATTAATTTAAATTTTTAAATATATATATATACAAAACAAAACTGCTTTAATAAGCTCAAACAAGTGTTGAGCACAAGATGTATCTTCCTAGCCTGTACTTTATCCAAGTTTTCAAGGACTCAACATCGTTGATTTCCATTTCCAGTAGCATATTCAAATGCACTAATCTCTTCATATCATTATTGTATTATATTTCCATTGCTTTCTAGATTGGTCCCATTTTTATGAGTATAAACTTCCAGCTAAACTAGTGGCGATCTTGATGTTAATGGGCAAATCAGCCTTGTTGCACTAAATATTATTCGGAATAGAATTGTTTATTTTCCACTTTCCCTGTCTGTATCACTTGCATTTCTATTTTTCATGCTGATCATCAATGCTGTTTTGCTCTAACTAATTTGTTCTATTTTTGAAGGTAGAAAAATGATTCAAATATTCAAAAGTAGCACCTGCTATCAACCTAATTTTATTTGGCATATACATTTGTTTTATCTCTAGTTTCTAATATTGAGCAAATCATTGACATTCAATTTACCAGTAGCCACAAAGTAACTACACAGTTTACCTGCATGTGGTCGCCAGTCAATCACCAGTTATACTCCACCAGTCAGAAGTGGTATTGTTTAAATCAACAATGATAGCCCATAAACCACAAATAATACACTTCTATATTCAGGGTTCAAAAACATAATCAAGAGATGTCCTGTCCCAATAATGTGCTCTTAGGGTTGACATCATAATGAATACATTACAGAATCTTTGATTTTTGACCATCTAATCTAAAAGAACCACATAAAGTACATAAGGATGTGGATTATCAGTTGAATATGCTAATAATTAGGTGTGATATACCCAATGAAATGTTTAATGTTATTCTGGTGTGGTTCATAAAAACATGAACAGTGGCCATATTTCAGTAATGTGATGTGTATTTATGTCTTTCAACGATGTGGAATAAACCTATGCTCATGTGGCCATATCTCAGCCAATTTGTGAAACATTTAACTGATTTTCCAGATTTAGATATATTCTATGACAGCCATTCCTAACCTCTGGCCTGCGGGCTATTAATAGGAATCTGTCAAGGGCCAATGAAAGCTATGTTTTTTAAGGTTTAAAGAAATCATCTCAGGCGAATGTTTCTAACCCTTGGCTAATAGAGCTCCTCTTTATCTTACTTAAAGTGTTCTACTTCTTAGCTGGAGTTCTCATAATTGTGTTGTTAAGAAAATTCTAGAACCCTAGACCGAGCATTTTTATCAAATCTTTGCTCTTGATTTGACAGATTGTTGTTCTCAAATGATTTTATATTTAGCATAAATTCTTATGTGTTTCTTGAATTTTCAGATGGAGCAGTATGCAGCAGTTCACAAGAAGACTTGACTGAAAAACCCGATGAGGTTAAGGAGAGACAACTAGCTATTGTGCCTTATGTAAAAAGCCCATTGAGTGTCGACCACATAGATGGGGCCAGATCAAATGAAGATCATGGGTCTCATGAAAATGGAAATGTTAACATTGGTGGTGTCCAGATAACTATTGATTCACATTGCCATGATTCTGATGAGGAAGAAAAACATATTGGTAAGTTCATGGATTTATTAAATTATCACATTAATGCTATATAGCTGAATATGTACCAAAACTTGATAGCTAACTTTCTTCATCAAACTGGAATAGTTGTACATTGGTGATACCGAAATGCTATCTTTTTTTGTTGGTTTGATTCTGATTAAAAGCAAATAAGGCCATCTATTTTTGAAGAGATATTTTATAACTAGGAATCATGCAACCATGTTAAGATTCAGGTTTAAAAACTGTTTTAACAGAAGATTTGCAAAAATATATGTTTCAGCATCATCAGATATATTTTAGGATGAAAAAGTTGTATTTTCATTTCCTTTTTTACTGGGTTTTGAATCTAATATTGGAGTTTAGGGAGAACCAAGAGAGAAAATGGTTCAAAGTCTTAGAAAATCTTTAGTTTTTTCCTACCTGAAACCATCTCAAATGACTTTTGTGAATTTAAAAGATCGTCAGATAGCATAGGTCAGCTCCTTTTTGCATGTTTTGTAGGCAAAGTTTTTGCAAAAAATCATTGCTCCCGAGCCATTTGTATTTGCCACAGTACTCACTATTATGCCATCCATTTGTGTGCTTATAGGCCTATCCAGAACATTTCCAATCAGAAATTCTTCATCTGTTTCCAAAGTACAGGACATAACAGCTGCATTATTCAAAACATATTGAAAGACTTATCTTCCAACCACTCATTCAAAGAGAATGGTAGTCAAATCATTTTATATGGTGTTGACAAAACATATCCAATGCGAGTTTATCTCACTGTTTTTATATTTTTTTATTTTTCAAACTTATTTATTGCAATTAGGCTTTCAGGCATATGTGAATGCTCTAGTATTTGCTTTTCTGTGAAGAAATTCATGTTATGCTGGAGAAATCAGGACATTTTAGGATTCAATCATGGGAGTATTTTCATACAGCTTTTTCTACAGACTTTAAAAGTGGACAAATCATTGTGTTTGGTTGGGACAAAAACTCATGTTTTTATTTGTCAGCCATTTTTGACATTTTTTTGCCCAGTTAGGATGGGAATGAATGCCTTATTTTGTGCTGTGGCTCTGCTATTTGAAGTATGAGATTAAATCTCTTGGACTCCAATGGTAATTTTTCTTTAGGCATGCAGCACTGATTGGACAACCATACCAGTCTTGTGCTTGCGTTTTTCTGATTGGCCTATTTCGATCAACAACTGGGAATATATTTTTCATCGTATTCTTTCGGACCCTTATTCTGACGTTTTATGCTCTGAGGAGTGTCAGATAAAAAGCTTTCAGGAGTGTCAGATAAGAGTCTCAGCAACAGTAAATCAGATAGCAAAGTATCATTTGGCATCGGCCAAATTCACTGTAAAGATACGCTTGTATGGGGGGGGGGGGTGATCCCCATCACTTTGGGCAATATGGTTTTTGGGTTTAGAACGAAAACGTTTTTGTATCTCAGGGTGAATGGGAAAAGAAATAGCCAGCCTCTATGTGCCATAGTCAAATGAATAGGATAACTTCAGTTACCAGATAGCAAGTCATAATGGATGTGTTTAAACTTAATTGTACACCCTTAGAAGTGTATGTGTTGAAGGACATGTTATAATATATGAGACTTTGTTATAGGTGCCTCAAATTAAAACTAAGTAGTGTGTCGCCACTGGATTACTGTAAATGTGTCTTCGGTTAAGGTTAAGTTAATTTAAATCACTTTCAGTGTTGTTTAGATCATCAGGATTACCAAAAGTTCTATGCTTTACCCATAGTTCCATGCTTCTCTTCGGTATCCTTGGAAACATCGGCCATGCAGTAGTGGAAACCACTTAAAGGCTCTTGCGCAACCGGCATGCTTAGCGGCAGCTGTCTTGAGAAATTGACTGTATTGTATTTTCATGCAGTACGATATTAGGCCGATTTTTTAATTGTAGTCGCAAAGCATGCTGGTTGTACAATAACCTTAATTCTGGCATCGCTTTCAGTTGGTAATTATGGGATTAAAGGCGACTTTTCTTGAAATTTTAGATAGGAATTATAGATATATCAGATTATAGATAGGAAAGTGCCTGAACAAGATTTGAAAGGAAACAAGAAAGGCTCTGTAAATATGCTGGATGTGGTTTTAAGGCTGTTGATGCTTGTTTAGGTGTAATAGTTAGTGTTTTGGAGGAGGCTTTTTGGCCTAATAATGCATAGGATTCGTTGCAGCGAAGTTCTTTAAATCTACGTTCTATTTACTTTTGATCAAACAAATCTGGTACGACTTTGTTAGTGGTGGCGCAGGCTAAAAGCGGTGAAATTTCCACGAATTTGGTTGCGTACTTTCTTCTATTCTACTCCCGAAGTCAAACTATCAGATTTTTAGATAATTTTCCGAATTGTTATCTGCCGGCTATTCGGGAGATTCATATTTTATCGCGCATGAGGCCATGGTGAAGCCTATTGAAATGATACATGATGCGGTACCATGGAAACGCCATCTCTAAAACTTTTTTAAAGAAATGCCAACCTATAGGTGAATCTCAAGCATTTTTCTTGCAATGTGGGTAAATTCATTCATAGAGTGACACAGCCTTTGTTTACGTCAAATTTCATTTATTTTTTGTCGTTATTTGTTTATGAGAAAAGGAAGGCGAAGCATGCATTATTCCTGCACTTAAATCTTTTGGTTTGCTATTATTAATATATCTTTCATTCGTAGATGTCCTTCCATGCTCACCAGATGCAGAGGAAACTAACATCACATCAGTTGGCAGTGGTAAAAATCCTATTTTTCTTTTACTTAAAAGAATACATTCTTCGCACCACACTATTTTGTAATCTCATCCACAGATGCTATTTGGGGCAAGCAAAGCAGCGTGAGAATTGGAACTGCCGAGAAGAGTGAGGGGAGGAAAATCGAAACGAAAAACTAGGCCGCTTAACCTCCTCCTTCTTATTTGCAGCTCCTCCGCTCCCCCTATTCTCCTTTTCTTCCGCAGTTCCCTTTATCCTTTTTTCCCTCCTGAATATCCCTCCTAAATATCCCCTGTGGAGGAGAATACCTTTTTGCCTGCTGCAGACTAAAAGCTGTTTACTATAGCCTTTACATTTTGTCTGCCTAGAGTAAAATATGTGAATATTCTTCAAATACGCATAAGAAACCTGCTTTGAAGAAAAACTTAATCTTACTTTTGTGTATGTTTGTCAATAAAGTTTAAAATTTTTCGAATTAATATTAATGCTTACCATTATTTTGATTTCTTTTCCCAATTCCAATAGGACAAGACAAAAAAGTTGAGAGTTTTTCATTGTAAATGTTTGTCAAGGTCTGTTTTAATTAACCAGAAACGAATGATATACCATCATTTTTCCAAAATGATAGCGACTCTTTAAGTTCTGTTTGTAAATACCGTAAGACGTAATGATCCCTTCAATTTGACTCAATGTGTTTTCGATTTGACAAGAACAATGGCCGACTGTCTTGTTAGCTTCTACCGGATTCACACCTTTGCTATAAAGCAGGCGAGATGCAGATTTCGTAATGAGATGATTTGGATCTTATACCTCTGTTGTGACCTGTGTTAAGTTTGTTTTGATGTGTCGTTCGTCGTTGAGAATGAGTTGATTAAAAGAAGCGCTTGAGGAAACAATGTGCTCCACCTTTCATTCGTTTCTTCTCGGAACCCTACACAGGGATGCAATATGTTATTACAGATACTATGTTATTACATAACTAAGGAAGATGTTAACCCTTTCCAGCCAATAATCTTAGTTTCCAGCCCTTAGTTTAATCGATTTTATGCCGGTAGGCAAGATGAAACTCGGAAGTAGCAATAATATCGAATTGTCTTTATAAAGGCATCGTGTCTGGATATGAAGCTTGCTTCTAAGTACGCTGTAGCTCGGTCTAAACCTGTCAACGTACTCAAGTAGCTTGCTCTAAACCAATGAAATTTATGCTATGTCTTCATGCAACGCTCAAAGTTGCCTGGTCCATGTTGCTCTGAATACAATTCAAACTTTACTTAGAATAACCTATACAGACATAAGCAAGACTTCCATGTTGAAGGATTATTGCGATTTAATTATAGTGTAAGTTACAATTATTTTTTTCTCAACACTATTGTTTTTTAACAACTCAGATATTGTTTATGTTCGTTTACAAGAAAGCGCAAATGTCAACAAAGGGCTGATTCTCAAGTAAATGATCTTGCTAATAGGCAATCAAGATTTGTCCGCTGTGCTATTTTATGCAACGAAGTATACCTATAGGAAAAGCCTCTTTGATATTCTGAACCCTCCCCCCCCTCCCCCCTATCTGTGTGTGGATCCTCCATCAGATGTGAGAGGCGCTTTTAGTTCCATCGTTGAGATGGTAGAGCAAGGAAAGCACATTTTACATTATCATACCTTGATAAACATTCAAGATTTGTAACTTAACTGAACGAGTTTTCAAAGATAACTTGCTACCCACTTATTAAACTGCTGATTATATATTGTATGTCACGTGATTACAATATGTAATGCGACCTTAAAAGCTTCCTACTACATCTGTACCGTTAATTTTTGGTACTCAACAATTTATAATTGTTTCTTTCTCCATATTTCTCCATGTTTCTTTCTCCATATTTCTCCATGTTTCTTTCTCCATATTTCTCCATGTTTCTTTCTCCATATTTCTCCATGTTTCTTTCTCCGTATTTTAATGTCTTTGGTTGTGTCTTTCTTATCATTTGGTTTATTTATGTCGTAGATTTGACAGTGAAGATTCCACCAAAAGAAAACTCGTCACTGGGTGGTCCACCTGCTGTGGAAACTGTCACATTTGAACCATCAGCTAGTCCTAAAGACTTTAAACCGAAGCCTGTTGATAAAGGGTTTGTGTTTGCCGATGCATTTTATTTCCTTGTAACATTATCTTCCCAGCTGATACTCTTTTTGCATTGACATTCTGCAGATTGTGCTGTCAAAATCTTTAGGCTACGGTTATACGACACTGGATTGATTTTCATATCGGATTTTTATCAGCAGAGAAAGCGTATCAGATTCGTCTCTTTACACAGGGTGGAATGTAGTGCGGGGCGTATCGGATTACTTTTCATATCGCTTTCACAGTGGAGTGATTTCACTACGCAAAAACATAATAGGCTGATCTGATGACAAGATCGGCTGGTAAAGCATGCGGGCGAGTGTTACACTCTTTTTTATGAGAACAACTGTTTTAGAACACGAGCCTCAAAATTGGTCAAGTTAAGAACAAATTAAGAACAAGCTGAGGCTGAGCTACTGTAAAATGCAATTTGGAACGTTTTATTTTAAAAATGAGAATTATTCAAATTTATCGGCTAATGCAAGCAATTCAAGGTTGTCTTATTCATTTTGTTGGTAAATGAGGTCTGATAACCTCCCTAGAGCGAAAAAACAAGCAGTCGCACTGCTTAGACTCTATTAATTTAAGAACAATTTAAGAACAATTTAAGAACAGCCAGCCTGAACTTAAAATTACTGGTTCTTATAAAAAAGAGTGTAGTGCATCTTTAATTAGATTCAAAGTTTCATAAGTAAATATCCTCAAATTGCTGATTACTTATATAATTACAAAATATTGAACTTTTGCGTAGACAGCAATCATATTTGCATCGATTCATTTATACGCATTTTGGTGTACAGAACAGGAAGGTTCAAAGTTGCTCCTCCAAGTTGCACGCCTAATGCCGTCTTTAATAATCGATTGTTAACCAATGACGGCATTAAGCGTGAAGCGCAGAATAACAACTCGGAACAAAAATAGAAGCCCAATTTTCGTGACATATTTAAAAATATTAAAGGAAAACTGGCGATTCTGTAGCACACTTTGGTGATTATAAGACGATTGTTCTAAGTTGCAACTACGTGTTCCGCGCTGTACTCACTTAGCAGTTGCCTGATGGTCAAATTAAGCGTGAAACTCAGAGTTGCAATTTTGAACCGTCCTGTTCTATACACCAAATAGTGTGTACAACTATAGGCATACAGTATCAAGCATTTTATGACAGTTTGGTAGACAACAATTTTTATATTAGTTGCTTTTGATTTTCAGTCCGTAGAGATTTCAATTCATTTTTTTAATATTTTAAATTTATTTAATTTTTATATTATCTTTTTATTTTATTTTGTTTTTATAAATTTCATTTATTTTTATATTCATACATGCCATATATATTTTTCTTTATTCTTTGCAAATTTTTGATAATCGTATTTTTCAGGCAAAATTTCGTCGTTAAACCAGATGATGAAACTGACAGTGACGCCAGCGACAAAAACTCAGAAGATGAGGATCCACCCCCCGTCCCACCGCGAACATCGAGCATTTCAGCCTCACAACGAGTCACTGCCAATGTATCAGACGATAAGCAGAATCGAGGTAGCTATTATGATAATTGCCCTGAACAGCACAACGAACCTCACGACATGTCATTCTATAGCAGTAGCTCTGAAGGTAGTGACGAGGAGGAAGAGACTGACAACCACGTCGTCACAGGTATGACATACAGGCATCAGTTAATTGCTTGTTACCAAAGCTTACGGACAATTTGGGATGCTGTTTTAGTTAAGAGAGATGAGCCTGGTTTCAGGGACAGATTTTTGTTAATAGTCACACGTGGAAGACTCATCCCAGGACCTAACCCTCATGTATCTCCAGAAGGTTCTTGAATAGCTGGCAAGATGGCCAGTTTGCTGTCAAATGAATTAAACGGGTCGATAACCACAGCTTATCTCTGTTATCAGGGCCAGCTCTATCTCGGCTACCAGAGCTGGCCTTTTCTGCATGCAATTGCCGTCTCAAATCTTTGTACTTTTAGTGGTACAAAACTTGAAAATGGCTTTGAAAAAAGCAAACATTCGAGTAAACTAAAGCTTTTCGTCTGACACTCTTCAGAGTTTAAAACGTCAGAACATAGATCGAAAACTCTACGCTATTGTGTAGACAGAAGGAGTTCGTTTTCACCTTAGGACTCCATTGGTAACATCTCAATAGGCAAGCGGCACTGATTGGTCAACCTCAACAGTCATGTGCTCGCGTTTCTGATTGGCCTATTTCGAACCACAACTGGGTATATATATATTTCCTAGTGTAGAATTTTCCATCTATGTTCTGACGTTTTAAACTCTGAAGAGTGTCAGACGAAAAGCTTTAGTTTACTCAAATGTTTGCTTTTTTCAAAGCCATTTTCGTTGTACTTTTCTACGACTATCGACATCTTGGCAAATATAATCCATCTCAGATAGATAGAAGGACCAGCCTTTCTGATACAATCAGGCTTTTGCTGCTCGGATTTGCTCAAAAACTTTTTGCATTTAATACCAATAATTTTTGTTAATTTATTAATTGCATTGTTTTGGAAATATTGAATTGGCCTGAAAAGATAGTTGGAAATATTGAACAGAGATTTTTCGATCAAGTCAGGATGAACCTACAGCATTTTAAAACTTTTCAGATTTGAAATTGAAGAGAAAAAATTGTTGAGGATAACCCTTTCAACACTCGTGGGGAAGCACGCCAGTATAGTCTATTTTCAACTCGTCAGATTTGCAACATATTATTTTCGTAGCCAAGATATCCAATTGAAGTTTAGCGTCACTTTAGTTGGACGAGCAAGGGCTGCGAAATCCCCACGACGTCTGTCAAGGATCGTTAGCTGATTATAAGTGTTATTTTTATCAAATTTATCAAATAATTTTTTCCTTACATTCTAATGATGAATGCAGCAATAATTATCTGACCTTTCGGTCCATTGCTAAAATTTTTAATCATTAAAGTGAATTGATGTTTTTATTTTGTCAACAGAGCTGGCTAGCATTTTCGTTTTTTTTTTAAAAGGTTTGGCTTCAAAAGTAAAGCGATCGGACAGCCTCGCCTTGAAGCTGAGAGCGCGCCCATCACTTGATGAGCTTATTAATAAGCATATTATCGAGAGTAAGTTGTTTGAAATCTTTACTGCCTTCGCATATTCTATACCTGAACCGTTGTGCGTTAACAATATGCTTCTTTAAGATATTACGAACTGATAAAAACATGTCTCAAGTTTTATCTCGGCATTCGCTTTTTATAAAAGTCTAATGTAGATGTGAAAGAGGAATGGTAGAGTTGCAAAAGAGTTGTTGTTGATATTTTGTTGACCTAAAGTGCTGAATGGAAGACTATTGATTGACAGCTGTCTAATCCTCGGCCTGTGCGTGTGCTTCATGATGTTTCGTTGATTGACAGCTTTTTTAGTGTAAAAACTGTCAAATATATTCAGGAGCTGAAAAGATAAAAAACGTGTACTCGAGGAATGCTGTCATTGATAGTTGACTTTATTTGATTTTGTTGGGAATACTTTAATTGAATGATTTTTTTATCTGCATGTCACTCAAAGCAGAAAAGCTCAAAACCTTTTGTTGAAAACATATACTATAGTTGTTTAGTTCTATAAGCAGTATTAGATACTATCAAACCCGAGGATATACCAAATTTTTCTGCTTTTCTCGACTCATTTGCAAGTCTCCCAGTTGAGTTATTCTGCTTATTACTTCTAAATGCTAAAAGTTTCGCTGTATAATTTTAATTAAATTGACAGAGTCTATTACACGTGGATAAGCCTCTTTCAGCTCATCCATTCTAGATCTATTCGCAGTTAATATGGTTTGCCCATTATCCCTAATGCTAGCTTTATCAACATTATTCGTACCAGATTTTCAACCTCACTTACTCATAATTTCCCAGCTGTTATCAATGTTGGATTTATAAGGCTATTATGCTTTCTAGCAATGTCAATGAAGCGGTTACTGTACATGCATTCTGTATACTGAAAAAACACGTGACAGAATTTTTCATCTTTGAACTTCGATCAGTCAGAAAGCCTTTTCTAGATTACCCTTCGAAAGATCCCCATCCACTTCTGTGTGTCCCTACTTTTTGTCAGTCTCAAGCCTGTACATGTACGTATTGATCAAAAGCTTTCAACTGGCTTGGTCTGAACTTGCAATGGGCTTGTATGGATCTTTCAATTCCAGATTGTACCATGAATTCCCAATAGATCAGCAATATGGTCCCTGTTGCTCTTAATCATTTACGAATTACAAGATGCTACTCCAGTGATCTTCCTTTCCAAGTCACAAATTCTGTTCCAGAACTCATCCTTCCTCCCAGTATCTTGTAAAATTTGAAGCACTCTACCTTCTTCCTGCTTCCAAGAATCTTATAGCTTGGCTTGATTCAAATCTTAATTCGGCGAGTTTGATTGTAGGCTCTCGGACCTTTCCCTGACATCCCAACTAAGAACGGATACATACCAAATACCTACAGAATTAGAATTCAATAGACCATATTGAAGATCGCGATGCCATGAGTGGGGCAAAATCCGCAATAGGTACAATAGCTGCCTATGTCATCGAGATTTTGATACCCTACTGTAGCTCAAACAAGGTCCATTGTTAATCAACGAGTTTCAGATTTTCATTCTTAAAGCATTTTTCTATTTCTTACAAAGTTTCACGGCCGGGAGAACTAATATAGCGGTATCTATACAGAGTTAACTAATCGAAATCAAATGAAGCTAAAATATAGACTTATGCTGTCTGTGGCTTGTTTGAGACACTATGGCTGACACTTTATTCTCCTAATGTGACAAATCTTTTGTTTTTATATTCAGCTCAAACACCAGAAGAAAGACAGGAATTCCGACACAAAGTAGAGTCAAAGATATTAAGGTTAGACTTGCCTATTTAGTTTATCGTCAATGTTTTATAGAGAAAATTAATAAGACTAAAAAGTCATTCGAATTTGGCTGTTCGCAAAATTTTCAACAAGCCTAGTTATGATCAAAGGTAGAGCCCGGAAAACATAAGGATCGTACAGTTTAGAATCGTGGAAAGAACAATGAAATCGAAAGAAATTAAAAAAAAACACTCTCAACCCCAGTAATTATTTTAGAACTTACTAGTTTAAGTTTTCAGGTTATGTATATGCAAGGTTAAAAGTTAGGAGGGTGAACTGAATTAAAGCTGGAAGGATGGGAGCGCTGAATTCAACATGAAACATGACTCTCTGGAAGAGCAGCAAATAGGCCCTAACAGAAACTACTTCTTCTCCTCTATATAAATATATATAGATGAATGTATATAAATATGTATATCAAGTTGCACGATAGCTTGTAATTTAACGTAAGTTTTGCTTATGCTATGATTTCATACGAAATAATCGTGTGCTCTGGTCAGCCCGAAGCGATACTTTTGTTACCACCTGAATAGCCAACATATTTTTGACCATTTTCAACTCTGTACCATTTTTGACTCTGTACCATTTTCATTAGCTGCTTTCATTTCTAGGCGTTTAAGCCAACGGCCGACCAAAGAGGAGTTAGAGCAAAGAAATATATTGAAAGGTGAGTCTTTATTTTCCCATTAAAATCCTTTAGCTCCAATGGAACCGTTAAGCTAGCTCGCTGAGTAGAGAGCAGTGGAGCAGAGGGCTGTGTTGCAGAGGTCAGTGCGGCACTGGAGCAGTGGGGCAGAGGGCAGTTGGGCCCCGAGCTGAGAGGTGCTCCATTAGTCAGTCATAGTTATAATGACGTCATCACAGAACCTATCTCTCTTTTTGCCCAGGTTCCAGGAAATCTCTCGATGGGCCTGCTGTTAAACCAAACTGATAGGTCTGTGTTTGTTAGAAGGCATTTTGAGTGGAGAACCTGCAAAAAGATGTCTGCCAGAATAAATTGAAAAGTGTTATGGAGTAATAGAGAGGGCATATTTTATTACGAAGAGTAAGAAATTAGCAAATGCATGTCTAGAGGTACTTGTTGGAAAGCTGCGTGATGAAATTAGAAAAACACTACCCTTCTCTTCCCACTCCCCCAATTCCTTTGGTTTTTCACAATTCTCCTTGTCCCCTTTCAACATAAACCCTCCCCTTGTACATATCCGCATTCTGATACCATACTTTCTTATTAGCACCAGACTTTATTTTCTTCAAAATTGCGACCCTCTTTTACATATAACCGCTCCAAGCTGTCAGCCTTGTTCTTAGTGTCTTTTCTCGACCTCTTTTCTCTGCTATGGCCCACCATGATCCTTGAAAACCTCCTCGTTATTAGCTAACTAATATTTGTTGTGGGCACTTTAGAATATTTTTGCTATCTTTGAGCGCGTATGTTTTCAGTTACATCGTGCGAAGACCGAAGGCCTTGAAAGTTCACCGCAATGCCTTATCAATAAAAAACGCATATTCATAAAAATGACAACGTGAGTTCCGTAGAAAGGATCATTTTCCTATTAGGACGTCTAAGCGTGACGTCATGTGGTATTGAAATTAATATTGCATAACCTGTTTGAATACGTTCAATCCATCAATATGAAAAAAGTTGCCACCGAATCGAATTAACGATCATATTGTATAATTGATAAGCCTAATATTGTATAATTGATAAGCCCGCACAGCAGGTTGATTCATTGGCAGTTGCTTTATATCCCAAGAGCACCGACTAACTTTCTTTCTTGCTGCAACGGCAATGTAAGATAACACTATGGTTGGAACTCGTTGAGTTGCCTTGCGGATCCAAGAGCACTCATGTATGTGCTCAACGATGTAGTGTGGTATTGCTTTGAGAACAGGCTGTTTGGCAGTGTCATTAAGTATATTGCTGTTGAGATTGATGATGCTTTGTTTCGCTTCATGAGGCATATCAAAGGTAGGGTAAGCGATCAAGGCATTCAATGCGATTTCTTGTGCTAAATACATCTATATAAATCTGTTAACTTGAATTTGTAATCCAACACTCAGTGCCAAAAAAGAGTTAAGTCGTGTAGAATTAATCCGACTTTATATTGGCTGACAAGCTGGTTTCACAAAAGGGGAGATTTTCTTCTCGTAAAATAGCCACAGTTTTTAAAATTGGATGCAACAAAAGAATGCCAAAATTGAATCACGTTAAGCCATACCCTTGATATCTCAGACTTTTACTTAGTCGGCCTGACTTTCGCTTCCCATTGGGTTTTCCTGCCGTATTACAAGTCAAAAGTCATACCCTGGATTACTCGGACTTTCACGTGGTCGGCCTGATTTTCGCTTCCCATTGGATTTTCTCGCCGTATTTCAAGTGAAAAGTCATACCCTGGATAGGTCGGATTATTTCCTTACCCCCTTTAAAGGTCCGAGTTTCACCTGTGTTGTTATTAAATCAATATCAGGGATAATCTTAAACACAGATGTGTGTATATTCATTAATAATTTATTCCATCATCTTCTTCAGGTCGGGATCTTTTTTGCAAACAGTCAAGTGATATTTTATCTGTTTTTATCACCTTTTCTTAATGTGTTGATGGGTGGTTTTTTAGGCCGCAATAGAAGTCTCGTAATGACGTAGATAAAGACATGGATGAATCATTTAATAAATGAAAGAATCATTGGAAAATAAGTATCTTTGAACCTTAACAACTTGGGCTTTCAAGGGTCATAAGGAAAGGGTTTTTACTGGAGTACGAATTTTGATTCAAATAAGGTAGGAAGACCCTTTTTTATAACTAGTTTGGTCGTTCTGGTCTTAGATAGCAAGTTTGATTTCATGTAAGTCCATGCCTCGTGTTATCGCTGTATTAACATGATAACAACTTAATTCGTTCTTGCTGAGATAAATCGTGAGATATGTACATATCTGTCAGGTCTCAAAGCTTAGGCAGTCTTTCCACTGGCCTGGGTTAAAACATATCCGGGTTAAAAGTTATCCGTTTCTGCGTCGCGTTCCCACTAACCCACTTGAAAAACGGATAAGTTTGAAAACGGGTCTCAAAGTGAGTCAGTTTTTAAACGGGTATCTTTTGACCAACCGTTTCCATTGACTCACTTTAAAAACGGATAACTTTTAACCCGGGTATGTTTTAACCCTTAGTCCTTAGGCTGCCTTAGTCCCGTCTCAAGGCTCGAATCCGTCCGGTCCGTTCAAACAATCCAGAAGTAGTGTTATACAATGCTAACTTTTCATATAGAGAGTCAAACTTTGTCAGAAAATCCAAATTTTTAATTATGCAAACCGTTGTATTTTGCTTTAAAACTATATTTTTACCGAATAACCTTTTTACAGAATAACCCCGTAAATTAATCCGGTCTAGAAGTAAACGTACAAAGCTACCCCCATCTCAACTAACGCACAAGCATTACCCCCTGTAACAATGGTAAAATCAAGAGAGAGTTATCGTTACCCATAGAGATCCTATCTCTTTGTTGCTACCTAATGTGACACCATATTGAATCAAAATGGCAGCTTTGATATGAGATCTGTTGAATAATTTACAATGGTGGTTATTGGCCTTCAAGATGACTTTCCAGTGCGATTACATCGAAAATACTTGCCGAATCAATTTTTGAAAACACCAGATACAGCTACATTGATGAAATAGTACTACCTTCAAAAAATGATGTTTTTATCTTACGCCATTGCACGTTGGAAACTAGATTTTCAGGAGGGTAGGTGGGTAAATCTTGTTGTTTTCAGGGGTTGATTAAGGGTTTTTCAGTAGACTAAGGAGTTTGTTGGTATTGGGAGGGGATAGATAAGCGGTGTTCGTAGAGAATGTTAACCCTGTATTGCTTCAGTTAGGCAAGTACTGTTTTAGGCAAGGTGTATTTTAGCTTTTTCTGCTCTAAATATGCTAGTGAACTAGTGAACTTGTTAGCCAAGTGATTGTTTACTAAAATACCGTAAGGTACGGCGTTCTGTTGTATTGAAATGCGACGTAGGTTGGTCATAGAACCAAGTTCAAATTAATATGTAGTGTTCATGTCTTGGAAAGAGGAATGATAGATTTGTGGAGCGTAGAGCGTAGAAGGGAAAGTTTCAAAGCTCAGTTTTACAATACTACAATGTTATTTGCATTTTTAGCGTTTTTGCATGTCAACAATTGCTATTTCTTTCACAGCGCACTCAAAGAAAGAAGAAGATGAGTCTATGAAAGAAATAAAACGAACTTTATCGAGAAAAGTAGGTTTTTTAGAGAGTTCACTTTCTTGTTTGTCGTTCACTGTTTTTTTCGTTCTCGTGTTTTCAGTTTACTGTGAAACAGTGGCTTGAAAGTTCTAACTTTTGTGCGAAAGGAACTCAATTCATCAGTTTTTCGTTTCTCTTTATCAACCCATTTTCTCCTCCATAAATTTTTTTGATACATAACTTACCTTTTTTTAATTTCTTGCCTTTTCTAAAAACTTGCTTTTTCAAAAACCTTTTTTTAGAAATCGTAATTTTAGTCACACTTTTTGAGAAAAGGCTCCACCTTTCTAACTTTGACAGTATGAATTGCTTTATGGCGCACAGCACCCAGATTTTTTGGTTGGATACAAAGTTTCTATGGTTTTAAATCCCAGCTAAGGAAATTCCTTCGTCAGCTCGTGCCTTAACCATTATTTATAACATACATGGGCAGCAGAAACAGTGAATTTTTAAAGAGATTTTTGCAGATGGCTTTACTTCCTCTCTTACAGCGAAATTTTCTATTAGAAATAGCATGAAACATTGCTCTGTACATTCTGCTTACCTAGTGGAAGAACAATTACATATTGCACAGAGACTATAGGATTTACTGGTTAAAACTTCTGGCAAAAATTATCTATAGAAGCAAAAGAAGTCAAATCACCAGATGTTTTTAAACGAAGCATAAAATCTGTTGATAACATTGATAACAGCAATAGATTATGTGAAACTTTTATTGTGCATTTATGTTTTTATATTATTTTTATATTACTTTCTATATATATTGTAAATAGTTTGCTTTTATTAGCTAAATACGTGGATAGATCTCCTTGCCAACTGGGAACAAATTATACGCTTTTAAACGCTTCGATTATATATAATCATGTCCTTGATCATCGTTGTTGCTGTCTCCTTGACTTTCATTTACTCACTGATGTTGCTGTGTTTCCCTAATAGCTAAGCAGACGTCCTACGGTAAAAGAGTTACGAGAAAGGAAAATTCTGAGATTTAAAGATTACGTTGAAGTTAACGAAACGCAAGATTATGACAGACGGTATGTATCTGGTACCAGTTTTTAAATCTCCCATTCTAAGAGACGTTTGAGTGATTTGATACTGTTCAAAATACTTTGCAGCGTCACACTATCGTTTGAAAGCTATCCCCTTTGTCGCTTCCTCTATTGTGCTCAAATTACTCTTTCCTGGAAAAAATTCATGCTTGGTTGACATTGATGAATAATTTGCGATATTAGCCAATCAGGGACGACTTTGGATGCTTAAAGCCTCATTCTTCGCATCTGCCAATCACTAAGCAAACAGACTACTTGTCAATCAACCATTCAGATCATTTTAGCCAATCACTGAGCAGACAGACTACTTGTCAATCAACCATTGAGATTATTTAAGCCAATCATTGAGTAGACAGACTACCCATTGAGATTATTTTAGCCAACCATTGAGCAAACAGACTACTTGTCAATCAACAATTGAGATTATTTTGGCCAATCGCTGAGGAGACAGACTACTTGTCAACCAACCATTGAGATTATTTTAGCCAATCACTGAGCAGACAGACTACTTGTCAATCAACCATTGAGATTTTTTCGGCCAATCGCTGAGCAGACAGACTACTTGTCAATCAACCATTCAGATCATTTTAGCCAATCACTGAGCAAACAGACTACTTGTCAATCAACCATTTGAGATTATTTAAGCCAATCATTGAGCAGACAGACTACTTGTCAATCAACCATTGAGATTATTTAAGCCAATCATTGAGCAGACAGACTACCCATTGAGATTATTTTAGCCAACCATTGAGCAAACAGACTACTTGTCAATCAACAATTGAGATTATTTTGGCCAATCGCTGAGGAGACAGACTACTTGTCAACCAACCATTGAGATTATTTTAGCCAATCACTGAGCAGACAGACTACTTGTCAATCAACCATTGAGATTTTTTCGGCCAATCACTGAGCAAACAGACTACTTGTCAATCAACCATTTGAGATTATTTTAGCCAATCATTGAGCAGACAGACTACTTGTCAATCAACCATTCAGATCATTTTAGCCAATCACTGAGCAAACAGACTACTTGTCAATCAACCATTGAGATTATTTAAGCCAATCATTGAGCAGACAGACTACTTGTCAATCAACCATTGAGATTATTTTAGCCAATCATTGAGCAGACAGACTACTTGTCAATCAACCATTTGAGATCATTTTAGCCAATCACTGAGCAGACAGACTACTTGTCAATCAACCATTGAGATTATTTAAGCCAATCATTGAGCAGATAGACTACTTGTCAATCAACCATTCAGATCATTTTAGCCAATCACTGAGCAGACAGACTACTTGTCAATCAACCATTGAGATTATTTAAGCCAATCATTGAGCAGATAGACTACTTGTCAATCAACCATTCAGATCATTTTAGCCAATCACTGAGCAGACAGACTACTTGTCAATCAACCATTGAGATTATTTAAGCCAATCATTGAGCAGATAGACTACTTGTCAATCAACCATTCAGATCATTTTAGCCAATCACTGAGCAGACAGACTACTTGTCAATCAACCATTGAGATTATTTAAGCCAATCATTGAGCAGATAGACTACTTGTCAATCAACCATTCAGATCATTTTAGCCAATCACTGAGCAGACAGACTACTTGTCAATCAACCATTGAGATTATTTAAGCCAATCATTGAGCAGATAGACTACTTGTCAATCAACCATTGAGATTATTTTAGCCAATCATTGAGCAGACAGACAACTTGTCAATTAACCATTCAGATCATGTAGCCATTTACAGTGGGTGCAACATTATGTTTTTTGTTTTACTTTATAGAGCCGACAAGCCCTGGACAAGGCTCACCCCCAAAGACAAGGTATGTTTGGGTGCTGCTTCTTTAGATCTTTTGAAAAGCAAAGAAAATAATGCAATGTTGTTGCTATGATAATCGTAAGACAATTTGGCTTTTGGTGTCTATATTTAGGTATTATGGGTAAGATTTTGAATTCAAAATAATGCAAAATGAAAACCATATCGCAGTATGCCGACGGTGCATTTTTCATATGACAACCTTGTAGTGACGCGATTCGCAATTCATCCCATTTCAAAATTCCAAGTGTAGAACGTTTGATTACTAATTTTAAAAACTTAATATTGTAATTGATATTGCTTAATACTTTATACCAACTGAATATTGAAATACAGGGAACTCCCGATAACTGGAACTTTCAAGGGTCCAGTGAAATGGTTCGAGATAGTGGAAGTTTCGAGTTCGAGTTATTGGACGAATGTTCGAGTTATTGGAACATTTTTACGAATGTATTGAGCAAGGGGTATGCAGTATCAGTTCGACTAAGCGAATGTTCGAGATATCGGGGGTTAACTGTAAATCTACTGAATATTAGAAAGTTTATTTTTAGAATTGTTTTCCGTTGAATAGGCTGCGATTAGAAAGGAGCTGAACGAATACAAGGAATTCGAAATGGAAGTTCACGAGGAAAGTAAACAATATACCCGGTAAGTTAACTTATTTGACTTTCCTTGTTGAAAAATCTCTGGAGGATGTTGATTGCGAGGGTGATAAATCGTCAGAGTTGTTCGTGCAAACTGCAAATTGTTGCTTTTAGGCCTAGAAATTTGTATAGGGAAGTATGTTTTGAATTATCTCAATAGACAACAGCCATTTTACAACAGAAAAAATTTGAAATTCAAGAAAGTTGCCCTTGCTCTTCTTTACCGAAGCATCGAAACTCTCTTATAGAGAAGAAATTTGGCAATTATTTTGAAGGCACTATGTCCCGCGATTGCATTTCGATGGTCATTCAAATTTCTCATTGGCTGGACGACACAAAAAGCCTATTGTTACGTATCCAATCGGCAACCCAAGGCAAATTCGCGATGATGCTTCTCGATCATCTATAATTTATTCTGAATGGTTGACTAACGGGACAAACTGTGCCTTTGAAAGAAGGCCGTCGCCTTTTTACGGACAAAAATTGAAATTTTAGATGACGGTCCTTGCCCTTGTTTTATGTAACCTTCACCCCAAGCAAAAGAGGTTGCCATAGCTACAGCAGCTGTGTTCCAGATTTTTAAACAGGTTTTCACTGATTGCATGGTATGTAAGTAGCATATCAAGGAAACTCTTGGAACCCGTTTCATTTGCTTTCAAATTGGCAGCAAATATCTGCTGTTCATTTATTATCAAAATATGAATAATTTATTTTCATGAGTGATGAACCAAAGACTGCATTGAGTTGTAGTTTCGATTGCTTGTTAGCTTCGTCATCTTAATATCACTAAATCTTTGTTTTAGGTTCCACCGACCGTGAGATAAAAGGCACGAGGACTAACAAAATTTCAATATATTTCAAATGTACCTATTTTCATACCGACACCGCTTCGATATCATCAGAACACAGTGTATGTTTAGCGAAAGCGCAAAGTAAAGTAGGCCCATATGGATTCGTTGAAATAGCAACGTTCCCACAGCATTACCACGCCCTGTGAACGATTATTCTAATTCCACATCAATAGTGACGTCATCTCTTAATCAGCGATAATGATTCTCGCAAGCAGTCGTAACTTTTGGTGCTGTATTGATACTTACGATGCACGTGCGCATCACGTGAACTTAGTCCTAGAATCGGCTATGGCAAGAGCACTCTGTCCTCAAGATTTCATTTTGTAATGATTATGATTTTCTCATTGCCAACTAGGTTAAATTTTACTTTCATTTCCTTATACTTTTCGGGTGCTTTATCTCGTTGCCTTGCCAGAAGGTGCTTTATTGCACCTTCTGGATTGACTTAAAATACGACATCATCTATATCGTCGAAACTGCACTGTTAATCTCACGTGATCAAAATAATTAATTTCACTATGCTTAGTAATTAATTTTGGACTGAATTGTTTTTTCAACATTAATTTTTTTTAATCATCCAGTTTTTCATCATTTATTCTGATTTTTCAGAACAGCAACTCGTATTTAATCCGAAATAGGCAGGAGAAGTTTCAGAAAGTGTGTTCCCCTCCTCAAACTCATCTACCTTCTTTAGGTAAGTCGGTATGCATCTTATTTCATTCGCCATCTCTCCACCTAGTTCATAATCGGTTACTTTTAGTATAACTTTAAGTATAGCTTTCGTTTGAAAGCCTATTACCGCCAAAGTTGTGCAAAGGAATGACCCCCTTCCCTTCTCAAACCCCCCCCCCCCCCCCCCCCCCATCAACCTCCACAAGTCGTAAATTGTATCACTTCCAACATCCGTTTTGATTTCAAGAATATTTTTTCCTAGAATTTTTCACACGAATAAGCCTTTTATTTATTTTGAACACGATTGTATATTGCCTACGTCAGCATGCATGGTAAGGCTACCGTTGTTGCATTCCCATCGGCCGGGCTATTTTGGGGGGTTTTTGACGAAAAAGGCACCCCCTTTCCTGCTCTCTTTGATCCCTCTCCAACCAGTAAGACCGCTTCCCCCTTGTTGTGATCGAGATATAGCTCACTGAGCCATTTAGTGTTTCTAGCATTGCATTACCCCCCGGTGCTAGAGCCTCAATGAAAGAGTGGGTCGGTGAAAGAGTTTATAGTAAGAAACCACTGCTCGATCATCTCTTTCATTGAGGCTCTGGTACCCAGAGTAGCATTGCATCAATAAGATGTTACAAATTAATATTCGCATCTACTTTAACTGATAATAATGTCCTTTAACTTGTTTGAACGAATGTACCTTGTAGCCTAGTGTAGTACTAACGGAAACGTTTTCGGCTCTTCGCAAAGTCAACCACTCGAATCACCTTTATCGACAAGAAGAATTCCTTTGCTCTGCCATTTATATTTTGCAGATTTGCGCAGCTGTAAACGCAAACGATCCCAATAGCTTACGCCCAACATACCCTTTGCTTATTTTATCGAGTGTTGTATATTTTTGTTTTGTGGCTGTCTTGTTACCGCCAACTTATTGTGGTATGTAGCTGCCTTTCTTTGATCGAGGGCAACTCAAGGCTGATCCCATTTAGAAAAGAAATGTACTCATCGTTCCTCGGGCCGATCAACCAAAACTTGATGAGATACTCTAACTGCTTTCTTTCCACAGCCCTTCTTCGCGGTCGTTAGTCGCGCGACCGCCGCTTACTGGCAACTCTGTAGATCCCCAACCCTACCGCGTTTGGCACGGAGGAAATGATTGGTGAAGAGGATAAAAGGGGGTAACTGGCAGCTCCTCACATCATGATGGATTTCTAATACCCCTTTTTGTCGATGTCGTAAAATTCACGGTGAATCTCATATGATTTCTGATATTTTCAGCTGCGATTACTGAAAAAGTGTAAAGTATCACTTAGGTCTAGTTGGTCGTCCATTGTAAAAGAGAAACCTTTCGACTGCCAAGTATTCCCAACCTTTTGCTTGAGTGTGGCAACTGGTATTAAAAAGACTTGTATTTTTTTCACTCAACTTATATCGAGTTCTGTAGGTCACTTAACAGTTGTTAAAAATCCTCATTTGTACAATGAACGTTTTATTTAATTAGATTTTACTGTTCTTATATTATGGAAGATTTTTAATATCATCATGTGTCAGAGGCTAGATCATAATGTGGCAATCTTGTTATTGAATTTTCTCATTTCTTGTCCTGTGTACTCAATTAAAGCTTTAAGGTTTCTATAAAGGGTCCATGATTTGAGCTACATCGAATTTGAGCTACACTACAGCTTCTTGTCCTTCCAGTAGAGTCGTCTTGAGAGTACTGTCGTATTAGGTGGGAATCTGTGGCATCTTGTCACATGCTAACACCAAGCGACGCCGCTATCCAACGCCGTCTTCATGCTACGCGCTCTGGATCACTGCCGTGCGAAAGCTACCTCTTCATAGCAACATAAAAGCTTTAATTGTGGTGATATTTTTTAATACACATTTCCTGTAAGCGACAGAGGAACAGCCATCCACTTTATCGGACAACTTTCGGTCTTAACGCCACCCCTTTTGTCATTCTTTTCATAACAATCCCAAAAGCCTGCTAATCTACGTGTTGCCAACAGCCCCTGGAAGACTAAGCTCGAAACTCGAAATGTTCCCATTCCAATTTCCTCTCAGCCTACTTATTTGCACTGCTTTTAAAATATTCACTAATTTTGTAACAAGTTCATTCAAACCTTGAAATATTTTGATTCTTCTTAGCAGCTGTCAAAGTGTGGAGCCAATAAACTCTATTTATAGATTTTTATAAAATATTTTAATTCCTAACTTCTCTGGATGCGGGTATATGTCATTTTAAAAACAAACAAGAGGTACTTAGATATTTCGAGCCAACTGCAGTCAACTATTGGCCAATCAATAAACACGTGCATGGTATTACGCTTATTGATTGGCCCGTTTTGATTGACAGATGGCTCAACCCACTTGTGTATCTGTCTATTGCCTTTAAGGGCAAATACAAAGCAGGCAGAGAAAGGTCATCTATAACTGGCAACAGCTGTTTAGCTTGAAATGAGGCCTTCTTTTCTATTGACTCTAGACGGACGTGACAATGAAGAAGTGCACCCTATCTCTCATATTTAAAGCAAGAAATAAACGTATAGCAATAAATTTCCGCGTACGAAGAAAATTTACCTACTTCACACAGTATTTATAACTGTCTACAACATCTGAGAAATTGGTATTAACAATATACGAATTAGTAGATTATCCAATCAGAATACGATAAGCGTGTTAGGGTGTAAACGAATTAATCTAAATACTCCTTACGCGCACATAATAATCACCTAAGAGTCGTGTTGCTACAAACACGAGCACAAATAAATATAGTTACCTCAGTAACTGCTCAACAACGATAAAACTAAAATAGCAATTCGCGGAACACTGAGATATAACGCGGGTTTTCCCGATAGCATCTAAAGAGTACCAGTATTCTTCGTACACAGCGACAGGATACCTACCTTTTAGTTCCAGGTTTTGTTTAGGCCTATAAGGAAAACTTCTTGTTGTGTTTAGGCGGGACACGTAGTGTCCTTTTGGCGGAAATTTATTTTTGCCAATCACCGACCGTAAAATTTTTATTTATTCGGTCAGGCAGGCATGGATCAATCAATACACAACGGTAATGAACAAGCTAACTCACTTTAGGTTGTAGTAGTTATGATGTGGTAGCCTAGAGGGGATTATTTCTGATTTTGAATTTGTCGGCTGAGACCCGTGGTCATTGTGGTCACTTTCCATACTTGTCCGTCCTCAGGCAGTGTACCTGATAATCTGTCTTTGTTTTGATTCAATTCGGGAGCATTCACATGTGAATTTAAAACAAAAGATCGCTTGCGATTTGCGAACGAGGTGAAAAAGGTATGTCAGGTGACCACAGGTAGGATCATTTGCACATTCGTAAGTGTTATAATGTACTTATTTACTGTACTGATATGCCTGTCAAATTTTCACAGACGATAATAGCGTTTATGCAGAAGTTCTTATGCTTCGTTGTAGTTTCTATTCGATATTGGCAAACCTGCGATGGTTTTCTGCGGCGTTTCCTTCCAATGCTTGTTGCAAGTACTTAAATTTATCGATGTCTGCAAGGCTTGAACACTCGTGTATTGTTGATGAAAAGCTTTCCCAAAAGCTTGTCCACTGCGTTATGTCTCCATCAAACGAGGGTAAGCTTAGTTTCTGAAGTTTATCTTTGATGTTATCCCTTGAATGACTGCTGCCGAAACTGCTATCTAAATTTGCTTGCAAGTTTGTGGTTGGTTCTGGTTGCGATTTCTCTACAAGTGCATTTGCTATAAGGTAAAGAATGTCTTCGACTTCCGATTCCAGTTCACTGCGATCTACAATCTCCTTCCCCATTGAATCACTATCACAACTTTCCAAAATTTCATTATCGATTTCTTGTACAGTAGTACGTTTGCGTTCTATAATGTTTCTTATTGCTTCTAATTTAGGCTTAAGCTCCACGTTTAGTTCAGCTCCAGATGGTGGCAATAACTCCTTTGCTTTGTTGATGTTATTTCTTAGAACCAGGCGATGTCCGTTTCTAGTAAGTACAAGTTTTCGATGAAGTTATTTTTCCGCCATTGTCGTTACCTTCCCGGGTCACGGCACCAAAAATGCTGTAAATTATTCTAATGTGATGTATGCGTACTTTAAACGTACACGAAGGTCTCTGATCCTTACATCTGAAAAGTAAAACACGCAAAGAAAAGACGATGGTTATAAGTTTAATCCATGACGTTGAAACGAACAGGCGAATGCATATATATACTACATAATACTATACGATGTTTAAACAAACTGACTTCTGATTGACTATACCCAGCAATCATGTCCTAAGAAGTCATAGGGTGTTCGCATGTAACCGTTTACTTAGTTTTGGATTGAATTGAATTATAAGTTAGTTGTTGTTGATGTATTCTGTTACAGTTGAGTCGAAAAATATAAAGAGAGTCTTTTATCTTGTATCCGCCTGCGGTAATTCATTACCGTAAGGTGACGTGACAATCAGATTGAGAAAAGTTTAGTGACAAGGCCCAGTTTTGCAAACGTGCTTTGAACCAGGAGGATGTCCGTGTCTGCAATATGTCGAGCTTCAAGAGCGTTGTCTCAGAAAATTATTCTAACGGCAAGGCGTTCTATATCCAGCCAAACAATTGCTGCCTCAGTTCGCACCCTTGCAAGCCAGGTAAGTTGGTGCTCTTTCTATCAACGGTGAACCACGAACTTATTATGTCTGTGGCCCACGCCAGGGAGTTTCTTTAAGGATTTTGCCGTAGTGGGCATAACTCAAAACAGCCACGCTAACGACAAGAAATTGTACGGTGCTTCAAATTGTAATATGCTTACGTTTTCTCTAAAAAAATTCAGGTGTTGTTGCGACAGTTAAATGGGGTGTTCCCCTATATTTCTAAATGGGATGTTCCCCCCATTATGTAATTGTTCCACATATACATACTATGAATTCTTGCTAAGACCATTAAACCACAGTTTTATTTATCATTTAAGTCACAGGATTAATTTGCTGATAATAATCTTTAAAAAAATATTGTTCATTCTTCAAACTTTTTTATTTGGGGCTAACATGTTCCCGGGAAGTTATTCTCGTCTTGAAAATACGAGAAGGTTCCCAAGGCTAAATGGTTTAAACCTTAAAAATTTTGGTTAGGCTGGTTGTTAGGTGGTTATGCAAAATTCCCTGTCTATAAAATATCTATTCTGTAGAAACATGTAATCAAGCTGCAGTATTTATTTTGATTTCTTCTTGAGAACATTGTAAGAGTTGAATTGACTTAGTTTTAGTATCGCATTAACTTTATTTTAGCATTATTTCTTGCTATTTAACCCACCTAAGACTGGAAACAACAGTATGACTATAGTATGAAGAATCTATTAAACAACTGAGCTTTCTGGTCATTAGGACTCTAGGCGGTCAGCAGAGCCAAAGAAGATGCCCCAAAATTCAAAAATCCTTCTAGCACAGTGTGTCTCCTGGGCATGTCTGTGCAGGGGAGGTGACATGGGCTGGACTGAGAAACTAAAATGAAGATTATCTATAGAACACAGCTTATTATGCTAAACAGTTGGTTCTTAGAGTGTGGTTATTACCATCCTCCCTTGTTAAATGATTTTAGCAATGATTAAGTTTAAAACTTGCACCCAAACATTTTTTAGACAGCAAGGATAATAAAGTTGCACCAATTTATCAGCTCCTCCCTTTCATTGTCTACCCTGTCTTTTTGGGGCTGGTGCCACCCGTGTCTGCTGGCCCCTTCAGGTGGTACCCTCTACACAAGAGACTAATAGTTTTGACTGTTAGTTTTGGTACATGAGTGTTTCGAATTTGTTTAGTTGTTCCCAACGAACAAGTTGAACCAAACAAAGGTAAATCTTTCATCTGGTGCCCTTAGGTTCCTCTCAAAAGTACCAAATGATCTCCACAGTTCCAAAGAGAATGAATTCCCCATTTTTACCCAAGTGCAGGGCCCTTTGGCTTTTCTTTATACAATTTCAATATTTTTAGCTGCAAAGATTGGTTTTTAAGACTCTGTCCATTTTGTATGTGAGTTGGTCCAACTTGTCCTGACACTTCCTTAAAAATTTCTATTTTAGTTTCAGGAATGATGTTTGACAATTTCGAAATGCTTTGCTTTGGTAATTTTGAAATATGAAATAATTGCAAGATATCATCATGAAATATGAAATAATGTTATCCCCCTTATAGGGACTCACTAATGAATTGGCAGTTTTAGCTTTCATTGAACAACTTTAGCTTGTGCTGGTCAGCATTAGAACCATGTGATTGTCACAAGTTGCTGTCAAAATAATGTTGTTAATCAAAGTGGAAATCTGGTCTTTGTAAGAGCAATGGAAAAGGATTAACCAAGATAGAATACATGCACCACTTTGGTTATGTGTAGCAGATTGAGTTTTTTCCAGATGCTACCCCACCCCCTGATTTTAAAAGCTTTGTCATGAAAAGTGTTTAAAAAACTTTTTTTCAAGTGGAATGGAAATAGCAGGCAATCCACATATTTTCAGGGGTGGATCATAAAATATCAGAGTCATGTTAGGTAGGATAAAGGAGGTCTGGGCGTCATTCCCAGAGAAAGTTTTCCAGGGCCACATTCTAAAGATTACCACAGAATGGCCCTGGAGTAATCTGATATCTCAGTATTTTCATTTGATATTTTGAAATGATCTATGCTGCTCAGTAAAGCCATTGATGCTCAAAATACAAAATGTATAGACTAGCATTTTTCAATTATTTGGGAAACTTCAGTCTGAATTTCTCTCAATAGAAAATTAATTTCAATACATTTCAATCCAACATGTCCATATGTCCCACACTTCAAAATGACTAAATATATAGGAAGGGGGGGGGGGTCAAAAAAAGAAATTTAGTCATATACAAAAATATAAGAGTGGCCTCATGCTAAATTAAAGTCTGAAGTCAAAATTTTATGAAATGCTTCAAGAGTTTTTGCAGAAATAAATGGTGTGCACGCATTTGAGAACAATTCTAAGGTTGCATTTTGCCCACTGGAAGTTTGCTGCACACATTGGACCAAAATTGAATGTGCATCTATGACATGCTGTTCTCGAGAAATCTGACTTTAAACTTCTCAAATGATTCTGATTTTTCAATATCAATTTTCATGCCTTGTTGCATGGGTCTGTCACATAAGATTCCTGGCAACTGTGCCGCGACTTCGAATTTGTTTACATGTAGGAAATAATTATATCTGTATTTGGAGTCTACGAATAAAACAGCTTTTGTGAATCTCAAGCAACTTGCTGCACATTTGAAATCAATTAAAAGCTTCTATTAAACAAAGAACATATACTTGCCTGTAGCCACCCACTGCGATTCAGTGCATGCCTTTTCAGTTAAAGATCTTTCAGAAACTCTTCTGGAAAATTGTATGGTCATATCGTACAGAAAAGTTTTGATTCTTCTTTAAATGCCTGCTAAACTGTTTAATATTTCATTCAAAGTTTGCAAATTGTGTCACCCACCCAATCTGGCATTTCTTTAAGGGCTGATTTTGTTCAATGCTGTTCATATGATAACTCTTTGGCCTCAACTTGGTAGCTGCTCACAATTATATGTAGTCTGCCTCAAAATGACCACCCATGTTGGGGTTAGAATATCTATGACCATAACATTTTAACCCCAACTCGGGTGGTTTTTTGGTTCTGATATTCATCAATAAAATCAAGGTTAAGCCAGCAGAGTAGGCATGGGAAATTTTCCTTATTCCTAAGCAACAGTTTTCTTAGATTGCCAGATGAATTGAGCTCATAGATAGATTTGATTGCAGGCACATGATGCAAAAGCTCACTCGCAAGATCCTGCAAAAGCAAATTATGAAGCAAGGTGCGATCTAGCAGCATGTTACAGAATTCTTTATAACCTTGGATTCAGTGAAGGCACGTGCAACCATTTGTCACTCTCTTGCCCTGCCAAAGACGGCTCTGGCAAAGTGATGCTCATAATCCCATATGGTCTTTATTGGACAGAGGTAACTGCTTCCTCACTCATTGGGGTAAGCCTGAAGGAGCCTAAAAACCCTGTAGTCGTGGAAGAAGGTTGTGGCCCGCCTGACATTTCTGCCATGTGTATCCATAATGGAATACACCAAACACGTGCTGAGAGTGGAATCACATGCGTACTGCATTCACATGTTCCTTATGCCACTGCCCTGACCTGCATCAAAGATCAGAAACTAGAAATGACTCACCAGAACTCAACCAGGTTTTATGAGGAAATCTGCTATGATAATGGCTATGACGGAGTTGCTACCAGCTTAGATGAAGGGTTTCGACTTGGGAAAGTTCTCAATGATAAGACAGTGATGATGATGGGTAATCATGGTGTCCTTGTTCTTGGTAGAACGGTGTCAGAAGCAGTGGATCATATGTATTACCTTGAAAGGGCAGCACAAGTTCAGGTATGTATTTGAGTACCATGGTTGTTCGGGAAATGACACCGTAATTCCTTTGTTTTGAAACAATACCATCTTAAACCAATCAGTGTTACAGGGTTATTGCACATGCGCATTAACAACAGTATTCTCAGGGCTGTTTTGTCTGTTACCACAGAACTCTTGAACTTCCTGCCCCTTTATGCGCATGTGCATGGCTGGAAGACAGGCATAATTCATCTCCCGAACAAATGACATCCTCGAGCTTGAATTTTAAATAACTTAAAGGAGAACTGACACGTAAAAATAAGCTCATTCAATACTGTCTGTCAATCCGTACGCTGGGGTCGATCCCGTAGAAATTTTTTGTGCCCCAATTCACTCTTCATAATCGTTAACTACATCATTATGCAAATCAGAAAAATGAGGGTGGACATCTAGGCACATGGTAGGTTTTCTGGAAATTACGTCGAAGGATGGACCCAATTTGGCTGCCTTTTCGATAACGTCAGTATACACAAACAAGTATGATTGAGGCTGGGAAAGTGAATTAATGGGGTGGAGGAAACACGCAAGCGAGGTAGGTAATAGGTAATAGGTAGTAGGTAATAGGTAATAGGTAATAGGTAATAGGTAATAGGTAATAGGTAATAGGTAGTAGGTAATAGGTAATAGGTAATAGGTAATAGGTAATAGGTAATAGGTAATAGGTAATAGGTAATAGGTAATAGGTAATAGGTAGAGAGAGAGAGAGAGAGACAGAGAGAGAGAGAGAGAGAGAGAGAGAGAGAGAGACAGAGAGAGAGACAGAGAGAGAGAGAGAGAGAGAGAGAGAGAGAGAGAGAGAGAGAGAGAGAGAGAGAGTTAGCGCTTCGAAAAGCGGTGTCAGAAATCTAGCCTAGTTAGCCTTAATTCCGGCATAGATTTATATGAAATAAACAACACTAGTTTTAATTTTAAAAAGACTGTATTCTTTATAAAAAATTACTAATACGTAATAACAACTGACATAGATTCGCTCTGACTTAGATTATACTAGCTAGTACTCATTCTAGAGTCCAGTGTGCCTCTAGCACAAAAATTGCTTCTAGGCTCCTATAGGTTTGAATTTATACTATTTCTAAATATAGTTCCAGAAGGCATTACATAATGTGTTTTATGAGAAAAATTACATCACAGGTGTTGGAGACACACGCCTGGAGCTGGACACTACGCGTGATGTCAACGTGATCAGTGTGTGGGGGAAATTACTTGACATTTCGTGACCCTTTCGTTATAGCCATATTTGGTAATATGTTGACGTTTTGTTTTGTTGGTAGTTTTAAGGCATGCGCCAGGTCTTGCAGTCAGTTAGGGCGTAACATAGTTTTAGAGAGAGATGTTGCCGATTAATTAAATAGACGTAATTTTAACCGAGAAGTTGACGCCGTATTAGTAAATAGAATAAGTTAAAGTTAAAGAGAAAAAGGCAAGACGTGGAGTAGCAGAAATCAGACGAGTTAAAATTAGAGTTTTGTTCATGTTGCTGAACTGGTTGTTTTCTTCGTGCGGTGTTGAGAGGTCGTAAGTTTATTTTATCATTTATTTTCCTTTTACATTTACAGTAAAACCCTATAGCAAAAGTGCGGTTTAAGACAGGTGAATCAATAGAAGAATCGCATAAGATAACATGATCATAAAGGGAAAATTCCTCTTTAAATATACTTATTACGTCACCACCATAAAGAAAAAATACAAATGTTACCACGCAGAGTTCTAGAATAATCTAGTTGCGAAAATGTCAATTTTGTCTGTCGATGTAATCACTTAAAATAAACAATATAATGTTTACTCTCAATGTTTATTTAGCGCTAATAATTTCAGACAGCGGTATTACAAACAAAACCAATCATAACAGGTTTTGAGTTAGGTTTTCTGACTACTTTGGAAGTGATCATCCGAATAAAGTGAATCAACGTTTCTAGGCTTGAATATAAAAGTTACCAATTGCTCAAATTATAAAATAATTCTGCGCATGCGCAGCGCTTATATTATGATTTTCAACTTTGCACTTATCTAAGATGATGGAACTCTTTGCGCATTCAAAAATGAGAGCCTCGTTATATCAATTTTTTGCAGATGTTGTAGATGTGAGAACCAACGTAATTGGAAGAATGTTAAACGCGACATTTCAAGTCCAAGCAATCAACGAAACTGTTAAGAAACAACAAACATGGCCGGTAAATGCTCAGATTTGGGCCCCACGCCCGCGCGCGCAAAAAATGTCAAATGGAAATCGGCCTTAAGTGAACTTTTTTGGAAACGGTCTCGTTGAGCATGAAGAAGTAAACTCAAATGGATACGAATCTTTTTGGAACCGGTCTCGTGTAAACAGGGTCTAAATGTGCTGTCGTTTTTTATCTTGTTTAACGTGCATAAAACACGAAACCGGCAAGAGGCGATATTGCGTGACCGTTGCGTCGTGATGAATTTACTGACTAATAAGAACACGTGAAACGAGGGGACCCTACAAAAGTGTTGTTGATTACGTTACTGTGGATAAAGAGACAGTGTGACCAGATCTAGCATAATATTATGCTTTTGGCATTATTTTGGCCAAAAATCGTCCTTTAGCATAAAATCTGGCATCGTTGGAAATCTAGCATAATTCTGGCATAATTTCAATATTTGATAAGAAAATCATTGTTTCCATTGATAAGTGCACGGCTGTCTATCGTAACTGCATGCAAATACATTACACCCGCATGTGTGGCTATTATTATGTGAGTAAATTGTGACGCCATCATCATGTGACGTCCGTCAAGTGAGGCAGTAGCGAAACAGAGGCTCATGGAGTAAGTCTACATCTGGTCTACTCATATCAAACTATTTGCAACGTATGTTTACAAGCATAGCGTGATTCTCGAACTTACCACTCTAACGACCATCCTCGCAAACACTTCCACTTGCACTGACTCGGCTCTAACTCGAACTGACGCAAGAGCCGTAACCATTACTATTTCACAACACTCATAATTCGAACACAAAAAGGCAACTTAGATCTATGGTTTTGACAGCCAACTTTCTTTATTTTGGCCTTTTTTCAAAACCGCTTGGCGGCCGTCACAAATTAATTTGGCTTTTTGCACGAAGGAAACAAAACTTTTTGCACACATAGTATTCAACATTTTTTAAAACAATTTCAAATGGCGAAACATGAAACCAAATAAAAGATAACAGACAATTTAAGGTAAGCGCAAGTGAAAACTTTTGTAATCTACAAAGCAAATTTTAATTACACTATCACTCCCCACAATTTGGAAAAAATTAGCTTTTTGTATATTTTGTTTAGCTGGCTGAATTTGGCAGCCACCAGTAAAATACTTAGCTGCCAATCATTCCAAACATCTGGCATCCCTGAAAGTAGAAAGTTTGCAATTTACTACAAAAATGATAGCGCTACATGCTGATATAAAGTGTCTGCATTTGGTACTGATAGACAACAAATCGATGGAAACAATGATTCTTTTAAAAATATCAAAATGATGCCAGAGTTATGCTAAATTCTAAGTTATGCTAGATCTTGTGCTAAACGATGACTTTGGCCAATATTATGCAAAAAGCATAATATTATGCTAGATTTGGTCACGCTGCTCTGCAAGACAGCCCCAACATGTACAGCATTCGTTGTTGACTTTCAAGTCATCCACCAGAAAGATGAAAGCACATGAAAAGTCCGATTTTGTGCATATTGCAGGAATGCCTTTGACTTCTTGGAAAAATCTGTTGAAAATACACACTCTTACCAGACTGTCAAAATACAGTAGAACACTCTAGCTTATTACTTCATATCATTCTAGTATATTCGTAGTATTAGTCCAATTCTTTTTTTGCAAAATAAATACTTCCGCTTTCTCGAATCTTCTGGAATGATGATTTTCTAGAAACTTCTAGAACATGACAATAAACATACAAAAAAGCATTTCTGTACTAGGTTAGTAAGTCATTAATATTATTATATCTGCGGTAATAAAACTGCGTTTGTCTGTGAATACCTTCAACAAAATCTTGATTTGAAGCTCTACTAGCCCCAAGAGAATTTCTGCATATTTGACCAGTACAAAAAGCTTTCAATCATAGATTCTGAAAGAAGGACAAAAAGAGGAAACCCATCCTTTCGATCTTTTCGCAATCAATACAAACACACAAATACCAGTATAGATGAAGTCATTCTGGGCATGTTGTGCCACAAGCAGAAGCACCTTTCATTGCTTCACAATTCTTAGCCTGATGTCCAGAGAGTGGTCACTGACATTCTATAAAATCATGTCTACACTCTCTTTCTATGGACGGTGGGAATAGTTGAGAAAGTACAGCATCAAGCTCCAGGTTAATAATGAAAAAGCTGACTGCCAAACCATACCGCATGCAATGCAGGACACTAGATTGTTGTGCTGCCAACTGCCAAACACGTTGATGTCTTTATGTTATGCTACTGGGAACCGTTTCAAGCACATGGCCTTGCAGAGGACTAGGTGAAAATGGTGATAGGAGGCACACAAGTTTCATCCGGAGTTCTAAATAGATCAGCAAGTTTCATTGGTGAAATGATGTTCAGCATACCACCTGTATTATATGCATTAACTGGAAATGATTATACATGCATGGTGGATGTGAACAAATCAGCCATGGAAAGTAGTCCCGAGAAATACCCAGATGACTTTGATATGACTGCAAACTCTGATGCTTTCGAACACAACAGCATGTAAATGTCGGAGCACAACAATTGAAGACGCATGCAAGAATCTGTCAGGTTTTATTCATTAAACTTTACGATAAAAGTTATTTGCATTTTGCTTGGAAATGTCGTGTTTGGTTGGCTGAGACATGCCATGTTAGCTATTTTTTATCAATTTCGCTGATTGTTTGGACTTGAAATGTCGGGTTAAACGTTTCTTTAATTACGTTGGTTCTCACATCTGCAACATCTGCAAGACATTGATATAAACAAGACTCTTATTCTTGAATGCGCAAAGAGTTTCATTATCTTAGATTAATGTAAAGTTTTTGAGGACCATAACATAAATTTTGCGCATGCGCAGTATAAATTTATTAAAATTTACGATGGGTAATTTGTTCCTTCAATAGTAGAAACGTTTATTCACTTCATTCGGATGCCCACTTCCAAAGAAAAGGGTCAGAAAACCTCGCACAAAACCTGTTATGATAGGTTTCGTTAGCAAACAAGTGACCAAAAAGGGTCCATCTTTCGACGTGATTTCCAGAAATTCTCCCAACGGGGAAGTCCTACAACGCGCCCAGCTGTCCAGCCTCGTTTTTCCGACTTGCATAATGATGTAGTTAACGATTATGAAGAGACTCGGGAAATTCCTCTTCGGGAAATTCCCGAATCTATTACGATACAGGCAACATTCTACGTTGACGTCGCAAGTGACATGGTAACAATGCCATTGTAAAGGCTTTCACCACAACGGTTAAAGTTAAAGTGGAAATTCGCATTTTACTGAAAATAATGCAATAAGAAGACAAAAATTCGCCAGGCATGTCATTTATAAGTATAAAGAAGCTAGAAAATCCTAAGGTCTGATAGTTTTGAACCAGCATGCTTGGAAGAACCTCTAAGCTTATGAAAAACAGGAGGCGACTTTGTTTGAAAACTGAGGCCTTTTTTCCAAAGTTTAATTTTCTATTACTACAAATAAAATCGCAACAGCGGGGGGATTGGAGCAATAGCCAAAAGACAGCGGTAAAAGAGACCCTGCAATCTGCATGAAAACATACTATACTAACCTTTTTGGACGCAGAAATAAAACTTCAAGAAAGAACGTTGGTTCATGGGAGCTGCTAGACTTTAAAAATTCTTCTACTGAAAATAATTTTTACATTTTAACAGAGGATGAGACACTAGGGAATAACTTAGTCTTGCAAAAAAACCATCCCCCATCCAAGTCAAAACTTTTTGCAAAAGAAGATTATGCGCCAGTTAATATTCCTATGACATCTAAACAGCAACTCAAATGCTTTGACTAAGAACTCAGATACTTTGACTAACAGCTAGGGGCCTATTTCGTAATTCCAGATTTTCGACTACTTCAAACACTTCTCAGTTCCCAAAACCCGCCACACCCAGTGAAAATGGCATATCATCTGCACAAGTACGGCTTTCAATTCACTTTTAGTATTTAATATCACAAGTACCGCCATCGACATATTAAAAACAAATCATATAATGTTAAATTTATGATGAATAACTTGCGTTTCAGTTTAGGTCATAACCCTAACACACCTTCATCTTTGTATGAAATCGAAAATTTTTCATTAAACTTCCGTGTTCCCAATTATAGGCCAATCTCCTTTGGGCGAAATTTTTCGCTTTTTCGCCGGCGAAAGGTTATGAGCATGCGAATTTGAATATTTTTCGTTGCCTGTGCTGTGCACGACGTTCGCTTTGACAGCTCAAACTGTTTGAACTTTTTCTCTGTTGCTGGCGAATTTGAAGTCCTATGTACTTATAGCAAAATGGCTGAGTCCCAAAGCAGCTTAGTGTTGGATGAGGAAATAACAAATTTCTTGTTACAAGTACATTACATGTTTCTTTTATAATCCTATCAACAGTTCTGGGGTTAATCCTATAGCTCTTGCCAACTGATACATGCGAATAACCAGAAACAAAGTAAGAGTCACACATAGTGTATCGTAAGCATCTATTGGTTTGCGAAACTTCGATTCGTTCACTAGATATGGAACCACCAAAGACAACAATTGCTCAAAATTTGCATACGAAAAATAGTAAAAAATAGTTGGTAGTCATATAATTGTAGATCTATAACCAGATTTGTGTAAGCTCCTTTGCTCTCTCGCTCTTGGTAGAATTTACGTACCAAAAACCTTTTATTTGATTTTGGTTTTATTGTTTTGCGTTTCAACAAATAAAGCAAAATCAAATTATTTGTACTCTCATCCGACATCTTGAAATCGTGCTTTCTATTTGGCAAGCAAAGCCATTGTGAGCTGGAGATTAAGGAACATGCAGTTTTCCCTTTTCGTCAGCGCAAAAGCGAAAAAATTTTGCCTTTTGGAGATTGGCCTTTATAAACAGTACCACAAGCACTCAAAGTGGTCACAAGAGCATGGCCGCTGCGATTTCTCAGCGGCCGCACTTTTAGAACAGTAGATGCGCGCACTGATCTATAAAAAAGTCTTTTTTATAGATCAGTGGATGCGCGATCCAATTTTTTCAGATCAGTGAAAGGGATACAGCCAATAATTGCTAACAATGAACCTTTGCGCTACGCAGGCATCCCAAAATGCATTTCCAGACATTATTAAACCGATTTTGGTCGGTCCGTAGAAGTTGACCGCAATTGTTTGGATCTCTGCATTGGATATTTCTATGTAAGTAGACCTATCAAAGTGCAGACTTACATTGGGGTGGTTCAACGCACGGGTCACACTCCTTTATTGTTACAGGTGTCGTTTCTTACATCAATCTAGACGAACCAGCCCCTAAAGAAAACTGTTTGATTCTGCTTAGCAGCGTGTCGGTTTGCTGCGTGAAGCGGTCGATAGGTTTACCATGACATGTTCGAATCAAACTTTTACTTGTCTTTAGGTACTGGCCATGTCAACTGGAAAAGATCTGTCTCTGATTCCTGAAAAACTCGTGAAACAAAACAAGCAGTATATAAAGGAGACCTTTCGCTACTACGCAGACAGCCATTTCAATGCCTTGAAAAGGACAATCGAAAACGAAACTCCGTGCTATAGAGATTAAAGACTGTTCCTGCCTTCATTGTTTTAGAGAATTTGCTGTATGAAGTAATCAATTAGATTTTCTTGAATGCATAATGTGGCACTAGGCCATTGCCTCTGTGTTTCTAGACAGCCTAGGAATTAATACATTGAAACCTCACCCGGTGCTAATTTCTGCTAACGCGAAGATGTAAAGCGTGTTGAGCTTGTTATGAATCAGTAAAGTTTCCGTGCTCAAAACCTGCAGTTTTTTTAGAAATTGTGGACAAAAAATTATGACGTCACAATATGAATAAAAAAAATTGCAGTACAAAACTCTTTCTACTTTTTTCTGAAAGAAAACAAGATATTGGTATAGAAACATGATATTTTTGGAGAAATTTATCAAATTATAACAATTCTAAAAGCGATCTAAAAAGATGGATTAAAGAAATAAAGAAACGTCACCAAAGAGATGCAAAAGAAATAAATGTAGTGCAAAGCTCAAGTATGAAATTCAACCAAATGCCGCAATCCGCAATGAAGTAAAACCCAAAGACGTGGCAGCGATGGCAAAGCGTCACAAGACACCAAAAGGCATTTATTTATTATTATTTATTATTATTATTTATTTATTTATTTATTTATTGGCCTTTTTCGATCCACATCTGGGTATATATTTTTCCATCGTGTTTTTTCGGAACCTATTCTGACGTTTTATGCTCTGAGGAGTGTCAGACGAAAAAGCTTTTAGTATGTCGTAAAATGTTTGCTTTTTTCAAAGCCATTTTCAAATTCTGTACCGCAAAAAAATTGTTCAAAAGGCATTTACTTGCTTATACGAGAAGAAGGGCGACATTGCCAAAAGAAACTATCTTTTATTTTCCTACTCTGTTTCACAACAAGCTAATGTGTCAATTATAAACTTTTTTAAACATCTATTGACACATTGGAAGCATGTAACACTCTTCAAAGACAGTTTGTCTTTGCTCAATTCTTTGTTGATAACTATGCGTCCTTTGTTGATAAGACAACTTCTCGACTAATTTACAAGAAGTGGCACTATGGTCGCCGCAGAAGGGTTAAAATAAACTTCGATTACAAGTGATTCTAGTTCACTGGAAAATGCACTTTTTGAAACAATTCTACCTTTACAAAATAATTGGACGGGTCTTCTTCAGATCGGGACAAAATCTCTTCATTGTGCTAATTTGGACTTCGTTTGTTTTGTTATTTGTAGTCATAGTTATTTATCGCCTTATCGTTATTTATCGTTATTTATCGATTGTTTATGACTCCTTTTGTTATCTAATTGCACCTTTTGATTCACTAATCATTTCTTTTGGGATTTTAGTATCATTATTCGATTTAATTAGTCTTTGGAATAATATCTTTTGTATTAACTATTATTATCTTAATACATAACTATGTAGTATTTCAATTAGTTCTTGTTTATGTTATACTTTGGGCGTGTTATTTTACAGAGTTAGTTGGAGTTGGAGATGGAATTATGGTTAAGAGCGATTAGGTTAAGATTTGATTCTATGTATGTTTAGGTTCTCGACGATGTATTAATGTTGCAAGATCCTTTTTAAAGATCTAGTCGACATGAATTATTTTTTTTATAGAATACGTATCAATATTTATGGATTCGCGTGTGATGATTTGGATTATTCTCTGAAAATTCCCTAGAAAGAAATATTACGTCAACCCCTATTATCATAAATTAATTGGGAGTGACCATCCCATTAATCATTCTGAAAACTGTACATAGTTATTCTGTTTATCATACCTTTCCCGCCTTTTGGAGACAACATGATACTATTTAAAACTGCCGAATATTTCTTGTGGTCCCTATTTGTTGGTTGGCCCAGTGGAAAGTACGGTGCGGCTAACACGGCCAAAGTTATTATCCTATCTCTTAAATCAAAGCTATTGTTTACATTCCCTCTCTCTCTCTTTCTCTTGGCCTAACTGACAGCAATTGTTTAGCCTGCGTCAATTATAAGGATGTGACGAACTGCAATGTTTTAGAGAAGACAACTTCAAGTCATTTACTTCGGTATCTTATGTGAACGGAACGACGTACTCATTACAATAGTATTTACAATCACACCTTTAATATAAGCCTTAGTAAAGAAATAAGAGAAACGTGTGTATAAAAGTAGTCTGGGACTAGCCCATCCAAGAGTATCAGTTGTACTATCTGATTCCGAGTCGTTGTCCTAAAAGCACTTCGGACTATCATTCGGGTTCATATGCGATGTTACCAACATCTTGTTCGTTGGAACGATTAACTCTAAGAACTATCAAGTCATTGGGTATTGCAATGTTTACATAACTGGTTTTTGCAGCCCTGCTGAACTGGACTTCCATCCATGCGATAAAGGAGATAAAGGAGGCGCTGCTTCGTGAAAATGTCTCCAAATGTAACATTGCTAATTTGTTCTTCGACAAAGTTGTACCACTCTAGTGCTTGACAATTTTCAAGTGATTTTCATTGCCTAACAAAACAGCTTTTGGACGTATCATTTCCTATCCTTAATGGGGAAAACGTGTAAATTTTCCTGGATTCTTCAAACTTTGGTTGCAAAATGTCCTCAACTTTCTAATGGTTGGTGTGTTTTCGCCCTTTTCTGCTTATTGCATCTAAATTATGTATTTTATTTTATTCTTTTGTGGTGTGTAAAAATATGTACTTGTATGCAAATGCATTTCCAGATTGGAATTTGTATCAGTTTTAATGGAAATTTTAATCGAGACACACTTAATCCTATTTTTTAAAGTGTCATCTATGTTATGGCAATAGAACTAGTTACATTTGTTGCTAGAACAATCATGCAACTTTTGTGCTACCTTTGTTTTGAATATGTCGATCTATCGACGAATCCTTAATCATTCAAAACAATGTGGTGTATTCGTCCTGAAATGTTGCGGGGGCAGTGTTGACATTTGCTGTAACCCCTGTGATTCGCGCACATGGCAAGTACATTTTTCCCCTATGCTACAGGAATTCAAACTCAAATTTCGAAAACGAGATTAATATCGATTACCATGTCATGTGACCACAGAATAGAAAGGGACATTTGCGAAAATCTAGTGACAAGGCCCAGTTTTGCAAACGTGCTTTGAACAGGAGGATGTCCGTGTCTGCAATATGTCGAGCTTCAAGAGCGTTGTCTCAGAAAATTATTCTAACGGCAAGGCGTTCTATATCCAGCCAAACAATTGCTGCCTCAGTTCGCACCCTTGCAAGCCAGGTAAGTTGGTGCTCTTTCTATCAACGGTGAACCACGAACTTATTATGTCTGTGGCCCACGCCAGGGAGTAGTGGCCCACGCAGTACTAGGGTATTTCTCAAATTAGACACGCTAACGACAAGAAATTGTACGGTGCTTCAAATTGTAATATGCTTACGTTTTCTCTAAAAAAATTCAATCATGTTGGTAGCGCTCGGGGTCAAATAGGGAACGGGGTTAAATAGGGAAATCGGGGTCATATAAGGAAATCGTTAATAACTCCAAATATTGGACTGATATCTCAAAACAAACCTCAGAATCGGATTCGGCATGCTTCAAACTACCCATAATATGATTTTTTAATTCAACTACGGTAATTTTAGCAGTATAAATCGCAATGTTTTGCTTCTACGTTAGCTTGAGGCTGGCTACGGGAGCAAATAGACAAAACTTGTTAAAAAAGCACCGTTTTAATTCAAAATATATAGCAAAAGGTAGTAATCGCAAAGAAAAATACACACTCTTTTCATATCAATCCAAATTTCAAACATCCAGCTCCAAGATTACAAGATTTCTCAAAATAAATCAGCTGAGTGATCGACGCGCTCGGGGTCAAATAAGGAAATCGCTGTTTGGGGTCAAATAGGGAAATCTTCAAAAACAGCAAGGAAAAAACACGAAACAGGGAACTAACCTCATTTCAGCACGTAAAATCGTCAAATCTATCCTTAACACCATTTAGCATGCTAGAAATCAAGGTATATCATTTGATAAATTCATATCAAGTCAATGCATCACATAAATTTAGGCCCGTGTTTACAGATAGATCTCCTTCGCACTTCGTACTATGAATTGTTGCTAAGACCATTAAACCACAGTTTTATTTATCATTTAAGTCACAGGATTAATTTGCTGAATAATATTCTTCATATTCTAAATATTGAAAAATAATCTTCAAAAAAATATTGTTCATTCTTCAAAACTTTTTTTTGGGGCTAAGATGTTCCCAGGAAGTTATTCTTGTCTTGAAAATACTTTTCCGACCACATCTTTGAAATCAGTATGGCACCAATAATCAGTGCTAAAATGTATTATGATTTATGTTATTTGATGCAAAACGAAATAACTATTAGGTCAAACTATAAGGAAATGTGCAACCTTAAAGAGAATTTGGCCCACTCCAACTGTTTTTCAAACTCAATGAAAGTTTACATCATTAATGTAAAGGCCACTGATCATTTTAAGCCCTGGAAAAATTCTTGTAATTGACCGAAAGTTGCATTTATGGAAGCATGAAAAATGCACAGTCAGCAAAATTTCGACTTTCAAATTTTTCAAATCTGATGATACCATCAGATAGAGCTTGTAACGTGAATGTGACTTCCAGTCTTCTGCCAGAAGGTTCCCAAGGCTTAATGGTTTAAACCTTAAAAATTTCGGTTAGGCTGGTTGTTAGGTGGTTATGCAAAATTCCCTGTCTATAAAATATCTATTCTGTAGAAACATGTAAGTCAAGCTGCAGTATTTATTTTGATTTCTTCTTGAGAACATTGTAAGAGTTGAATTGACTTAGTTTTAGTATCGCATTAACTTTATTTTAGCATTATTTCTTGCTATTTAACCCACCTAAGACTGGAAACAACAGTATGACTATAGTATGAAGAATCTATTAAACAACTGAGCTTTCTGGTCATTAGGACTCTAGGTGGTCAGCAGAGCCAAAGAAGATGTCCCAAAATTCAAAAATCCTTCTAGCACAGTATGTCTCCTGGGCATGTCTGTGCAGGGGAGGTGACATGGGCTGTACTGAGAAACTAAAATGAAGATTATCTATAGAAAACAGCTTATTATGCTAAACAGTTGGTTCTTAGAGTGTGGTTATTGCCATCCTCCCTTGTTAAAGGATTTTAGCAATGATTAAGTTTAAAACTTGCACCCAAACATTTTTTAGGCTGCAAGGATAATAAAGTTGCACCAATTTATCAGCTCCTCCCTTTCATTGTCTACCCTGTCTTTTTGGGGCTGGTGCCACCCGTGTCTGCTGGCCCCTTCCGGTGGTACCCTCTACACAAGAGACTAATAGTTTTGACTATTAGTTTTGGTACATGTATGTTTCGAATTTGTTTAGTTGTTCCCAACGAACAAGTTGAACCAAACAAAGATAAATATTTCATCTGGTGCCCTTAGATTCCTCTCAAAAGTACCAAATGATCTCCACAGTTCCAAAGAGAATTAATTCCCCATTTTTACCCAAGTGCAGGGCCCTTTGGCTTTTCTTTATACAATTTCAATATTTTTAGCTGCAAAGATTGGTTTTTAAGACTCTGTCCATTTTGTATGTGAGTTGGTCCAACTTGTCCTGACACCTCCTTAAAAATTTCTATTTTAGTTTCAGGAATGATGTTTGACAATTTCGAGATGCTTTGCTTTGGTAATTTTGAAATATGAAATAATTGCAAGATATCATCATGAAATATGAAATAATTTTATCCCCCTTATAGGGACTCACTAATGAATTGGCAGTTTTAGCTTTCATTGAACAACTTTAGCTTGTGCTGGTCAGCATTAGAACCATGTGATTGTCACAAGTTGCTGTCAAAATAATGTTGTTAATCAAAGTGGAAATCTGGTCTTTGTAAGAGCAATGGAAAAGGATTAACCAAGATAGAAAATATGCACCACTTTGGTTATGTGTAGCAGATTGAGTTTTTTCCAGATGCTACCCCACCCCCTGATTTTAAAAGCTTTGTCATGAAAAGTGTTTAAAAAACATTTTTTCAAGTGGAATGGAAATAGCAGGCAATCCACGTTTTTAGGGGTGGATAAAAAAATATCAGAGTCATGTTAGGTAGGATAAAGGAGGTCTTGGTGTCATCCCCCAGGAAAGTTTTCCAGGGCCACATTCTAAAGATTAGCATAGAATGGCCTTGGAATAATCTGATATCTTTGTACTTTGATTTGATATTTTGAAATGATCTACGCTTGTGGTAAAGCCATTGATGCTCAAAATACAAAATGTATAGACTAGCATATTTCAATTATTTGGGAAACTTCAGTCTGAATTTCTCTCAATAGAAAATTAATTTCAATACATTTCAATCCAACATGTCCATATGTCCCACACTTCAAGTTGACTAAATATATAGGAAGGGGGGTTAAAAAATAAATTTAGTCATATACAAAAATATAAGAGTGGCCTCATGCTAAATTAAAGTCTGAAGTCAAAATTTTATGAAATGCCTTAAGAGTTTTTGCAGAAATAAATGGTGTGCACGCAGTGGTGCTATCAAAATAGCAAGGGGGGCTCTTGCCCAAAATATTGCGAAAAACAATAGCAAAAGTAGTGATCTGCCAATTTTCGGCATCAACAAGGGGGGCTCAGCCCCCCCTGAGCCCCCCTTGCTCTACACCTCTGTGTGCACGCATTTTAGAACAATTCTAAAGTTGCATTTTGCCCACTGGAAGTTTGCTGCACACATTGGACCAAAATTGAATGTGCATCTATGACATGCTGTTCTCGAGAAATCTGACTTTAAACTTCTCAAATGATTCTGATTTTTCAATATCAATTTTCATGCCTTGTTGCATGGGTCTGTCACATAAGATTCCTGGCAACTGTGCCGCGACTTCAAATTTTTTTACATGTAGGAAATAATTATATCTGTATTTAGAGTCTACGAATAAAACAGCTTTTGTGAATCTCAAGCAACTTGCTGCACATTTGGAATCAATTAAAAGCTTCTATTAAACAAAGAACATATACTTGCATGTAGCCACCCACTGCTACTCAGTGCATGCCTTTCCAGTTAAAAGATCTTTCAGAAACTCTTCTAGAAAATTGTATGGTCATATCATACAGAAAAGTTTTGATTCTTCTTTAAATGCCTGCTAAACTGTTTGATATTTCATTCAAAGTTTGCAAATTGTGTCACCCACCCAATCTGGCATTTCTTTAAGGGCTGATTTTGTTCAATGCTGTTCATATGATAACTCTTTCGCCTCAACTTGGTAGCTGCTCACAATTATATGTAGTCTGCCTCAAAATGACCACCCATGTTGGGGTTAGAATATCTATGACCATAACATTTTAACCCCAACTCAGGTGGTTTTTTGGTTCTGATATTCATCAATAAAATCAAGGTTAAGCCAGCAGAGTAGGCATGGGAAATTTTCCTTATTCCTAAGCAACAGTTTTCTTAGATTGCCAGATGAATTGAGCTCATAGATAGATTTGATTGCAGGCACATGATGCAAAAGCTCACTCGCAAGATCCTGCAAAAGCAAATTATGAAGCAAGGTGCGATCTAGCAGCGTGTTACAGGATTCTTTATAACCTTGGATTCAGTGAAGGCACGTGCAACCATTTGTCACTCTCTTGCCCTGCCAAAGACGGCTCTGGCAAAGTGATGCTCATAATCCCATATGGTCTTTATTGGACAGAGGTAACTGCTTCCTCACTCATTGGGGTAAGCCTGAAGGAGCCTAAAAACCCTGTAGTAGTGGAGGAAGGTTGTGGCCAACCTGATATTTCGGCCATGTGTATCCATAATGGAATACACCAAACACGTGCTGAGAGTGGAATCACATGCGTACTGCATTCACATGTTCCTTATGCAACTGCCCTGACCTGCATCAAAGATCAGAAACTAGAAATGACTCACCAGAACTCAACCAGGTTTTATGGGGAAATCTGCTATGACAATGGCTATGACGGAGTTGCTACCAGCTTAGATGAAGGGTTTCGACTTGGGAAAGTTCTCAAAGATAAGACAGTGATGATGATGGGTAATCATGGTGTCCTTGTTCTTGGTAGAACGGTGTCAGAAGCAGTGGATCATATGTACTACCTTGAAAGGGCAGCACAAGTTCAGGTATGTATTTGAGTACCACGGCATCTTCGAGCTTGAATTTTGAATAACTCAAAACTTTTATAAAGGAAACTTTAGCGAGACATGAAGTCAAAGTTTTTTTGCTAATTAAAGAGGTTAACCCATTTCACTTTCTTTGGGGAGGGGGGGGGGACGAAAATTACTGGCTGCTAACAATGAGCCTTTGCGCTCGGCAGGCATCCCAAAATGCATTTTCAGTCAGTCTATAATCGATTTTGGTCGACCCGTGGAAGTTTCCGCCATTGTTTGGATAGTCCCTTGAATGATTTGCCACACGCACAAAGGCTCATTGTTAGCAGCCAGTTATTTTCGTTTCAGTTGCCTTTGACCTCCACCTAATTCACATAATTGGATCCGTTTCTTATAAACTAGTGGGTTGAAACAAACACTGGGCTTAAAAACTCCAGTTTTGCTAGAAGCCCCGGAAGGGAAATCGTTTTAAACAATTAATTCAAGTTTACTACTCTCTTTTTTTTATTAGAACAATTTTATAAGATTACGAGCCTCAAAACTGGTCAAAAGTTAAGAACAAATTAAGAACAAGTTGAGGTTGAGCTTTTCTGCAAAATGCAATTTTGAACAACGTTTTTTCTCAAAATCAAGGATTTTTAGCGATGTGTGAGTGCTTTCTCGGTGAATATTCAAATTTGTCAGCAAATTAAGGCTGTCTCACTCACTTTGTTGGCAAATGAGGCCTGAACATCTCCTTAGAGCGAAAAAGCTAGCAATAGCACTGCTTACACCCTCTTAATTTAAGAACAAATTAAGAACAATCCAGCCTCAGATTTTCGAAAAAATTAAGAATAGTCAGTTTGAACTTAAATTTACTGGTTCTTAAAAAAAAGAGTGTATGTGACGATCGCTTTTGTCGCTCTTTGTTCGTCGAAGTAGCGTTACCTGTTCACCGAAGCAAATCGTTTCCAGAGGCAGTGAGGTTTCCCAAGTGTTTACATTATTGTTTCATACTGCTAAGATATCACATGAAACCACATTGATCACGCCAAAAACAACGACCCTTTATCGAGAAGGCTCATTTACCATGACTCGATGTCATTAACATTTCCACTTTGAACCCTGCATTGGATATTCCTATGTGAGAAAATTTATAAAATCCAAGTGCAGACTTCCAATGGTCCACAACGCTCGGCTCTTACTCCTTTATTGTTGCAGATCGCACTACATTTTCTTGAATCGATCGAAACGAAACCCTTCAAACAAATTGACGGGTTTCGATTCTTTCTAGCAGTGGGTTGGTTTGCTGTGTGGGGCGATCGACAGTTTTGCTATGGTATGTACGGATCCAATTCTGTTTGTCTTTAGGTATTGGCCATGTCAACTGGAAAGGATCTGTCTCTGATTCCCGATAAACTCGTGGAACAGAACAAGCAATTTTTGAAAGAGAACGCTCGCCACTACGCAGATAACCACTTCAATGCCTTGAAAAGGACAATCGAGAACGAAACTCCTTGCTATAGAGATTAGAGACTGTTCCTGCCTTTATTGTTTTAGAGAATTTGCTGTATGAAGTAATCAATTAGAGTTTTATGAATGGATTATCAGGTACTAAAATTGCAGCCATAAGCGGACAAGGGTGCTGGGGGAGGCCAGAGCCCCAATAGAATCTTACGAAGCCTGCTCCTTTTTTTACTTTCATATTTCTACACGATAATCCCATCAGAAATTTAAGTAAAACTTTTGAATAAGTAACAAGCTGATAATCCATTTAAAAATTAGGTTGAGATTATAATTGAATTCAAGCAGACGTCTGATCTTCCTGGGAGTCGTGTTTTATTTCTGGTTTAGCGAGCCCTGTAAATGTGTTTTTAATTTTCGTTTAAACTGATAGAGCGAGGGGATCTCCCTTAATTCTATAGCAGGGGCTGAGGCTGAGACCACTCCCTTTTTATTTGTGGTACACGCCTTCTATTTTATTTGAACGAGGTGATCTCCCTTAATTCTATAGCAGGGGCTGAGGCTGGGACCACTCCCTTTTTATTTGTGGTACACGCCTTCTATTATATTTGAGCGAGGGATCTCCCTTAATTCTATAGCAGGGGCTGAGGCTGAGACCACTCCCTTTTTATTTGTGGTACACGCCTTCTATTTTATTTGAACGAGGTGATCTCCCTTAATTCTATAGCAGGGGCTGAGGCTGGGACCACTCCCTTTTTATTTGTGGTACACGCCTTCTATTTTATATCAGATGCGACGGTTGACCCAGGCCGGTACTTCTTTCATACCTCTTCAGATGTCAACTATAGCAGGGTGCCCTGATGCTCCCCGGAACCAAGCTCGCCTTTTTATTTGTGGACACGCCTGTTTAGTTATGATATCTATATCTCCTAATTCTATGCAGGGCTGAAGGGCTGGACCACTCCCTTATAGTTTGTGGTACCGACGCGCTTCTCATTTTAAATCCTTGAACTTTGAGGGCATCTCCACTTAATTCTATAGGCAAGAGCTGAGGCGGAAGGATCCACTCCCATTTTATCTCTGTGTAACGCACTCTCTATGTATATTTACGAGGGATCCCCTTACCTTAATTCTATAGCAGGGGCTGAGGCTGGGACCACTCCCTTTTTATTTGTGGTACACGCCTTCTATTTTATTTGAACGAGGGGATCTCCCTTAATTCTATAGCAGGGGCTGAGGCTGGGACCACTCCCTTTTTATATGTGGTACACGCCTTCTATTTTATTTGACCGAGGGATCTCCCTTAATTCTATAGCAGAGGCTGAGGCTGGGACCACTCCCTTTTTATTTGTGGTACACGCCTTCTTTTTTATTTGACCGAGGGATCTCCCTTAATTCTATAGCAGGGGCGGATCCAGGATTTTTGTGACTAAAGCTCAGATCTTTTGGGGCTGGGACCACGCCCTTCTTATTTGTAGTACACGCCTTCTATTTTATTTGAGCGAGGGATCTCCCTTAATTCTATAGGTATTTCGTTCCAAGCTTTATAAGGCGCTCTATAGGTATTTCAGCACAATTTTCATCATCAATCAAGCAACGATTTTTTGAAGCGTACACTTTGAAGCGTGAAGCGAGACAAAGAATTTTCTCTCGTGCGATTGGTCTTCAGGTTCTGGAATATTAAACAAGGTGGGCATGTGTTTAGCAAAGAAAATATCAAGCGTGCATTGGGCTTACTTACCCTATTACCCCGCTGCAAAGCGCGTGCGCTTATAAACGGAAGTTCACGATTTTGCCATTTTCAGGTTACGAGAGAATGATTCAGATACAGGCGCATGCGTCATAAAGAAGAAAGTTTTTAGCAATGAAATTGCGTGATTAATGTTTTGTTGTAAATTATTGTGATCATTTAATTTATGCTTGAAATAGTAATATGTTTATCTGGAAGTTTTCTTAAAGACGCTTTTGCTTAGGATTTAAGTGATTTGCCTTTTATGATTTTATCGCAGTCAGTTTTTAACGTCTGTATAATGAGAGATTCAGAATCTAAATAGTCTAGCCGCATAATTTGTATAATCAATGGTTTTGATAATATTGACGTCATCATTCTTTTGTTTTATTTTTTGGCGAAAAGATCTTCCGTGGGCCTGATAAGAAAACCTTATCCATTTAATACAATTTTCTACTTAGTGAAATCAGCGCCCTTTTGCTCTTGGATAATCAATATCGGCAATGCTATTTGCTTCCCTGGAATATCATCTATATATTTGTGTACAGGTAGGCTGTTAATCATTAGATTACCACCCATATCTCACGCTATCTCTCCGAACAGTGCTGGCATTCTGAAGGCCCATTTCCACTTCGTTCGGATTTCAGATGCGAACTCATTGTCTGCAGTTCGCATCCGAACGTATGCAAATCACATCCGAACGTTCGCATCCGAATTTGACGCGTTTTGTTTTCATCCGAATTCGCATTGCGAACAGAAAGGTGCCGGATATCGCTAGCCAATCAGAACACTGCATTTCTAGACGACCACCACTTCTGTGCACACAGATTCAAAGATGGCGTCTTCTCTCTTTTGATCAGACTTCAAGATCATAGGAGCAACCAAACGCAGCAAATTCTCAAACAAGCGTGGAGACATATGGAAATATTTAAAAAAACTCTCGTGATCTGCCAATTGCATTTTTCTCACCAAGTTGAAATACTCTCCTTGTTGTTTCCTCTGTTGAAGGATTGGTCGTAACCAAAATCTCTTACGGTATTTGTCTTTTCTTCTCAGCTGTCTTCTTCTCATCAGCATCAAAATCAACAATCTTCGTCGATTAAAAGCAGCCATTTTCGATTTCGATAAACAACAATTGAAAAGAGCACCAAAATTGTCAATTTTTGGACTCCTTTACAAAAGATTGGTCCGAATGTTGTGGAAGTGTGGATTGGAGTCGAAAAAACGTTCGTCGTTTGGAAATCGGAGATTGGATGCGAAATCCAAAATCCGAAATCCGAAATCCGAAATCCGAAATCCGAAATCCGAAATCCGAACGAAGTGGAAATGGGCCTTGAAACTGCTTGTTTATACATTGATGACATCACTGTATGTTGATGACTCCATTAAGGTCTCCTATGCTACAATCTGATTTCAGTAGTAGGAATGCCTTAAATTTCCTACATGGTAAATGCCTTTTTGGCCAAAACTACCATCATCCCACTTTCGGGCATCACTCCAAAGGTGAAATGCCTGACGCAGGCCCGGATGCCTATTCGTTAATGCAAATTTCAAGATGGCTCATTGATTAGCATCGCGAATTTTCAGATCTAAGGGTATGGGGCTCGATCCCCTGACATGACCTTCACCTAGAGTGAGGAGGGTCACCAGCTCTTTGCAATTTCAGGCATAGGAATTACGAGGTGTGGTCACATTGAGTGGAAGGACCAGGACACTGCTCAATAAGCATAGGTTTTCGGTGTCCAAAAACTATCCTTGGATGCTAGGTAGAGACAAATTCAATACAACGAATACACCAGTCTGGAAGCTGTCGTGTCTTTGCACAACTGCTCGTACACCTCTGAAGCCAGTCATTCTGCCTTCAAGTACTCGATTGCTATCCTTTACAGTCAAACTATAAACAAACGTAAACAGCCTTTCTTTGGTAGGTCTTGAAATATGAATAAATAAATTATAATGCACAATACATATAATAAATGATTCAATAAATAACTCAAGGTAAATGAAGATAATTCCTTTTTACTTTTTTCAGCGAAATTTGAAAAAAAAACAATTATTGCGTTACCGATGCGGGGGAGTTTCTTTTCATTCTATCGTAATTTGCAGAGGAATTCACACAACGACGAAGGTTTGAAGTTACTTCTTAGAAAGTCTCAACAACTCCGCTTGAGAGCTCATTGTCAGCAGAAACAGAAGGTGACAGTGATTCGTTTATGATTGTCTTCGCAAGCACGGTAACACGTTCTAAAAAGCATGGATACAAAAGTCCTAGTGGCTGGAGGTTTGTGTTTCGTTGGTAAGTCTTTTAGTTAATGTTTAAAAGTGGCCAATTTTCGACTTCTTGCAATATTTTGTATTTTTTTGATAACTTTTGAAATTATCAGATGTTTATACTCTGAAGGCTGTTGAACCAATTGTACTTTAGATGTTAATTTTCCGCTTTCTCGTTCTATTTTCAATTATTTTTTGCGCAGACCCATCGTGTTCTTTTTACTGCATTAAACCACGGCGCGCTGAGAGCCACGGTTGGCTCTGGGGCAGTTTTGGCACAACTTGCGTTTTTGGACAGCCTATGAATAAATATCTTTTGGACCGCCTGTGCATGCATGGGGCTTGAAAAGGGAAAATGAGAAGAGTTCGTGTATTGCGCTAAAATATTCGACCCCAGATGAAATGGTCGTAGGAGAATTCTCTTAGCATTTTTATGGCTCCACTTTTGGCAGTGGGACGCAGGCGATTGTCTCCTCTGCCCCTCTATAAGTGGTCTTGACTGCTCTTTCTACAGCTAGTTATCGGAGTAAGAGAGGCCTGTAACTGAATTCCATGCTAGCTGATTTAGGTTAAATCTTCTGCTAAAAAGTAAGGAACAGAAATACCGAGTTTGACAGCGTTAAGAATTGAGCAAACCTTAGCTAATTCCTGCTAGTTGTCGTGCCTAATTTTGTATTACTGTTCTAATTTGTCTACCAAGTATATATCTTGTTCCAGCTAAATGTTCATACCTGTGTATACTATAAAGTAACCAGCACAACTCACAACAGTTGCAAAAGGCCCGAGTAACCTATAAAGGTATGCCACCATAGCCTTTTCGGTCCGGGTTATTAATTGGTCCAATGCGGATCATTCTGAGCAATGGAAAACAACAGCCAACTACCATCAGGATCACCCAGCCAAGCAAACCAATCATAAACAGGCTATCTGTGAACTCTGCGAAGACATTTCCTTTCTGTGACGGCATCATGAAGAACTTGTATTTGAAGACACCTAAAGATGGCGTCAGCATGATGACGGTGTAGATACAGCCGACGAATAACGACACACAGCCACGTACGGGCCAGCAATCGACCTTGTCTGTTTTGCTCCATCTGTAAAACGTTGTAATGCCTTTCCACAAGCTGATGATCGTTAGGCCAAGAAAATTGAACGCAAGCGCGGCAATAACGACGTATGTGCGCTTTGCGAATACTCGCTTGTCGTTGCATGTTGGGTCTTGGGCACATTCCCAGCACAAGAAGCCCATAGCGCCCCATCTTTCGGAATAAAGGTAAACAGCAATTGAGGCACCGGGGACGTTTAAGGCAAAGCTCAGCAGGGCTCCGAATGTGAACTTGATATCTGCCAGCTTTTCTGGATTCTCAATAAGATAATGCTGCTCGTTTTTGCACTTGATGATAAACCAAACGAAGGCGACTATGTAGCAGACGAGTATCGCTGCAGACAGGAACAGAAAGAACAGATAGGTATCAACAACACGCCCGAAGCTATCGATTTTATCTTGGTAATCTCGTTTGTCCCATGCAGAATTGGTGCAGAATTGGTATCCTTTTGTGTAATTAGAAAGGTAGCCATCCTTCTTGATGAGTGCTTTGTATCGGTCACGTGATATCTGTGCCTCTGAGTACACCGCAATGTCGGTTCCAAGGTCCAGCAGATTCAGGAATACAAGAATGGCGAATTCGCAAAAGAGGCCCCGCAGCGTCTTCGGCATGTTCCAGGCTTACAATTGCGTTCTCCAGGGATTTCAGATGGGCCTAAAAACAAATAGCAAAACATTTTGGGTTGTTTTCACAAATAGATATGAGCGACCTTTTTTACCCACTAGTATAATTGCAGTAAATTTTGTAGTCTTCTTTCGTTGTTTTCCTAATTAAGGTTTTCAGGTAAGGATATTTTCTAAAGGAAAGATAAACAGTTTTCTAGGCTCTTGTTTCTTACCTGTCTTTCATGCATGGTTTCACCAGCAATGCCTGTCAACGATTTGGTATGCTACACTAAATTTTTGACTATTTTTTACTGCATTTCCCTCTCCCCCATCGAAGAACGTTGTTGTATGCGAAGTTTAAAGGTTCGGTTCGGTGCAATGAATTAATTTCTGATATCTTAATATTTAACTCTACCATCAAAATCGTTTTAGGGGAGACAGGTGCTGTGTAGGTATTTTTATTTAAAACAGTTGATTTTTCAAACAACACTCAAGTGACTGTCCTTTCCAAAGTCTTTCGACAGGGATTAATGGCTTGTCTGTTTGGCGGTTAACGCGTGAAATAAAAACGACTCCTCACATGTTAGTCAATTGTTTATTGAAAATCTGTTTCAAATAATAGTAAAAACATTTGTTTATATCAAGCAAATTGTGTAAGCATTTTGCATACGGCTTAAAGTTATATCGTTATTCTAGGAGAGCAGGTTTTATGTTTAACCCAGGAAGAGTATCCAAACACGTCTGTCCTTTTGGGATTGTTGGAGGAAAACCAAATACGTATTTAATCTAGTGACCATCTGGCGTAAGGCTTTACGTAATTGTTTTTTTAAATGAGCAGTCAGCACTCAGAAGCAGCAACTGGTTTCAATCTAAATGTTTAGGCTCGCGGTTTTCTGTTAGGTATTTTTCAAGGACTGCTCCCTCTAAAGAGAATATTTGCCCCTGCATTTCCAATCGGATTTGTTGTATCGAAAGCAAACATTTTCTGCTACGAAACCCCTCTTCTTTAGGCTGATATCAAAACGTAATGCTATTTTTGTAAAATTTAATTATTTCAGTTATGAGAGTTTAGAAGAGGAAAAAGAGATACAGGCAGGACGATATAATTAGTGTTAAGTGAAGGACCTGCTGAAAGCATTTAGACCAATTAGGGGGGGGGGAGGGTGTCCATTGTAGGAGGGTGTTTGTTGTAGGATGGTGCTCTTTGAAAATAGTTGTCCGTTATTGGGAACTGTCCGTTATGGGGAGATGTTCGTTATTGGAAGGTGTCCGTTATAGAGAGATGTCCATTCTAAGTAAGTGTCCGTTTTAGAGAGGTGTCCGGTTAAGGGAGGTGTCCGTTGTATGGAGGTGTCCGTTGTACAGAGGTGTTATGTTGTATGGAGGTGTCCGTTATAGAGAGGTGCCCGTAATACCGACGTGTTTTTCAAGGGTAGTGGTCATTGAAAAAAGCTGTCCGTTATTTGGAGGTGTCCGTATTAGGGAAGTTCCCGTAGCAGAAAGGCGTCTGTTGTCAGAAAGTGTTCGTTGTTTGGATGTGTCCGTTATAGAGAAGAGCCATGGTGCAATCGAAATATTTTATAACAAAATTGCTCTCCCTTAACTGAGTTCAGTACTCGGCTATTATAGATAATCGTTATTTTTATTCAAGACGCAAATTTCCTTATGAAGTTGCCATAGTTACTCATACGGGTGGAAAAGAACATGCGCAAAACCTTTCTGCAGGGGCTTGATTTCGAACGCACTCCCATTTATGGCAGCTGATATTTATGGATCGATAGGATCCTCAAACAAGCAGGCAAATGTTTGTTTGTGCTATTTTTCTAACGAAATAGTAATAAATTTTTAGATAATTGTAAGGTTATGTTTTTTAGCATATTAATGGAAAGGCAAAAAGCTCTTTACTTATTCAAGGATAAGATTCGATTAAACAGGCAAATTTTCATAAATGCAGGGTAGCTTTGCTGTTGGACTGTAAAATTTAGAAAGAAAATTTCATTAGAGACAAGTTACTGATATTGGCGATCGACTGTTACGCAACTACTCGAAATTAAACTCTTCCATGTCACTTGACATTCCATACTTACATCATTAGATTTAACTGAATTGCTATACTGATTAAAGAAAATTCAAAGATATTCTTAGACAGTCAAGAAAGGAGGGGGTTGATCACTCTTTCTAAACAGGCATACTGGAATCGAAAAAAATAGTACGCCAAAGATTACCTTGGGTAACAGAGCCACAAAATTGTGAGCGTGGAAATTAGAAGATATTAGTGGAGAAGCGGAGGGGCCCGTGTTCTCTGATTAAGCGCTTGAAATTTTGTGTCTCTGGTACCCAGGGTAGCCAAAGATATGTACCAAGGAAATGGACGGATAGTGCTCACCTCACCGAGAGAAAATTGCCAGCTTGGCTCTAAATGAACTGGTGTTGTAAACGCATGAAAGGTACCCCCTCCCACCCCTCCTGAGATGATATAGTTTTTAGCAGATATTTTTAATGCCAAAATTGAAGTGTGCTAACTCGGCTCCAAGTACTCGTCCAAATAGAAGAAATAAACCGGCGGCAATAATGCCCTGTCCGCCGAAGACCTGTGGCGCCATACGCGGCCATTCCAGTCTGGCCAGCGTACGATATTGGTTTAAAGCAATACAATTTCTAGGGATTTTTTTTAGATTTATCTCGAAAACAAAATACGTTAAAGGTTTTTTACGGATTCGCTTTGATGTGGGCAGTATTTGGTGATCATGGTAACTATGAGTTGTTGGCAATAGCGCCATTTTATCAACGATTTTGAAATCATAGCCATACCTAATAAATTCTCTTTGTTGTAACTGCGAAATATTAATGTTATATGAACAGTAGAAAAGAGCATATAAGAATTGCCCTTATTGATGTTGCGTATGAATATAAACAAGAAGCAATGGAATGTTTTAGGATGTTTTGCTACCCACCTATGGTCAAGTTGTCAAATGGCAATCAATTTCTCTATTGCGTTGGATACTCAGAGTTCGATAGCCATGCGTTTCCAGAGGTCGGCAGCCAAGCCATGAAAGAGATCTGTACAGTTTAGTTTCTTTTTGCGATTTTGGATTTCTTGTCTCGAACTTCCATACTTTGCAGATGAAGTAGTGATATTTCGAGAATTTTTCCCAAACTTTAAACTAGGCAGATGTTGAACGGTCAATTAGCATTTGGGTCGTGGACGGGGAGCTCTCTATCGACAGATGCAAAAAATACGACTATGCATTCAAAAGGATGGGCGACAAAACGGACAATTGATAGACAGCACATGAAAAGCAACATCAACGAGACTGTTAAATTCTTAATAATGATCAACGCATTACGCTTTTTTCGGTAGCATAAACATTTTTTGGTAGAAGACTGAAGTGTTTGATATGAAGACGATTCTACATTGATGGAGTACTTCTTGAATGACTCCCCCCCCCGTCTCTTTGACCCAAATGTACAGCTGCTTTTTTGTTCATTTCTTTTGGAAAATGAGCACTTGTTGCAGGTGAAGCGAGTGAGATGAATGAGATTATAATATATTTAGGACACAGCACAATAAGAATTCGCAGGCTATGTGCAAAAAAGCCATATTCTAACGGCCTGTTTGAAAATGTGATCGGAATCATCCCTGCTGCTTAGCAACAAAGCTCTGGCAAATGAATCAAAGGAATTCGCCAGCAGGTATGAATAGAATGTTCCGTAACATTTTGCTTAGGTTCATTTCACAAAACAAAAGATGGCGTCCCATCAACCAAAGTTGCAATGTAACTGGTTGATTCGTTACATTGGATAGTTCTCCAATAGCGGGCATATAAGCGTAATTAATCTCAGTGAAAATATTTAGCGTTAAGTGTTCACGTTTCCCAATAACATCAGATTCAGATTGCTTTGAAGGCAGGCAATCAGTTAAGTAAAAGTGCGTCGGTTTAAATTCATTATGCTTAGATTCCCTTCAAATTGGCCCAAAGCAAGAAGTTGTTATTCTTAAATTGGAAAATAAAGACATCATGCCATAGAATAGAAATCTGTGATCGTACTAACGTCCATAATGATAATGTATGAAAACGAGATTTTAGGACATTACTGGATCTGGGTTCCGCTGACCTCTTCCCGCTGCTAAATGCTGGTTACAGCATATTGAAGCGGATTATCGGATGTGAATGCTATTCTCTGATTGGACGAGACAATTTTAATTTGCCACAGCAATTAAGTCTTACCTACTTAATCACCCTGTGTCATTAATCACCTTGTTTTTTGGAAGGCCATCAAGTGATTTTCAATTCTTTTGGTTGTTCTCAAATTTGCCAGCACTAGAGGCAATTCAATAGATTTCAGAACACAACATTCTCTGCCCCTTTGGTGTTTTGTTGAATTGCTTTAGAGCTACAGCTACATCCATGGACTTTGCCTAAATTAGCGATCGGTCTTCTCGTATAAGCATGACAATTGTTTGTCAAAATCCTACTTGTAGAATTCAAAAAGAGAAGCTAGCTCATTCTTAAAGGCCTATTGTGCAAAGGAAAGATGATTAGATTCTTCAGCCTGACATATTTCATGCACCTCTCTCGGTAGAACCTATTTTGAGCAATTTATGCAGTTTAATCCAAACCTTGTAGAAGATATTTCGATAATACCTTTCTATTGTTTAGTAAAGTTGTGCATTTCAAACGCTTGGTGCAATGGCTGGTACAAAATAGCTGGTACAATGATTTGAGCCTGTGTTGCGGATATGTCTCTTATCTGGAGCATGTTTATGACGCCCCCAAAAACTTCTGTGATTGAATTAAACCAAACAAGGAGGTGAGAATGTCTTTTTTGTGTGATAGCTTTCCTTTATTTTTTATTTGTCTAGCAACGCGATCTGTTTTGCTGACGCCCAATCAAATTTTTAAAAAGATAGTAAGAATTTTATTCAGACACAGCTCGCATACATAAAAAGATTTTATTGTTGCTTAGCGCGTTGTAGCTATTGAAACATTCTAATTTTTCAATTGCTTAGATTTGTTTTTATTCAACCAGTTTCTTGTAATGACATAAAAGTTTTCTTTATTTCCTTAAAACTACGCTAAGTTTTAGAGTAAATAGGAATGCTTTAAGAAGATATTTCAGACTGAAAACGGAAATTTCTCAAGAATTATGAAGCTTGGAAATTCTTATGATTTCTGGAATTCTTTTAAAAAGAGTGAAATGATCGTCTAGGTATTTTTCTCTTGAATAGACTGATGTTCTTGGTAGCATTCACAGTGATAAATGGCAAGGACAAGGATATCAACTACTGACAAGTGTAATGTAGATAAGAAGACGATACTCGATTGTGCATTGGTTAATCGAAAAGGCTTTGATAAATTTGATAGAATGATTATTGATGAAGAAAGGAGATATGTTCTAGAAAGAGTGGGGAAATATAGTGTGAAAGAATCCGATCATAATACAATGGTGCTTGACTTTAACTTCAGGCAAAAGGGTGTCTATAACCAAAATCCTAAAAAGGAACAAGGGCACTGGGTCTTATCAAGTGACTCACTTAAGGAATTTGATAGACAAGTGAAAATTAACAAAATAGAAAATGTTTGGGATCGAAACAAACCAGTAAATGTACTATATGAACAGTGGAAAAGGAAAATATATGAAATTATGGCAAAATGCTTTAAGAAAAGGTACAACAGAAATAAGCACCATGCTGCAATGAGGACATGTAGGGAACTGAGAAAGAAGAAAAGAGAGTTAAAACAGAAACTAAGTGAAGCTATCAAAAAAGAGGACAATTTGAGGGAAAGTGTTTTAAAGTTAAGAATCAAACACTTGAACAACCAACTAGTGAGGACAGAGAATGAGAGTAAAGATATTAGGCCTGTTTAGTTACAAATAATTCAAAAATTCTAAAAAATATCAACAACACCCTTCAAAAATTTCTTACCAATGGATGAAATAGAAATAAAGAGACTGGCTAAAATTATAGCACCAGCTTGTGATACCCAGTAGTTGGGTAACTGCTCCGAAATGGAGACTTAGCTTCAGTTATTATTATTATTATTACAGTGTCATTACCAAGGGTGCCGTCCTAAAAAGTTAGGAAGGGGGGCTGTGCTGTAGGCAAATTCAAAAGGCCACACCCATGACCACATCCGTACCACACCCAATATACTTGAATTCTTGTTTAAGACCCTACATTGTTTGTAGAAATCGTTCAAGATGACACAAAATGACTGATTATAAGTTGCTCATTTATGAGGAATCTATAGGATACTAAAGGGTTACCAACACAGAATTCGTCCAACTAAGTTTGAGCTCGCTTGTTAAAGGGTTGGGGCTGAGCGCAAAAATCTCCCTGAATTTTAACAAGGGGGCTGGGCCCCCTGAGACCCCCTCCACTGCACCATTGGTCTTCACTGAAGATTTGTTCATGCAAAATGAAGTTAAAATTGCCCGACATAAAACTGTTGTGCGGATGTATTTCACCATATTATTTTTTATAAAGATGTTTGTTTTTTAATATTTTGATATATAATGTATATCGATAATAGAGATATGAAATAATAATATCTTTAAGAAGATTCTGTGACAAACTAAAAATATTTTAAATTATTTTTCATTATTTTGAAATATTTTGTTAAGTTTTTCCGAACGTTGAACTTTATCTTTCATGAAACTATAATAGTGAAATGATACTAGTTTCTGTTTCATAAAATTTCCAACCCTAAAGTTGCTGCAAATAGCACTAACATTTTTGGTATATTTATAAACACTGATGAGCACTTTTGACAAAGTATTTTTTCAGGTCTTATTTATACGCATGCGTAGCTCATAAAACCTCCAGAATAGTTAATTAATTTTCATAAAGAAACAAGATGATAATACCCTTTATGTTACAGGGGCCGTTTCAGATGAGTCAGATTGGGATGTCAAGAAACAGAGAAACCATTTCGATTAATTTTGAGCCCTTTGTAATTGAAGTGCTACGGGGGAAACGCGAGACAAAATTCTCTACTTGTAGCGACAAACTCACCGGGCCCAAAATGCTGGTGATTTCGCACAATGAACGATATTTTTACCCCACGCGCGCTGGGAATGGGCGTGTAACCACTAAGAAGACGCGGAAAGCATTTCATTGTGCGAAAAGAATTTGTATTTTAGGAAGACATCCCTATGCCTGGAAAGGTCTTCTAGAAATAGATGAAAGAACAAAAAAGTATTTGAAAGAGGAAGATTTTGAATACATTAAAGAAGAGCTCCATTTTGAAGTACCTGACTCCTCGAGTTAGCCCTTTTCTTATTGGGAGCAATTGAATGGTTCACAATGCAAGTAGCTCGTTTGTTAAAGCTTCTTTACTTCTCTATTCATGTACGTTTTTTAGTTATGTCGAATATACATATGATTTACCATAGACTTAGGTGTTTGTATTTGTAAAATTGGCTGCAATAGCACAATAACTTGTTTTTTATTTGTTCTTGCTGTCACAGAACAGATTTTCTCCTGCACTCTCCAGGAGATTTTCATAAGTTGCCTCGATCCTCTCAAAATATACTGGGAAAAAACTTTTGCATTTAGGCCAAAATTCGCAAAATTTCCACGAAAGTCTCTAAAGAGTGAAAATCGACAAAATTTATGCATGCGAAATTTCATAGAAAATAAATTTCGTGAAAGTTATTTCTGCGATTTTTAAAATTCGCGAAATAATCGTGCGAAACGAGTGACTATGAAAATTAAAAATTTACTTTTTCACCAAGAGATAAAACAAAAATACATCGAGAAAATAAATCTTTCTTTCATTATTCAAGTCATCATTTTAATCGACCAATCAGTCAATAATTACCATATCAATGGGGGGCTTTTATTTTTTCTACTGCCTTGCTTTTCTCTACACTATTTAGCATTGTTCGAATGTCCATAATAATGATTCCGATTGGGCCCCCAGCATAGTAAGAAGCTGGCCTGCTTCAAGACTTTGACGATGAAAAATCGATTTTCATGCTAAGCAAATACTGAATTTCCTCCTCTTGTTATTTCTTTGTCTGTTTTGATCGAGCAATGCCATACCATGCATCGGCATAGTAGCCTGTGCTCCAGACCTCTTGTTCTAAATATAGGCTGTCAAGTTAGAGGCCTGGGGAAGATATTAAAAATTT